ATAGCACTCTCTCAATTTTAATCTGAGATCATAATGTGTATGTTCTTATCTTAAGAAAACAACATAAAGTAGTAGGATGATGGCTATTAGCCCCTTTCTCGGAGATATAGGTTTTAGTATGGAAAATGTATTCAAAATCATGCTTGAAAACTTATATTTTTACTTTTTTTTTTGTCACCAAATGCTTTAATACAAAATCAAAATTTTATCTTATTAATGTAATCAAAATCACATTTTAAAAATTTAAAATTTTCATTGTTACGTTTCACTTCTAAATTACTAAAACGCTTTTACATAAATTAAATCGCACTTTTAGCACCTCCTTACTTTAGTTCGTAGCTACCCAACTGGAAACCGGTACGGGAAAGAAAATGATACATTACAACGTGGCCTACGAAACGTCTACTCGTTTTGTTGTCCATGCACGATGCTCTTCTTTGCAAGTTGTGGTTATAAACTCAAACCTCACATGCTCTAATTATTCGCAATGAATGCAAAACAGAAACAGAGGGAGACACGTACGACTAAAGAAAGTGTAATAATTGGGCAACCCATTTGTATGATATTGTCCGTTTTGGGTCAAGCACGCACGGTTTTACTCTTGGCCTTGGGTATTTTTCCAAAAGGCTTCGTACTAATTGGGCTAGGAGGACACTAATATACAAGAGTCTCTTCCCTTGTATTATCGATGTGGTACTTGGATTGTCCCATAACAATCCTCCCCCTCACGACAAGGACCAAATCCGCCAAACAGACGCGAATCATCTTTGACCCGCCAGACAAACGCGCATCTCAAATCCTGAGGTCCACCGAATGAGGGTCCCACCAAACTGTTGTCTACCGCCCCAAATCCGCCGAACCAGGTTCTGACACCACTTGTCGAAATCGGGAAGCTCAATTAGTACGATATTGTCCGCTTTGGCCAAGCCCACACGGTTTTACTCATGGGTGTCCTCCCCAAAAGGCCTTGTACTAATTAGGTTGGGTGGACACTAATATACAAGGGTTCCTTCCCTTGTATTACCTGTATTCGAATTGTTTCATAACAACATAAGAAAAGTAGTGTTGCAGTGAGAGAGCGGGGCAGCTCATATGTAGTAATTGCTTTGCTTTGCCTTGTCCCGCACTCTCTCTGTACAGGAATGAGTAAGGTCGCGAGGAACATTAACTACATGCATGTCTAGCATATATATTACGTATAGCTTTAGCTTTGGTCTATTGGTTTTTCCTTTTTTCCTTCTCCTTTTCCTTTTCTGTTTCTGGTCGTCTTCCTGAACTTGGGTTGGGTGCTATTTAGTTCAGCTCTTTTGAACTAATGCCCCTGTTGTACTTGTTCCTTTTTCCTTCTTAATGCAAGTTTCGCCATTATCAAAAAATATATATTACGTATACATTATTTTTGTTTAAATATCTTTTAGCATAGCGCGAGAATTTGTCAAACCGGTTTATAACGTTGTGCCGGTTTGGCAAGTGGAATGGTACGACCGGTGGTACAACCAGTTTGTGCCGGTTCATGCCGGTCTAAAAAAATGTGAAAATAATTAATATCCAATGTATTTAATCATATATAAAACATTTTTGTGGACAATTTAGTTACAATCCAACAAATATCATCAACTTTTAACTATTACATTCATAAAATGAATAATAAATTATTATTTTTATTCATTAAATTCATTAAAATGATGTCATTTTACTTAGAATGCGTAAGTCGATCATACCGGTCATACCGGTGGTATCATGCCGGTTTCATGACCGGCACAGGTTGAACCAGGTTCAACCGGGTGGCATGCCACCGGCATGACAACCATGCGCGAGATCAATGACATAATAATTAATAGAGTATCGGGCTGCATTTCATTATAAAATTACATATTGAAAGAAAATATAATAATAATAATTTTTTTACAATGTTAATTGTACACGACAGTATTTCAATTAAGTTCATAATGATCTTCCTACACTTACAGTTGCAACCGGTAAAATGAAACTAGCAACCGGTAAAATCAAACCTAGTTTCAGAAGCAAATAAACTTTTTTTTTTTTTACAACTGAAGCAAATAAACTTACGAATATGACTAATACACTTTTGTCTCCACCTTTATTCAAGACACTACATCAACTCCTCTCAATCCATAAAATCACACAACATCATGATTAAACTCAACAAGCTGAATGAAACGAATATATTAATTACTATTTTTTTGTCAATTATTAAACAAATAATGAGTTGTGGTATAGTAACCAAATATCCTTATATTACTTGTAGTAGGTGTTGTGTACATATATATGGGGTATTTTTCTCCTCCCAAATATTACCCCGGTCCTGTGACATGGGCAATATGACCTGGCTCGGTCTATGGGTTGTGCCGTGGTCACTCACTGGATCCGCCACTGACACCTCCTATCAAAACAAGGACTTCAACTTTGCATATATCTTAATACTATAAGATAAACAAATATAGGATCATCGGAAATTTGAAAACAAATGCTCCCAAGTTATCAGAGGCCCTAATACCATGCCGATAAAACAAAACAAAAAGTATAGTAATACGAAGAACTTAACTCAGTTTTCGCGAAACCTATAACTAGCTAGTCCACAGACAGTAGAGATAATACTCTTCAAAGTCTCCATGCACAAACCCTACTGTGAAGGCTAGTAAGGCAGGATTAGTCTCAACCTGGTTAATTACAATTACCCCCATAGCCCACTTATATTATATACAATCAACAAAAATACCCTCACGTTGCATGACTAAGACAAGCACCGATGGAGGCCAGCGCATGCATGCATGTCGATTAAGATACACATTAATGACCTAATCCTTTCACAAAATCCTCTTGCCATGTGGGCATGCTTTCGTCAACTCTAATAATTCTGAATTAATTAACTTTGATTTAGAGCGTCATGGGAACACAAGAGTCAATCACTATTATATCCCAAGTGGCCAAATTATTTCTCAACGGTAATCATAAATGACAATAATAAAATAATCCAGGCTCCCAACTGTACGATTGTGAAATTCAGGAAAATAGAAAGAAGAAAAAAATGGAATAGAAATAGAGAAACTGATAAATTCCCCCACCAGGCCACCACCACCGCCGTAGCCGCCGGTGTGTTCCGATAAGAGGATGGGCTGCCCATCCGTACTAATATCCGACCGCCGTGGCTTGCGGCTGTTGGCTGTTCTTCATCATCACCGCAGTAGTTAGGTTGTGAAGTTGAATACCTTTCCTTTTTATGGCTATGCTATGGATAGGGTTTTTAATTTTTATTTTAATGAATGACATTGACGTTGAAGGGACAATTGAATTTTGGTGCTTCGAATTGCCAGATTCAGCACACTAATTTGAGTTATAAGATGAGGGTTTTACAATGAATTCGGTGAAGTTTTTTTAATTTTATTTTTGTTATACATATTTTTAAACGAAAAAGATTCATGGATGTCGCAGGTGTCGATGCTTCTCTGCATGGACTTCGATTTTGCTTGGAATTGTGTTCATTTTACTCATTTTGTGCACGTGTAAGCTTGAATAATGCAGGTTTAGGTGTTTTCTCGCAACTAGTTAGAGAGATAATTAGAATATCTTAAATGAAATTACTTTTTTCTCTATGTACAGTTGGAAGGCCATGGCATTTGATGCTCCATACGTTTCTCGGGTGGTGCACCTCGACTTCGAAGTATTGTTGCATACCAAAGTAGCATCCAACTGAGCATTGTACTATCGATTGTCTTGTTGATAGCGCATTCTGTCCCACCTAATGTCGACCGATCCTTTTGAGTATAGCAAGCGAACAATGGAGTTGAAATTTTCATAGACTGACCGACCGATCGATCATGTGTTTCAATGAATAGTTTATGCCAAGGGATACTGCAATTCAGACACACGCCCTTCCAAAGTTGTTTATAGCATATGATAAGTTGATGTTTAATGAATTGTGACTAGGGTAACGATACAATCAAGGGCTTAAATGAAAATTTTATTTAGTCATATTCCCATTTTTATATTTGAAGTTAGAAGTTCAGACCCTTATTGATGGTAGAGTTGAAATAGAAAAAAACAAAAAACACAAAAAAATCCAGCTTGTTTGTTGTCAGTAATTCTGTATCACTCAAAATCAGTAGTTTGGGCCAAGAGGTTAGGCTCCAAGTCTCCGACTTGGGCCAACTGTAAAGCCTTATGAGTTTCGGCCACAATCCAGATCCCTCCCAGATCCCAAGTATGGCATAGCTCAAATCATAATGGATTGTTGACAGCAACAATGAGATATGGGTAAATCCCACGTTTGGTCACTTTAAATTACTAAATTAAGTTATATTTAATCATTAAAAAAATTAATATCAATTTTGATCGTTCGAATTATTAAAACATGTCACGTTTAGTTACTCTCTCGTTAGCCTCCGTCCAACTCTGATCACTAGAGTTACTTTTTTTTAAATGTCACTCGAATTAATGAAGTTGGACGGAAACTAACGAAAGAAGGACTAAATATAACATGTTTCAATAATTTGAGTGACTAAAATTAATATTAATTTTATCAAAATTTATATTAATTTCTTCTAAGTGACTAAACATGTCATGATTTAACAATTTAGTAATCTCAGTAACCAAATGTGGCATTTACCCACCAAATATATTATCCACAAATTACCAAATCAAGGACGAGTCAAACTGGTCGAAGTTCAAAACACTGTTGGTAAATACAAGCGTCGTCGTCTATGGCATTATCACCCGATTTACAAAGCCGGAAAGCAACCCAAATATAACTCTCAAATTTCAGGCACCGGAGAAACTCAAGCCGTTGGAAAGTTGCACATCGTAGACACGAATGACAGACTACGTTTCATGATAGATAAGAAAGCCGCATTGAACCAACTTCAGTTTCCCCCAAAGCATGAGAGAGCTGTACGCCTGTACCAACACTTTCTGTACAAACAAAGGCCATCCAGAAACAATAACCAGCGCCTTCAGAGAAAAAAGGGAGAATTTGCGGACACCTAGTGAGCACTGACGAGAAACGGGTGCTGACAGACTCCGCATTCAATTGTCTCCGAACCTGAGCTGGGGACCTGAACCTGCAATTTTGGTAACAGTGGTGAATTTGCAGCAGTAATCGTAATTAACAGAGAACTTGTTGGAGTTACAACGAAGGACACCAAACTCGGGTTTTGGACCTGGAGATGGACGGTGCAAGTAGGGCAAGCGACTTCCCTCATTCGCTTCCCAGATGATCCATCAGACGATTTTGATCCCGAGGATGTCTTTCGATTCCTCTCCATCTCCTCCTGTCATAATGTTTCATATGCGTTAGCCTGACAATGCAGATAAGTGAAGACTACAGAAAGAGATGGGATTGTTAGTTTCTTACTCAAATTACCTGAAGTTTCATAGCGAGGTCCTCATGGCTAATTAATCCTGCAGGTTTACTGGATGCTTCTTTAGCATTGGTCAACCTCTGAGTCACTTCAGCCTGCAAAAACAGAGTTGCGATACCGTAAAGATTCTGCAAAAAATTATATATGCATTCACGAAATACCCCTTTTCAGCACCCTTATTAAATAAAAACACCCCTTTTCAGCACTATATGTCCACAGAGGGTACCAAACAGTTTGGTCAACAACGGAAATATAATCCAAAATAAAAAGGCTGTTAATATCTTTTGCTATCTTTTCCAGTATCTTCAGAGCACCAGAACTTATACAAGCTTGTAGTGCAGATGGCATTTGTGTTATATTTCTTTGCGAAAAAGCATGTATAGCATAATAATAATAATAATAATAATAATAATAATAATAATAATAATAATAATAACAACCATTATTATTGTTATTATTATTATTATAATAAAAGGGAGAAGGTATATAAAACTAAACAGGAAGTGTGAGCTCAGAAATCACATCTTTCCCTCTCTTCAGAATACTTGTATGTCGTAACATGAGCATCAAAAATTTCACCTATATGCCTAGAAACAAGGACAGAATCAGGGCTAAATGCCTGTGCATATAACTATGACTGATATCTTACACCTATCAAGTTTCATTACCAAAAACATGTCGGACACAGATAACGAAAAGCCACATATCACTGGGAGTAAGAAAGGTGCAGATTATTGGCAAATCGACAGAACTTACGAGGCACCGGTCACAAACTCTAACTGGCTGTGCATTCACCTCAGCAGTAAGAGCAATTCTTCCATGTGTACATTTATCACAGAATACATCCCCACAGTTTCTGCAGTGGTGCTGTTTAGATGTTCCAAAGAGAACCAGAGTTAGATTCACCGCAAGGCATGCATAGGTTGGAAAATGCAAGTTCAACAACCAAGAAGAAGAAAGAAAATCACCCTTCGAATGAATGCATTAAAATCAGTCCCACATCCTGTACACTTCTTCACAGCTTCATCAGGGACCTAGGGAACAGGTACAGGTAAGTAGTCAACTAAGAAATTCGGAACTTCAAGTAAAAAACACTGTTCTTCTGAAGATGCACAATAACCTTAAAGCAAGCAGCCTGACAGATACACTTTTCATTCAGTTTTGGGTGTGGATAATGAGATATACACATTCTTACCCAATGATCTTTCTCTTCATTAGCAGGCTTTATGAAGTTCATCCAATCACCAAAACCTTTCTTCCTCTCTGCAGTCTGCTCAGACATCTTTGAAAGATCAGAAGCCTTGGGTCTCTCCCCCATTTCCTTCAGCTGCACACATATGTCGCCAAATAATTAACCAGACTACTAAAGAATGCAATAACAAGCAGAAGAAACTTTGTCCATCAATCAAGTGAGACTATATAGTCATGGAAATTGAGCAATGAGCACTGTTGTGAACCAACCTGCACGGTTGCAGCAGTCACTGTGTCAAGAAGTGTATTGGTTGTGTAGCTATTTGATTGCAACCTTATGCGCCTTGGTTCAACATCCACAGAGCTCTTGGACCAAAAGGCAAAAGTTGACGAGTCCATTTTCTTTGTATTAAAGAACGAAACCACAGTAATAAGTCAATACGGCAAAGTTGAAGCTATATTAAGAGATCAAAATTTTTTTTGAAACAAGCTTCCTTACATCGCATCTGGTGATGTTCTCAAGGGGATAGATTCTGAGTGTCCGACTGGTATTGGGATCTAGCATCTTAATTCCATCCAAACCAATCTACACGAGAAATACAAAAAGCATGAGCAAAAATGTCTGTTCAGAATTTGGGAGACACTCACTAAATTAACTCAAATTAAAAGCAGAAATCTTATTAGATTAGAAGAAGATGAAGACAATTGAACATGCTAGAACTATTTGTTATCACACTTGTACAAGTTTCTATGGTAAACAATTTTGAAACCTCCTCATTAACACATGTACGAAGCATCATACAACACAATATCAAACCACTTGGAAACGAAAATTAATCAGGAATAACATAACCCTGCAAAACAGCAGTAGTTCTCCAGAATACATCATGTTATACTATCCATCAAACTTGTAACAAAGCATAGTGCTTGTACAGCACTTAATTTCATCAATAGAATCGCTCAATTCAATTAGAAAAAATTGCTCTCTCACCAATGCCCCAGGACCCAAATCATTCCTTCGCAATTTTCACACAATTGAAAAGGAGCCTCAACCCTTTCATTCAGCAAGCCACTAAAACTAGCTACTTTAGGACCTCCAGAAGATATGATCTAGCTGACACAACGACCATGAAGCCATTCACATAAAACAGAATCAAATAGAATCACCCTGCATGTTCTGAGCAAGAAAACATTGGACTCCCATAATTTTATGCCGCGGATACTTAACCAAAAGGGCAAACAAAATTGTAATGGAGCTGAAAATAATATGCCATGAACCAAATACCTGCTAATGATGAAAAACTATCCCCATGCATTGAGTAATCCATTGGATAAATAATCTCTATTGTACTAATAGTCGATAAAATATCCAAAAGACACCAACAATATAATACCTGGCAAAGCACATCCATGGTGCTCTGGCCTCCACTTTCAGCCAGAAGCTTAACCCTGAACTTCTGCACCCCACCTTTGACATCTTCCTGAGTATCCATCTTAGGCACTGCCCTCACGATCTTAGGAGAATTCAAACCAGAACCCGAACCCAAAGAAGAGTCCTTTGAGCTAGGGACATTAATGGCTCTTCCATAATCATCAAACATACCCCAGGTTGAAGATTTCGGTGCCGTCCCTCTCGCCCCATACGGCTCCACCTTCCCTCCTTGATAAGCAACAACACCATCGCCATATCCACTATCCCGCTCCATTTCGGACCTCCCTTCCGACTTCCTTCCATACGAATCCATCCCCAAATCAGACCGACTCCGATTATAGATCCCATACTTATCGTCAAGATACCCAACGCCCTGATCAAACTTGAGCGAATTCTCATATTGGTTATCGTACACAGGCGGAACAGACGATCCTACCGAATTAAGAGAGCCATAGGACATATAGGGCGCGCCGGCAATCGGATTAGAGGCAGGCGGTGGCGGGGGAGGGGCAGCCGCATAGCTGGCACCATGCGTCTGATGGTGATCGAACGGCGGGAAGTACGATTGCTCCGGGGGATGCTGTTGCTGGTATGCAGATCCATGCGATTCGTAGGACGGGAACACCGGCTGCTGAGCTGACGGCGGAGGCGGTGGGTTGAACGAGGATTGGGAATTCAACGGAGCTGATGCCGGTTGAGTGTACGAGGGAGCTGCGGGTGGGTGGAGGGCGGGATCGGGATTGGAAGAGTAAGGAGGCGGGGGAGGGTAAGATTGGGGAGGATAGGCCGCAGAGTAATCGGCGGGAGGGTAGCTGGCGGAGAACGGCGGCGCCGACGCCGTCTGGTGGTGATCGATCGGATTGGGATTGGGATTGGGATTAGGGTTTTGGAAGGTGGGGAACTGGTAGTAGGAAGCGTAATCGCCCTGGTGCATCGCTGATTCTTCGAGTTGCAGAGATCGGAAGATCGGCAATTGGAGAATGCCTGCTATTAGCTTTCTCTTGGCTTCCACGAGACGATGACGAGGGAATTGGAGAAAAGGAGGGAATGGACAATGGAGGATTAGTTGGTGTTCGGGAAGAATCGATTGCGTGCAGATGACAACACGGTGAGGTTCGAGGATCCTGCTCAACTGAGGCGCCACGTCACCTTAACTTCTTTTTCATCTATAATTTTTTTCCGGCTAAATTGCAAGTTTGGTCACTCGAATTGCTACAAAATTTCACGTTTGGTTACTCGAATTCGTTTATTCCATTCGTAGTCACTTAAATTAGTTGAATAGTCCAAGTTCGGTCACTCTCCGTTAACCTCTGTTAGACTCCGTTAGTGCCGTCAGTTAACTGCTGACGTGGCTAACAGAGATGTCTAGTCATCCAATCTTAACCCAAGAAAAAGCAGAAATAGACCCGCCACGTCAGAAAAACGCCACCTCATATAAACACAACACAACCCACCCAACCTAAAAAAAACTCATTAACCCACACCAAAACCCCTTCCGACCATCCCTGATTACCCTTCTCCTCTTCCTCCTCTGCCTTTCGCCTCTCTCTCTCTCTCTCTCTCTCTCTCTCTCTCTCTCTCTCTCTCTCTCTCTCTCTGCCATGGCTTTGTTTCCTCCATCTCCCTCCCTCATCTTCTCTCAAGTGAACTCCTACCTGAGATTGATTCATGGAAGAAGCTAAACAAGTTGAATCTCGACCGAGGATCCTCGTCGGGATTACTTTGAGGTTTCCACACAAAGCTCTCCAAACCAAAACGCTTACCAGGGCAAGAGGGCTTCCGCCGAAGTAAGGTTCAGGAGGTGCCCATCAACGCCATCACCCTTCCCGTCATCGCCGAATCATCACTTTCAGATCTCCAGTTCATCGCCCTATTCGATCAACAAGGCTGGTCGTCTTCTTCTTCACTGCTCAACCAGATGCAGGGAAGATTGACGATGGCGAGGAAGAATTAGGACCTTGTCATTGGCGAGGAGGGAGTTGACGAAAGCGCTTTGCTACACTTCCACCATTGATCGGAGAGGGGAGTGAATCGGCAAGGAGATTGGAGAGGGGAGGGGAATCACCCTTTTTCGTTTCTCGTTGCTCAGTGAGAGGGGAGAGGGGAGTTGAATCGGCAAGGAGAAAAGAATCGGGAGTAGAGTCGGCGACCACTAACCCCACCGCGAGCCCCGCCTTCTTCCTGCTAGTCATGCTGGACGAATGTCCGATCTCTTTGTCCTCCGTCGCCATCGCGTTGCCACTCTTGTTCCTATTCACCACTTCCGCTGGAGCAGGCGCCAGGGTGCTTTCATCTGATGGAGTCGGAGCCTCGGGCAAGGAATTGGTCGCGAATCTGGATCCGACAGCGGGGGTTGCAGCAAGTAGATCGAGGGGAAATCCCCGGCGGCGGCGGAAGCAGGGTACAGAGGAAGAAGAAGAAGGGTGGATGGGTCACGGGTTCGATTTGGTTCGGGTATCTTATGTGTCTGGGTTATAATAAAGTGACAGATGGTTTTTTTTTTAATTGGGTGACTAGGCATCTCTGTTAGCCACGTCAGCAGTTAACTGACAGAACTAACAGAGTCTGACGGAGGTTAACGGAGAGTGACCGAACTTGAATTGTTCAACTAATTTAAGTGACTACTAATGGAATAAACGAATTCGAGTGATCAAACGTGAAATTTTGTAGCAATTCGAGTGACCAAACTTGCAATTTAGCCATTTTTTCCCTTTTTAACTACGAGATGTGTTTCCGGGTGTAGACCATGGGACGTGGCTCTTTTGGACCACGAGTGTGGCCCAATACTAATTTCGAAACTGGTTTTATCTGGTCTTATACTCTTTGTGTGACAAAATAAATACGTTTGATGTTGATTGTTCACGTCAAAAATCTCAAAGTCATATATCTACAAAAATATATAAAGGCAAAACATGGGTTGGAATTCTCCCATTTCAAATTCCGTGGCCTCAGAGTGATTCTAGGAAGTTCATTTTTGTCATTGCACCCAGTTCATGTTTATATATTAAAAATGTTAGGACTTTGCTACGGTGACAAGCATGTCACGGTGACATGCACTTTTCGGTCGACCTCATATAGGATCAGGTCGACCTAATCTGTTGTTTCAGTGTAAAAACAGTTTCATGGTGCCTACTTTGGAGATTCATATCTTACAATTGGCTAGATGGAAATTGGAGATTAAAGGCTTGTTTTGAAGCTGAAGTGTCTCTCTACACATTAAAGTACTTGGAAGCTCAATAGAAAGTCCAGAAGACCATTTTTGAGCATGACCAAAAGGCTATGCCAAAACTGGGAAACTGCCTGAAAATGGCTAAGTCTGGCACGTGTTTGTCAAGCTTACTTTGGAACTCAATTTGAGAAGCATTGATGCGAGTCAAGTCTAGGGGCCTCTACCACATTAAATTACGTAATTTTTTATACAAAGGCAAGGCATTGGATGTAAGATTGAATATCTTTAAAGCTTCAAACAAAAGGCTCGAAGTTGCTACGAAGGCTGTTTTTCTGGCAGCTTGCTTGTGCTCAAAGTCTGCCAGAAAAACAGCCTTCGTAGCAACTTTGACCCTTTTGTTTGAAGCCTTACAGATATCCAATCTTTCATCCAATACCTTGAATTTGTATAAAAACATACCTAATTTAACGTGGTAGAGGCTCCTGGACTCGACTCGCATTCATGCTTCTCGAATTGAGCTCCAAAATAGGCTTCACAAACACGTTTCCAGACTTAGCCATTTCTAGGCAGTTTCCCAGTTTTGGCATTGCCTTTTGATGAGGTTCAAAAATGGTCTTCTGGACTTCCTATCAAGCTCTCAATCACTTCAATATGTAGAGGGACACTCCAGCTTCAAAACAAGTCATTAGTCTTCAATTTCCATCTAGCCAATTGTATGATATGAATATCCAAAGTAGGCACCATGAACTGTTTTTACACTGAAACAACAGATTAGGTCGACCTGATCCTATATGAGGTCGACCGAATCCTAAATGAGGTCGACCAGATCCTATATGAGATCGACCGAATCCTAAATGAGGTCGACCGAATTCTAAATGAGGTCGACCTAATCCTAACTGAGGTCGACCGGAAAGTGCAAGTCACCGTGACGTGCAAGTCACCGTGACATGCATGTCACCGTAGGCACACCCAAAATGTTATCATTGGAGTTCAAACCTTGGTCACTTAAATGATGAAACAACATTATAATCAACTAGGCTATATTTTATTTATTGTTGTTTCCTTGATTAAACTCTATGAATATGTTTGGTGATTATGCTTCTATATTTATATTTTATCTTAAGTTTTTATATTTCTACATAATATATAAAGGCAAAACATGGGTTGGATGTCCATGAATTTGAATTTCCGGGCATGTGAGGGTTTCACGGAAAGGTAATTTGGACAATTTACCTGTCATTTTAGGTCATTCGTTTTTGGCTATTAATGCGCAACGTGTCATTTCAAATCATGCAATTTCATATATATAATCTGTGTCGTGATCAACAAATATGATAAATATTGAAAAACATTTTCATTGATATGTTGGACTATATCACAAATCAATTATAAATGCTTTATTTGTAAACATGTATATCGCTATCAGTTTCATATCTTTGCTATATACACGCATTATAAGTAGTAACAACACATAAAAAATGCATAATAATCTTCACTATTTACACACATTATAAGTGGTAACAACACATACAACATACATAATAATCAAACTCCCCTGCCAACAGGCCGGGCATGGTGCTAGGGATTTCCAGATTGGTCAGGATGAAGAGATACGCTTAGAAGGAATCCCTAGAAAACCAGAGAAAGATGAAGTGGAACTATTGAGAATCTGAGATAGGATTAGAAACCAGAAGGAAGTCGATCGATTGTTGGTGAAGGACGGATACAGGCTTCGGTTTTGTTTCCACTTCCCTGCCATTCAATCCGGTGGCCCAGTATTCGCTCATTCTTTTGTGGGCTGGAAATCAATCAGACTGTTGGTTTGATGGCCAATTATTTATTTCGTGTTACTTTTTTTTACGTTCATCTCATATAATATTTTTTCAACACATTTTTTTACGTTCATCTCATATAACATTATTATTATTGTTTGTAAAATTACAAATCAATTCATTAAATTCATCTTCATAATAAACATTAAGTTGCTAAATCCGCATTGATAGTTTAATTTCAGCTTCTCCCATAAACACTTCCTTACAACAATTTTTAGATAAAAACTTCCATAGGTATTTATAACACATTTTTTTAAGCCTAAACTTTTATACAAACACGATTTTATTATAAAAGTTATCAAAACAAAGAACTATTATCAATTGGGTTTATATTTCAATTTTTATCAAATAATACGATTGTGTGTAGCGGTCCCGGTGCTAGTATTCTTTTGAGAGAGAATGCTTGAAATGAGCAGTAACAATTCATGAAGTTATCGCCTGTTTGAAAATACAAGGAAATGAATTATGATAAGAGTTATATTGGTATTATGATAATACATTGTTAAAAATTATTTTTGGTTGGTTGTTGGCCCTAAAGTTAGAATATAGAGAAAATTAGGTTGAAAACCGTGTAATAATACGGTAATATTCACGAATGAAAATAATTCTTTTTGGTTTTACTAATTCAATTGTTCAACGAAATCCGTTTTGGCAAAACTTTCACGGTTCCTATTTAGCTGTCACATGAACTTCTCAAACAATTTATGGAAAATACCCCCAATTAATTGTCGGAGAATTGTTTTGGTTCCTTTTCTCCTCATCTTAATTTGGTTAGAATCTTCAGCAAATCGTACCCTTTTTTAGACTATTAAAGAGAGGAAATACCGAAATAGGAGACCTATTTATCCTAATTAGAAAACTAAAGGAAATTAATTCCATCCAGAACTATAAATGTGTCAGCTTTAGTAAAACAATATCCCCATAATATTTAGTTTCCATCCCCCATCGTCCTGAATTCGTCCCGCAAGCAGTACACGTATTTCCGAAACAAAGAAAGATTACCAACTCAAAGACTAAACAGTAAAACGTCCTATAAAGGAAGAAAAAAATAATTCAACTTTCCATCCCCATTTTCCTCGTAAATAATCTTCCATATAAATCCTCCAATTCTGCAGTATATATATTGTCGCAAGTACATCAAACAAGAACACAGACTAATTAAGCTCCAAAACAACAATGGCGATCCCAAAACCCACATTGGTTCTGTCACTCTTGGCACTTCTGTTTTCGATAGCTTCCCTCTCGGCCCACGCCGGCGTCAGCATCCGGCTGGCCGGCCCAGACATCGCGGCCATATGCGACAAGAGCCTCGACCGCCAGTTCTGCCTCAACTACCTGCAATCCACCCCCGGAATCTCCGCCGCCGACCTCAAGGGCTCCGGCCTCATCGTCCTCAACTCGGCACGTGCCGAAGCGTCCGGCACCGAGAGCTACGTCAAGGGCCTGCTGGCCAAGGCCGCGAATCCAAAGCAGAAGGAGGCGTACAAGACGTGCCTGAGCAACTACGACGACGCCGTCGGCAACATCGAGGCGGCGAGGGAGTCGATGAGCGGCGGCGACTACAACGGGGCCAACATCCAGGCTTCGGCGGCGCAAGAGAACGCCGACACGTGCGACGGAGGGGTGAAGGGGACGGAGCTGTCGGGCAAGAATCAGCATCTCGTTAAGGTTCTGGGGATCGTTTTGATCATTGCCAATAGGTTGCTGGGAGGTTGATTCTGCGTTTTTGTTGTGGTTCGGGATTTTGTTCTTAATTTTGTTTTTTTGTTTTTCGTAGAGTAATAATGGGACATAAAGTTGCCGGGGATTTCTAGTATTTTGGTGCATATGTAGATTTATTTACAGTGATTGGTATTTTCCGTAGCAAATTAGTATGAGATTGATTGGCTTGATCTCCATTCCATGATGGCGGTTAATTGACGGCAATTAATTAGTATGCCTTAATGAAGTGGTGCCTGATCATGAAGGTAATTAGGGAGTAGATTAATTGGACCATGATAGTTCGCGACTTATTAACTACTCTTAGGTGAATACACGTCTACAGACTACAAAGGGTGGTTATGGAGTAGGATTGATTGCACCGCAATTAAATTGGTCCAAAACATACTAAACAAACTGCTGATCATTTTTAGTGATGGCAATTTGAACCTGTAAAGAACGTAAACGCGGAAAAGAAAAACACGACACAAGGATTACGTGGTTCATCTCATTGATGTGAATGAGCTTACTCCACGGAGAAGTTATGCTATCTCTGCTTATTTCACTCTCTTGCTACTGCCGATTACATCATACAATTTATATAACCTTAATCAACTAACGCCTAGGGTTACACGAGTTGTAGTGAGCCTAGGGAAAAGACACTACCACCCTTACTTAGCTGGACGGTTACGTACTATAGAATAAGGAGTCACTATACTCCCCCACAAGCTGAGACATGCAGGTTACAAATGCCCAGCTTGGAAAGAAGCATATGAAACCGATCACCGCCTAGACCTTTGGTAAACAAATCCGCCAGCTGAAATTCAGAAGAAATCTTCTGTGGGAGGATCTCATTGGATGTGACGTGATCGCGAACAAAATAACAATCCATCTCCACATGTTTCGTTCGCTCATGAAAGATCGGGTTAGCAGCAATGTGAAGAGCTGCCTGATTATCACAGTAGGACGAGGAGACAACACCCCAAGATCACGTAAGAGAGCACGCAACCAAATAAGTTCACTAACAGCCCCAGTCATGGCTCTATACTCAGCCTCTACGGACGAACGGGAAACAACAGCCTGTTTCTTGGCGCGCCAAGAGACGGGCGCAGAACCCAGAGTGACAAAATAACCAGACGTGGAACAACGGGTGGATTGGCAACCACCCGAATCAGCATCGCAGTAAGCTGCAGAGTACCACTGTATGGAAAAAGAATCCCTTGACTAGGAGCTGTTTTGAGATACCGAAGAACGCGCTCCGCCCCAGCAACATGAGCAGAAGTCGGAGCATGAACATAACGGTTGAGAGTATTGATTTCATAAACAATATCCGGCCGTGTGACTGTAAGATACTAAAGCCGGCCAACCAAGCGGCGATAGGCCGCGGCTTCCTCAGCAGAGACCAACGCGGAATCCTCAACAGGACGAGTCAGAGAGTGCTGCTGCTAAATCGGAAACACACTGGGATGACTGCCAATGAGACCACTGTTGCGCAATAGATCCCTTGTATACTTGCGCTGACAGAGAGTAATCCCAGACTCCGAGTACTGGACCGAGCCACCTCGATGCCTAAGAAATACTTGAGTGGACCCAAGTTCTTGATGCCAAATTGTTGATGAAGAGTATCCTTGACCAGCTGAATGAAACTCATATTGTCACCTACGAGAATTACATCATCAACATATATGAGAGCAACCACATAGGAACCATGATGACGCCGAACAAAGAGAGAATAGTAAGCTCGAGAATGTTGAAACCCAAGCTGCGTCAACTTAGTCGAAAACTTTGCATACCAAATTTGTGAGGCTTGCTTAAGCGCATAAATGGATTTGTGAAGGCGACAAACCCTTGTGTCATCGGGAGCACTAAAACCCGTGGGTATCTACATATACACCTCTTTGTCAAGATCGCCATGGAGGAAGGCATTGTTGACGTCTAACTGATGAACTGCCTAGCCACGAACAGCAGCAACAGCGAGCAGACATTGAACGCTCACTAACTTAGAAACCGGCACAAATTTGTCATGGTAATCGATCCCTTTAGTCTGAGTAAAGACCTTAGCAATCAGTCTGGCCTTGTACCGATCAATGGTGCCATCAGGGTTGAACTTGAGTTTATACACCCACTTCGAGGCAACAACTCGCTTGCCAAGAGGGAGACTAACCAAGGTCCAAGTACCGTTGCCCACAAGTGTGTCGATCTCATGCTTCATGGCTATACGCCACTCTTCATACTTCACAACATCCTTGAAGTGAGTGGGTTCGACGTGACTGGAAACGGTGGCCAAGAAACTACGGTGTCCCATCGAAAAACGCTGATAATCAACGTATTGTGCCATCGGGTAGGGAATGTTAGAGGGAGGCAGCTCGACGTCAAACGCATCAAAATGGCGAGGGACCTGGCCGCGGTGGTCACTTTTGCGAGCGCCAGCATTAGCATGCCGCACAGGTGACGCAGATGAGGAGGTAGCCAGCTGCGGCACAGGAAGCGCCATGCTGGATTGGTCTTCGCTTGAGGACGACGGGGGCGGAGCTTATGAAGGCTCGTGTGAGGACGATGTTGCATGGTCATGCAAAAGGGAGGTCATTTCTTCATCAAGTGGAACTGGTGGAGTAGCAGGAGAACGAGACTCAACAGGGGCTGCCTCACAAAATGGGAAGACATCTTCGACAAAGTGAACATCTCTGGATCTGTAAAAGGTCCTAGATGAAAGATAAAAAATTCGATAGACCTTTTGTGAGGCTGGATAACCCATGAAGACCGACCGCCTTCCTCGTTCACCAAACTTGGAAACACCGTTATGTGTGTCCTTCCCGTAGGCCAAACATCCAAGAACACGAAGGTGAGTATAAGAGGGCTCCTTGCCCAATAAAACCTCATAAGGTGTTAGACCACGAAGAACCTGTGACGACATTCTGTTAATGAGATACGTGGCAGTCAGAATGCACTCTCCCCAGAAAATCAAAGAAAGATTAGCATGAAACCACAAGGCTCGAGCTGTTTCAAGCAAATGTTGATGCTTCTGCTCCACTACCACATTCTGTTGAGGCGTATCGGTATATGACGTCTGCAGCAGAATACCCTGATCTTCGTAGAAAACTCGCAAACCAACTGTCTAAAATTCCAAGCCGTTATCAGCCTGAATCCCTGCCACCTGTTTCCCAAACTGAGTTCTAACCATATTGACAAACATTTTCAAATACCCTTCCACATCCGACTCGTGGGACATCAAGTATACCCAAGTTCCTCTGCTAAAATCGTCGACAATCGTGAGGAAATAGCGAGTTGCATTATGAGTTGGGGTCTTAAATCCACCCCATATATCAACACGAATGAGTTCAAAACAATGACCAGTCTTAATCGAATTCTTAGGGAAAGGTAAACGGGTCTGTTTAGCTTGCATACAAGAGTTACAAACATTACTCTCGCACTTATTCTGAACTGACAAAATAAACAAGGAGTCTTCTTTTGCGACGGATGACCCAACCGGGCGTGCCACAGCTCCCCCATTCCCTTCTCGCCACTGGCTGTCAAGGCAAGCGAGCGTTGGGTGCCAAAGAGCTGTAGATAATACAGTCCGTCACGAAGTTGCCCCGTCTCAATCGTCTTCCCGGAGTGTAAGTCCTGAATGACGCAAAAGTCCCACAAGAATGTTAAGGCAACATCGAAATCCTGAGTGAATCTGCTGACTGACAGCAGGTTGCATTTAAACAACGGGAGACTGAGTATACGACTAAGGTTCATCTCATTAGACAAACTGACTTCACCGATTTTCTTAACTGCTAGACTGTCCCCATTCGGTATACTAATGGGCAAGTACCCTGAGACATCAACTCGAGTTCTCTAACACTGATTCATCATTCGTTATGTACTCATTGCATCCCAAATCAATGATCCATTCAGACCCGCCTAAGAGATTACCTGCCATATGAACCTGAGGCTCAGATGAGGAAGCATGTTGCTGTTGTCCACTCGTTTGATTGAGGAAGGCTAGGAGCTGCTGAACTTGCTCGTGATTCAACCTAGGAATGGAAACTCCCATCCCAATGTAGGACTGCGTCGACCGGCGTTTGCTGGGTCGAGACTTCTCCCGATCTGTGCGCTCCTTCTCTGTCGAACATGGCATGCGCTCCGGACATCCAATAAGTTCGTAGCAACTCTCTCTCATGTGCCCTTTCTTTTGGTAATGAGAACACCGAGGAATCTCCTTTCGTTCCGTGCCCGAACCTTCTCTTCCCTTCTATTCAGGTCCATGGTCAGACAATCATGATTGGCTTGGAACGCAGCTGTATCCACTTGCGGACGGCGGCTTGCCGTAACCTGTTTATGTTGCTCCTGCGTAGCTACCAGCTTGTACGCCTCAACAAGTGGTGGTGTAGGATTCATAGATAAAATCTGTGTTTTCACAGTGGCAAAAGCATCACCAAGTCCCATGAGAAAATCAAATAATCTGTCATTCCCGAGATTGTTTACCACCTTCTTCTCAACTCCACATGTGCATAGACCACACGTACAACGCAGAATTGGGGTGATAGTCTGCACCTCCTCCCAAATTGCCCTTAACTTGGTGTAAAAGGTAGAGATGGACAGCTTCTCCTACCACAATGTGCTCATTAGTTGCTGCAATTCATAAGCTCGTGGCGCGGACGCTTTGCCAAAACGTGCTTCAAGATCCACCCACATCTCCCTTGACGTTTTCGCGTACGAATAGAACTCCTGACCTCTTTATCCATGGTTGTTTTCAGCCATCCCTTGACAAGAGCGTCGCACTGGAGCCAAGCTTCGCGCATATCACTTGTTGTTTTCGCCTTGACAATGGTACCATCAATGATACCTAGCTTATTCTTTGCAATCAGGGCCTCAATCATGTTGGTGACCCACTCCCCATAATTGGAATCGTTCAAAAGTTCGCCCACGAACAATTGACCAGGATTATCCGATGCTTGAATCCTGAGCGCGGCAGGTATCGCAGGTGGAGGAGGATTTCCGCCACCACTAACACCGCTATTCAACATCGCTCTAGCATTGCCAGTTCCACCAATCGCCATGATGCAAACTCCGATTTAACAGACCTGCTCTGATACCATGTAAAGAACGTAAACGTGAAAAAGAAAAACACGACGCAAGGATTACGTGGTTCGTCTCATTCGATGTGAATGAGCTTACTCCATGGAGAAGTTATGCTATCTCTGATTATTTCACTCTCTTGGTACTGCCTATTACATCATACAATTTTTATAACCCTAATCAACTAACTCCTAAGGTTACACGAGTTGTAGCCAGCTTAGGGAAAAGACACTAACACCCTTACTTAGCTGGACGGCTACGTACTAGAGAATAAGGAGTCACTATAGAACCCGTCTCGCGGGTATTTCCTGACCTGACTTGTGATGGGGCGGGCATTACTCGATCCGCATAGTAGCGTGGGGCGGGACATGCATATCTACTTTTGGACCGCCCCGTTTTTAACCCATTATATCTCAATTTCCTACAATATCAATACATATTGCTCATATTTTAACTTTTCTTCAACTACTTAGAGTCCATCTTTCAACTTGTTAGACTCAATTACCCATTCTATTATCACTTTTTTTCATTCATAAAGTGTTTTCTCATTTGTTTTATCATAAAAAGTAAAATTTGCGTGTATCTTTTTCAAATAACATGTAAGAGTGGATCGACCCGTCCCGCCCCGTATCTGTGCGGGTTTTACCCGCCCGACCCATATTAACGTAGGGCGGGGCATGGGTATTGAGGTACCCGCCCTGTCCCATTGCTATCACTAATCTGATAGAAATCTATTTCTAGGGATCTATTAATTATGTTGGTTGATTGGGAATTTAGAGATTTGGGGATAGAATTAGGGATCGAGATTGATGATTTGGGAAAGAAGAAGAACACAATCGACCTAGGCCTTTAGAGGGATTTAGAACGAGAACTGAGAGGATAGGGAGATTAGGGTTTGGAAGGCTCTTCTTAATATTCTTCTTATCTATTCTCAATAAAACGCAAGTACATATTTATCACGAAAGACTGATAGACTATCCTATTATGACTCAAATACTACTAACCGTATCTAATAATATCCTAATTATAGTGATAATAATAATTATGATAAAACCCAAAAATTAGGTTTCTATCATAATCATTCCATTGTTTTTAATTATCCGAAATGGCAAGAAATTGATAAGCATATTAGAGGGTTGTAGTGGTAGTAATAATAATCGGTAACGAGACATTATGATTTTCGGAACCATATCTATGTATATTTCTATATCAAATCTCTAATTCTGTACTATCCTCTCCGCTAACCAATCTCATGTTCTTCTCCAATCCTCTCAGTAGTAAGTAACTCCTAAATTTCTCACTGTCTCTTTGACAAAACGTGCATGTATTACTATTGGAACTCTAGAAGAGCTTCATAAAACAATGGATTGTTTAAAGAATGATGAACATGAAGTTTAAGAAGATCCTTCTTGTGGATCCGAAATGTAATGTCAAGAGTGAAAGAGCAATTTTGTATGAAAAATGACATATGTTGAGCAGCGTAATGATTGTGGGTCACTAAATGTGAACAAATGTTAATCTTTGTCTTGAGAGAGAAGTGAGTTATTATGTCTTGAAGTACCCTATATTAATGTCGTTAGAGCGATAACGTATCTCGCTAGCCATACACCATTGAACATATAATTGAGAGTTAATATATTAGCAATATATATTTTCCTCTCGGTATATGACATTCAAATGGAGTTGAGCTTAAAATTCGTTACCTTTAGATAACAATGAGGATCGTAGATGGATTATTTGTTTACCTATGATCGTACAACTATCTTATGAAGATCCAAACAAATCATAATAACTATACATTTGATCATGCACTGATGCACAATTGTTAGCAATTCAAAGGCATGTTATGAATTGTATGGTTAAGATTCATGAGTCAAGACATCAAAATACTTGTGATTGTGGATCTTGAAGATCATGCAGGAAGAAAATGGTCATAATGGATCGTCCATAAAGTGACAATATAGAACATTTGTTCAATAAGACACTTATCATGAAAATATTTGAAAATTTTGTTCTCGAAGCTACGCTTTGACGATCAAAGATTTGAATTGATGTCGTCATGAGTGGGAGCATATACGCACTACACTATTTTTTCCTTGACCATAATATTGCCCACTGATTGTTCTAAGATTTTTAACGATACAGTTTCAAATAGCGTATTATAATGATTATGCACTCTTATCTCATATATTTTTTCCTAGTAAGGTTTTAATGAAACATATTCTCTATTAATGGGCATCCAGTGGGGAGTATTGTGATCAATTATTGGACTTCCTAGCCATAGCTGATGTTGGTGATGCTAAGAACGTAATCAATAAAATTAGGACAGTGGACATGTAGGATAAAAGGGGCGACATGATACTAGTGGAGATAGCGAGCCTTCGACAGCAGTTCTAGCAGTTTGATATTTTTTTTATTGGCACGATTAGCAATTGGGTGGCCCATGTAGTGGCTAGAAAGTCCATTTCTTTGTTGCCTGCGAGTGTTGATAGTTTTGATTTTCGTGAGTGGTTTATTTTTTATATGTAAACTCTATCTTTCTTTCCTTAGTAATACAAGTGAGCTTTTGTCGGGGACAAAATTGGGAGTATTGTGGATGTCACATTGGATTCTATATTGAATGTTATATTATAAGCTATTTACCTCCTACATTAATCATTGATTATAAGAATGAATCATCTTATAGCCTCCTACATTGATCTTATAAGAATGAATCATCTTATAGCTCATTTCCTCACGGAATTGTAAGGTTAGTCATAGTATCTATATATAGAACACCCCAATTATAAACATCCTAGTATACAAAAGAATGAGATGGATAAGAGAAATACTTCTCCCATCTTCTCTCGGGTCTTTCTCTCTATCCTAAATGCAGAGAGAAAAGAAGTCAGAAAGGTGCACTTTATCATAAAAATGGTCACTCCGATCTCGTGGCTGAACGACAGAAACAAGAATAGAAATGGTAATTGGAAAACTCGCAAAAACCAGAAACAAATTTCAGTAGCAAGAATGAGACTTAGATCACGAGTAGAGCTCGTAGACACCTACAGCAGTGCTCCGAAAGGAAATCAAATGAGTTCGCAGGAAGTTATTCTATCAAAGCTCCAATCTTTTTTCTTTTCTTAGCCATATAAGTTAGTGTTTGTATAGACTGAACTCTTCATCTAAACACGACGATATCATGCATTGGTTCTCATAGGCTCACCGACGGCCCCCTCCATCCTTGTATACCATTCTCCAATACGAGTATGCTCCACCATATCTTTGCCGGACTTAAGGTATCTGATCGGCCTCAGGACGCCAAAAACCGCGAGATCAGCCAGATTAGGACGTGAACCACCTGTTGAGGGAAGAAAATAATCAGGTGGAGGGGGTCAAGAAAAAACTCAAAAAGTGAATCATTAAACTACCATAAAACACAGACCAAGATAGTCACGGCCCTTGAGAGCGTCCACCCATGTTTCGGCAGCTTCATACAAGGATGCACGTTCATCAGTGATATTATACTTCTTCTTCAGCTTCTTTGACACGAAGTACATAGCGGTTGCACCAGCATATTTTGCTACCAACCTCTCTGTGAAGCTGAAATTTCCTAGAGAATGAAAGCATGGAGATTAAGATGATCAATTATAATGTATCTTTTCCTTGACTAATTGTACTTGAGATAATCGATATCAGTTTGTTTATGCTAAACAAATTCAAAAAACAAGGTGTTGTACCATGACTGGTAATGTAGTCGAATGACTCCAGAGCCTCGGAAGCATTTCTGTAAATATTTGGTGACAGAACATGCACCAAGTGACCATCTACCCATCTGGAGAATAACATTCAGCATGATCATTTGCAGAGAAGAAAAGCTTGACAAGATTAAAACAAGGATAGAAGAATGCGAGAATAATCATAACCATTAACCAACACCACAGACAAATCTACAACAGCTTGCAATCCTATATTCAACATTAACAATAGACAATCAAAATATGAACGAGTCCACTGAAAAACACTCAATTATTGTACGTGATTCATTCAAGTTGAACAAAGATAAAAGTATGATCGTACTTTCGCCACTTTGCTTCTTCCTCGGCATCTGCACATGTGCCCTCTGGATGAATCCTCTTGAACAAATCACTAATTATCTCTGCATAAGTAACCAAGATATAAGCCTTAACATTAAGATCAGCTCTAATTTAGGTCATATATGGAACATAATAGGGAACAACCTGAAGAGTCGACCATCTGTTCACCATCAATAGTAAGTATCGGCACCTTCTTGTACTCAGACCACTTGATCTCCTTTTTACTCATCGGGTTAACTTCCACCACCTTGTATGGAATGCTGTAGTAGTCCAAGAATGCTGAATCAAAACCCACGCAGGAAAGGGTGAAAATCATAGCAAAGGTAACCTTACGATTTCATATTGGCATTTCATCTTAATCCTACTCAGGGTGCCTAATCAGTTTGTATGGAATGCCTAAGTTCTGCTCAAAACCAATGGAAACCATCCATTACGAGATCAACTCCTTCACTGATCATAGTTAGAGATTCGATTCAACAATTGAACAGTGAAACTCTTAAGTCTAGACTTCAACTTCAGAAACCCACTTGACAGCAAAAATATTCAACCAGTAAAGTATCATTATCGATTGATTACCTTTAACCTTGTTGCAGAAAGGGCAAGCCTCGTACTGATACAGAACAACTTCCTTGGGTAAAAACTTAGGCAACTCCTTAGCGTGAACTTCCTGCGCCATAGACGAAGCCGCAACGGAGAAGAACATCGTCCCGACGACTCCAGCGGCGACGGAAGTCCCCGAGAGACCGAAATAATCAGACAATCTCCGAGAGAGGAACTGGGGACCTGAGCCAGAGGAAGTAGTGCTAAGCATCGCGGATCGGACCAGAAGGTTTGGCATGGCGGCGGCGATGGTGGCGGGGGATGTGCAGGATCCGGCGGCAATGCCGCGGCCATAGGTGGCGAGCCCGTGAACTCTCCTCATCGCTATTTGGACGAATTCGAAGCTACTACTATTGCTCGTCCTATCTTCGATTTCCTTCGGAGGAAACAGAACTTTCTAGGGTTTAGTCAGAATGGGTTTTACTTTTGCAGATGAATCGAGATTCAGATTTGCAATTCAGACACGATGCGTCGATGAGCTCCTCAGATTTCTCCGGGAAAGGTCGGAGGTAATTGGGCGCGAACTTTATCGGTTTTGGGCTTATTTTGCCTCAGTCCAGTGGGCCTATTCTTAATGAATAATCAGGCATTGTTTGAATGAGTTAATAATTGAGTTGTGGTCTTACCAAAAAAAATAATAATTGAGTTGTGGTATTTGGTGACTAGTTATCGGAACGGGTACTTGTGTTATTTATGTGACAGTTGGTTTCAAATAACTCGTTAGATTAATGAGTTATTGAACATGTGAGGGTCACGAAAGGGAGATACCAGTCCCTTATTTTGCGCATTGGGGAGATACCTTGGCATTCAGGCTATCCAGGAGAGGGTCACGAAAGGGAGATACTAGTCCCTTATTTTGCGCATTCAGAAGAAGATGGCGCCGTGGAAGGCGAAACGGCTGTCCTTTGCCGCTCGTCTTACTGTTGCTAGATCGGTAGCTGCTTCTTTACCCGTCTATACTATACATACAGAGCTAATCCCAAGTGGTGTTTGCAGGAGTATTGACAAGATCAGTAGAGATTTTATTTGGGGAGATGAGGAAAATCATTCCAAGTTTCATCTGGTGGCTTGGGAAAGACTGACGAAGCCCAAAGCGCAAGGGGGAGTGGGGATTCGGCCGACCCAGCAGGCTAATCTCGCCATGCTAGCCAAGGGAGGGTGGCGGCTTCTCAAGGACAAGGAGAGTATTTGGCGGCAGCTCCTTCTTTCGAAGTAAGGGGGTCAGAGAGCCGATCTTGATGTCCTGAGGAAAGTTCAGGGAAGTTCCTTCACCTGGAGTAGCTTCTCTAAAGCTGCTGACCTTCTTAAACAAGGCTGCGCGTGGAATATTAGGAATGGGAGAAGAACTAAATTTTGGTCTGATCCGTGGGTTTTGCAGGTGCCCCTGAAGGATTTGGTGACCGGAGACATGCCGGAGGATGCAGATGAGCCGGTGGTTGCCGATTTCGTTCGAGCAGACGACAGTTGGCGTATTGAGCTTCTCTTAGGGCGCCTTCCACCCGAAATTATCAGCAAAATTACGAGCACGGCGGTGGATACTATCTTTCAAGAGGAGGACTCTCTTTTCTGGGCCCCAGCAGCATATGGCCGTTTCTCCACTAAATCGGCCTATGCACTTCTCACGAAGCAAGACCAGCAGGGCACTGACGGTGTTTGGAAGGAGATTTGGCGGATACCAGTGCCTGAGCGTGTAAGATGTTTTATTTGGCTGGCGATCTAGGGGAAGATAGCCACGAATGTGCTGCGCTTTCTGAGGAGGGTAGCTGAGTCGCCATGCTGCCAGAGGTGTACTGAGCAGCCGGAGACAGTGCTTCACATTCTTCGAGATTGCGCCCCCGGGGCATATTTTTGGTGCCGCCATGCTCCCCAGCAGAAGCAGCACGAGTTCTTCAGTGACAGCCATGAAGGCTGGTTTCGCAAGAATATCACGAGTAAGGAGATCAGCAGTACAGGAATTGATTGGCCGGGGTTCTTTAGCATGGCCTCTTGGCTGCTATGGAAAAATCGCACCACGGCCTCCTTTAAAGGGTTGAGTGCAGCTCTTTCAGCTTCTTCTCTGACGCATTCGATCGTGACTAAGACCAAGCTTTGGGATGACTCTTGGCATGCCCCGGAGCTGTTCTTAAATCACAAGAGAAAGCCGGTGGAACGTGTCGCGGCAGCGGTTGGGTGGACACCGCCTTTGGAGGGCTGGGTCATGCTTAATACTGATGGAGCGTCGAATGGAAATCCGGGTCCAGCCAGAGCAGGAGGGCTTGTGCGTGACTCGGCGGGTAAATGGCTGGGAGGTGTGGTTACTAACCTCGGATCTGCGACGACGGTTTTAGCGGAGTTATGGGCCAATTGCTATGGTCTGGATTTGGTTTGGAACCTCGGGTTTCGAGTAGTAAAGATTGCCACTGATTCCAAGCTGGCGCTTCAGCTGATTCAGGAGAGACACAATCCCATTCACCCTTATGCCACACTTCTGAGTCTCATTCGAAGAAAGATTGGTCAAGATTGGTTGGTTAGCCTGTCTCATACGTACCGGGAAGGGAATAGAGCTGCGGACTGGCTCTCGAAGCACAGTCTCGTCTACCCCTACGGTAAGTATGAGTTGGCTGACCCTCCTACGGGTATAATCCATTTACTGCAGGATGATGCTAGAGGTGTCACCTTTGAGCGCCAAATTGTGGCAAACTCTTCTTCCCTCACCTAATCCCCCCGTAATTGTCTCATTCTTGGCGCTAGCCTCCTTTTTATGAAAAAAAAAATGTAACAAGAAATGTAAAATACCAATATGTCTTTAGCAACTAATCACTCCCTCTTCGTTTTAGATGTGTTGTATATGTATATGTCAGTTAGGTTGGTTTTAATTTTTTTAAACACTTAGTCATAACTTTCGGTTTAAGTAATGTTAAACCCAAACCAACTCATAAAATTTCATGGTCCTATTTGAATATTGGGTAAATACAATTTAATATCCAAACCTTTCATTTTAAATAATATAATAGCCAAACCTTTTCGAAAACAATCTAATATCCAAATCGTCAACTTTCCGTTCGTTTGACCGTTGGTTGACACTTCAAAAAAGCTTTGTTTAGGAGAAATTGTCGCAATACAACTTTGTTTTCTTGTTTTGGCATTGCAGATGACTGAATATTTAGATATTCTATACCATCATGGTGGAGTCATGGACTTCTCGGGTTTGGAACCACGATATGTTGGTGGTTTTTCAGAAAAGATATCGATGGATATTGATGAAGCGTCGTACTTCGAACTTTTTTGAAGTGTCAACTAACGGTCAAACGAACGGAAAGTTGACGATTTGGATATTAGATTGTTTTCGTAAAGGTTTGGCTATTATATTGTTTAAAATGAAAGGTTTGGATATTAAATTGTATTTACCCTTGAATATTCGACTCATTATATTTCCAGTAATATAGCACGAAAAATAAGACATGTTTAACATTCATGTATAGAACAAAAGGCAAAATATTTGTAATAACACATTGAATTCATACTATAAAATAATCATGAATAAAAACTCATTCATACGGAACTGCATACACTTAGCTATGCATTGTAGTAAAAGAAAAAGTAAAAAGACGTGACTAGTAAATATATGTTGGGAAAACATGTTCGCATATAATTGACTTTACAATATATGATTTTAACTATATAAGTTGAAATAAATATAACATGTGTAACAGTTAAAGTGATATTTGCAATGGGATAAATATGTATTATATGTTTATTGGGCTTTCTCAGGTTTTCGCCATCCAAACCTGAATACAATCCGAGATTTTCAATTTGGACTCTGATTACACATGAATTTTATAAAATAGATCGAATTGATGTTTGAACTGGACCAAACCAAACTGAATGCAATTGATCCTCACATTTCTTTCACTACTGGACTGTTATTCTTTTGAGTTTGATTTGATCCGGTGCAGACCAAAGTGTTGCACAACCCCACCAACAACTAGCAACCACATGACCCACTGCTAACCATCCAAACAGATAAACTAGTCTACTATTGTAGTTGGTTGTCGGTTTATTACTGATCAAACTGGTTATTTTTTCTTGTCATTGTAAGTATATAAATAGTTCCAAATAGTTACAAGTAAACTTAGCTACTAGCAACTTAGCCCGCGCTCTGCTGCGGATTCAGATGGTGAATCCATTGTTAGTTATTTTGTTTAAATTTTTTTAATAGAGGTGAAATGTTAGATACAATATGTAACACAGGTTTCCCAAGACGTAACAATTTCTCGATATTGAAGAATAAGGTGCATATTTGACATTTGATAACATATAAATATTGTTTATCGTTATATATAGAACCATGGACTGCTTTAAAATGATTGGCTATAATAAGCCCTTCTATAATGTCTATACAACATAAAAAAAGTGGAGCTTATGGATTGGCTTAATGGTGATCACATTTCTGAAGACCCACAAAGTGTACAGTGATGGTAAAGGGTTTGCGCCAAAGCTTTCTCTTGCATAACATTGATGAATGAGTCTTAAAACCAGTTTTTGGTGTATGACATGTCCCACTAATTCTCGGATAGTAATCATGGAATGTATGCGATCCACATACAAAATAAACACTATTTATTAGCTAAATCTTTCACACATTTTAAAATATTAGTCAAATCTTTGGATATACAAACATATACCCAACCGTTAATTTTTTGTTCGAATTTCTGTTAACTTATGCTGAGGTAGCATATTCCGTGCTAAGTTGGAATGTTTTGTGTTGTGGAAACATATTAACTTTTATTATAAATACAATTTATTTTTATTTTTTCGGTGCAGAAAATAAATACAATTTATAAGGCAAACCTTCCAAACTTTCTACATTATTAGTCTAACCTTTCGAAATATAAAATATTAGCCAAATCTTTTGTAAAAATCAAATTATCAGCCATCTGTTTGTGCCTGAAATTTTTTTCTTGGATTTGGATATGAATCTCAAGCTCGCCTCACCAGTGATCAAGACTCAACAGAGGATTAGCCGAACTGCCTGGTGCCAGAGGCTTTGGCTGAGGGATAATCATAACCAGCTTCCATTGATAAACAACTATGATTGAGGTTGGAAACTTCAAATCAGCAGGAGCGATGGTAAGGAGGGAGATGACGACGACGATTAATGGGAGAAGAAAAGTCTCGGTGGGGAAGAAACGACCCCCTCCAAATTTTTGTTTTTCTTTTTAGAGTTTTTTATTTTAAGATCAGAAAATAAATTTAATTAAAAGTATTAAAAAATAGGGTAAATATAATTTATTAGAAAAACCATTCAAATTATTAGGTAAAACTTTCAAAATACAAAAATATTAATCATATTTGTAACACATCAAGATATTAGTCATTTTTTTGTTATCGTTGATAATTTTATTTTGGAATGTTGACCACCACAAGTGAGTATCATGTTACTAAGTCAATATTACTAAGAAAACTGCTTACGGAAAGTTAACATTTGGCAAATATTTTTTATTTTGAAGGTTCACATAATCATTCGAAAATTTGGACTAATAAATTATATTTATCCTTTTTTTAATTGAGTTGTCGCTGATGTGTTAGTTTACCTATAAATTTATCTAATATATCGTTAGAATTAATGGACTCTAATGAATCATGACTGTTATTTTGTAATACTATCAAATGTTCGGCTAGTTTTTTGTATTTCAAAAGGTTTTTCTTATATTTTAGAATGTATGAAAAATTTAGCTAATAATAGTATTTACCATAAAAAAAACTCTTAACATGGGTTGGACTTGTAAGATAAAGTTTTAAATTCATATCATACATTTTGACAATTTGATGGATATAATAGAAATTGAAAGGAAAAATAACAAAAAGGAACTTTGAAAATGTTTTACATTTGAAAGAAACCAGCCTTGACACGAGCTCGATAAAACATAATTCCTAGACAAATCAAAAGATAACATTCAAAAAAGCTAAAATCAAGACATTCACCTCCCATAATTTGTATTTGTTACTTCCTTTATTTACTTCTACTTAATATACTTTTTATAGTCTAACTTGAAAAAAGGTGATAAGATTCAGAGGAAGAAAATAAGAGATTGATTCGTTCTCTTGTCTTATAGCGCCTGCTAGACTACTCTCAATTCCCCATTAATTATTGTAATGTTAAAGAAAATACTTCATAAAACAATGGACAGCGTCACTGGTTAACTGTTCTTTCTGCGGAAACAGTCCAAGAGTTGTCATTTTCACTTTAACTAAGTGAGATAAACAGTTATACATATTAATAAATAGCAAAAACAGTGAAGCACATTAAATTAGGCACGACAAAGTGAGAATTATTGGGGTTCTTTTTCTATTATTGTTCTTGATATTGAACTATTAATGTCATTATATAGCTATATTTTATTTCCGAGAAGTAGATGCGTTAACATGTATGATGTATCTATGGATTTGGTTGTTTGATCACCCTAGCTTGGTTCCCGTAAAGGTGCTTGAAGATGACAAAAATATAAAGGAAGAACTTGTGATACACTATATACCAAATAGTTAAATTTATCACATATTCAAGCCACAATTATTTGAAAAATTATCACTATTTGTAAGTGTTAAGGTATTATTGGTGGTAGTATAATGTATGTAAAATTTCTTGTAGATATTTGCGTTAAAATATTAAAATAGTGGAGAAAAAATGATTGATAGAACCATCAAAGAAATTCAGACAAAGTATATCATAATGTTGAATTTTAGTAATAGGTTAAATTCCAAGTTTGGTCGCTTTGTTTATCAATTCATTTTTTTTGTGTGAGAGACTCATTTTTTCATGCTTGTAATCATTCTCTTTGAAGCCGGTTTCATCATTGGTCACTGGTTGTACAACTCCGTTAAATTATCCTACATGACAGACAATTATAATTGTTAAGTGTTAAGTAGATAATGTGAATTAAAAATCAAAACATATATAGTACAAACTTATTATTTTGATTTATCTCCGTCAACACCACCAAACACCTAAAAATCCCACTGCCGGAAACCCAAAAACTCCTTGCAATACAACCTGAACAACCAAATTATATCACCAAATACTCTATGAAGCATATAAAATCCACAATCAATATATATTACCGCTTCCTTATCTTTCACTCAATTTTAACGGCAACAAAATAATTAGTAAGATTTCCAGCGCGAAAACAACATTGAGTTGGGAAAACTGATTTGAAAAATGAAACAGAGTTCAATAGACAAAAGGAGGAGAGGTACATAGGGGGTATATTTGGGATATTCATACTCGATTTTCGTTGTAAATTTCAATGCCAACTTCCAACGGTGAACAGTGCAACACGAAGATTCAATAACTCAGATCCTAGTGATTCCAACTCGATATTGATCTCGCGACCCGATTATTCTTCAGTACTGTATTGATTGCTAGGATTATTCATGCATGAATATCGAACAAGAGCCACCAGCTGATTTGTGTCTTTTTCATTTAGAAACTTTAAGGATCGAAGTAGGAGGTTGCGTCATTTTTTCATCTTGTTCCCCAAACACAGCTTCGATAGTTTCTTCCACAAAATCATATCAATCTCCATCTCCTCAAGTATACGACCAACAGACCCTTCACCAGCCGATGCAAACTCGTCACCGACCGACGAAAAAATAACACCAACCGTCTCATTCCGCCAATGACAACTCCTCGGCAAGCAAATTTGAGCGCCACATATCCACCAAGGAAAAATCGAAACTGATGGAACTCTCAGCTTGACTTTGAGATAGCCCCTCATTGTCCCAGAAAGGATCGGAAAAGAATAAGAAAAACGGTCCACAAGAGAAGAGATCAGAAAGAATAATAAGTAAAAATCATTGGAAAGTCGGCAAGTGATCTGTTCCTTTTTGTTCCCTTTTGTCGTTGCACATTTCATAGTACCTTATTTCTACTTTACCCCCATGATATGAATTAGTACAATGGCCCGTTCCAAATCGATCCCTTCCATTCGTGGCCATTTGACATTATACGGGGAAAACATACCATGAAATCGATGATGATGAAAGGATTGTTGACGACGACGAACCCGATGCCATCTCTGTGCAACACGACTCTGGCGACCATACATCCAATCCTTCTAAAACCCAACACCACAACCACAAGTACACCAATCAACCACCATTTCTAGCTATAATCACGACGAATGGCTAGAGAACGAGAAGGAAGGAAAGAAACTCATCAAAACCTATCGTTGATTACAATTTATAACTTGGCCAGCCGCCAGAGCACCTTCAAAAGACAAAAGACAATCGAGGGAGCGATTAAAAAAAGAAACACCAGCAATTATAGGACACGAGAGTAGAATAATAATAAAAACCAGCAAGAGAGAAACACACGAGCTTTAGGAGCAAAAATAAATTGTATGCATCATCTTCCAAAGCAACGAGCTTTAAAGGGCTGGAAATAGAGTGCTATTTCTTGGTCACTGTATGCAGTAAACTAAACTGTTTGAAAGAGATACATATATAGAACATTAACAATATACACCAACCCAATGGACCCAATTATAATGACACATCCCTTTCAAATTAAAGACAAGTACTGAACATTAACAGTATACACCAACCCAATGGACCCAATCATAATGGCACACCCCTTTCAAATTAAAGACAAGCAGACAAAACAAGAGGGAGCTCACCTAGACGCGTCTGTAGGGGAGGATCTCTTCCTTAGCTATAGTTGGCTTCCTTCCAAAATTATATATTAGAATTGTACAACCAAGCCACAAAATCAAATACCACTAATATGTGAGGCGATATACATAGAGGTTTACAAGCCACCAGATAAGTCACCTTTTACATCTATACTAGGGGTGTCAGTTCCGGTCGGGTAGCTGAACCCGAAACCCGAAAAAACCTGAAAAAATCGAAATCGTTAAGCACAACCCGAAACCGGATCCGAAAATTTGTTTGCAGTTCCAGGTCGGGTTGGTTGAACCTGAAACGACCCGTTGTGTTTTTTTTTTGTGGAATGCTTTTTTTAAATAAATTTGTGATTAGCAATTTTATTTTATTATTTGTACATTCTTATAGAAAAGTTATATTTACCAACATTAGGTGATAGAATAGAATTAGTCTAAATATTATATTTTACTAAGTTTAAGTCTAAAATGTATCTTTACTTTATATTACTACAAATAGTATTACCAACATTAGGTGATCGATTAGAATTAGTCTATATATATAATATAATTACTAAAGGATCCCTCTATAAGATAAATTTCATTTCACTCGTTATACTTTTAGCTACTCATTTGTATATATATTGATAAATTCTATAAAACGTAGATATTTATACAATTTGTATTCGCGAAATGATTTTTATTTTACAAAAAAAGAACACAATCATCTGTTTCTGGGTTTTCATATGCTTGACTAGGCTCTCAATAATTGTTTTCATCCAGATTTACTCGGCTGAAGGGTTCTGCAAAATCACCCAGGACAACTAGCAACCAAATCGTTCCAGTAGTACTAATAAATTTAAGAATAATAACATCCACAATGTCAACTTTAGGTAACAATGTTAATAAGACTAATAACATCCTAAACAAGATAAACATCACTACCATTATCACTCCACCCATTCAGACTCTACATCCACCTAAGTCTCATCATTCCCATCAGAATCATCATCAAAATAATCTTCTTCAACTTGTGACCCAGTAGTAGGGGTGGACAAACGGTTCGGTAAACCCAAACCGAATCGAAATCGAAATAATGCTATTCGGTTCAGAATTCGAAAGAAAAATATGGATATTTCGAAAACCAGGGTTCTTTCAACCGAACCAAATTTCTGAATTTTCGACCGAAAAATCAAAATATTATAATTGCAACCTCCAAATGGTGGATTTTTATGTTTGTAGTTGTTTTTATACTTATATATTTGAAATATTTATGACTTATGTGTTGAAATGTTTGATTTTATCATTGATGATGCATATTTATTGTTTATATTAGGGGTGAAAAATAATTTAAAAGTGAGAAGATACAAGTAGCCTCATAAATTCGGTTTTGTGTTAAAAATCGAACCGAATTATAATTCGGTTTAAACTGACCGAACCGAATTATAATTCGGTTCGAATTCGGTTTGAGGTTTGGGAGAATTCGGGGACCTGGTATTCATAATTTCGGTTCGGTCGAAACCGAACCGACCGAATGCCCACCCCTACCCGGTAGGACTCGAGATCAGAACATGGGCAGAATGTGAGCTTCCACTAGGTTCTGCAGATGCACTTGCACTTCGAGCTTGAAAAGTTGCAAATACTGAATAACATAAACAGTAATAACTTGTGAGAGTATCATTTGATTACAATGACAAATATAAGAATACACATAAGAATGAAGAGAAAGATTAAGTCCATACCATTTTGAAATACAACTTCATCACCCTCATCTTCTCCATCAACCACCAAGTTAGAGTCGGAAGATCTTATCCAATCTTCATAGCAAATCAAAGCCTCCACAACTTCATGGGATAAGGAGGTCCTAAAAGAATCTAAAACTCGACCTCCTGTGCTGAATGCCGACTCAGAAGCAACAGTGGAACTAGGAACAGCGAGAATATCCCTAGCCATCTCAGAAATAGAAGGATATTTCATCCCACTTCTCGACCACTATCCCAAGATATCAAACTTGTACTTATCATCTTCAGAACCCACCATTGCTCGTGTAACTTCCTCATCGTCCTCCTCCTCCTCAAGGTATCTATCAAACTCAAATTTGGAACTTTTTCTAGTTCCATTCAGAATGATCTCTCTTTTCTTTTTCCTGAAATCAACCCAAAACTTCACTTTCTTCTTTCCATCCCCACTTCAACTAGGTTCTTGTTCATCTTCTGGAATCACAATGGGAGAACTACCATGAAGTCCGAGCCTATGCTTGTAATGGTCAAACAGAACACGCATTTCATCTTTCACCTCTTCGACCAAAGCTTTCCCCCTGATATCACCATATACCTTCTTCAAAACTTCTTCAAGATTATCAACTTTGCGCCTAGGATCCAATATGACTGCCATATAGCACAACCGATTCAGCTTTGAATTTTCTAAGTCTTCTTCAAACAAATACTTGGCAAGTTTGTACTTGATTCTTTCAGCCATGCAACACACCTCAATATCCATACTATCAGCCCACTCAGAAATCATATTATGCAACTCACATATCTCATCAAACAAGAGGTGTAAAGTCACATATGAAGTCCCAGAAACTCGAACTGTCAAATTATAGAAGAGCTTCAGGTAAGTAATAAACCGTCCTACACTTGACCAATCATCAGAAGTTGGGATACCAAGGCTTACATTTCTATATTTCTTTTCAGTGAGATGTTTCTTGAATTTCTTCTCATTTCTGGCCAATGTTTGGAATGCCTTCTCAAATGGTTTGGCAGATTCCAACATAAGATATGTAGAGTTCCACCTTGTAGCTACATCCAAAGACACAAATTTCTTCGACACTATCTTTTCAAACTCAATGCAATCTTTGAATTTTCTACTCCTAGCAGGTGTAGCTCTAACCCACCTCACCGACTCTCTCACTCGCTCCACAGATACACCAGTTTCTTTAAGCCCATCATTCACATCCAAATTAATAATGTGAGCCACACACCTCATATGCAGATACTTTCCATCCAAAATATCTGATCCCCACTCTTTCAACTGTTGCCTCATATGGATAGCAACCACATCATTAACGCTAGCATTATCCATTGTGATACAAAACACATTCCTAATGCCCCACTCCACCAAACAACTAGCCAACGGTTTTTCAATTTCATTTCCACAATATTTTGTTACTTGGACAAATTTGATAATTCTTTTATACAACCTCCAATCTCTACCAATGAAATGAGCAGTAATGCACATGTAGTTGAGATTGGACAAAGAATTCCAAGTATCAGTGGTGAGCGACACCATCCCTACACACTTAGTCTTGAAATAGTCTTTTAACAAGTCTCTATTTTCAAAGAACACCTTTATACAATCCTCTCTAACTGTTTGATGGCTAAATAACACAAACATGGGGCAAACACGAGACATAAAACGTTTGAACCCTTCATGTTCAACGTACCTAAATGGTAGCTCATCTATGATAATCATCTAAGCTAAAGCCCGCCTAGCATCAATCTGATCGAATTTCCAAGTGCCAAGAGTGTGTACCTGACCTTCAGAAAATGACAGATGGTCGACAATCAGCTCACCCTTTTCTATCTTCGTCAGGCAACTATTTTTGTGATTCCGTAGAGTAGAAGTCCCAAATCTAGTGGTAGCAAGTAAATGCATCGAGCTTTGTCCACTCCATCCTTCTTAAAACGCTTGAAGTGTGGCCAAACGCCAGATTTTTTTTGAAGTGTCCCCTCATCTGTTATTTGAGCAGGAGGTACATTGGTGGTACGAGTAGATGGTGTAGGCGAAAAAGTAGGTATAAGATGATGGTGTAGACGGTGTAGGCGTCCTCCACGTTTAGGACGAGAAGCCGATGGTGCCTTACTCTCTCTTCCATATATAATCTATTCTCTGGATATATACATTCTCTCACTCTCGCTCCTCCTTCCACTTCACGAATCGATAACTAAATTAATGACGACCAACGGGGCAGATCCAAAGCTAGTCACTATTGAGAGTTAAACTGAAAACCCGAAACCGTTTTGACAGCCCTAATCTCTACTAATAACTAAAGACTACTACCCATAATAGAATCTAGCAATGACAGAATCTATCGGAAGATTCCTCTCGGCTCACGCCTTTGCATCCATAGTATCCATGATCCCTACAAATGTCAATTACGGGGTTCATAGCCACAAAAAGAAACATTATACAACCCGCTCCTCTCACAATCACAGAGATAATCATAAATTCTCCAACAAACAAGCATTGTTAATATCGGGGTTTGAAAATGGCGCGGTCTGGTTCATATCATACTATATATATGGTTTACCATCCGAACCGAGAAATTGGAGAACATACTAGAGACTAGATCAAATATTATATGATCCAAAATAGATCATGTCTATATGGGTTTGCCATGTACGGTCCGGACAAGACATACCATCAGCGGCGAATCCAGGACAGAGCAGAGCACTGGGCCACCTTTGAAAAAATATATAAAGGCTGGGCCGTAACGTGAAAAACACTTAAACGAATACCAAAAATCGGATTGTACAAGTGATATACTAGCTCGAGATCTAGAGGAGGGCTGGGCCGCGGCCCCCCTGGATCCGCCGTTGCATACCATATATCCGTTTCTTTGAAGGAGTGTAATATATGAATGGAGAAGGGACATGATCGAAAATTAAGGTTGAGATTTTGGTATTATTGGGGAGTAGGAAAAGTGGTCGAGACTCGAGTGGGCAACTAAATAAATCTAATTTTGTAAGGAGTTGGGTCCACAGTATGATTCGATAAACCGCTATATAGATCAGACTAATAGGTCAAAACATCTTACAATACAAAACCAAGAACAAGATCAAATTATATTTACGATTTGTTGCCATCGATACGATTTTTCTAATAACCTGATCTATTTTTCCGTCGTAGTTAATACCTTCATAACATTGAGCCTCTATCGTAATGATACACCCCTGAGCATCTTGAATCACGTACCCGACATATTTATAACTTCCCTTGCCGTAGCTCCGTGGAAGAACTCAATCCCTTGGCATGGGAATCTGTAACAAGGAGGTTTTTAGAGACCCTAATTTCCTCTCTTAGACATGCAAACATTAATTTTCACTTCCCTGGTAAATGAGAAGAATCGCTCTTCCCATCAAAATGATCAAATACGAAAAGGAATAAAACGTCCCGTTCCAACTTACCCCTATTACCGGACTCTGTTTCCGGTTGTACAATGGATCCGGCCGATTCTCATTACCCTTTTTACCTTTATGCAGGCTAATTATTTATAACTCCATTGGGCCTTCGTCCACGGAGCCGCATCCATAAGCCCAATCCAATCAGTAGTTGGATATCCGCGTACGTCTACCGCTAGGAAACCTCCGCCAGTTGGCGCGTCGTGTTACTTCGATACCCTAAATAGTCAAAAAAGCACACGCAAAATAACGATTGGCCAGCCTGTAAGAACAAGGGTAATTCCGGTATTCCGTACGAATCACCCGACCTAGATGAGTCGGTGATCTCAGATCTCGCCCCAGTCTATAAATATGCCTCCTTAATGCCTTTGCCCCTTCTCATTCTCTCTCTCTCTCCCACAGCCGCAAGCCTATTATTAGTCGGAAGTTTCGGGCGAGAAAATTTTCTAGGGTTTCCGTAGTCTTGCGGTTGGGGATTTTGGCCGGAGTCGGGATCCGATAGGAAGAGAAAAGGCGCGGAATCTTCGATTCAGTTTGCGTGTTGCGTCTCCTTTATCCGAGTTTTCTTGTCGAAGGAAAGAGAGATTCAGATGGCTCGATGCTTTCCTTACCCGCCTCCAGAGGGCTACTTGGGGATTGGTGGTGGTGGTGGTGGAAGGACTTTGCTGGGAGGACCGATTAAGGTTCGTTTCAAGCGAAGCTTGAATTTGGATTTATGGTTTCTTCGATTTGCTTTCTTGTGTCCATCCTCATCATTTTGATGTTTGGTGCGAGTCTGTTTGATCTCTCAAGAAAACTAGGGTTTCTTGTTTTCTCGGAAAAAAATCTGTTTCTTTCAATCGATTTTCGAAACACGGGATTAGGGTTCTTGATTTTCAAATTAAATCTTCGTTTTGAATGGTTTTGACTCTTTTCCTTTTGGTTCAATGCGAGTCACCTTTTGGAAGGTTGTAGCCTGTAGGGTCCTTGGTTAAGAAAGTTGCGGAGCCTTAGGGTTAGTCTCGTGGTTTGAAGAGCTTTTGGGATCTCTAAGTTTGGCGTTCCATTTCGGTTTAGGAGAACGTATTGTTAATAAGTGTTAACTCCTTTCGATGCAACGGTTGCTTTTGGTAGGAAGTTGTCGAATTAGTGGTAGTCAGTCAGAACATTAGAGCCTGACCCGGAATGATGCCCCTTTGGCCCTTGGAAACTGAATCTAAGATTTGCCCACCTTCTGAAATTGTTTTCATGATTTAACTCTAGTCAGTTCCAAGTTTTTCAATCTGCTTGTCGTTTTGTACTATGTCTGCTCCATCGTCCACGCCATGGGTAAGCTTGTAAATGCTGTAACTATGTTGAATCCATAGAGTATGTACCTTGCTGAAATGTGTTGAATGAATCCCTTGGAGTCTGTAAATTGGGGCGCATATGCTCTTTGCTTGGTGTGCCATCGGTTCTAAACTGAGTTCTTTTGGGACATAATAGCCCCATGCTGAGACAGAGAAGCATGTCAAAAAGGACACTGAAAAGTGGCTGAAACGCAAGTCTAATGGGAGTCATAAGGTGGAAGAAACCAAATCCAAAAGGATCAAGTTCACCACCAAGGGTGGTGGTAGTACTTCTCAAAAGAAGGATAGTAAAGAAGAGGGAGCCGAAAGCAGTGGCGTAACTGAAGAGCATGGCCTCCCTGTCTTTAGCCAAAGCCCTTGTCATTCTTCCGAATCAGTCCGTGTCTTAAATGAAAGGCCTACAGCAGCTGAGAATACCTTGGAGAGGAAACGTATGTGTCCTTATGATATTCATTTCTCTCTGGTGCTTGCCTTGTTATCTAACTATGTTTAAATCTTACACGATGATTCCTCTTGTATTGCAGGAAATGTTATTAAAATAAAACTGAATGCCCCAAAGCCCGAAGAACCAGTAAGTACAGAACAGATTGGTCAACCTTCTACGAGTTCTTCCCAGCAGAAGAACAATGATGTCAGTGAAAGACTTCCCCACCCGCCATCCACATCTGACCTGCGGAAGAATGAAAAAGATGTTTCTGCCGAAGTTGGAAAGACTCCGATACATGTTTCTTCTGGGTCCAAGAAGAGGTCTGGGTCCAAGAAAACGTCGAAACAAGATCTCTATGAGTCTCTGACCAGTGGTTGGATGCCCCCTGCTCTTCAGTCTGGGCAGTCGGAACCTGGAGTGGAGCTTGATTGGCTCTTTGCCTCCAGAAAGCCAGGCAGCCTAAGTACTAGTGAAGGGTCGAAGATCGTCTCTTCATGCAGTGCTGCAAGCTCATGTACTGCAGTGTGGCCTAGGGCTCAGTTCTTGCCCGAAGTGGAAGTTTATTCATTGCCCTATACGGTTCCATTTTGATCTAGAACCAATTAGGCAAAGAGTGTAATGCGCCCGTTGTGTTTTTGAGAGGTACACCCTGGGCTGCTCGTCAGGAAAGAAAGAAGAAACTTAGATGATTCCTAACGATAGGTTTTTTAGGATTAGATTGATTGACCCTTCTGTACAGAAATTTGTTTTTGTACGATCTAGTGCAATTCTTTTACACTTAATTCGTGACTGTTGGGGGTTCCCAATCCTTCATCAATCTGCAGTGTATTTATATAACATAAATTGTGATTGAATCCTATTACCGCCTACAGGCCACAACTGGTGTTGGAGACAGTCAACATCTTGTAAATGAGTTGATAAAGTCATTTTGTTTTTTGTCATCAAGAACCATCCTGATTCCTGTACCAACAAGTAACAGGATCAGCAAAAACCACAAACTGTACTCCAACTATTCGAAAACCCCAAAGTTGTATTCAATGATGTAAATCCGCAGCCACTACCTACACAGCAACAAATCAACTTCAGCAGCTAGTAGTGCATTTCCCATGGACAGATGCTCTACATCTCGACCCCTTTCAACACCCTGCAGGTGCAAAATACCAGCAGCTTGAAGGCTCTCCTCTCTGGTAGATCGAGCAAATAAGAGTTCAAATGATCTCTCGACTCTAAATTGACATCACATAGAGCACTTCCCCCATTTTTAGTCACTCATTTAACCGGCTTATCCCTTGTGGTGATTCTGTAGAGCGAGATTAGCCAGGATAACAACTCAATACGATCAAGGTAAATGCGAGTGATGCTAACTCTTGATTATGAAGTAACTTGGACTAAACATTTAAATAAATCCCAATTCGATCAATGATTAACTCAAAACATCATCTCGAGACATTTAATCATATTCCTTCCATCAATTACTCACCCAAAACTTCTCAAAACAAATTCATTACCTGTGGTGTAAGGTAGAGTCCTAACTAGGGAACGACGGTCACGTATGTATGGGTACAACCGTGGAAACAATGAAACTCACGAAACAAACATATAATCGAGTAAATTAGATGGAAAGTAGAGTCCTAACTAGGGATGGCAAGATAATCCTCAGCGTGAGTACCCAATTGAATCCAAAACAATTTTGTCGGAAACTTGAACCGATATTATTTTTTAGTGACTTTTCCCTGAAAACAATTAAGTATTAGAACCAAATCCACCTGAATATGTGTTATAAGTTATAACTATGTTCTAGTCTCATTCTCTTTAATACTTCGTTCATCTATATCCTTAAAACATTATAATTATTTTGTAGATCTAAAATCTTGTTCATTTTCTATTAGTTTACAAACAACGGGACAAAAAAACTTCATTTTGCATTGACTTCGAAAAAATATTTTAGATTATTTAAAACGTTATACATGATTGTTCATGGATGATGCATGTGAGTTTCTCCAAACCGCATAATGAGGGCTCGTTTGGAGAATCAAAGTCAAAATCTCTAGATTGTAAACAATCCGAAGATTCTAATTCGCCGGATTGTTGTAAATTTTTTTATTATTATTTTGTAAACGCGATTGTTGACATGCACATCGGCGGATCCAGGGGAGGGCCACACTGGGCCAGGGCCTAGCCCTCCCAGCCCTCCTGGAGTCCTCGCCTGTTAGAGAGGCTATGCTTTCAGCATTCTCAACACTTTGAACCTAGCCCTCTCTACCCATTAAATAAAAAACCCAACTCCAAAAGACCAAAAGTCCAAAAGCCAAATTTCAATTAATCTCTTTGCCCCATCCGTTTTACCTGCCGCCAAAAAATCAAAGGGGAAAGGATCCCATTCTTTGTCTGCGCGCCATCCGCACTTTTCGCTGCTCCGGCGAAATACTCTTGCTGCGACGCTGCTTCCTTACACAAAAGATGACCAACAACCTAGCTCCCAACGAACCCAGCCTCCCATTTTTCGTCCTATCTCTTCTTTAGTTGGATAATGGTTAGTTGCTTAAGAGATATGAATGAGTAATTTTGTGCATTAATGTAAAAATTCATATTTGGCTTTTCTCGTATATCGTCTCGTGTAGTATTTATATCCAATTCTATTTAGAAGCTACTCGATTTAGTTCTTATTAAAACGTGTATGCAACGTGTTATACATGCGTAAATGTATTTTATACGTGAAGGATCACAAATAAAATTGTTAAGTGCTATTTCATTCATCATATATCTATCATAAATAATTCATCATATTTCTTGTTGCTTAATGTTAACCAAGTTTTTTATTATTTCAACGGAAGTGCGAAAGTGTTACAATATTGTTATTTCATTGATAGTTTATTAAAAGAATGATAGTTTTTCTTCCAACGTCTAGGAACGCTTAGGCTACCCCTAGACAAGATAGCTGTTAGGCAAGAACCCAATGTCGTCTATGCTTAGCGCTTTCTTGAACCTTGGTTATTATATTTTGTTTACGATATCTAATTTTCTAGGCAAATGCGGCCCAGTGCTCTACTGTATCCTGGCTCCGCCGCTGGACATGCAATAATAATAATTCAATTTTTTAGCAAATGACATTTTTACTCAACCAAGAGAATCAAGATTGACTAAGAAAATCTTGAGAATTTATTAGTAAGGGTATATGGAGGGGTAAAAAAGAGATAAAATAGGAGAAACAAAATTCTCACAAATAAATATATAAAATCTCTCAAATTATGAGAGATTTAATATATTTATATTTTAGAGATATTCAATCTCTGAAATTAAAAAATCCATGATAAGACATAACTTTTTGCTAAATCAATAGATTCAATGAATCAATATTTCACATCTTTTTCTCCAACCCTGGTTGGTTTTGGTATACATTATATACTAGCTTTTACCCGACTCGTTGGTCGGATAAATTTTGTATTATATTTTGTTGTTTTGTATTAACCAATTTGCATATTTTCAAAAAATTTACAGTCTTTTAAATAGTTTATTCATAAAGGGAAAATAATATTTGTGTTACTTTTGAATTTTATATTAGTAAGTAATTAGTTCTGGTGATGTGGCCATCCTAGGTTACTGGTATCTGTATTTTTTTATATTTTAGAAGAAAATTTTATACTTTTTTACATTCAATATAAATTGCTTAAATTGTTTTTCTTTATAAGATTTGTTATTATCGATGTACGGATCCATACCTCTTGAATTCCAAAAAAAAAACATGTAAAATTTCTAAAGTGTATAAAAAAGAACAAAATGCTACCGGTTATATTTCATATTCGCTACCACACACGGTGAAAGAACCTGGAAAACAAAAGTCACTGTAGGTCAATTTAATTTTGTTATTATGCAATTTATCAGTGAAAAGAGAATGAGGCCCGACAATAAAAACTATAGGTTAGCACAATTGTTTGAGCCCAAATTAGATGAATAAAGCAGACAACTCTGAGTTCTCAAAGAGAGCTTTCACAAATATCTAAGGCTAGCAGTTTCAGTAATAGAAAATATATCTGCACATCAAAACTCATCGCAACTTTCAGTTCCAGCCCTAGCCCGCCAAAATATTGATCTTTCCTTCTCCTTCTTTGCAGCATTTCAATTCACATTCTAAAAATAGAAACATCAGCAGAATCAAGGCTATTTATATTAAATGTTACGTTATGGGGTCTGATTCATCGGCAGGGTGGCTGACCACCTTATTGCCGAAAAACTTGGCAACTTCCCAACTAATTCACCGCTCTCGGTCAAGCGCTCACATCATCCATCATTTATCTATCTAACTCTTAACATATTTGGTTTCTGATCTGGCCATGGCCGGTGAAATGAAGATGTTGAGTTTTGTATCTTGGCCATGGTTGGAACTTGGAAGTGATGGTGGCGGTGGCGGAACATTGGGTGTGATGGGAAGCATTTGTAATTAGGATATGCACCCAGACCCCAGTTGACTATCTTGGCTGTGAAATTAAAAATAAATTTGTGAACAAAAATAGGTGCATATGTACCCAAAAGAGGGGTAAATTATCAGTTAAAGACTACATCATTACTAAGTCATGATTGAGGAATTAGCATCCACACGAAGTTGGAATCGTCGAAGATTACAACTGGGTGTCTAAAGTGCAAATATAGTAACAACGGGGGAATAACCAAAATCAGCAAGTGTTTGGCTGAAAAATCACAGTGATTTCCATTAAAATTTCTCAGGTAAATTGGTGACATGATTGTCTGTAACTGAAATTGGTTTGGTATATTTAAAGGTTCTACTATGAAATAATAGCAAGAGATCACTCAAGAGATCTTGTATCAATGATGAAAATGAGGTAAAGATTCTTGTCATATGAACATATAAAACATCAACGAAAGGAGGCATACTGAAAGCATAGTGGAAGATAAGTTGAACAGAATGAGAACAAACTGTAAACTTGTCGTTGTTGAAAATTAAGAGGCATATTAGAACAAAGTTACTAACTGGGCATTGATAAAGAACAATTAGTCTAGGCACGTACCAGCGTAGTTTTGATAATAATGAAACATCTTTGTTGGTGATATAGCAAAGGAGCTTTGTGTTTCACCAATGTCGAAGCGGTGGGAACTGGGAAGACACTACAAAGCATGTTTGGAGTAGGAAACCATGCATAGTCCTTTTTGTTAATGAGAAATTGCAGGCCATGTCAACAATGACAGAGAAAATAATTAGGAAAAACAAACCAAGTTATTACAAAGAAATAGACACACGCCTTAAGAGTTCTTTTTCAAGTAGATGATAGAACTTTTGACTCCTAAAATAGATAGATTCAGCTAACTTTTTTTTTTAAGTGATAGATTCAGCCAACTTAATTTCGTACAACTTGAAAGCCAGATCGAACTGGATAAATATCTAAACCAAATAAAAAATTGAAACCATATAGCAAAAATGACTAAAAGCTTTAAGAATAAAATGTCCCAAACTCCAAAGCGTTATATAATGCAAGTAAAATAGCTTATACTGACAATTCAATTGTAAATGAGTTTATAGGATCATATACTGGAAGGCTCAAACTAATCGCTTCGAAGTGTGGGAGTAGAGCTAGTAATAAGGAAACACGTGAATGAAAAACATTGAAATTGATCAGATCACACATGATATAATGGTCACCTTCTAGAGCAGAACGACTAAAAGTGAGACAAACGCCTAATAAAGCAGTAGGGAGGAGAGGAAATAAATGCACCGACTAACTCACCCGGGGTAAGCATCAACCCCCATAAATTTGTAAGGCTTCATTCGTTGGAGTGATAAACATATATCAGCCGAAAGTGCAAGCAGCTGCATACATCACTGCACTTCCACTTGACACCTATCGTAATGATAAACGGCCCTGAAAGACGACATATGGATCATAGACCCCTACTCTCGAATCATACATACAAACACTGCATATTGAAAGTAGGCTAATGTATCTGAAAATGTAGAATTGATTAGTCTCCCCCACCAAATTACCCTACATTTAGAAAATATGCTAATTGTTTAAACCACTAACAAAAACTCAACCAAAAGAAGCGGTTCATGCATTGAAGCCATATCATGGCAAGAAAAGCAAGTCCTGATTTTGAGAACTAAAACCCACAATCAAGAATTGGAGGACCATGCCAAGAAATAGAAAGAAATAAAGCCAAACCATAAAGAGGAGACTTCAATATCTCGGAAGCCAAGGGTCAACTTTGATAGCAGGGTGGAAGATATAATCGAAACCTGAGCTGAGCAGCATCTGGTGCATTGCCATAAGCCATCCTGCAAATTTGTGCATTTGAGAGCAGCAAGTCAATTATCAGAAAATTGCCAAGAGATTCCACTAAATTAAGGTGAGTAACTCCAAAGAGAGAACAAAGGAATCAAGAAATAATTAAACAAAACATTGAGGTATAACCAACCAAAACAATAGCTTATAAAAAAAGGTCAAAATCCGCAAACCTCCCTCATCATTGCCTATCCGCCATCGAAATAGACCATTGAGACGGGTGTACCATAATCATATATGAGCGGAACCATCCCTGTCTAGGCTAGCATGATCCTCACATGACCTGGAATTAAAATATATATGATGCAACAAATGAAACAACACAAATACATGTGTCAACACAAATACATGTGATCGTCCTGCCAGTTGGTCACATAGGTCGAAACCCTCCTGAAAAACTTGGCCTTGAAAGTGTCCCACACCTGGTACTTGTAGTGGTTGATCACTGTTGTCCCCTCCGCCACGTTCGTCGACTTGTACCCTTCCCTCAGCTTGAAGTGATGCACAATGTTCAGCAGCGTCATGTCGAGAAGGTCCGGTCGGACGAAGGACTTGTGCCTTTCAGGAGCCTGCAGCCTGCAAGTGTAACCTACCGTCACACCTTGCTTCGGCGGTTCTGTCAGCCCCGATGGGCCGAAGCTGTGGCACATTGTCCTCACCTCCGCGATCGTGGGTGAATCGGTGTAGTTCGAGACCATGGCGCGGAGCGAGTTCTGCCCTGGCAAGGGGGTTTGGCCACTGTAGTGAGGGAAGTAGAAGAACTCGTCGACGTCGAAGAAGCCGACCCACTTGCACTCGTACTTTGCTCTCAGAGCACAATGCGAGAACCTTGCCTCCTGCGCTTTGATCCACGGCCAGACGTGCCTGGAGACATTGTGATTCCGCGTGTTGAGCTCGTCGGCGACGTCTTGTAGCCCGTCGTCGCTGTTGTTGTCGTAGATGAACCATCGCTCCACTCCCAGCCACGAGTGGTACATCACCCATTCCTTCAAAACCGACGCTTGATTCCACAGCATCGTGCAAGCGTAGAGCTCGTACTTCTCTTCCCCTTTCCCTCTCATTCCGTGGGATTTCGGGTTGTACACTTTCGCCACCGATGGCAGAGCTGCAGGGGAGGCCGAGGCAGGGGAGGCAGCGGAGTCTTCGACGCGGCTGACGGTGACGCGGATTCCTTCGGCAAGCGCGGTGTAGTTTTTCCGGATGCAAGCAGCGGACCACTTCCTGAGCTGCGGCGGTGGCTTCGGTGGTGAAGACGAAGCTCTCCTCTCTGGTCAAATTGTTGCTCAGCGAGAAATGGCACCTGAATTCGGCCGGATCGACTTCCCTCCGTGGCTTCAGATTCAACCCTTTCGCCAACACCACCACCGTGTTCCAATCCAGAATCGCCTCGTAGACCACTTTCCCCCAATCGGGGACGGAATCGGAATTTTCCTCATCCGCTGACTGATTCGTTGCCCTCCTCGAAGAAGCCATCCAGTTCCCTTCCACAACCTCGCCGCCGGGGCGGCGCAAATCCATGGCGGCGGAGTAGTTCACAGGCGGGAGCTCGCACCTCACAATCGAATTCCTTCTCCCTTTCACCTTCCCCCTCTCTCTCTGTAATGTGATTGGAATTGCGATTCCCTTTCTGTCTCTCTCTCTCTTAATAACAGTAGAAAAAAAACAAAGGAACTGATGGAAGGGGAAAATGAAGGAGCTTTGCCTCTGGGTTTTGTTGTTTTGCACGCTTCTTCAGTGGACCATTTCCTTCCTGGGAAATAAAAAATAAATACAAATTAAAAGACAACGTGGCCTGGCAGGAGAAAAGGTGGGTAGTGGACAGTTTTTTGGTTCTGAAATCAGGCGGGGACTCTTTTTTTTCCCACTTAACACTCTGCCACATCAGCTTCCTAAAATCACTCTATGGGCAGGAAATTTTGAATGGGGGGTGCAGTTTTACTTTTCAGCTATAAATTATACTGTTGATTCGCACACTTTTGATATATATGATTTTGGAGTGAAAATTTTTGCACACTTTTAATTAAGCAGATAGTGGGACTGGTTAGAGTGCTAACTTCATTGGAGTTAGTACCGTACTAACCACTATAATCACAGTTTATTATTTTTAATTAAAATATGATGTTGAAGAATAAGGAGGGGCATATTCGATATATCAAAAAATTAATTTAATTAATAAATTAAATCTTAAAATCTTTTATCTTCCTTTTAGTAGTAGGCCTGAAAAATAGTACCATAAACTACTGCTACATTCATTGGTAGTGATTTTGGTGGTTGTATTAGCAATTTTATTTGTTCTCGTAGTGATTTAATTGTAATTAGTAGTGATTTAGAAATTTTAAGTTACTCATACGATTAGGTAGGAGTAAACCACTACTGGAATAACTACACATCAAAGAAAAAACACTACTACCGTACAAATATGACTGCTCAACTGCTAATACATGTGAAAATCACTACTCCACAATCACTACAAACCAAAAATAACTACTAACCAAATAATAATATAGATATAACAAAAGTTCTCATTTTTCCCGGCATGCTATCCGTGAGCGATTGACGACAGTAGTGGTGGGAAGCCAACGCATGCAAGCAGCGGCGGATCCAGAACACAAAAGAGCACTGGGCCGCATTTCATTAGAAAATTAGAACCGTAGAAAAATATAATGATTATAGTTTTTTGCAATGTAATTGTACACGACTGTATATTAATTTAGGGAATGCATCAATGAAGTCTACATCCATACCAATAGTATACACTGTTTCAAATAAAATACTTGAGCAATCGGCGAGAAATTCATCGCTCATTTTGTTGAGCAAATAAGTTCTCACATGTTTCATTGTTAAAAAGGTTCTCGTCGTAGTAGCTGTTGAAACGAGCATATCAACACTAGATAAATCAATCGACTAATCAATTTGCATTTTGTGTCCATCCCTGCACACCAGCTACTTTAGTAAATTTGTAAGGGAACAAGCCTCATATTTCTTTTAGTCTTTTACGTTTTAAACTTTTTAGAATTTTAGGTTTCACTGTTTTTTTAAGACGCATGATCTTTGGGGCTAAAATTTCTAGGCTAAATTTAGAATAGTGATTTGAATATGTTCAACTTGATAATTTTTCTAGTTAAACCCAATCTTATCATAGAATAACACTGGGTCGAATGTGTAAAATCAAAAATTTCATATGGACTATAGTAACTACGGATCTAGAAGAGGGCTGGACCGGGACCTGGGGTCGCCACCCCCTGGATCCGCCAGTGCATGCAAGGGCGGCAGAAGTAAGGGCGACGCATGCTCGTTTCTCTCCATCGAAGGACAACCTCTTCCCAGATCTGGTTTTATCGAATCACTGCCGGTGATGGCGACGTGGCTGCAGGCGATGGCGATGAACGCGTACAGGCGATGGCGAGGCAGTTGCGGGTGATGGCGAGGCGGTTGCAGGCGATGGCGAGGCGGTTGCGGGTGAAGCGGTTGCCGGCGATGGTGAGTCCGTTGCCAGGGAGGCTGAGGACGACACGACTAAGATCAATGAAGCCGTAGTCGATCGGAAGGAGAATCGACGGAGATCAGAGAGCCGACCGGAAGGAGAATCGACGGAGAAACGATGAAGGGGCTCTGAAATTTTTAGAGGGAGAGAGAGTGGGAGGGGTGGGTGGCTGGGGAAGGAGGGTAGAAAAAATGGTATTTATATTAGGGTTTGATGGTATATTTACTAAATTATCCTTTAGTTAGTATGGTGCTAACCCATTAGGAGATAGCAGGTCATCCCATCCCAGCAGATAATTATGATTTTAAAAACACAGTTAAAAGATAATATATATAAAAACTGACCCCACCCACCCGAACCCGTTATCATTCTTATGCTTGATTTTTTCACTACTTGATAAATTTAATTTTGGGTAAATTCTCGATATTGACTAGTTTTGGACCCGACCCATTAGTCGTCATTAATTTAGATATCGATTCGTGAGGTAGAAGCACGAGCGAGAGTGAGAGAAAATATATTTCCACGTAATAGAATATTCAAACCGTTAATGATCCTTAATGTTTTATTATTTTAATTAAAAATTATTAAATACACTATTACTTGTTGGATAAGATAATACAACACCTGTTATAAATACTTTCAAGGGCATTTCCGGTACTTTCCATTACTCCCCACTCGCCACTCCCAGGCTTCCTCTTTTAAATACTTCATCCCTGAGACGAGGCGCCAAAGAAACACTTTCCACAGTCGCTTGCTTATTTCCCAAGTTGAGAGATTGTGAGCGATCGATCGATTATTCGATTCTAGGGTTCCTTGATCTCGGCGTTAGCTAGAGATTGAGAGAACCGCGAGAGAGAAAGAAAGGCGAAGAACAAAGAACTTCGGTAATTCTTCCGGTGGAATCGCGCGCTAAAGACAAGATGGCTCGCTGTTTTGGTTACCAGCCTCCCGAAAGCTACCTCAAGGTTTGTTTCCATCGCTAAGCTTCGATTCTGGGTTACGTTGTTGTCGTTCTTTCGTTTGTGCATGTTCTCTTTACGCTTTAAAGTCTCGTTTGATTACTGGGAAAACAAGGGGTTTCTTGAAAAGGTGGGAAACTGCTTTCGTCGAATGGATTTTCGATTTTGGCAACTTCTTTGGTTCGAAAACGTTGTTTTGAACGGTTCTGGAAAGGTTCAGGAGTGGAAGTTGCGGAAATTCCTTAGAGCTGTGTTGGATCTGCGTGAGGTGACTAGTTGATTAATGGGTTCTTGATAACAAAAATTAAGGTGGTCTCGCTGGCGGTTAATCTTGAGATTTGGGGAGAGGGTTTGGTTTAGGGTTTAGTCGTGTTGAAGCATTCCTGAAATCTCTGGTTTGATTAATCGATATGCTTCCATTGCTGGTTTCTGGTTCTCTAACCTTCGATTGCTCTTTGGGTTTGCCACAGCTTGTGGAAGAGATGAGGAGCCATGGGAAAAGGGACATAGGAAAATGGATGAAAAGGAAGAGCAGAAGAGAAGCTAAGGAAGCAGAAAAGATCAAGTCCAAAAGAATGAAGCATTCTCATCACGAGAGTAAAGAAGAAGGTGAAATCAGTGATGTTACAGAAGAAGAAGAAGCAGAAAAGCTCAAATCCAAAAGAATGAAGCATTCTCATCACGAGAGTAAAGAAGAAAAAGAAGAAGGTGAAATTAGTGTTGTTACAGAAGAAGAAGAAAAAGAAGAAGGTGAAATCAGTGATGTTACAGAAGAAAACGGCCCCCCTGAAAGCCCCTGCAGTTCCTCGGATTCTGTCAATCCTCGTACGTGTTTCTCATTCATAAAGTGTCTGGAATACATGTCTTGCCTTTGTTTATTTTCTTTAGTAGAATCTGACACTCTCTATCGGTTCATCTTCAACAGGGAAGAGCTTCACTATAATCGAATCATCGAAGAAGGAGATGTCGAGGCACGAGCTATACGAGGCTCTAACGACTGGTTGGACGCCGCCACAACTGAAGATGTCAGAGCCAGAAGACCTCGGGTGGCTGTCTGGTTCCAGAAAGACTGATGGAGTCAGATGCCAGGCAAGGAGCAGTGAAGTTCGACACAACAATGTTCTGGTTTATGCATTGCCCTATACGGCTCCCATTTGATGATACCAGCAGCTGGCTGAAGATGGGGAATATGATTCATCTTAATGGGTTCCCGGCTGTTTATGGAGAGATTTATGTATATGATGTAACTCGGTGAACTCACCATCGTATCGTAATGAGAAAGAAGAAAGAAGGGGCAGGGGCCCAACTCTGTGGATGTAGGCACAACTTGCCGAACCACGTAAAAAATCTCGTGTCTCTCGTGTGATTGCTTATCTCTTAATTCATTCCATCACTAGAAGTTAATAACGTTATTTGAGAATCGAAATCACGAAAAGTTTTAATTCGTAACAATATTCCGTTAAGAAATCAATAAGTAGCTTATGAGGTTTTGTGTTATGAATCTCTGTACATAATTGGAAGGTATACGTACTTCCACATCAAATTTCCGAAGTAGTGTTTAACTTCCTATAAAAGTAAGGTGAGTTTCTATATTAAAAAAAAAAAATTAGATGAGCAGTTGAAGTTTAATAATAGATTATTAAAATTGGTCTTCCTTCAAGTAGTCCTTCAGTTTTTTCCTCGGCTTGGTAATGACCCTGATGCTTCCCAATTGAGTTGCATCTTCCAAGCCTAAATCCAACCATGAAGTGTCCAATGACGACTTGTGATCATGCCTTTGAAAACTTTCATCATCACCTTCCTCTTGATAACTCGTCTCCGTTAGATAGTTGATGTAGCAACTTGTCCATTCCTTTTCGCATTTCACCCCTTTCAAAAGCTCGATGATCTGAAAACAATCGTATCGAGAAATGTCAAAACTCATTTCCCTACAAATCTCCTGCTGATGAGAAAAGAAAAGGGAGTGAATTATGTTACCTGGCTTGCTGTTGGACGCAATCTGGCTGAGGCTTTGGTGCAAAGGCTGGCAGCCAAAACCATTCTACCCAATTGAGAGTTGTCCACTTGCTCACTCATTAACCTTGGATCAAGCAATCCTCTGTGATTCCCACTTTCCATCAATGGAATCGCCTGGACCATAAACGAACAGTACCATTTTTCAGTTTCTTGACGAGCAAGCAATCCACGAGGCAAATGTTGACCCAATGGGAAGTTAGGTCAGGACAAACTGAATTAAGGAAATGCTCACCCATTTGACTAATCCCTCTTGTGCTTTTGAACTATTGTTTGTGATGATTGCTTTCCTTCCAGAGACCAGTTCCAGCAGAACAATACCAAATGAGTAAATGTCTACTTTCTCACTCACCCTTCCATGCATGAAATACTCTGGAGCTATATACCCAAAGGTTCCAACCAGATCTTTGTTTGTCATGTGGGTCGAATTTGTTGGGCCCCATATGGCAAGCCCAAAATCTGATAACTGTGAAGGCCAGAAAGTACAGGATATGGTCACAAGACTTTCGAGAATGAACCAATCGGATCAAATTACTTTCGTTTGATTTTGACGAGTCAGATTATCATTGGTGCAGAGTGGGTTGTGAAAAATCAAATCTTAACTAGTATGTTTCCCCCAAAATCAAAATCGATTTCTACAAACAAAAAAAAAAAAAATTAAAATCAAACCTATTAAAGTCTTATATGTTTTTGGGTACCGAAAACCAGTAAGACCTTACAGGTTCGGTTTCGGTTAGAACAAACCGAAAGTCGAAACCCTAATATCCCCAATCAAACCGAAACCCCCTGCATCCTAACTAGTTGTTTTCTTTTTCGACCCGATCTTCTAATAAGTAGCTCGATTCTATACCTTAGCATGTGTACTCCCAACATATAACGCATAAACCATATGGGAATGAAGTACCTGTGGTTGAAGATCACTAGACAGGAGAATGTTGGAAGACTTGACATCTCTATGGATGACTGGCCTTGGACATTCACTATGCAAGTAACTCAGAGCTTCAGCAACTTCAACAGCCACCCTGAACCTCACTTCCCATGGCATTACAGCCTTCTCCTCACCATCATCTGAAGAGTGAAAACTTTACCAATTAGCAATCACTTTTTACCATGGCTGTTAAAAATCTTAAAACTGTAAAAATGGTTTGTAGAATTTACCTTGCAGGCTTTCCTCCAAGCTGCCATTGGACAGGAAATCATAGACCAACATGAGAGACTCTCCTTCAATGCAGACACCAATGAGAGGAGTGATGTGTTGATGCTTTACTGAAGACATGATTTCGACTTCTAATGAGAAGTCGTTCCAAGCTTCCTTGTAATGTTTCAGTACTTTCACTGCAACTGATTTCCCATCAGGGAGGCAGCCTTTGTACACACTGCTGCAACCTCCTTCTCCAACCAAGTTCTGTGGAGAGAAATCTTGAGTGGCTTTCTTCAACTCTCCGTGGCTAAACAGTTTGCAGGGAGAGGACCTCAAACCATCATCATCATCACTATGATGGACACATCCTCTGGAATTAAAGTCAGTCTTTGAGTTCTGAATCCTTTCCTCATCGGTTCCGAATTCCTCCCAGAAATCTGATGCTGAAGGCTGTTTTCGAGCCGATGACTGCCTCGAAAATGCAGAAGCTAAAGTGGAAGAAGATGAAGAGGTGGAGGTTTCACTAAGACTGCTACATTTCCTAAAACTCGGTTGCTTCTGAGACGATTTTCTCCTGAGAAGCGGCCAGCCAAGTGGGGATCCTGCAAGTTCTCTTTTGATTGTGGAGATTGTTCTCTCTGGAGCTTTCTTATTTGGTGTCTCATCACTAAAATGTTCCTTTGATTCATGATCTTCTGAGTTTTGATCCATAAGAAACCTGGTTTTGTTCTCTTCATTTTGCTTCTGGTCTAGATACAATTTCAGCCTTGTAGCTAACTTCAACCCTGAACGATTGCTTCTCAATACTATCTTCCTCCTGTGGGAAGACAAAGGATTTACCTAATCAGATGAAATGAACCCATGAACACTATCTTCAAACCACATATAAACCAAGCTAATAATTCAACTTTCGCGAAACATATATGATCGATTGTATTGGTTAAATCGCGTATTATCATGATTTCGTTGTAGTTAAGCATTGAATCCATTAACAACTTTACCGATTTGATTTCTAATACGAATTCAACACTATCTTCAAACCACATATAAACCAAGCTAACAATTCAACTTTCGCGAAACATATATGATCGATTGTATTGGTTAAATCGCGTATTATCATGATTTCGTTGTAGTTAAGCAGTGAATCCATTAACAACTTCACCGATCTGATTTCTAATACGAATTCAACATGCCCTGAACATGAAACTTAAAACTAACATAAACAGAGGAAAGAAACTACATACCGGATACCAGTTTCCTGGTCTATCCCCACAATCACCGCCATGTCTGCAAATTGCTGCTTCCCTCCATCAACTCTTGATCGTGGAGGTTGACATTTGAGCTTCAACTGTTCCATACCCAAAACCTATCAGAACTCCAATTTCGACTCACCAACTTCCCCAAAAGGGAATAAAAAGAGGATCATCCAAAAAAAGGATAAAAGACACGAACCTTTATTAGCAACCGCTTGCATCGGCAGCCTTTGTCTTCTTCTTCCAGTGAGCTGCTGAGAATTTCATAGTTCTGTTCCTCAGGGAAATCTCCCTGGCAAAGCTTCATCTTCAATTTCGTTCACAAAGAAGTAAAAGCAGCGAGAGCATCTATATATATATATATATGACAAGGGGAAGCCATCTGAAGTTTGGTTTTGGTGACACCTAACTGAGCCGCCATGACCATTCTTCGGAACCCGGCATTGAATTTGTAGAAAATTACGAAGAGGGAAAGAGACAGAGTTACACAAGATTAAATAACTGCGGGGATAATATTCCCAGCCATGGTCACGCCAGCTGAAATTGATCATATGTAAATATTAAAGAATTGGAGAGAAGCCCATATTGATTAGAATGCGTTTTACTGTTTGTGGAGCTAAGTTAGGGAAATAAGGATGGAGAATTGGACACGGACTGTTCTCTATTTGAACGTTTTGACCATCGTTTTCTGGTTTAATATACAAAATAGGTTTATAGATGGAACTCGTGACTCGTGAGTGATGGTGTTTTCAATTAAATACTCCTAATTATTTTAAGTGTATACTAAATCATTATAAATGAAGCTTGAGAGACAGCCGTGAAAGCAAACAATTAATCTAGCTTAATATTGTTAGGTATGGTATTATGGTAATTCTTGAAAATGATACATTATAAACTAGGGATGGTTTTCTGAACTTTATGCACTCTTAGAAAATAAATTGAAACCGTATGATAATTTAGAATTAGTAGAATTCTAGTCTTTCGACGATACGTATAAATATTAGAAATCCATTTATATCGAGTATGTATGCCATTCTTTTTGTTTTTTTTTAATGAAATATGCCCTCTACAAAACCTATCAACTACGGTTGAACAAATGTTCAAACGACCAAACCTCGACTAAATGGGAGGGGTAATGTCAGTTTTGACCATTCATTTATTTCACTATGTCTCGCTAAAGTGAAATTATTATGGATAAAGTGAAAATATTAGGGGTATACAAAAAGAAATAAAGAAAAATTATAGTAAAATTATTAGAGATATTTTAGACATTCATATCACCCAAACCACAATTCGATCGCAGCTGGCAATTTTTGGATAATTTTTTATGCAAAATATATATTTGATGCAAAATATAACAAAGAAACATGTTTCATACCAAGGCATAGAAGTACATATAATATTATAACACTAATTATAAATATTTTTTCAATCACTAATACAAAACTGTAATATTGACCTCTCTTTCCACAAAATGTGTTAAAGAATTTCTGAACCTCGCCTTATCGCGAATGAGAATTAGTGCATGATATAATTTTTGGTTATGCCGATTTAATTGACTAATTTTTATTTTTTTGACAAAGATAATCATATATTGATAGAGACAAATCGATAGTTACATCCTGGAAGCCAGTCAGGTTTGGAAATCAAAATAACAACACGTAGTCAGGAACAAAGAAAGGGCATGTCTAGCTACCATATTAGCTACCCTATTGTCACCCCGACCTACAAATCGTACAGTAAAACCCGGATTATCCCTGAAAATTTGAACCATTTCCTTCAAAATAGTCCCAACCCGATTGTCACGCACATCAGCCTTACAGATCTTATCAATGACCACCTTGATATCCCCTTCAAACCGCATGATCATAAACCTGTGCGCTAAACACCAACGGACAGCTTCCCTAAGCGTAAATTTAACCCTCTGTCGTAAATTGTAATAATGTATTTAATTTTAATCTGTGGTTTCATTTTTATATCCAATAGAATAGAACTATAGAAGGAACAAGATTTTCAATGCACCTTACAAAGAATGAAATTCCACGTGTTCCACGTATAACATGAAGCTTGCCGTCACGCAAATGCATCCAATTTCAGCTCAACTGTTGGTTCCCCCGACTGCCTAACACGATCAAACTGGTCAAGCAATAAGATAATGCTCGGGAAGGTGTACACGAAAATGCCCTTTTTGTTTGTATTGACCCTATTACTCTATGCTTGGACAATTTGGTACTCCTTAAACTCACCAAACCCTTTGGTCTAAAATGTTATCTTATGTGTTTCCTTATTTCATAATATAAATTATTTTAAGGAAGATTTCATTTACAAAACAATTAATTGACAAAAAGTGATCTTTAATACCGTAACAAAATACTCTTATCTCACCAGATTAGATTAATCCATTTCATAAACATACATAAGAATTTATTAATTTTGTCATAAACTTTACATGTGTGGTGTGTCTCGTGATTGCAAGGATTACATTAGAAGTTTAGAACCTAGCAGGCTAGCACCATGGTTGTCATGTTGATAGCATGCCGACAATGAAAACGGTATAAACATCACCGGCATGATTAATTTAAAACTCTTAACTAAAATAACGTAGCTTAAATTTAATTAATCAAAAAATAATTTATAATGTATTTTAAAGTAAAATATTGATTATTTGTTAAATTCAAATATAAATATTTACTTATAAACATTAAATATTAATATTAATGATATTTTACATTTCTACATATTTTATTAAACTAATATTAACCAACATAAATCACTAGTAGAACCATTACACTTGCTAGGGGTCGGATACTATGCTAACCCCTAAAGGGGTAGTGATTTTCGACACCCCCTTTATGATTGACTAATTTTATTTCCAATCATTGGCAAGTATTATTTAAACTGTTTTTTTATTTATTTTTAATCTTGTAATTTAGGGTCTCTCACCCACATTGGAAAGGGAAAGAATATGGGGAATCAGAAAAAAGCTCCCCCCCCCCCCCCAAATGTGCAATTAATTGCCTTTTTTTCTTCCTTTCGTCTCCTTCTCTCTCCATTTGGGCCCCTTTCCATTTTGATTTCATTTTAACCAGAACCCTCCTCTACTCTGAAACGACCAAAACCCTCCCCCATTTTCATCTTCATCTTCTTCTTCCTCCCGCAGCCGCAGCCGCCACCGCCATCACCCCTCTCCGCCATCTTCATCCACGCCTTCCACTTGTGCCGCCTCCATCCCTCCAACCGTCGTACTCCTCCAGCGCCTTCCCCCACCACCATCCTCCTATCTCCAGCTGCCGCCATCCTGGGATCGCCTCTGACCTACCTTGTGGATTGCTCGCACCAGTGGAGTGGTACGTGTACCAGTGGAGTGGTACGTGTACCAGTGGAGTGGTATTTGTATCGTTGAAGTGATACTGCATTGTTGCTCCGTTATTGTTTATCATTGTTATGAAAAATATCATTGCACTGGTATTGTTCTCACTCTAACTCGTATTTGCCACTTATAATGTACCACTTCATTTGTATTTTGTATGGGAGAAATACACTACACGCCACTAAACTATAAGAATTGGGGGAAGGATACTACTAATGTGAAAATAGAGCACCAAATACCATTAAAGTTCCCAAAATATGCATCCATTAAATTCTTCATCAATTTGATTAACCAAATGAATACAATATATTTTTCCACCTCAAGCCTCTTTGACTTTCGTTGAAACTCGACATTAAGAGTTGCTGGACCATAAATATCTTCATTGTCATTGCTCCATTTTGCAAGCTCCCTAATCGCTCTCGCTTGTAGTCCGGAACGTGCTCTACTCCCTGCTCCGTGTGATTTGTCTTTCCTAGCGTGCATCCGACGCCGCTCCACAACTTCTTGAGGAACTCACTGCTCTGACTGAAATCAAAGAAGGTAAAATCAAAAGTCAAACCAATAAATATAACTACTGATAGATGAGATCAACAATAAGACTTTCACTGCAGATATATCAATCCATTGGCTCTATCCTAGAAAGCCATTCTAAACATAACTACTACTACGGTAGTTGTACTTTAAACAACCATAATGATTTTGTTTGTACCACTACAGTGATAGCACTACCACAAAAACATCACAATGAACTACCACTGCAGCGATAGATCTACCACTACAACGATAGATCAACAACTGCAGTGATAGATCTACCACTAAAGTGATAGACACAATATGCCACAAAAACATTCACATGGTTAACTATATCAATGTGTTGATAGACTGCAGTCAAATAAACAACACTACATTATCCAAGAATCAACTATCACTGGAGTGGTATACTTCCGTACCAGAATCAACAATTTATACCACTCCAGTGATAGACATACCACTGGAATAACATTCAACAAAAACTCAAACACTACAATTATCATTGTAGTGGTAACATTACCACAAGAAAAAAAACATCTTCGTGGGTATGAGAGAGAAAAACTAGACTGATAAGGAATAATTAAAAAATCACAAATCTAGAAAAATCCAGGATAATGATAAACTACCAGTACACTGGTACCAATACCGGTACTCACATATGAGTATAATCATAAACTACCAGTTCACTGGTATCAATACCAGTTCTACACCAAAAACCCAGATCTGGGTATGGGAGAGAGAGATAGTGGGACGGAGAGAGTTACCTCAGATTCTTCGTCGTCGTCGCCGGTAAGGGAAGGATGGCTAGTGTAGGAAGGGGAGACGGGTCGTCATCTTTGCCGGGAAGGTGAGGATGATCATTGTCTTCTCCGTCAATCCTTTCACAGTGCCAAGCTTGTGGAAGGAGATGGAGAGTTACGACAAGCTTGGCGTTGCTCGGAGAACAGCGATAGTCACGATCTAAGACATAGCCACGATGGAGGATGCGGGACAGAGCCGGAGGGAGATGTGGACTGTGACGGTGAAGAAGCGACAATGGCGAGTAGGGGAAGAGGGAATCGAGGGAGAGAGGAGGAAACGAAACGGAGAGAAAAAAGGGGAGAAGGAAAAGGGTTTCGAATGGGGCTCGTTTTTCCCCAAATTCTTTCTCTTTTCCAATGTGGTGAGAGAAATTAATTATGTAATTAATGTATAAAAAATAGGTGATTAATACTTACCATTGGATTAGATGGATGGTATCTAAGAGGGGTGTCAAAAATCACTACCTTTAGGGGTAGTCAAGCTAACCGATCCCCACTTGCTAACACTAAACCGGTTTGATAACTTTATTCCTATCCCATTCCCTCCCACTGGCCGTTACTCCGCTCTATGAAAAAGAAAAAAAAAATCGCGGTCTCTTCCCATTCTCTATTTCTCCATTAGCCCGCTAGATCCGAACCAGAAGAGCTCCGCTCCAGCAGAGTCAAATTGAGAGAGAAGAAGGAAGAAGAACGATGTTGCTGGGCGGAATCGAGGACGAAGAGAAATGGCTGGCGGAAGGAATCGCCAGCGTTCAGCAGAACGCCTCGCGCGCTGGTACTTCTCTCTCTCTCTCTCGATCAGTTTATCGGACTACTTCTCTGTTCTCTTCTCGCTCCGTTGAATTGCTTCAAAATTTTTGGCGGTGGAAAACTTAATTAATCTTCTCAGGACGCTAATAATCTCAGAGATGCTCTCAAGTACTCAGCTCAGATGCTTTCCGAGCTCCGAACGTCAAAGCTCTCGCCTCACAAGTACTACGAGCTCTGTAATTACCTCGCTCTCCGAACTCTCTTTGAAACTCGGAATTCTGGTTTCGTGTTTCATCGAAGGGGAGAGTTTTGATGGCGACTGAACATTTTTGGCGAGAATTTGTAGATATGCGAGCGTTTGATGAGTTGGGTCCGATTACACCATCAGGTTTGATGCTTATCACTAAATTATTGCTCTCTTTTACCATGTTATCGCCATGCATAGCACCATGATACTTTATTTTGCAATGCCATACAGGTAGAAAATGAATCATGAGAACATGATTTTTGGCTATGCAGGGTATTTTGGTGCTTGTGATCATTCATACTCTTTGGTGACATGAGTTGGGGTCTTCAATTGGGCTTTCTGGTCTGCAGGGACCTGGTCAGGATAGAGACAAGCGGGGAAAGGAAAGAAGCGAGCTCCGTGATCTTGTAATGATCTGATGTCATGCCCGTCAGTCCAGAAATATCAAACGTTATGTGGTGGCTGCAGTTTACTATATAAGTGATGCCTGTACTTTTGCTCTTGTTAGGTGGGGAAGAATCTTCATATTCTTAGTCAACTAGATGGTGTGGACCTTGAAGTGTACAGAGAGAACGTTCTGCCCAAAGTCTTAGAGCAGGTATGATTGGTTTCTTCTCGTGTTGCTACTTTGTTCTTCCCTTGAGGAGTCCATCGGGCCACGCATGTCTTGTTGTCTCTCAAGCGTCTAAGAAAAGTCCATATGTTGGTGCAGGTTGTCAATTGTAAGGATGAACTGGCACAGTATTACTTGATGGATTGCATAATTCAGGTCTTCCCAGATGAGTACCATTTGCAGAGCCTGGAGACATTATTAGCAGCTTGCCCGCACCTTCAGGTAGCTTGTTTTCCTCTCAAACGGCTCAATCAACATTTTGTCATTTGTTACATCAAATCCATGGCTCCGTCACTCAGAATGTATGGCATTTCTCTGTTATTATGTTATCTGGCACAACCTTAACACCGCAATACAAATTGTAATGACATATGGGATGCTATTTATGAAGTTGCAAGTCTAATGATTGAGGTTCTGGTTGAGGTGGTTTCTTCTTTTTTATGAATAAGACATATATTCTAAATAACCAGATTCCACCAAAGGAAATGGAACCTTAAATTAACATAGATGAATACCTTCTGAAACTAGTTTTGTAGTGCTTAAATGATGTGCAGTTAACATGGTGTTGGGTCTCTATGTGAAAGGAAACTTCTGTATGAGACACTTGTGTCAGGTTGACATACTGATTCTTCTCATGTTATTAGCAGCCAACTGTAGACGTCAAGACTGTTCTCTCTCAGTTGATGGATAGATTGTCCAATTATGCAGCCACCTGTCCAGATGTGAGTACATATAACTAGACCTCCTGTTATCTTCAATTAGCTTTATCCATCGTTCTTCTTCCAGGTTCTACCAGAGTTCTTGCAAGTAGAAGCTTTTGCTAAATTGAGCAGTGCTATTGGCAAGGTTAATCACTTTTGCTTTCTTGCTTGATTACCTCTGTTTTCTATGGAGTTATTATTTATTGCATAGGAACTGCTAGTCATAGGCTGACTGCTGCACGATAAATGACAGGTTATAGAAGCACAAGTTGACATGCCTATTGTTGGAGCCATTACGTTGTATGTGTCTCTACTTACATTTACTCTCCGCGTTCATCCAGATCGTTTGGACTATGTTGATCAAATACTGGTATATTTCTCTTCTGATGTGGTAATGCGATTCATGGTTATAAAAAAATACTTTGCTATCAAATTGCGATAATCTTTTCAAACCATGTGTATTGGCTATAGGGTGCATGTGTGAAGAAGCTTGCTGGGAAGCCTAGACTTGAAGACAAGAGAGCAACCAAACAAATCGTTGTACTCCTAAGTGCTCCTCTGGAGAAATACAATGATATTGTCACTGCTTTACCACTTTCAAATTACCCTCGTGTTATTGACCACTTGGATAATGAGACAAATAAAGTCATGGCTATGGTTATAATTCAAACCATCATGAAGAACAGTAGCTGCATTTCTACTGCTGATAAGGTTTATCCTCCACAAATTTGGAAATCGAGAATGCTTTCGGAACTTTTTATACGAATGTGTAGTAACTTGGTCATTGGTCTTTGTAGGTTGAGGTCTTGTTCGAATTAATAAAAGGGCTCATTAAGGATTTAGACGGAACAACTGCAGATGAGGTATGAAGTAAACGGTCCTGCCTTAGCCTGGTTTCTTTCTTTCAGAAGTTCCATTGCTATCCGTGTTCATAGTTTTCTTTGCCTATTCAACCTCGTCCCTTCTAAATTGGCATTGATTTCTATCTTTTTCTTGGCACAACAATCTAGCTTGACGAGGAAGATTTCCAGGAAGAGCAAAATTATGTTGCTCGCCTTATAAATATGTTATATAATGACGACCCTAGAGAAATGTTGCAGGTACTTTTTGATGATTTCTTGCTGCATTTTTAAAACATTAAACGTTCATGCTTTCATTTGGCTCACTCAGGTCGCCTTTTGTATTCAGATTATTTACACAGTGCGAAAGCACATAATGAATGGCGGGCCAACACGACTACCTTTTACAGTTCCCCCGCTTATATTTTCCGCACTAACGGTATGCATTTGTTTTGGCTGTATAATAATCTTTCTTTTTCATAACTAGTTTAAGGATCTGACCACCCCCACTGCCCCTTCCATCCCAGTTCCCACTCTTGAAGTTGAACTAGTCAGTTGTCATATCATTTGCAAATGCACTTATAAAGGCCCTGTGAGAGGACAAGTTTAGTATAGAATGAAGGCTTTTGGAAATAGGACCTACTATGTCTCAAGGTTTAGTTATCTTTTGTAGATTCTTGATGATGTGGAGGCTATTCTTTCAATTTATCAGGTGCAATACTTTGTGTTTGGCATTTGATTGTTTAAATTTATGTACATGGAACACAGCTTATTAGATGCTTGCAAGCTCAGGATGGAGATGTAGTGGGAGAGGAAGTGCCTGCAACACCAAAGGCTATTTTCCAGCTCTTGAATCAGGTAACTCTTTCGACACGTGATTTATCAGATGCTGTAATCATCGTGGAACCTGTAATTTATCTCTCAATGGGCTTAGTTAGTTGCTCATTGGGTAAAACATGCTCTCAAGTAGGATAGCATATTGGGATTAAGGAATTTTTATTCACATAGGTGGTTAGCCTTTCTGGAACCCGCTTGTTGTTTCTCTTGCATAATTGCCTTTTCAACTAGTTGAACACTGCCAGTATTGTAGTTTTAACATTTCTGATAAATAGCTTCTTGGTGGATACGGTGACATAATTTACTTTTCATCAGACTATTGAAGCTCTCTCTGTTGTTCCATCACCCGAGCTGGCATTAAGGTTGTTCCTGCAATGTGCTGAGGTATGTATGGTCGACCCTTTTGACAATTTTATAATTTAGAGATGAGGATGAAGACAAATAAATAGAATGAACGAGAGATGTTTGCACACATTTTTCACTCTCTTATAACTTCTTCGATAAACGATGGAGAATTTATAGATGAACGCACTGTTCACTCCATTTCTTCCTGGATTCTAATTTATGTCTTTTTTTTTTTAATAATCAGGCAGCTAACGACTGTGAGCTTGAGCCAATTGCTTATGATTTTTTCACCCAGGCTTATGTGTTGTATGAAGAGGAAATTGCGGTAATCAATTACTCTCTCGATCAATCCCTTCAGCTGTATTCTCTGAATCAACAATTCATTGAGAATGGTTCCTTAATCCCCTTTCTGCTGAAGAAATTTTGTTTTTATTTCTTGCAAATCAGGATTCCAAGGCTCAGGTAACTGCTATACATCTAATCGTTGGAACGCTTCAGAGGATGCAAGTATTCGGAATTGAGAACAGGGATACATTAACACACAAGGCCACCGGAGTAAGAATCCTCAACTCTTTCCTTCTCAGTAACTTGTTCCCTTTATTATACTAGCAAACCCCTTGAATAACTTGACTCTTCTTTCTTTTGCAAGTATTCTGCAAAGCTTTTGAAGAAGCCTGACCAATGCAGAGCAGTTTATGCCTGCTCCACCTCTTTTGGGTCGATGACCAGGAAGAAAACAAGGATGGAGAAAGGTCCTTTTTATAATCTGTATTTTCATCGGACTTTATATTCAGGTCAACATCTCTGACTTCGTGTGTCTTCTCTAATCTGTAATTTCAGAGTCCTGCTATGCCTGAAGCGAGCCTTGAGGATCGCAAATGCTGCCCAACAAATGGCCAACGCTGCCAGGGGGAGCAGTGGCCCAGTTACGCTCTTTGTCGAAATACTAAACAAGTAAAGCTCGGCCCTGACCCCAGCTTCGAAGTTGACATCGTTGTTGGTCAGGCTAATCTTTCCTGTGTTTCTGCAGGTACCTCTACTTTTTCGAGAAGGGCAATCCGCAGATCACAAGCAATATGATCCAGGATCTGGTTGAACTAATAACCGAAGAGATGCAAAGTGACTCTGTTACTGCCGATCCAGCTTCGTATGCTTTATTTGCCAGCACGCTCCGGTACATCCGGTTCCAGAAACAGAAAGGTGGTAGTATAGGTGAGAAATTCGAACCAATTACTGTCTGATTTCTCACATAACAAAAGGGTATCAGTTTGGTTTCATTTTCCGAAATCTGGTTATAGAAATGTGTGACGACAGAGGAAATGAGTTGGTGCTAAAATATGATGTTTGGCTGAAATCAGTGTGTTTATTGTTTCTTTGGCAATGCAAATTTTTAAGCATGGAAGAAAAATGAGGGAGGGAGGGTAGTTGAATGAGTCTTTGATTTGGTTTTGTTAATTGTCCTCTGTGGTGGTGGGTGGTGGTTTTGAATGGTGCTTGTTGGATTAGGTTTAGTCGAAACGTAGTTGGACATAGGAAGGTAAGTAATCCCGCGGAATTGTAAGCACGAAGTGTATAAATGGGATAGGTTTTTACATTTCATTTCCATTAGTCTGTCAAATTTGCATCTAGACATATTTCTGTTTATGTTTTTAATCGCTACTATATTTGTCACTTTAAGCTGGGGTATTTACTCTAGTAGCAACCGGTCATGGCAGATTGGATCGCTTTACTTTCACTCATTGTAGTCCCATACCTCCGTCAATTTCCTTCGGAGCTACTTTCGCCAACAGAATGACTTCACACTCTCGCTGGAAAATAATGAGGGGAATGTTGTCTAGTCACTCAATTTACGGTTTCACAAAGCCAGAACTTGGGAAATGCAGAACACGAAATGCAGAAATGGCACTCACTCGGTCGAGCATAAAAGTTTCCTGGGTTCATGCAGCTGGCCGATCTCCGTTTCGTTAAACACAAGATACATGCATCTCCTTCCCGGATCACTTACATCTGAACGATCAACAGTCCGCCTAGTTTATCTAAGTACCCTTTTCTCAGCCACTCAAGCCACTGTAGAATTATAACACAATCTCCATACAGCAATGACAACAAGAATACTTCAACAACGAACCTAAACAAAACATTTTTGTCTCATCCTTGCATTGCATAGTATCTTTCATCTTCCCAGTCATCGACGACCAGAACCACAAACCAAGACCCAAATAAACCCAGACATTTTGAACCTACGAAGAAGCTGACTGTTAACTCACACCACACCCACTACTCTCGAGCCCATGTCAAGTCATCAGACAGTTATGAAAACGTGTAGTGCTAACACAACAAGAAAGCATGCTCGAGAGGGAATGCAGTTCAAAATACAGACGAGAACATTATGTAAAAAAGCAAGACGAATAATGAGTCTGGAATTTCCATCCTAAGAACACAACCCTCAAATACTATACAATAACGGATTTCTCAGCTTCCCAATTTCAGGGCCAGATCGGAGGAAAGACGATAATGAGAAGTTACCTAGGGGGATAGCTGGGGAAGAGAGACTTTCTTCTCACTTTGGGAGAATCAAATTACAATATGGAACAATTCTTTTGTCCCTTTCTCTTCTTCTTCTTTTGCTTTGGAGGCTGGAGCACTACCTTGATGGCCGCATCAAACACCGCTTTCACATTCTGCAAAAGTAATAATATTGTAAGTTACCAAGATAGTCAGAATATTTAAGCATAGTTGCCTTGAAACAAAATGACAGAGCAGTGAGCTGGTACCTGCTGCGTTTTAGAGCTACATTCGATGTAGGCTGGAGCTCCAATCAATTTTTTGAGTTCCTCTCCCTTAAACAGAAAGCCAATAGTCAGAGACAAATTTCGGAAGAAAGGAGAGAGGCACTAGAAGATCTCAGGCTTGGCCTTTTTACCTGAGCAGTGGTAATAGGCACTGCACCAGGGTGGTCATTGAAGAATTGCTTATCATCTCGAAGATCTACACAGTTCGTGAAAGAATCAGAGGCATACATAAGTTTCAAGGAACTTCTTAATGGAACATTAGAACTGAAATAGAGCAGCGAAATGCTTACCTAGCTTTGTTCCGACAAGGATAATAGGAACCCCAGGTGCATAGTGCCTCAATTCTGGAATCCACTGAACTCAACAGCAAGAACACTTTTCATGAGCACTTAGAAAAGAAGGGATCTCTTGAACTACTATAAGCTGCCAACCAACATTTCCTGACCTTTTTAGCAATGTTTTCATAGCTAGCCTTGCTAATAAGTGAAAATGCAAGAATAAAGACATCCGCTCCTCGGTAACTCAATGGCCTCAGTCTATTGTAATCCTCCTGACCTGTTCAGGGCACAAGGAAATTTCCAAACCATGAAAGCTCACCAACCCAGCTGATATTACCATCAAACCGCTAGTAATAACACTGAAATTACCAGCAGTATCCCATAGCCCCAAGTTGACAGTGCTTCCATCCACAACAACATTCGCACTGAAATTGTCGAATACAGTTGGCACATAATCCTGGTTTTTCACCACAAACATACACGAAACAGCAGCAGTAAGCAACATAGATCAATAAATAAATGTTCGACGATAGCAGAAAAGTTCCACACATGGTGGAAAGGGAAAGGAGCAATGTGTTGTGGCCATTGACACTTAGTTTGGACCTGCTAAAATGAGTTATTTCTAATTTCCATCGAGATCAATTCAAGCTAAGTCAGGTCTAGCTAGTAACTACGATATTAACTTAAGAAAACAGCCAACAGATTGATAGTTCACTGTATTGACTGATGAGTCCACAATTCAACTACCAGGTCAAAGAGACACGAAAGCTTCAACGACCAGCAAACTGAAATTCCGACGATTCTTTAGCAATTCAGAGTCCAACATCAAGAAATTTCTTCCCTGAAGGATGAACAGGATTGAAATGTTTCAGCAGCTTGCTGCTAGGACTACAAGTTCATCAAAGAACGAACAAGTTCTCTCCACCATCGAGATTCAAAGGAAGTCAACAACTAACAAAGTAATCATCGAATGACTTCAGCTACAACCGCCAATGTGAGAGAGAATTCGGAAGACGAGCTGACTTAAACAGCCGATCTAAGCTATACTCGAATGAAAAGTCCGTCCAGCTCAAATTCGCGCCCTAATTGACCGCGGGAACAAAAAACAGGAAGCCTACGGAACTGAAGAGAATAACAGTAGATTTAAGCAACAAGAGATTTGAGTGAGACGCCGGGGGTTACCGTGGGGAAAGTGTTGCTAGTGTACGAAATAAGCAGGCAGGTCTTGCCAACGGCGCCATCGCCGACGGTCACGCACTTGATGAACCTCGACGCGCTCATTTCCAGGTGCAGCGGGTCAGATCTCTCTACTCCCGCTGAAAGCACCAAAGCGACGCAAAATGCTGCTGTTTCAGCTCGCCCCTTCGCGGCCTCAAGATTCGGAGTCAAATGACAGTCTCGGGGTCGACGAAGCTCATCACCAGCTGGAGAATTCCGGAGATCGGGGAGTCTAACAGCCGGCAGGAACCGCCATTGAAGGAAATGGGGAGTAGGTTTTGTGAACTGAATCAATGAGGTAGTAGAAGGATTCGGAGAGCAACCCTAACTTCTAGAGAGAGAGAGAAGATGGTGGTTTGAAATATGGTAGAGGAGAGAGGGAGCAGGCGAGGATTGGGTGATGGCTTCCTTTTCTTTCCTTTTCGAATTGAATTGAATTGAATTGAATTTGTCTTGCCTGCTCTGTCGTGGCTGTGTGACCTGCCCCGATTCCCATTGCCACTGCCACCTGCCCGTTTGGACAGTGCGCTTTGGATTTTTTTTTTTTTTTACAATTAATCCAACTTTTATTCCACTTTCGAACAATTAATGCAAATTACAATATCAAAGAAGATCAGAAATTAGATCAAAAATATTAATCCAGTCATCAGGCAGATTAGATCTCGCTTTTGATCGTGCCACCCAATCCGCTCTGACATTCAATGCTCGTGGCACCTCTATGACTTTAATGCCATGATTTATCCTGAGGATACTAATCATCGAACCAATCCATGCTGCACAGCGCCATGGTCATCCTGATTTCTCTTTATCCAATGCTTTCACCAGCACCTGACAGTCAGATTGGACAATGCATTCTGATCCATATTCTTGTGCTAATTTTAAACCTTCTAAGAGAGCCTTTGCTTCCGCTTCAATCGGGGTGGAACAAAGAAGAGTCTCAGCTCGCCCATCACACACTTGTCCATGGTGGTTAACCGCAACAACACCATAAGCCGCTGACTGGGAGTCGCTAAAGAACGACCCATCACAGTGAATCTCCATAGGATGATTACTTGGCGGGGAAGTCGTAGTGGAATGGGTTCCCCTAAGCTGAGTCGACGAGGCAGGGGTAGGGGGATTAGGCCTTGGGCAAGAAATCCATTCAGAGAGTTCTCTGTACGTTTGCAGACCGACGTTCGGGAGCCAAGGCTATTCTTGAACGTACATTCATTCCTTGCCTTCCATATATTCCAGCAAAGGAAAACGATATGGATAAAGGATTCTTGTGAAATGGTATCCTTAATAGCACAAATCCAATCAAAGAACGAAGAGTCCTGGGGAGGGAGAGGGATAGAAGGAAAGACGTTGATCCAAACTTCACTGGCATGAGGGCAGTAGAAGAGGCAATGCAAAATGGACTCGTTTAAGCTATTGCATACTTGACAATTCGGGTTTGGGGCACATTTCCGATGAAAAAGCCTCGCTTTAGTCGCCAGCCCATTCCTGGAGCACCTCCAGATGAAGAACTTAAGCTTAGGAGGGAGGTTCAGGCCCCAAATCCATTTCCATTTGTCCATAGTACCCATCGGTTGGAAGTTAGTGTTCGCTTTGTGAAAAGCGTGGTACGCCGTCTTAACCGAGAACATTCCTTCTTTTGTAAGATTCCAAGCCCAAAAATCATCAGCTCCTTCCTCCCCAATTGGAACTCTCAAAATAGCATCAAATTCCTCATTAGAAACGTGGCCTCTAATAGTGTCCGAGATCCAAACTCTATTATCTTGATCAATCCAATCTTTGACCTTTATCCTTTGTTGGGGCCCGCTTTTAATTGTGAAATTCTAAAGATTGGGAATCCATGGGTGCCGGGTTGGATCCGGTCCTTAAGCCTCATTGCTTAAGGAGGTTCTTAAACTATTTTTATTGGCTTATACTAGATTTGGTAGTTAATGATGTTTAGTAGTTAATATTTAGTTTGAATAAATAAAATATAAAAATATAATTAATATTACTCATTAATGATTCTTTTTCTCTCTCTCCCTTGATCTTCTCCATAACCCTCTCTCCCCACAACAATGAAAAGGAAATTTGAAATTAATTTAATTAAATATTATTATTTAATATTTAATAAATTCGAACTTAATAATTTTATTTCTTAAAATTAAAATTGAAAATTAAAAATATATGCTTTCTCTCACTTCGTGGCAATTTGCAAGGCATTATTAACATTTTGCAATGACATTATCAGCATTTATGAAATGAATCGTTATTATTATACCTCATCACTATTAGCGATTTCAATATACTTATCAATTCTTTACAATTACATTATTAACAATTTTGGATCCATTGTTACCGTTTTATGGTTTCGTCATCAACGCCTATGAATGAATCATTAAAGTTATGTAACATGGTCATTAACAGTTTGAATAACAATATCATTGATTTACAACATCTTTAGAACTAATGATTCACATTTCCACATCATGTTTATAACTATCTAGTCATGGTCTCTTTCAATGATTTCTAATGACATTATTAACGTTTTATGATCAATTAATATTGCTTTACATTATCATCCTCAATGATCATAAAGCACAATATTGATTTTCAACATCTTGGGTACTTGTGACATAGTGCACCTGTGTGATTCAGTCAAACAAACATTGTCAAGAAAAATATTAGCCCAAGCAAACCAACATTCACACCTGACACCAAACTTTTAATAACATTACAATAAATCATTGATAATGAAAAGTATTTCGTTGAAAATAAACACAAAACATCAATATAATAATGTCTGACTTCAACATTATAAAATGACATCAAACTTTTAATAAATATATTAAAAACCATTAATAACAAATGAGCAAGTCACTGATAAGGAAATATATTTTTGTAATAAAAAATATTAATAATATTTAGATTAATTGTTTAATGTTAAATAACACTAAAAACACATTAATAACTAACATGTGTTTAGTGGTTAGTGCAATAAAAACTTTGATAATGATAGCAACTAATAATTGTTAAGTACCTTATTAGATATTATTAATATCTTATTTTTTCAAACATTGATAATGCTTATACACATCCATTAATAATGACACCAACTACGTTACTAACTTAGCCTGAAAGGTTAATAACCATAGTTATATCATTAAACACAAATGCACTTTTGCTAATGTCATAAACAAACGAATACCTAACAAGTATGCTTCTTGATAAATTGATAATAACATTTGACAAAGTTACAAACATAAACGAAAATATGTTAATAATACAAATCAATGAAATAAATTGTTACTAATGGTTGTATTGTGCTTGAAAAATCAATGATAATAGCACTTCAAATGATTATAAATCATTGCAAACCAAATTGATAATACGATGTAATTGTAAATGAACTTTAAGTACCAACAAATTGAAAACACAATTTCACTTTTGCTAATGTTACAAACAAAACAAAACATAAAAAGTTAATAATTTCATATAACATTATTAAAAAATAAACCCGTTGGACAACATTAATAATAACACAAATGAATACCTTAAAACGAAAAATCCTAAACTCATGCAACGAAAAGCCCTAATGATGATTCAATTTATAAATATTGATAATGTCATTACAAAATGTTGATACTAAATTGCAAGTTGTCAAGATGTGAGAGAGCCCATATATTTTAAATTTTAAATTTCCATTTTTTAAAAGGTAAATTATTAAATTTGGATTTCATTAAATATTAAATAAAATTAATTTTGTATTTTTTATTAAAATGTAGAGAGATGGTTATGGAGAAAATCATGGGAGGAGAGAGAAAGAGAATCATTAATTAATAATATTAATTATATTTGCATAATCTCATTTACTCTTAACTACTTATTAACTACTAACCCCTTTTAACTACCTAATCCACTATCAACCAATAGGAAGACTTTAAGATTCTCCTTAAGGAATAAGACTTAAGGACTTGAACTCAAGCCGTCCCACCCAAGTATCCTTTCCCGATCCAATGACCTTAATTACCCCCAAATTCAAAACTTTTTACGCCTCCTAGAGACTTGCCCAGATCCATGAGGATCTACTTCCCTTCTTTGCATTCATGAAATCTCCTCGTGAAAAATAGAGTCCCTTAAGTAGGCAGCTCCAGAGGGAATCGGGAGAAGAAAGAAGGCGCCAAGCCTGTTTTGCCAAAAGTGCCATATTGAAATCTTTAAAGCTCCGGAATCCCAACCCCCCTTCAAATTTCGGAGCACAGAGAACCTCCTTTCTACACCAGTGCAAGCTACTTTTCTGCATAGACCCCGACCAGAAAAAATTGGTGAGGAGATAATCCATTTTCTTGTTAAGATTCACCGGGAGATGGAACAGATACATGATATAGGATGGGATAGCTTGAATAACGGCCTTTAGAAGAATTTCTTTCCCCCCGTGAGATAGTAGAAGGCTCTTCCAAGCTTCCCCCATCTTTTCCATTCTTTGTATGAGGAAGCTAAAAGTTTCTTTTTTCGAGTTGCCCCACTCCGTCGGAACACCAAGGTATTTAGAGTGGCAGTTTAAGGAGGCAAACCCCAAATGGGCAATGATGGATGCTTTTTCATCAACTGGTACATTTGCACTGAAGAAAATGGAGGACTTATTGATATTCACTTCTTGTCCCGTGATTGCTCCATAATTGCTGATAAGATCAAGAATTTTCCTTGCTTCCTGAATGTTAGCCTTCCCAAAAATAAATGTGTCATCTGCGAACAGACAATGGGTGTTAGTGGGACATCTAGAGTTCAATTTGATCCCTTTCAAATGTTCCTGAGCCACCTCCTTATCGATAAAAAAGGTGAGAGCATTAGACATAAGTATGAAAAGGAAAGGGGAAAGAGGATCACCCTGTCTGATGCCTCGCGACAGGGTAAAAAGGTCTGTTGCTTCTCCGTTGAAAAGAATCGAGAATTTGACCGACCGGATGCAAGTACTGACCCATTTACACCATCTATCTTCAAAACCATACTTCTCCAAAAGTGCCTCAAGGCAATCCCAATCCACCATATCATATGCCTTTTTCATATCCAATTTGAGCATCATATCTCTTCTCCTACCCCGCTTATGATTCTTGAAATGATGAAGCGCCTCGTGAACAATGATGATGTTATCTTGTACGAGCCTCCCTCCGGTGAATGCTATTTGGAGCTCCGAGATCAGGTCGGGTGTCCATTTCTTGAGGCGAGTTGCCATAATCTTGGATATAATTTTATATTTAAAATTACAACAGCTGATAGGCCGAAACTGATGGATCATCTCCGGATGGTCAACCTTTGGGATCATAACAATATGCGTATCGTTCCACCCCTCCGGCATGATGGCCGTCTAAAAGAATCCTTTGATCTCTCTACACAAGGTCTCTCCAATAATGTCCCAGAATCGGCGGTAGAAACTACCAGAAAAACCATCCGGACCCAGAGATTTCTTCGCTCCCAATGAGAAGACAGCTTTCCTAATCTCTTCATTTGAAACTGGGGCACAAAGCTCTTCATTCATCTCGCCGGAAACTTTATTAGGAAATCCATCCAGAAGGGTATTGGGCGGGATAGGATTTCTGGCTCTAAATAGATCTTTGTAAAATTCTTGTGAAATTCCCTTAAGTCTATTCTCGTCCTCAATCCAGTTTCCTACTTCATCTTTTAATCTAAGGACTCTATTCTTATGTCTTCTATGAATCGTGCTAGAGTGAAAAAAGGAAGAATTCTGGTCACCTTTTTGAAGCCACATCACTCTCGAGCATTGATTCCAAAATGCCTCCTCATCAAGCCAAATCTTTGATAACTCCTCCGTGAGTCTCTTCTCTTCCTCCACCCTTTCCTGTGATCTAGGAGGCCTTTGGAGAATGTCAAGACGTTCAAGAATTTCGTGTTTCCTCTGAGTCATATTTCTATGGTTGTCCTTCAACCACTCTTTTAGTTCACTTTCACATTTGTTAAGCTGGTGAGATGATTGGCCTCCCGGATCCCAAGCCCGGGTAACAATCTCCTTGCATTCTTCTTTTTCCAACCATCTTTCGTCGACCCTAAATGGGATATTCTTCCTCCTACTTTCTTTGCAGTGAAGCTCCAGTCTGATTGGGCAATGATCGGACTCCACCATTTTCTCGTGAAACACCACCGCTTCACCAAAGAGTGCTCTCCAAGAAGTTGAGCACAACACTCGATCTAATCTGACACACGTCGTATTCTGTCCTGTTCGCTTGTTAGTCCAAGTGAAGGGCTCTCCTTTGAAGCCCAGGTCAATAAGGGCGTTGTGGAAGATGAACCTTTTAAAAGGTTCCACATTTTCGTACCTAAGAGGGAATCTTCCCTCTTTTTCATTTTCATAGATAGCGGCATTGAAATCCCCTACAACAACCCAGTTATCATCCCTACTACTCCGAAGAGAGCTCAGGTGCTCCCAAAATTCCCTTCTACTACTAGTTGTAGAGGGTGCATGAACAAAAGTGCAGAAAAACTTCCTACCCATATCAATACTAACATCCATATAGTAGCTATCACTACTTAAAATACTAATACTAATACCCGCTTTCCACCATAACGCAAACCTCCTAGAAGAGTTAACCGGTTCAACATACTCTCTATTGGGGAAAATTTTGAGACTTCTTCTTTGCTCTTCCATGAAAACCTCATTCTTGCTAGTTTCCATAAGAAAAACAATAGAAGGGCCTAAACGTCTACATAGACGTTTTGCGTAACTTCTTGTAAGGGGTGGGCCAAATCCCCTACAATTCCAACTTACAATGCTCATTCCCGGAGAGGTAGCTTCTGGCGAACCACCGCTGCCCTCGTGTCCCTTCCTTGCTCCTCTTCAGATATACCCTCCCTTGCGCTGTTGATCGAGTGAGCTCTGTATTTTTTATTCTTCTTCTTGTTGTTTTTTTCCCCAGGCCCTCCCATGAACACCATCTCTGCTGGGCCATATGGAATTTCGGCCAACTCATTTTTGCCACTACTGGGCCTGTCCCTGCTCTTCAGGCCCGTCCCTTTTCTTTTCTTTTGTCTGCAGCCCATCTCCTCCTCCAAAGCCTCTTGTTGGTGCTGGTACAGATATATATCTGTTGGGCCTAGGTTACCCAAGCTTTGGGCTCCTCCTGCTCCTCCCACTTGTTGCGTCGGCCCTAGGGTTAGGCCCGTTTCCACCGTCTCCTCCTTCGTTCCTGTTTGGCCGGCGCTACCCTGGGACCTTTCTTCTTCCAATCGAAGACTTCCCTCCATAGCCGCCACTGGTCTTTCCAGCTCCAAACTCAGATTCCTTGCTCCCATCTCCTCTCTATATCTCCCTCTCTGTCTCCCTTGATTCTCCTGCTCCTCCCTATTCTGATGCCCCATATCGATCCTTCTGATGGTGAATCCAGGGGGAATTTGTGGGTTCCTCTCCGCTTGAACTCCTCCTTCCCGCGCAGCCACACCATCTCATTCTACCCCCCGCCGCTGATAGTCCCCAGACCTTGATCTGTCTCTTCCCGACTAAGAATTCTGAGACCCTTCCCCTTCTCTGCTATTTCTGAAGTTTCCCGATCTGTTTGGAGAGTCTATCCCAGCCTTGAGTGATGCGTTGTAAACGTCCGACAGGTAAGCCACCCCATTCCTCTTCCTCTCCTCATCCATTCTCCAGCAAGTCGGCCAGTTATGGCCTATCTGCCCACAAAAGTAGCACAGTTCCACGAGCCTCTCATACTTAAAGTCAATCACGTCGCAGTAATCCACCCCTGTTTTTTCATCTGTGAATGGGAAATCGAATCCTGTTGGAATCGGCTCCCTGAGATCCACCTCCACCAGAATTTGCAGGAATCTTCTATAACCTGTAAATTCCAGACTAAATCTGTCGAGATTGAGGAAGCCTAGGAAGTAGTGGGTACCTATTGCCACCATATTCTGTTCATTCCTTTAGTCTTGGTGCATCCCATGGATCTGCACCCACATTGCTATCTTCTCCAAAGGTATTTCCTCTGACTTCCCTCTCCCGTTATATTTCTCTATAGCAGTCAAAGTGTTTGATAAGCTCCATGGTCTGTCTCTCTAGATTCTTTCTCTAATCTCCTGGTTAATGAAGGTGAATATGAAGAGGTTTTGAGTCTCAGTAGGTTGAACGTTTACCTCTCCATACCCACCCCAAGCATAGCGAGCTGCTCCTGCTGCTTTTGCCAGAGCCACCATGTTTTCAGTCAACATCCTCCCCAGCAGCATGGAGATTCCACGACCACCAGTGGAGATCAGGTTCGGGCCGCCACCTCTTCCTCTTGTTGTTGTTGGGATGACTCCACCAGCATTCCTAGCTTCATTATGCGCCATACTGTTGGTATCCATTAGGATTAAAGAGGGATTAACTGATTTTTTATGCTTTGTGATTTTTGCAGGGGAAACCAGAGTGTAGAACCGGAGCCAGAGGAGACGGAGGGGATGTTTTCTTTTGGAAGCAAGAAGACTTCTCATTTTATCCTCGTCATCTTTATGTCTCTTGCTAGGTCGTTGAACCATCCACCCTTCTTGATGGCGGTAGATAACAATCCTTTCAATGCCTTCATTACTCCTCTGTTGACTGAGCTTTACCCTGCTCTATTTCTTCCCTATCGTAGCAGGGGCTCTTGGCTCGAAATCCTCCCTGCCCTGTACTTGAATATTAGTATTATTTTCATAGGATAGCCTCTTCGGTCTTCTATTCCCTTCCTTCCTTTTCTTCTTCTTCTTGATATGGCAATAAAGCCTACACCACCACCAGTCTGGTGGCTTCCAAACATCACCTCTATTTATGATTCTCGCTGAACCTCCCCTGTGTTGTCTTGTCTCTTTTCGAATATTTGCTTGTGGAATGCAGTTGTAACTTCCCTCCCCTTGGTATTCTCTACACTGTAAGATCTCCTTACACAAAACTAGTTGATTCTTTCGAAATCTCTATGTGAGAGCTGGATGAGTCCCACCCACGGGGACGGAAAAAGAACCATTGGAAGGTTCAGAGAAAAAGCCCGTTAGAGAGAGAGAGAGAGATGAGAGAGACATAACTTTTTCCCTCACAGCTTATTGCGCTTTGGATTCACCTTCTTTCTTTTGCTGGGTTTTTTTTACGGGAACTGCTGTTTTTTTCGTACAGAGGAATACGTTTTCCCTCTCTTTTCTTTGTTTTGTTTTGCTGAAACAAACAACTATTTTTTTTAAGACGGACGAAAAGACGTCCTAGTTCATAATATTAATAGATTGATTCATGGGGATGGCCATGAAGTCGTACAACAACCAATTACAAAGATTTGGTCCATACACATTGAAGGAATGTGTAACCAAAGGGGTTAGATGACCCTTGCTTCAAGTCATCGACAACATAATTACCTTCTATATATATATATATGGGAGATTTTAACTTCCCCAATCAAAATAAAAAAAACTTTCCAATACGTGCCACAATGAGACCATGTTGATGGTCTTTGTCCTTGTGGTTCTTCATTATGCTAATGGCAGTAGAAGAATCCAGCTTGAGCTCAACCTTGCGGAATCCTTGCTCCCAAGCTCTCTGAAGGCCAACTTCAGCACCTTTAAGCTCAACCATGATAACCGAATAGTTCCCCAAGTTGCAGACAAAAGCATCAAGGCATCTGCTGAGATGGTCGCAGATTAACCCTCTTGGTGCTGCATTCCCTGAGTTCTGTAACACTGATCCATCTGTTTGGATTTGGATCCAATATTCTCTAGGAGTTTCCACGCAATGGGTGTGTAAATATACTGGCTTTTAGGGTGAGTGATGCTTTTCCCGTTGTTGTTTATCGCCTAGTGGTAAACACGAATCCAAGAAATGATCCTACTGATAAGCCCTGTTTCAGAGAATTTCTTCACGTCCATTGTTTCATCATTCCTCTGCTTCCAAATAAGCCAACAGGTGATTCCAAAGTCAATCCCTCTGTCAGCATCCTTGAGGTTGTCCATCATCAATTGTTTGAAGCACCTTAGGTCCTGTGGTGAATGGCCAATCCTGAAGAATTCCCAGACTCCCTCCATTTTTCTGCAATGTCTGATGATATGTTTAATAGTTTCGAGCTCACCATTGCAAGCTTTACAGCTTCCATCAGATGACAGCTTTATGATCATTCTTTCATGGTTGGTGAGGACCTGATTATGCAAAACAAGCCAGATAAAGTGTTTAACTCTGATGGGCCCTATCCATTTCTAGAGCACCGTCCATTCTGTTTGATCCTCTTTTCCAATCTCATTGGCAACGATCAGGTAAGCCGATTTGAGTCTAAATCTCCCGTCCTTCTCAAGTCCCCAGATTGTAGTATCTTATCCCACATCTTGGGTTGGAGCTTTTAAACCTGCAATACGTGCAAGACAAGAATTAGGAAGGAGATTTTAAGCTTAGCCCAGTCCCACTCACCTTGGTCATTCACCATATCAGTAATAGTAATACTTCTTTCTTCCTCTGCAAGGGGCTTAAGGCTGAAATCTTCCAGGATCGTCTCGTGGTCAATCCAAGGGTGATTCCATAACTCTGTCGTTCTCCCATCCCTGATACTCCAAATAATAGCTTTCTTCATCAGCGGGTAAGATTTGAGGATGCCTCTCCATAGACTTGAGTGATTGCTGGTTTTCATTCCCACTATTCTTCCATCTCGTTGATGGAAATACTTCCCCTGCATCACTCTCACCCGGAGCTCATCTTTGTTGTTCAAAATCGTCCACGCCAGTTTAACCATGTAGGCCAAGTTGAGACTTCTAGTTGATCTAAGTCCCAAACCACCTTATTGTTTTGGGCTGCAGACCTTGTCCCATGAGATGAGGTGCACCTTCCTCTTTCCTTCTTGTGACCCCCAAACAAACCATCTAATCCTGCGATCAATATCATCACATACAAAAACAGGAAGCATGGTAGTTTGCATACCATAAGATGGAATCGCATTCAGAATAGAGAGTGCGAGGGTGACTCTCCCAGCAAGGGGACCAGATCAGATCAGTAACTGATGGGTCAGTAACCCATCAGTAACCCCTTCCCTTGTCTCCACGTGTCAGTCCCTTTTTTATTTAAATTAAATGTGAAAGGACAGTAAAGTAAAATTGCCCTTTCCCCTATTTATTGCCAATCCTGACTTTTGACCAGACCACGTCAGCGCCTCCTCTCTCCTCGAAAAACCTTTAATTTTCATTCTCTTAATCTTTAACAGATGATTTCTCACTCGTTTTAAGTCGGAATTTAATTTTTTTTGCACAGTTAGATCAAATTAATTGTGCTCTTCAAAATGATATCCACTTTGATATTTTTTGGACATAAAAAAATTTGCGAGTTATTACCAGTCATACCATATGGTATTGACTGGTATTAAATAAGATCATACCGTTACCACCCAATACCATATGGTATAGTGTGGTAATATCAATATATATATTTCGTTACCACCCAATACCATATGGTATAGTGTGGTAATAGTGGTAATATCAATATATATTTCGTTACCACCCAATACCATATGGTATAGTGTGGTAATATCAATATATATTTCGTTACCACCCAATACCATATGGTATAGAGTGGTAATACCAATATATATTTCGTTATCACCCAATACCATATGGTATAGTGTGGTAATATCAATATATATTTCGTTACCACCCAATACCATATGGTATAGTGTGGTAATACCATATGGTATAGAGTGGTAATACCAATATATATTTCGTTACCACATAATACCATATGGTATAGTGTGGTAATACCAATATATATTATCTAAAAGAAAGGGGAAAAAACAAAAGGAGGGAGAGAAAAAAAAACTTGTCTTCTGTCTCATCTCATTTCATCCGCAACCAAAGAACACCAAACGCCAAAAAAGGAGAAAGATCGAAATTAAAGCCAACGAGTTGATGAAAAGAAGAACCGCAATTAAAGAGGGTGAATTCAATTTTTATTAGTCGATTGCTAGAGAAAAAAAAAGATGGAAGAGAGCAGATCTAGATTTGAAAAGGAGATTGTGAGAGAAAAAGTAAGAGAAGAAATAGAGAAAGGATCTGGAAAGAGATTGGAAAAAGGAAGAGAGAAAGAAGAAAATAGAGTTGCAGAGAAAAGATTATTCTTTCTCTTTCATTGAAAAGTCAGACATTGAAATGCGGAATAAATAAAAAAAGGTAAAAATACAAAAACGGACAAAAATGCCCCTCCCCACCTCCGCGTCCAGCCAACCACCCGATTGCTCCATCCCCATATCTATGGTTCCCGTGTATTTACTGATAGGTCAGTAACCATTGGTTACTGACCCTATCCCAAACCCCCAGCAAGGGAGAGGGTCATTGCTTTCCAAGCTGAGAACTTTTTTACCAATCTTCTCCAAAATTTACTTGTAGGTGTTCTTGGAGATTCTCCATGGAGGGCAGGAACCCTCAAGTACCTTCCAAGGTCATCCGTTTCTTGAACTCCCAGCTTGTTACATATCTCCCTATTCTTGGTGTACTTGGAAAAGAAGACTCTTGACTTGTCTTTGCTAATCATCTCCCCTGAAGCAGCACAGAACACTTCAAGAAATTTCATCACAACCTCAGTCTGTCTCGGATTCGCTTCAGCAAACAACACCAAATCATCAGCGAAGAATAAATGTAAAAGAGGGGGTCCCCCTGGTGACAAACACAGAGGTTTCCATTTCTTATCCCTCGCATCTTCCTCAATACAGTGGCTCAGCCTTTCGACACAAAGTGTGAAGAGGTAAGGTGACGGGGGCAGCCTTGGCGCAATCCCCTGTTCGGAGAGAAGCTTTATGATTCACCATCATTCCAAAGCACCTGCAACTGGGTAGCGGAAACACATTGCATAATGATTAAAAAAAATAGGTAGGGAAGCCGGTAAGAATCAGAGTTTGCTCGAGGAATTTCCAATTGATGCAATCGTAAGCTTTCGCGAGATCAATCATCATGAGCATCATTCCTTTCGCCCCTGTTCTCTTGGCCATGGTATGAACCGTTTCTTGCATAATCAGAATGTTACAAGTTTAGGCATTAGCCCTTTGATCCTGTTAGCCAAACACTTACCCATAGTTTTGTAGGCAACATTGCAAAGGCTAATTGGCCTAAACTCTTTCATGGAGACTGGGGCATCTTTCTTTGGGATTTAAGACCAACATTGTATCATTAATCGTTCTGATGCGGTTGTGGAAGGTGAATCACTCCTGGATGAATTTGCAGAAGTCACCCCCAACCTTCTCCCAGCATCGTTGGAAGAAGAGTGCATGAAAGTCGTCAAAAAAGGGAGAGCTATAGAATTGAATTCATTATAGTATAGGACTTGTTGGATGTTTTTGAAAATTAAAAAATCTCATGCCGCTACTCGGACTCGAACCGAGATGCTCTAATACATTGGCTTTTAACTTTTATGAGACGACTCATAAACCTTACATATTGGAATCATATATCATTGCTATTCGTTTTCTCTTTTTCTCTCACCCTTCCATTTATCCGCATAATTTTCTATTTTTGCTTTACAATTCAAAATTCAATTTGTTTTTTTTATGCAAAAAAAGCTTTTCAGTACTACTTTTATATCATAAATTTAAATCTATCATATCTTGGCTGTTTCTTTCCATCCGGATAATGTGAAGTGATGAATTGCTTATTAGTTTTCTAGTTATTAGTTCATATCATAATTATCATAACATAATAAGGGTCAACTCTTTTTTTCATAAAAAACTAACGAGTCACACACTAAGCATAGCAATTATAATTAGATCAACTTAGAAATCAATTTTTTTTATTCAACCTTATAAAATTTCTCCTTTTTTGCTATGATTCAATGAAACATTTTATCATTTTTTTCTATCAATATATAGGTATAGAATGCAAAGACAAATTAACTAAGGGTTTACTAGTCCTCGTCGATAAATATCCAAATTTTTATACCTAATACCCCATAAATAGTTCTAACTGTATAGGAACAATAATCAATTTTAGCTCGAATGGTTTGTAAAGGGACCCTACCCTCTCTAATCCATTCAACGCGTGCAATCTCTTTTCCGTCAAGACGCCCCCCAATTTGTATTTGAATTCCTTTCTTTCCCCGGTGCCTTCAGCCCATTCATCTCATTGATGATGGCTCTGATCTACTCGTTAAATGGAGGGCCACTCATCCTGGAGAAATGTTGCTGGCTAATCACAGGGAAGAGACAGGGGATGAGGATGTCCGTTGGTTAATCATCACTATTAAACAGGTTGCAAGAGTAATCTCTGGCCCTTTTAAGCAGGACTTCCGGGTCTGTGATCCAGGTTCCATCATCCGACTTGAGAAAAGTGATCCTATTTCTCTTCCTTCTAGTCCGTGTATTGTATGAAAGAACCTGGTGTTTTAGTCATCAAACAGAATCCAATTAGCCCAGACTTCTGTATCCAAAGAATCTCCTCCTGCCATAGAGTTTCTTCAAGCTCTTCCCTGATCGGCTGCTCCATCTCAAGGGAGCTCCTACTTTGGGAAGTTTCATTGAACTTCTCAATTTTCTGGAGGCGATCAGACATGAGTCTCTTTATTTTGAAGATATTTCCAAACGTCTCTTTGTTCCACGCTCGAAGCTTCTCAGACAGTGCTTGCAATGACCAAGGGAAATCAGAGCGACAATGCCAAGAAAGAGAAAGGAAAGGAAAGAAGTCTGAGTGTGCGAGCCAGGGGCCAATAACTAGAATTGTCTCACCCGTTTGGTCTTGCTTTGCTGTTCGACATTACAGGTGAGGATGGGCTATGATCTTATTTGAGTTTGATCAAATTCAGTGTCGAAGTTGAGGGAAACTGTTGGATCCATTCCAGGTTGCAAAGACTCCGATCGAGTCTTTCTCTGATTCTGGAAAGCTTGGTAAACTATGTGAACTTGGGTCCTGAGAACCCAATGTCCACAAGTCCGCAATCATTGATGCACTCATTGAAGTCTCTAACTTTGGCCTGGTTAAAGGGAGCTCCACCAATCTTTTGAGAAGGCCGTGTGATGGAGTTGAAGTCTCCAGTTAGGAGCCATGGAACCTTAGTTCTTCCTTCAATATTCTTGATATACTGCCAAAGTTCTTTTCGGTCGTGATCATTAGGGATAGCGTAAACAACAGTGATCACACCCACTTCCTTGTTTCCACTACAGTAGCGTAAATGAATGAGCGGCTTCCCGCAATCAATAAGCTCCAGGTTAATCTGTTGACTATCCCATATAACCCAGATTCCTCCACTGAAGCCCGCTGCATTAGAGATTTCCCATGACTCAAACCCTAAGGTTTTGATAACATCTAAAGCGTCTTTGCCACTAATGAGAAGACTTGAACTTATGGTGCTTGGCATCCCTACAGTTCCAGGAGAGGATCTTAATCATCATTAATGATGAAGAGAGAGCCTCCTGCAACACCCCAGGAGAGGTAATCATTTGGAATCGACGACCATTGTCATCGCCCCGTTGTCTTTCCTGCTCACCGTCTTGTTAGACGATTTCGAGCTGGTACACTGTTTCATTTCTTTGCCCTCCTTTGTCGGGCTGAAGGAAATCTTTCTGGAGGAGAGGGACTCTTCCTTTGGTTATGAAGAAAAATAATGGTAGTATTGTGACAATCGACCATTAAGCGACCATTAAGAATGGTTTACCAAAAAATTAGTATTTTACCACATCGATTATTATAATGATTTTAATGAATTTATAAGTATAGTTCAACATTACACATTAAATGAGCTAGCTCGGTCATATTGGATTAGGTTTTTGGACCTAAGTGTCCAAACTCCCTCTTCTTGGCCTAGGTGATCGATCACCCTCATAGCCTCGATTATCGATGTTGCCTCCCCCTTGTAAAAAGTGAGTTGGCATGAAATAGGCTTAATTGCAAGTTTGGTCACTCGAATTGCTATAAAATTTCACGTTTGCCACTCAAATTAATTTATTCCATTTATAGTCACTCGAATTAGTTGAACAGTTCAAGTTCGGTCACTCTCTGTTAACCTCCGTTAACTTTGACTGACGTGGCGGTCAACTCTGACAGTTGACCGTTAAATGTGTGACGTGGCAAATAAAAAATAATTAAAAAATAAAAATTAAATTTTTAGAAATTACACATCATTATAACAAAAATTTATAATTATAAAAAATGAAAAAAAGGAATTAAAGGAGTTGTCCATGAGCAGAGCATTCTCCAGCCTCGCAATCACCGCCTCCCCTTCCCCGCACTTGTCCATAAGCAGCGCATTCTCGAAAAGAGCCTCGGACGACAAAGGATTCACAGCGAGAATTTCCTCGAACACCTTGCGGGCATTCTGGGACTGACCCATCTCGTTGTACAATCTCGCCATCAGGAACTTCCACTCCACCGCCGCGGGCTGGGCGGCGACGAGGCGGGTCAGGATCTTGAGCGCCTCCTCGTCTTCCCGGCTCTCGAGCTTCTGCTGCAGCAGGGACTTCAGAGACTCGACGGCTTCGGCGTTATCCACGAGAAATTCGGACAAAGGAGAGGCAAAGGAGGAAGAAGACGAGGACGAAGAAGAGTCCTCATCCTTCAGCTCCACAGCGGCTGGGTTCTTTGGCTCCAGTTGCTCTTCGATGGTGGCCGGGGTTTCTTCAGCTAGAGTAGCTTCAGCTGCTGCAGGGGGTTCGGCTTTGGCAGGGTGGAGAACAGAGAAATGGGCGGCGATGGAAGCAGAGGCGGCGATCAAGACGGCGGTTTTGGCCAGGGTTTTAAGGCGCTGGATGATTAAGGGTGGGTATGGGTTTGGTAGGCATGCTGTAATGGTGGGAATGGAAGAAGGTTGCGGGTGGGCGAGCTTGGTGGAATTGAGACGATGGGGGAGTTGGGAAGTTGAATTGAAGGAGGAGAAGGGGGAGGAAGAAGAAGGTACTTTGAAATTGAGGAAGGAAGTGGTGAGCGTTGAGTTCATTGTCGGAGGACCAATGGCGATCCTTTCCTTCCTTGTTCGTAACTCCTTTAATTCCTTTTTTTCATTTTTTATAATTATAATTTTTTTTGATAATGATGTGTAATTTCTAAAAATTTAATTTTTAATTTTTTTTATTTGCCACGTCACACATTTAACGGTCAACTGTCAGAGTTGACCGCCACGTCAGTCAAAGTTAACGGAGGTTAACGGAGAGTGATCGAACTTGAACTGTTCAACTAATTCGAGTGACTATAAATGGAATAAATTAATTTGAGTGGCAAACGTGAAATTTTATAGCAATTCGAGTGACCAAACTTGCAATTAAGTCGCATGAAATATGACTCTAAAAAACTAATTATGGGAATGATTCGGGCTTAGTTGTACACTTTTTATCCCCGTTTCTCTTTGACGTTTGTGGCAACTGGGCTCCAAAAGGGGTGGTTTTACGCTAGGTTTCTTGTGTTTCAATTTGTTTCAGAGTCTAACAGGCGAAACCAACCCCGGAGTCGAAAGTTGGAAGAAAAGGAGCAAAGACTGGGCAAAGAGGAGAATTCAGCCAAAGTTTACAGTCCTGCATTAGAGTTCATGGTCGCCAGTACCGTGAACTAGAACCACAAACTGTGAATAGCGAAGCGTCCAGAGGGGTTTCTGAGGTTGCTGACGCCAAGGCAGTTCATGGTCGCTAAGACCATAAACTGGAACCACAAACCGTGAACCCCAGAAGTGAAGCGGTGTGTTTTGATCCAACTCACTGAGTTCACGGACGCGTTCTGATGTTCATGGTCTTGAACTGGGGCCTTGAACTGGGCATGATCTCAGTATAAAATGAAGAGCTGAAAGGAAGAAGAGGGAGAGCCCAAAGTGAGAGAAAACTGCTTCTTCTTGAAACCCTAGAGAGATAAAGTCACAAACCAAGAGGGAGAAGAGGCTAGGGTTTACTCCAAATGAATATTTTGGAAGCTCCTCTTCTTTTGAGGATCTATACAAGCACAAAGAGAGTTGGAGGCATCACAATGATGGTTTCTTACTTCCTCTTTTGTGTTCTTCCTTTGTCTAGCATGGAGTAGTTTCCCTTTTCACTTGGGTGTTGTAGAACCCTAACTACTATCATTAATCGATTGTGTTGATTGAATGATTGTGTGATGGTGGTGTTTGATTTAAGAATTGAGGTATTTTTCATGGTGATTGTGCATATTGTTTGCTTGGCAATCTATTGTGCTATTCTAACCTAGATTAGAGAGAAGCCCCCTTATCTTAAGAGGCTTAAAATTGAGCTGGGTTTTCTTAAGCATTCCATGCATCCTAACTAGGTTAATGAAGGGCAAACCTCTACTTGAATTAGACACCTAGGTTGATTGTGATTATCTCGTCCAAGCCTTGGTTTGAGGGAGAAGGTAAGTCAACCTTCAATTGCTTGCGCCAAGAGGGCTACAATTGTAGCCTCTAATGCTTACCTTGGCCTAGCAATTGAGAGGATGGTTTCAAACCATTGTTGCACCTCCTAAGGCTCACAATTGGCTCGTCACACACCTGTCCATTCGATCCCACGGTTCATGGTAGTTAGTTAGGGGGAAACAACACGTGAGTGAAGCTTCTCACCAAGAGTTTTCCACCCTCTTACTTTTCAAAGTCTTGCTTCCAATTCGTAGATTGTAGAGATTTCAGCAAACAACAATCCGCTAGATGATGTTTCAAACAATTGAAGTAGGGGTGCATGGGCCAGGCCGGGTTGATATTTGAACATACTTGCCATATATTGCACCCATCTAAGGTTTATACTTGGACCTTAGGTGGGATTTTATTGTGATAGTCGGAGCGAGTCAGGGAACAAGGCAGGCTTGATAGCAGGACAACTTAGAGAGTCATCCAAAAACTAAGTATGAATACCAATCTTGCCCACAAGGCATGCTTGGTAGCCAGCCAATAGGGTACCAAGCCAACAAGACAGGTTTTGTGGTGCCAACTAGATGCGGCTAAAAAAACTAAGTATGGAGATTAGTTTAATGGAACGGGCTTGGTGAAAATGGAGTACCAAGCTGACAGTGTGGCAAGCTATCAGCTTAATGGGGCTCCAAAAAAACTAAGTCCATATGCCAAGCTGCCAAGACATGCTTGTTAGCCAGGCAATAGGGTACCAAGCTGACAAAACAAGTTTGGTACCAAGATATGAAATTTGACTAAATTTGGAAACAAGACAGACTTGGTTGCCAACCAAGAGGGTACCAAGTCGGCAAGGCAGGCTTGGTACAAAGACATGAAATTTGACTAAGTCTGGTAGCCCGACAACTGGGTACCAAGCCAACAAGACATACTTGGCAGGGAGATATGAAATCCTCCCGTCAAGATGGGTAACAAAGCTTAGTTAACCATAATATCTTATTAAATCTCATCAAATAAATTTTTTACTTACTTTTACTAAAACGTAACAATAGCTACATTATGATGAAAAATAAATAATAATAAAAACACACAAAAACCTAAATAATTATATTTTTAATAAATAAAATATTATCATAATGGATAAAGATAAAACATCCAGTTGACAACTAATTGAATTTAAAAAATAAACTATATGACTTTATATTTTTGGGTATCAGACACTCTCTTCTTCCAAATATGTATGTCTATCCAATAAAACAAGTATATAGCAAACTGTCTGAATATAAACTTGAACAAGCAATAATAGTTATTTCTTGAAAGCTTCTTATTAATTCCAATTAAGCGAAAAACATATGTTTATATTCTACCTTAAATTTGTCAAATGAAGAGGAACCACATGTCCAATAATGTATAATGTGTCATAAGCTCACATTAATAATTTTTATTCTAAATCATATTGATTGAGCAAGCTATCTATTGAGGTCTTAAGTCGTACGCTAAAAAAAAACTCAAACTTGGAGTCATTGTAGAGGATTATAAATCAAAATTTTTGAATTAACTTAAGTATGATAGTTGACGATCTTTGAAATTCATACCCTAGGCCGATACATGAGATACCTTAAAAAATGACATGTGTGAAGGTTAGAAAATTTTTCATGGAGGATGTATGATAAACATCACATTTCATCAACCATTGACCTAGACATTGATCAAATAAGGGGTGGAAATTTTCGTTTAATAGTTGGATATCTTGGTAGAAAAATCAAAATTCAAGGATTGGTGCAATAAATAAATATCAATGTGTTAGTTGATATATCTAAATAAAAAGCCTTTAGTTACTAGAGTCAAAACCGAGGTATTGGGTTAAAAGTGAAATATTTTTTAATAAAAATGAATTCAGTAAGACAATTGTAAGAATTCTTTTGATTATGTGGTTGTGAGCCTATAACTTCACACAAAATTTTGGTATTAACAAAGGATTTATGATATCAAAGTCTCAAAATAGAAATATTGTAGTTTCTAATAGACTAACCGTAAGCAATTTGTATTTACTTTTAGTTATCCTAGCCACAAAATTTTGCTTTTGTATTCCTAGCAACGAGCCAAGTTCAAATGTATTAATTATGGTGAAAAAGTTACATAAAATCTTTATATATATGCTTAGATATTACCAATAAATGTGTCTACACTATATGATAGAATTCAAATGCATGTGAAATGTCACAATGTTTGCATGAATATTTATTTATTTAAAAAAGTTCAAAATTTATAAATTAATTTTTCAAGCGTTACATTGTTTAAAATGCACCTAAATCTGTGTGTTGTACACACACTTTATGAATTATTAATATAAGTAATTTAATTTTTGTTCCAAAACAAACACCAAAGATAAATAAATTTTTTCAAAAAGTTTGAAAATTATACACTAAAAGACCATGTTAAGACGATAACCCTTAAGTGTATGTGAGTATCCTGAATTGAGATTGTAAACCAATATCAAGTAACAACCATGAGTTAAGGGTTAGTTCAAACTTCAAGAATTAGCAACTGATGTATATAGTGTGTATTCTATGAGTCATTTTCTTTTAAAAAATCTAATCAATGATGATGAAAGCCCTAAACCGATTTCAGACTTATTCCCCTCCCATTCAAACTTTCCCTCGACTGATGATGATTTTCCATAACCTCACAACCCACAACAACCACCTTTTCACCAGAACCATCACCACATTGGCACATACAAACCTTGATCACCCGCATACGCCTTCCTCCCCTTCAAACACAGAAACCACCAGTTAAACCAACCCATCACCTTCACCACTCAAACCACTTCCAAAAACTCTTGTCCTTGGAAGATCAAACCGTTCATCGGAGGCCCCATCTCATCCTACCAATCATAGTACCGCTGTTATTTGAAATGGGTTACGGTGCCAACTTTTTAAAGGGTTTCGCATTGACAATTTACTTCTTCTTCCTTCATTCTCGCATTTTAAATTTACAATCATGACTGCTCTGTGATAGTTTTGGAACAAAAATAATATCGATATATGAATTTGCATATCTCTCTCCCTAAACCCTAAAGAATCATATTGCTTTCTCTCTCCCCATCGGGGCATCACTCAAATCTCAACCCTTTAAGTCTCCCGCCCGCGGCTGGATGCTGGTCACTATTGTTGCCTGTCAGTATCTCTAATCACCATCGTCACATTAAAACCGGTTCAGTAGCCGGCCAAGACAAGGACAATGATCCTTAACAACAGCATCATCCATTGAACCAACTGCTTTCACTTTCATTGGCGAAGTAAAGCCGGTACGACCGAGTTCCCTTATTCTTCTGCTTTTTCCACAACCCCTATGTCGTCTTACTTCATCTCCAATCCAATTAGTCCTCGTAGCTCCAATTCAGCTACTTTCGCCATCATAGATTATGCATTAGGCGATAGAGAGGGATGAGATGGTCGTACCGCTTCTGGGACCATGATATACACCACTAGGGGGATCCGCCCCAAAAGCTTTCTCCGAGAAGCCTCGACTTTAAGCTCTTCCCCCAATGCCTATAGCTACTGGGTATGTGCTGAGTGGCAAGATTCATTTAATCGGATGCTCTTCAGCCTCTGTCGTCGCTCCCCCAAACTCAGATTTGGCGAGTGCTCTCTCTTTGTGCTATACCTTCCCTCTGTCTTTCTCCTGAACAAATATGTTTTCCAAAGTTTGTGAGCTCCAATGGTTGTTATATCTTCTTGGTGACTTTCAGGTACTTCATCCACAACCCACTATTTTGATTTGTACTGTGACAATCAAAGTGCAATCTACATTGATGAAAATTCTACTTTCTATGAGTGAAGAAGCACATTGAGCTCGACTGCCACCTTATGTGTAAGAAATTGTATGCCAAAATCATCAGGCTTATTTTTGTTGTCTTCTCATAAGCTAGTTGACCTCTTCACCAAAGCCTTATCCATTGCTCCATTTTGTTATCTCTTCTCCAAGCTTTGTGTGCATAATCTGCGCTCACCAGCTTGCGCGGGGTGACAGGGTAGGGAGAATGAACCAATGTTGAATGTGGAAGAAGACTATGAAGGCTTCACTTAACAAGATGCAGTGTTTTCCTTCACTGCATCAATGAGAAGTAGCCGGCCAGGCCTTAGCATTTTCCCAATTCACATCAAGCAAAACTTTTGTTAGTTGAAGTGAGTACAAAGTTTGGAGCATAAGTGAAAATTTTCTTGGGTGATTGTTCTCCCGCATATTTTGAAACTGCATTTTTTCATTTAGAATTGACTTACTCTATACACGCTTCATCTTTTCATCAAATTATTATACTTTAGCTTATATTTGTAATTCTATGATTTTCTTGTGATGGAGTAGATTTCTTGCTATTGTTATTGTGAAGACTCAAAAAGTAGAGTCTCATTCTTTTACAATTTTAGGATCTTCAATATCCATGAAACTCATGTCATCTTGCTTATGTAGGTTCTTATTCCGAATGTGTTAAAAGAGGGTGCTATTTCTTTCGGTGTTGATCTATAATCTTTGTAGATATTTGGTTGCCAATGGATGACAGGTTGGTGCATTACTACAAAAAATAATTTTACTTTGTACCCTTATATTATCCATTATTTTGTAATGGTAAGTAATAGGTTGTAAGTATAGAATTGATCGATCATTCATCAAAAATAAACGACCAATACTTTCTCCAAGTCATGATAATTTGAAAGTCACATAAGCATACTGTTTGTGACACGCTACCCTCGTACAATCCTCTGGAATCACTTCTCACTAGGCGCCGCTCTGCACACACGAACAAGGAGGGGGCGCCTGGGCCCGTTAGTCCTCCGACGCCCAAGTTAGTTTCTTTTCAGAGAGAAGTGTCTCAAACTAGGGTTTAGAGAGAGAGAGTCCAACCTGTGTAAATGCTACCAACTGCCCCTATTTATACTCACCAGAGTTCGAGGTCGATCTTCTCCACTTCCCTGCCTTCATTTAATGCTTTTGTCCCTTTCTGGTCAGACATCCCAACCACCTTGTCAGACTCCTGGCACGTGACAGGCTTCTTTGCCTCCTTTCTCTTTCCCCTTTTTCATTGGGCGCCTCACTCTCGACACGCCCTTATTCGGCTTCTTTTCGGGTGCCAGATTCAAGGCGCCTCAATCCCTTATGCCCCCCTCATGGGCGGGCGTTTGATATTGGCCCCCACATTTTTCTTGCTTGAATTTTGGCAAATATTTCGAATTTAATTTAAAAAATTCTAAAAGAGGGTCTTAAATCTGGCCAAAATTCCAACAAAAAAGAAAAGGTGGGGGGAAGCTCAAAAGCCCGCCCTTGATGGTGACACGTGGCGCGCGATGCGCGTCTTGCCCCCTGCTCCTCCGTTCCTTTAAATACCCCCCTCCCCTTCAGTCCTTGTCACTTTCCACATTCTCGCCTCTCTCTAGAATTTTCGCTCTGACTTCTCTCTAGATTCTCTCTTGACATCTCTCTAGATTCCTCTGCACTTTCGTCAGCTTTTCCTTCTATTCGTCCGAGAATGTCTTCACAAGCAGACAAGGTTGTCGGCCAGGGCGCCCCCACTGCGGGTGAAGAGGCAAGGACAGGCGCCTCGAATGCGGGTGGCGAGGCAAGGCGCCCAAGTCAAAGCGGTAAGGAATTTCCTTGATCTATTAGTTGCTTTCCTTGTCTTTATTCTAGCTCTCTAGGGTAGGGCGTCACTTACTCCGCGTCCATATTGCGCCTGGGTCGTTTATTGGTTTAGAGAGGGCGCCTGCGTCGACGTCCGCCCGATCACCTCCCGAAGGAGACGGACTCGTTGCTTTTCGACGTAGCGGGCCCACAGCACACCTCCACCGTCACCTTGGCTCGTGTTCATGAGCTGGTGACCAGTCTCCAACTACCCCGTGACTGGTGGCATGCGCCTCCTTCCCCTATTTCACGAGTGGGCGTCTGCGGGCCTAAGTGGATAGGGGTGTATCAAGAATATTTCCGCTTCGGGCTGCGGTTCCCCCTCGATCACATAATGGAGGGTATTCTGACGACCTGTGGCTGTCCATTGGGGCGCCTGTCTCCCTCGGTGATCGTGGTGGTCATCTTGTTCAAGCTGCGATGCCGCGAACATAACGTGGAGCCTACCTTCAACCTCTTTCGGTATTTTTTCAAGATGGCGCCTCTTGACAACTGCTTATCACTTCAAAAGAGGAAAGGGCACCCCTATCACTTTGTGGAGAAGTGCCCGAAGTTGGGGCGCAGCTGGTTTAACGGGTTCTTCTTCATGAAGGCATACCGAGACTCCTTTTTCGAGAGTGGGGGCGCCTTCCTGAGAGAGTGGAAGCTGGGGAGCGTTGAAGAGTTTAATGCAGACGTCGAGTTATCCCCCACAGAAAAGGCCGGCGCCTGACTGATTTGCGAGACGCGCGTAAACTTGCGCAAGACTGAAAATCGCCCTCCAATTTTGGAGGCGTATTATAATGATGGTCCGTAGGCGCCCATATATTGCGTCAATGTCTTTGTTGTGACTCTGTTTTTAATGAATTTTGCTTTTGTGCTAACTTACTTAGCGATATGCAGGGTCAGACTTCACCAGCATTGCGAAGCTGATGAAAAGCCGCCTTGCTGCCATGGCTGGAGGGGCGCCCCCACCAAGGCCCAAGGCGCCTGTTGCGGCTGTTCCGGAACCGCAGGCGCCTACTGCTGGCCCCAAGAAGCAGAAGAAGAGGGCGGTGAAGGGGGGTACCACGAAGACTGCTAGCGTGGCGTCCTCGGCACCAGAGGAGGAGGAAGAAGCGCCCCACGTCGAGGCGCCCACTACGGAGCCCTCGGAGCAGGAGGGGAACTCCGGGGAAAAGGAACCCCAGCCCTTGATTAGACGGGGGAAGCGGGCTGGCTCCCCCTTGGATAATGTCAGCAAGAGGGCTGACAAAGGGAAGGAGAAGATGGGCGCCGGCGCCCGAAGCGGGGGAGGGGGCGCCTTCGAATACCACTTAAACGAAGAGAGGCAGTATGTAGGCCCCGATGGGCGCCCCCCCATATTCCAGCCCACACGCGCCGACGTTGGGCGCATAGAGCTGCCATGTTCCCCATTGGTGGCTGTCGACAGGGGCTGTGCCATGGGAATGGCAATTACGGCTGCCAAGATGTGGCAAGTGCCGTCGAAGGTGAATGGGGATCACCTTTTTGCTGAACTGGCGAAAGTGGGCGCCAAGGTACGTTCCACTTTGTTTGTGTTCGTGAGTTTTGAGTTTCTTTAACTTTGCATAAGTGCTAACTTTTTGTATTTTGTGTGTGTAGATTCTTCTTTTTGCTGAGAGAGGCGCCCGGCGCCTCTCTGAAACGAAGCGAGAGGCGCTCGAAGCCTCTTCTTCTGCCTCGCAATTGCAACGTGACCTTGATAACGCGACTGAGCGTCGCGAGCAACTTGTGAAGGAATGCGACGAGGCGCAGATGAATGCGACCCTGCAGGTGTCGCAGATTCAGGGCGCCCTCGACGAAGAGCGCAATAAGTCAGCCACCCTTCAGGCTGAGAAGGAGGCGCCGGTGCAGGAGGCGGGCGCCCAGGCTAGTGAGATTGACATCCTCAAGGAGGAGAAGAAGAGGTGGCAGGACGCCTACAAGGACTGCAAGAAGAATCTGAAAGAGGCGCGAAAAGAAATCACCAACTTGCACCACTCTTTGGACACCTTCGAAGAGTCCGATGCTGGGAAGAACATGAGTGCCAGTGCCATTTTGTCTGGCCTCCAGATTTTTCACAGCAAGTTGGAAAGGGATCACCCTGATCTTACTTGGGATTTTACCGAAATCGCCGAGTATGTGATCGGGGAGTTGGAGACTCCACCGGAAGCGGGGAATGCGCCCCAACCATCAAACGCGGAGGAGCCTCCACATGACTCTGTTCCTGTCTCTCCTTCTCCTAAGGCGCCTAGTGCTGGTGATGCCAACTCAGGCGCTGAGTGATATCGAATGGGCGCCCTATTTTCCTTTGTAGTTTTTTTTTTCGACTCTTTCCCTTTTGCGTATAATAAAAATGTTCTTTCTGACATTGCGACCATACTTGCTGGATTTATTTACTTATCGCGTTATCGTCGTATTTGGGCACGAGTATTGTGGGCGCTTTGTGGTTTTGGGCGCAAATTTCCTTTATCACTGATTGCCATGTCTCAAGGGCGCAAATGTGGGCGCGTAATTGTTTTGTCGTAGGGCGCAAATTTGTGGGCGCTTTGGGTTTGACGGGCGCAAGATTGGGCGCTTTGCTTACTCACTTAACAATTGTAAACACACAATCGGGCGCAAGGTTAGGGCGCTTTGTTCCACACAAAATTTCTGGGCGCGAAGTTTGGGCGCTTTTACTGCTTACGAAAGGAGAATTGAAAACATGAAGTCACAATCGGGTGCTGAAACACGGGGCGCTTTGGACACAACACGGTGCTACTTTTACGAGCGCTTTGGACACAATGCACTGCGCTTTACACAATTGTCTCTAACACAAACAATGCTCTCAACTACGACCGCCCTTTGCCTTCTTGGTCCTCATCAAACGGAGGCGCCCTCCCGGTAAACTCGCAGATTCTGCGCATTCCAAGTTCGTTTTACACCTTTGCCGCTAGTATGCTCTAGCTTGAACGTACTTGGTCCTACCACCTCTCGGACTCGATATGGCCCTTTCCATTTCGGTGCTAACTTCCCTTCATGGGCGTCCGGGCGGAAGTCACGTTTGAGAACTAGGGCGCCTTCGGTGATTCCATGCGCACGCATTTTCTTGTTGTAGTACCGAGCCACTTGGCGCTTCATCTTTTCCAGCCGGATGGCCGCTACTTCCCTCACCTCATCTGCCATGTCCAGTTCATCGGTTCTTGCTTCGCCATTGCTGGTTGGGCCATACTGGACAACGCGGTAGCTTGGGGTGTTGACTTCCACCGGGATGACCGCCTCACTTCCGTAAGTTAGGGCGAAGGGTGTTTCCCCAGTGGCTGTTTTGTAGGTCGTGCGATGCGCCCACAACACACTTGGCAGCTCCTCCACCCACTTGCCCTTGGCGCCTGCTAATCGAGTGTGCAACCCGTGGAGAATGCTCTTGTTGGCCGCCTCCGCTTGACCGTTTGCCTGTAGGTATGCCACTGAAGAGAACCGCAATACGACCCCATTGTCATCGCAAAACTCCACAAATTTCTTGCAATCGAACTGCTTTCCATGGTCTGTGACAATGGACTCAGGTAGGCCGAACCGGGTGAATATGTTTTTCTTGGTGAACTTTCGCACCTGTGCTTCTGTGACAGTGGCCAAAGGTTCCGCTTCAATCCATTTGGAAAAGTAGTCGACTGCCACAATCAGGTATTTCATTTGCCCAGGCGCCTTGGGAAAAGGGCCTAACAGGTCCATGCCCCATTGGGCGAAAGGCCAGGCTCCCACATTTCCCTGCATAGGCGCCGCCGGGACATGGATATCATTTGCATGAATTTGGCACTGGTGGCAGGCGCCCACATGCGCCTTCGCGTCCCGTCTCATCGTTGGCCAGTAATAACCTTGTCGCAGCAGTGTTTTTTCCAAACTGCGTGCGCCCGCATGCATTCCACACGTCCCGCCGTGCACCTCTTCAATTGCCCTTCTGCTTTCCTCCTCATCCAGACATCTCAAGTATGCTCCCGAGTGAGACCTTTTGTACAATGTTCCCTCGATTATGGAGCACCGTGCCGCCTTCCTTCGGAGGGGCCAGGCTTCCTTCGGGTCATCCGGCACTGTCCCTTGGGTTAAGAATAGTACGATCGGTGCCCTCCACCCAGAATCGGCGCCCCCGTTTCCCAAGGTTGCGACCAAATATCGACGAGGTACTTCTGCGGTGACTATGACTTTCCGATCCTCTGCAAATTCCACGGCGGTGGCCAACTTGGAGAGAGCGTCTGCATGGGCGTTCTCTTCTCGTGGAATGTGGACAAAGGAGATTTCGCCAAACCAGGCTCCCAATTCCCTGATCCTTTGCACGTATCCTTCCAACGCTTCCTCCTTTACTTCGAATGTCCCGTTAAGTTGGTTGACGACGAGGGCCGAGTCGGACTTGACCTGGACTTTGTGGGCGCCCAGTTCTTTAACCAGGGTCATGCCTGCAATCACCGCTTCATATTCCGCAGCATTGTTTGTCTTTAAGGTGGCGAATCGCAGCGCGACCTCGTGCATCGCGCCTCCGGGGCTTATCATCACAATTCCTGCGCCGGCGCCTGTTCGGCTGGCCGCTCCCTCGACTTGAACTTGCCAGCAATCGTCTGTCCCATTCTCTGACTCGGCTATACCCTCTGCGACGAAGTCGGCTAGGACCTGGGCCTTGATGGCGGGGCGAGGCGCATACCTGACGTCAAACTCACTTAGCTGGACCGCCCACTTGACAAGGCTCCCGGCCACGTCCATTGACCCTAACGTGGATTTCAGAGGGAGATTGGTGAGGACAATGATGGTGTGGGCCTGAAAATAAGGTCTTAATTTGGTTGCGGCCATCACTACTGCCAGTGCAGCCTTCTCGATGGGCGCGTACCGCCTTTCGTGGGAAACCATGGTGCGACTGACATAGTACACTGGCTTGTCTTCTCCAGAGTGGGTTTCTCTTGTGACAAACACTGCACTTACCGAAACCTCTGACACAGCAATGTAAAGGTACAGAGGTTCTCCTTCTTTAGGCGCCGTCATTACGGTTGGGGCGCTTAAGAGCTGCTTCAATTCTTCAAACGCCCCGTCACACTCAGTGGTCCATTGGAAACGCACGGCCTTCTTGAGCGTTCGAAAAAAGGGAGCGGCCTTGTCGGCAGATCGGGGGATAAAGCGCCCCAGCGCTGCCAGCCTGCCCGCTAGGCCTTGCACCTCTTTGGGCGTCTTCGGGGGAGTCAGCTTGAGGATGGCGTCTACCTGCTTTGGGTTGGCTTCTATACCTCTTTTGGTGATCATGAATCTCAGAAACTTTCCCGCTTCGGCGCCGAACACACATTTGAGGTGGTTCAGACGAAGCCTATGCGCTCTCATGGCCTGGAACGTCTCTCGCAAATCTTCGATGTGGTCTTCTCGTTTCCGGCTTTTGACTATGAGGTCGTCCACGTAGGCCTCTACATTTCGGCCGATTTGCTGCCGGAAGACGTTGTTGACCATCCTTTGATACGTGGCGCCCGCGTTTTTGAGCCCGAAGGCCATGACCCGATAGCAGAAGTTTCCAAAAGGTGTCATGAAAGCTGTTTTGGGCCGGTCTTCCTCTGCCATGGGGATTTGATGATATCCAGAAAACATGTCTACAAAGCTCAACATCTCGTGGTATGCCGTGGAGTCCACCAGCAAGTCTATCCAGGGCATTGGGTAGGCGTCTGTTGGGCATGCCCTGTTGAGGCTTGTGTAATCCACACACATCCTCCAGTCGCCCGACGGCTTTGGCACAAAGACCACATTCGACAACCAAGTAACATAAGAAGTTTCTTCGACCAAGTTAGCACCCATCAGCTTGTCCACCTCGACCCTGAGCGCCGCCTCCTTTTCTGGCGATAGGTTCGTGCGCTTTTGCTGCACGGGGCGCCTGCCTTCCTCGACCGCCAGCCTGTGAACGGCCGTTTCGGGTTGGACGCCCGGCATTTCCAACGCACTCCACGCAAATAGCTCGGCGAATTCTCTTAGGAGCGCGATGAGTCGTTCCATCATTTTGGCAGGCGCCTCTGCAGAGATCCTGACGCATCTTTCTGGGCATCCTTCCTCCAGCGCTACCAACAGTTCTTCATCGGCTGCCTCCGCTCGTGGAGCCTCATCCCCCACAACTTCCATCACATTGATTCTTGCCTCGCCGTGCCTTCGCTTGCGCCCGGTTTCCTTCGCGTAACGCAGGGCGCCTCGCCCCCGGGCCACGCCCACCCCCTGAGGGGCGATGAACTTCAAGGTTTGGTGACAAGTGGAGGCCACCCCGTTGAATAAGGCTAGGAGGGGCCTTCCAAGGATTGCATTGTACGGCGATGGGCAGTCCACTATCCCGAAGTCTATTGCGCGCGTCACCCTTTGCTCCCCATCTCCCAAGGTGACAGGCAGGCACACCCGTCCTATCACTCGGGCGGGCGCCCCCGAGAAGCCTACCAGCACGGACTCGGATGGTCTGATCATCTCTGGCGATAGTTGCATGCGAACCACCGTATCCTTGAACAGCACATCCATGGAACTTCCCGTATCGACCAACATTCTCCTCACTCTGCATCCGGCTACTACCCCTTGTATCTCCAAGGCGTCCATAGACGGTAGCATACAGGCTTCTTCCGGCGCCTTATTGAAGCTAATGTCAATCGACTCCTACACATCTGCCGACGCTGCTCTCAGTTGGCGATTTGCCTCTATCTTCTCTCTCAAATCCATTGTTCCTGAGATGGCCTCTATGGTCAGGCGCACGCGATCAGGCGCCTTTTTTTATCCAGGTCGTAGGGTGGTGGAGGCAGCTCCTCCCTTGCCTTCCCCGCTCCAGCCACACATGCCCGATGTACTCTTTCTTCAGGCTTCTTAATGAAGTCATTAAGCATTCCTCGGTCTGCCAGACCCTGTAGCTCTGTTTTCAGTTGATAACAATCGGCCGTGTAGTGCCCAATTTCACGGTGAAAATCACAATATCGATCCAAGTTCCGCTCATTGGGTTGTCCCCTCATGGGGCCTGGCCACCTTATGTGGTATCCCTTCTCCTTAACGTGCTGGAGCACGTTCTTCAGAGTGTCGTTGTACTCGGCGAAGTGCCCCGTCCCCCTAGGCGCCCCATATCACTTCTCCTTGGCGTGGGTTGACTGGCGGGCGCATAGCCCGAACGACTCGGGGGGAACGGCCTCCTTGACAGATCAGCTTCCTCCGCCCTTGACTTTCTCCGATCTGCCCTCCTGGCCGCTAGCGTCTCCTCCAGCATAATCACCTTTTGCACTCTGTGATCCAGGTCCTCTGTGGACACCACGTCCCTCTTTGCGAGCGCCCTGCATAGCTCCTCGCTGGAGGTGCACTCATTCAGGCACACTCCCAGCACAGACGGCTGGGCGTCCTTTACCGCTAAGGCCACCGATAGCCACCTCTCATAAAACTCCCTTAAGGCTTCTCCCTCCCTCTGCCTGACCTCTGCCTGACCTTAAATAGGGCGCCTATGGTCAAGGAGCGCCTTTTCCTGCTGGCAAATTTTGCTAAGAACATCGCTGCGAACTGTTCGAAACAATCGATGCGCCCTTCATCGATGTGATGATACCAATCCAGGACAACGCCTGCGAAGGTGGACGGAAACACCTTGCACAGGGTGGCGTCTGTGCTGTTATAGAGTTGCATTTTGGTAAAATATCCATTAAGGTGGTCCTCTGGGTCTCCAGTTCCATCATAGGCGGGTAGTGGGGGAATGCTTGTTCCTGCGGGCTCCGATAGTATGCAACGTGCCAGAGGCTGCCTCACGGGGCAATGGCGTGATAGGCGTCCCAAGATTCCTCCGTTCCACCCACTGGCGTCCGACGGCCCGTGATCGCGTTGGCGCCATAGGCTGGGGCGCCTCAGACACCCTGATTCGCTCTCCGTCTCCTCCATCCTTTCCCTTTTTTTCGTCGGGCTGGGCGTCATCCCTTCACTCCTTTTTAGGGCGTCCACTTCCCGCCGTAGCGCCTCGATTGCCTCGTCCTGATCTTCGATGATTCGGAACAATTCTTTTTTCGTGACCGAGGCGCCCTCGGATCCCCGAAACACGCCCTCACTTCCCTCACCCTCTTCCGTCTCGGGCGTCTGCCCTCTCATTCGCTCCGATTGTTCCTCCGTGATTTCTTCCCTTTCTTCATTCATCGGCGCCTCTTCACTCATGATTGCTGGCTATATTCCCCTTCCTGGCGCGCCAATTGTTTGTGACACGCTACCCTCGTACAATCCTCTGGAATCCCTTCTCACTAGGCGCCGCTCTGCACACACGAACAAGGAGGGGGCGCCTGGGCCCGTTAGTTTCTTTTCAGAGAGAAGTGTCTCAAACTAGGGTTTAGAGAGAGAGAGTCCAACCTGTGTAAATGCTACCAACTGCCCCTATTTATACTCACCAGAGTTCGAGGTCGATCTTCTCCACTTCCCTGCCTTCATTTAATGCTTTTGTCCCTTTCTGGTCAGACATCCCAACCACCTTGTCAGACTCCTGGCACGTGACAGGCGCCCGCAGTCGCTGAATTACTGAAATTATAATAATGTTAGAATAATAGTTATTGCTGAATTACTGAAATTATAAAAATGTTAGATCAAGTCAAATGGGTTATATATGTAGCAAGTTAGCGACCAAATAAAAAGGGTATATACCACATTAATTTGGTCACTGAGATTACTAAATCATGTCATGTTTAGTCAATAGAAAAAATTAATATCAATTTTGATCACTTTAATTATTGAAACATGTCACATTTAGTCACTCTCCCGTTAGTTTAATTTCCGTCCAACTCTGTTATCATTTTAATTATTGAAACATGTCACATTTAGTCACTCTCCCGTTAGTTTAATTTCCGTCCAACTCCATTAACAGAGTTGGACGGAGGCTAACGAAGAGTGACTAAATGTGACATGTTTCAGTAATTCGTGTGACATTCAATAAAAAAAGTAATTCGAGTGATCGGAGTTGGACGGATGTTAACGGGAGAGTGACTAAACGTGACCTGTTTTAGTAATTCGAGTGACCAAAATTGATATTAATTTTTCTAGTGACTAAACATAACACAATTTAGTAATCACATTGACCAAATGTGGCATTTACTCAAATAAAATTATATGCAATATCTTGAAATGGAGCGAATAATCCACATGCAAAGAAAAATGATTAAATACACTTGTATATCCAAAACTTTCACGGTTGTGCCAATAATATCCAAATTTCCCAAAATACCACTTATATCCAATTCCTTCACATTCTTTAACGGTGTTTTTGGATATACAAGTGTATTTAACCAAAAATATATTGGGAAATGGATAGATTTGGCAAAGAACAACTTTAAAACATGGATATAAGTGATATTCCGAGAAATTTGGATATTATTGGCACAACCAAAAAAGTTTTGAATATACAATTGTATTAAACCAAGAAAAATACACGATATTATTATTATTATTGATTATGTTTCCAACGCAGACAATTAGTCAATTACCCAAAAACAAAGCAAGTGGCAACTATTGGATACATTTTTGTTTAAAAAGAAGAGGACCAAAAAAACCCGGATATTTTTAAAATAAAACCGAGCTAGGGAATTACGACGAGGGCGATACGTTCTAATAAAGTAAACCCTTCCGTAAAGTTTGTGCAGCACCGCCCATTTCTTTTTAAAAATCTTTTGGGCGGTGGATCACAATTCACAGACCACAATAAAAAGAAGAAGAAGAAGAAGAAAAAAAAGCAAAAGAAAATAAGCGAAGTCCACGTCAACACACACAGAATTAAACCAGACACAGAGAGAGATGCAGCGTTAATAATAATCGCCGGCCGGCCGAAAGCAATCCCCCCCTTCCGATTACCGGAGTCTGAGCATCTGGCGGAGGCTATCCGCCGTCCCGTTATCATTAACGGCGGCCTCAGCGGTGCAACTGCTCATCGTCATCATCAGCCTTTTGGGCCTGAGGGAGAACCTCGGCAGCGGCAGGCTGCTGGGCGGCGGAGCCAGCATGCTGATCAGCAGCTCGTCCGCCAGGGACAGAACGGGAATTTCCTTGACAGCTGGTGGAACCTTCGAGACATCCTTATTATTATTATTATTGTACGGCATCAGGGGCTTCGGCTCGTCCGATCTTTTCGCCGGTTTTTTCGGCTTCCTGGCGCCGCGTCCGGGTTTCTTGGCCGCGGGGGCGCTCTTGTAGCTAGGGAGGGAGCCGTGGTGGGGCCTGCCGATGGGAGCGGCGGCCGGGAGAGGCAGGAGAGGCGGCGCCGCTGCCAGATGAGCTGGCTCTTGTTGGTGGTGGTAGTAAAAGTTGGAGAGCGCCGCCGAGGAGTTGGTCGGAAGGTAGGATGAGAAGAAAGGCGGCGGCGGAGCGAAACCGACCAGGCTCCCGTGGAACATGTCGTTGGGGTTCATGGAAAAGCTCCGGCGAGGAGGAGGAGCAGCAGAAGGATAATTGTTTTGGACTTGGTTCTTCATATTAGGGCGATGATCTCGTGGTGGGAAAAAAAAAAAAAGGTACCACGATGATCAAGAAGCCAGGATTGGAAAAAGTTCGAGGAGTTGGTTTAAGGGTGAAAAAGAAGTGCTAAATAGAGATGATAATGAGAACTACTGGGTTTGATCTCATGGATGGATAGAGGAAGGAAATGGAGGAAAAGAATGGGTGATGGGATCCCTTGGGATATGAGGGAGATCTGGTAGCTGTGTGTTAGGGCGCCTCCTTTTATAGAACAGAACCGAGAAAAAGGCAGCAACTAGTTGCTATGTCTTTAAGTCATCTATTAATCTATGTACGTGACATATACGATAGTACACAAGACTATGTGGGAGTTTTCTTTATTGTGGTTGTAAAACGAACCGATTCATATGTCGAAGAATCCAGTAATTTCAGTTTGTTTAAAATTGAAAAAGATTTGAAATATACGGTATACTGCTATTTAATTCTTTCGTAGGATTCATTAAGTCATGGAGTAGCTAAACATATAGTTTAGTGAGGGCCAAATATGATCAAATGCAATGTATGTCGGTAGAATTTTTTTCCGTAAAGAGAGGGTTCATGGTTCAAATTGCATAGATCTGACCTTAAAAATCTAAAATTTTTAATGCGTGTTCAATTTTTATGAAGTGGAATTCATGGATCCCGAAACCTCTAACCTAGCTATGCTAATGCTCTAAGTACTAATCTTTTTTATTTGTCATAGGCTCATAGCCTATTTACCATTAATTTTTTAATAAGGTTGATATATGTTAGAATTTGAATATGAAACCTACAAGTTCAATACTAATAGTATTATAACTAGAGACCAAGTACTTGTTCGCTCTACCATTCATATTTTATCAATGGTATGATCCATGATATAATAGGAACAAATCCCGAATTTGTGAATATTACAAGAATAATTGATTATTGTGTGTGTTGTCCTTATTGTTTTTCGATCAATGTATGTGGGGTTTCCTTTCGATACACCAATATATGTGGTTTAAAATGGTCATGTTGGTTATTTTTTTGTTGAATGGATGGTCCTCCTGTTTTATTTTTGTATTTTTATTAATGTCTTGAAGTAGAAAGGTCGTAGCAAGTACGGCTAGTTTTAAGGGCGACCGCTGCGGTCGGCTACCCATTTAGTCACTGTAGGCCGGCAACCGCCGAAGCATTTCTAACCATCGGATGAGATTTTTCTTTTGAGGGACCGGCCGTTCAGGAAACAGGGACCGTTGATGAGTCTTCTGCGTGATTTGTCTGGTAAAGACAGGAAAAATCCAAGCCATACGCGTAGTCAGGACTTAAGATAAAGTTAAGTAATCTTAGGGTGACTAATTAGGAGTAAACAAATCTGGATCATTTTAAGTGACTGGCATGAAGATTTAAATGAATTTATTTCCCTAGTTTTTTTGATTGGATCATATCTTCTTTATTCTAACTTGTATTTCAATTTTTATTGCACAGATGAAACGAGTTCGTTGTGCTCTACAAAATTATATTCATTTTCAATATTTTTTGAGAATTTTTTTTTTCATACCTCTCGTTACCAACTCCATACCATATGGTATCTCCTTCGTTGTTTAGTCATTTTTGGAAATTTTTGCACAGAATGAACGATTTAATCATGATCTATTGGATTTCAAAATTTTCTTGGTGAAAAATTTTCATACCTCTCGTTACCAACTCCTTACCATACTATACCACCCCGATATGGGTGATATTTTTCATACCATATGGTATGCTGTTATTTAATACCAGTCAATACCATATGGTACAGTCAATATCATTACCATATGGTATAGACTGGTAATAACTGGCAAATTCCGAGTTAAAACGAGTGAGAAATCGTCCGTTAAAAGATTAAGAGAAGGAAAATCAAAGGTTTTTTGAGGAAAGAGAAGGAGGCGTTGATGTGGCGGATTCTTATTGGGTTATGCATTGGGTTACTCACCTGATAGTTACTGATGGGATCTGGACCCTGGCGTCAGGCCCTAATTTCTCTTTCTAGCTTACTCTAACTTAGGAATTATTATTTTTGTAATCTGCGTCTATAACCAAGTTTGTTAAGTGAATGGTACAAGATTTATTATGGAACATCTTCCAACAATTCAAGTTATTGGGATTAACTGGTTATTGACATGGAATCATAGTCTGTTTCGACAAAAAAGTCTAGGGGTAGGATACTATGTCTACCCTTAAAAGGGTTGGTTTTTTGACACCTCCTTCTTAATTGGTCAATTTTTTTCATTAATTATTTACAAGTATTAATGAAGATAGACATAATAAATGTTCTGTTATTAATTACAAAGTAAGCATTAAATACACCACATTAATTACTTGTTTTAAAAAAAAATTCTAAACATATACAAAATACAATTCTCTCTCTCATCTTTGATCTTTCTCACTCCTATCTCCGATTCTTCCTTTCTCAGCAGCCTCCGAATACCAAGTATCCTCCGACCACCACACTTCGCCGGTAAAATCCCGCCGACAGACTCTCTCCGGTCACCTGCGAAAATATACCACTGCACTGATATGTTGTACCACTGCACTGATACTCATATATGACATTGGTTCCAGTGCACTGATATCGCTACCAGTGCAGTGGTATAGCTACCATTGCAGTGGTACAACGTATCATTGCAGTGGTACAACATATCAGCGCAGTGGTATTTTTTTGCAGGTGATCGGAGGGAGTCTGCCGTTGGGATTTTCACCGGAGAAGTGTGCCGGTCGGAGGAAGCCTGGTGGTCAGAGGCTGCTGAAAAAAGAAAAATGAGATATAGGGAGAGAGAATGTATTTAGTGTAAGTTTTAATTTGAAAAAAAAGACAAATAATTAATATGGTGCATTTAATTCCCAATGTGTATTTAATGTGTATATTAAATTCTATAATTGTATTTAATACCCTAGGGGGTGTCATTTTTCCAACCCCTCAAAGGGGTTATCATGCTAACCGATCCCAAAAGTCTTGTGTTCGAATCATGGTGACCCCATTCATTGTATTCTCGTATTCAGGACATGTGCAAACAAAAGATCTTATGAATTGATTGGCTTTCGTTTGAAAGAGTGTGTTAGTGAGTTGTGTAAGATCCATTATTGAACCTCTCACAACAACTCGAGTTATTAGAACCAACTGGTTCTTGACATCGCGTCAATGGGGTAAGTATATGCAAACTTGTCTTTGCGTTCTATTTTTCAAATGCTCTCTTGTGGTATTAGTATAATGTTACTCAAGTATTAATCCAAGCATGTTAATAATCCCTAGCTACTTACTTGACCAAAGGAAAATTTCTATGAGTTTTGAACAAGGCTTGTAGCCTTTCTTGCAGTTGAGATGCAATTGGTTCGAGTGGGTTGCTTATTGTGGTGCTTTTTGATCAACCTAAGATGTTTTTTCGGTGACCAAATTGTGGGCAATGACATGATTCTGACCCAACTTCATTATGAAGTGTGTTGTGTATTTTGTTAGAGGGAAAACAGAGTTTGACATAAAACTATATATAATTCCCTTACACATTTATGGATGTCAATTTGGCTGAATGATTCTCTTTAGATCATTGTTGGTTACTTGGTTTGTATGTAGATTTATTTCGATCAATATGATTGCTTGTTTGAGCTGTTTTAGAATGGCTATTGTTGATGTGACTTGAATCGGACTATCAGTCGCTACGACTGGTAATCGGGGGTCTCGCTGCCCGGTCAGCGAGTGAGGTCCAGAGGCAACGCCCCGGCCCACGGTGTATGGGCTCAATGTTATTTGGGTTCGGGTTCTGGGCCTGGTCTGTAACCATTTCCTTTGCCAGATTGGATTAGGTTTAGACCCGCATGGAGAAGTACTATAAATACTTCTCATACTCCTCTGTAATTTGTAATCTCCTCGATATAGTGAAACTGGCTCTCTCTCGCCCGTGGACGTAGCTAACACACATCGTGTTAGTGAACCACGTAAATCGTGTGTCTGTGTTTTTCGATTCTTGCTTTCGTATTCTTGCTTTGTCGATTCCGGCGATTCCCGATCCGTAGCAGCGCGTTTATAACAAGTGGTATCAGAGCCGCGGCTGGAAATCAGGTTAGGGTTTTCGATTCAGAAGTATGACATCGGTGAACATGAAGATCGAAAAGTTCACGGGGAAGAACAGCTTCGCTATATGGCAGATCAAGATGCAGGCTTCATTAAAACAGCAAGGGTTGTGGGGGGCCGCTGTCTGCGAAACAGAAGAAGGCAGCGGTCGATGACGATGAGTGGAATACCCTAGAGGAGAAGGCCCACTCGACCATCATGCTATCGTTGTCTGATGATGTCATCATTGAAGTCGCTGCTGAGAAGACTGCCGCGTGCTTGTGGTTAAAGTTGGAGAGTCTGTATATGACGAAGTCCTTAACCAACAAGCTGCATCTCAAGCAACGATTGTTCAGCTTGAGGATGCAAGAAGGTACGCCTTTGAGGGAACATCTCGAACAGTTTAACTCTATTTTGCTGGAGACGATCTCGCCTTGGCTGTAGATGAGAAGGCACATCGTGGGGATGTGTGGTTTCTGGATACTGCAGCCTCATACCATATGTCTCCGAATTGAGATTGCTTCACAATCTACAAGCAGATAGATGGTGGTAACGTGGTCATGGCTAATGGAGCTGTCTGCAAGGTTGTTGGAATCGGGTCCATAAAGGTTCGGACACATGATGGTTCGTTCTGTATCGTGAATGATGTCAGGCATGTTCCACGAATGACAAAGAACCTGATCTCCTTGAGTCTATTCGACAGCAAGGGTTTCAGTTTCAAAGGAAAAGGTGGAGTTGTGTATGTCTGCAAAGGTTCAAGGAAGATGCTGAATGGCGTGAAGCGTGGGACCTTGTATGCATTACAAGGGTCTGTGTTGTCTGGTTCTGCTGCAGTTGCATCGTCTCAGGTTCATCAGGAAGATATGACCACTCTCTGGCACATGAGACTGGGGCATATGAGTGAACGGGGGATGCAAGTTTTGTCGAAGAGGGATCTTCTTTGCAGGCACAAGATGCAGAATTTGGAATTCTGCATGCATTGTGTGTTTGGGAAGCTACATCGCAGCAAGTTTCCGAAGAAGGGTATCCACCGGACGAAGGGGATACTGGATTACCTCCACTCCGACTGTTGGGGTCCTTCACGAGTTGAATCCATTGGAGGCGGCAGGTATTTTCTGTCTATTATTGATGATTATTCGAGATTTACTTGGATTTTCATGATGAAGCAGAAAAGTGAGGCTTTCACGAAGTTCAAGCAGTGGAAGACATTAGTGGAGAATCAGACCGGGAAGAAGATCAAGAAGCTGCGAACGGACAATGGTCTGGAGTTCTGTAATTCTGAGTTCGACGAATTCTGCAAGGATGAAGGGATTGCCCGTCATCGGACTGTGAGAGATACACCCCAGCAGAATGGCGTTGCATAAAGGATGAACCAGACATTGTTGGAGAGAGCACGGTGCATGCTCTCTAATGCTGGACTAGAAAGAAGATTCTGGGCAGAAGCAGTGAACATTGTGTGCTTCCTAATCAACCGCGGACCTCACACAGGTATCGAGTTGAAGACTCCTTATGAGGTGTGGTATGGTAAGCCTGCTGATTACTCTTCACTGAAAGTTTTTGGGTGTCCTATTTATTATCATGTGGATGAGGGTAAACTGAACCCAAGGGCAAAGAAGGGTGTATTTGTGGGTTAAGGAGATGGAGTTAAGGGATTTCGAGTCTATTCACCTTCTGAGCATCGAGTTATACTCAGTAGAAATGTGATATTTGATGAGAAGTCTATGTTTAACCCCATGTTGAAGGTTACTGTTGTTGAAGGTAGCAGGAATGTTGATAAGCAGGTGGAGCTGCAAACTCTCAATGAGAGTGAGTTTAAGCACCAAGGTGGAGAAGATCAACATGATGAGGATGTCTCTGCAGAGCCAGAAATTTCAGAGTCCAGTGCACGAGCTCAACAGTCTATTGCTTCTGGTAGACCGAAGAGAGAGACTGCAGGAGTACCTCCACAGAGGTATGGCTTCGAGGACATGGTGGCGTATTCATTTCAGGTTGCTGAAGAAGTGGATGCAGGTGAGCCACAGTCCTATAGAGAAGCCGTTTCGGGTGGCGAAGCTGATCAGTGGCTTGCCGCAATGGGAGATGAAATGGAATCCCATGACAGGAATCAGACTTGGGAGCTAGTCAAACGACCACAAGGAAGGAAGATTGTTACAAACAAGTGGATCTACAAGAAGAAGGAAGGAATCACTTCTAAAGAGGGCATGAAATTTAAAGCTCGGGTGGTTGCACGAGGCTTCTCGCAGAGGGAAGGAGTTGACTACAATGAGATTTTCTCACCAGTGGTCAGGCATACTTCGATCAGAGTGCTACTAGCAATAGTGACGCATTATGACTTGGAGCTCGAGCAGCTAGACATGAAGACAGCTTTCCTACATGGAGAGTTGGAGGAAGAAATTTACATGACTCAGCCAGAAGGATTCGAGGTTCCGGGAAAAGAAGACTATGTTTGTAAGCTGAAGAAGTCCTTGTATGGACTTAAACAGTCTCTGAGGCAGTGGTACAAGAAATTTGACAGTTACATGCTTGAGCTAGGCTATAGCAGAAGTCCATATGATTGTTGTGTGTATCACAACAAGGTGGAGGATGGTTCGATGATCTATCTTGTTCTGTATGTGGATGATATGCTCATAGCTGCGAGGTCAAAGTCTGATATCCAGAAGTTAAAGGGGCTTCTCAGTACTGAGTTTGAGATGAAGGATTTGGGAGCTGCTCAGAAGATCTTGGGTATGGAGATTTACAGGGACAGGTCGAAGAAGAAGCTTTTCTTGTCACAGAAGAGCTACATCCAGAAGATACGTCGATGTTTGGCATGTCTTCAGCAAAGCCCTTAAATACTCCCAGTGCTTCAAATGTTCATCTATCCTCAGCTTATGCACTGCAGTCAGAGGCTGGGAAGGAGTATATGTCGAGAGTCCCATATGCTAGTGCAGTAGGTAGCTTGATGTACGCTATGGTATGCACTAGACCTGATCTTGCACATGTTGTTAGTGTTGTCAGCAGGTTTATGGTACAACCTGGGAAGGAGCATTGGCAGGCTGTGAAGAGGATCTTCCGGTACCTTAAGGGTACACCTGATGTGGGGATTAGCTTCGGAAGTGATTCAGAGTGCTTGGTGTCTGGGTATTCTGACTCGGACTATGCTGGAGATGTTGACACGAGGAGATCGATGACCGGTTATGTATTCACTCTTGGGAGTTCTGTAGTGAGCTGGAAGACAACTTTGCAGTCGGTGGTGACATTGTCTACTACTGAGGCAGAGTATATGGCGTTGACAGAAGCTGCTAACGAGGGAATATGGTTGAAGGGATTGGTTGGTGATCTGGATCTACATCATGATCAGGCAGTGGTGTATTGCGACAGTTTGAGTGCAATATGCTTGGCCAAGGATCAAGTCCACCATGAGAGGACTAAGCACATCGACGTGAGGTATCATTTCCTGAGGACAGAGAAGAGGATTAAGGTGAAGAAGGTTGGCACCGCGGATAATCCTGCTGATATGTTCACGAAGCAGGTTCCACATGGCAAGTTCCAACACTGCTTGGACTTGCTGAATGTCTTGAGTGGGTGACTCCGCCCTGCGGGGCATTGATGGCGGGAGAGAGAGAGAGAGAGAGAGAGAGATGGAAGGAGCAGAGTAAATCAGAGATTTCAGAGGAAGAGGATTCAAGTCAAGGTGGAGATTTGTTGATATGACTTGAATCGGACTATCAGCCGCTACGACTGGTAATCGGGGGTCTCGCTGCCCGGTCAGCGAGTGGGGTCCAGAGGCAACGCCCCGGTGGGGGTGCGGGGGCAACGCCCCGGTGGGGGTGCGGGGGCAACGCCCCTGGCCCACGGTGTATGGGCTCAATGTTATTTGGGTTCGGGTTCTGGGCCTGGTCTGTAACCATTTCCTTTGCCAGATTGGATTAGGTTTAGACCCGCATGGAGAAGTACTATAAATACTTCTCATACTCCTCTGTAATCTGTAATCTCCTCGATATAGTGAAACTGGCTCTCTCTCGCCCGTGGACATAGCTAACACACATTGTGTTAGTGAACCACGTAAATCGTGTGTCTGTGTTTTTCGATTCTTACTTTCGTATTCTTGCTTTGTCAATTCCGGCGATTTCCCGATTCGTAGCAGCGCGTTTATAACATCTATAAATACCTGCTTGAACTTTGTTACTTGATTTGTTGGTCAAACGGTCGATGACATTAATATTGTGGCGGAGAAATAAGTCTAAACAAAGTCGGTACTATTTCCAGTTTCAATATCCTTTTTTATCGACGATGCAATCGATGTCATACTTGAAATTGCATTATCTTATGGTGTATATATATATGATTCCTTAAGAAGATTGGGACAGCTTGCTTAATCACTCATTCTAATTGGAGAATTAAATGTTCGGTCCACAAAATCCGGTGCCAACCCATCCAACCAATCCGACCACTGCAATTGCGTCCAAATCACATTCTTTAGGGTTCTTGTCGCATAGTTTTAACTTTTAACCAATGGGAGAGACCAGTGATATCTTAATCACCGAAAGCTTGTCTTGTTTGGTAATGGTGGGCAACTTGAGGATTTACCAATGGAAAATATAACTGAATTATTTTTTTCCTATTAAAGGATAAATATTTCGATTATCGGCCGGTAAACTTCGAGAAGCAAATATATAAAATAAAAACCTCCATAATTGACCAATCGAATCGATCACGTACGTATGCAAATGATTCTCGGTTATATTAATGTGGGAGGCTATGTAAGTATGATTCGGCGGTTTTTTAATGAAAATAGTAAGGTGACCTTTATTATATTTAATCATTTACTACCAATCACCGACCTAATAAAAAATGTTAACGGTTGATAAGTTGTCAATGTTGTGTTGCACTAGATATGGAAAATCAAGATGAGTTTCACTTTTAAGAATTCAAGCAAGATACTCGTTTTGTATTGGAGGTTATACCGAAAAATTCAGTGATATGATATTTTGAGTTGAAACAATTATTTAACTTTTTCATACTAATAAAAGTCGTCCAATGGTTTAACTTCTAGTATGAGAGGTTTCTCTGGTTGAATAACTACCAATACAATACATTACGATTTCATAAACACTAGTTTTCACCTGCTTTTCTCATACTATAACTGCAAATTGATTGTAGTTAACATGGGAGCTTGGAGCTCATATGGTGAACGTTGCTTCCTCGCACATCTCCGAAACTGGTTGAAGCATTGGCCTCGATTTTTCGGTGAAAGTTTCTAATCTTGACAAATCATGCATGTTGTTGTACATCATCTCTCGAAGATAATTAGCTTTCGTCTCGACTTTCATATAATGAAATCATCATAATCACTTTACATGCTGCTATGCCTTGAACACAGATGATGTTTTATCAATTGGAAAGTCGAGGCTTAGGAGCAAAGTGTCCGATTTATGGGTTCAGGAATAAGATCTCTAACATTTTCCTTTTCAAATTGAAATAGGATTAGGTCATCAGAAAAATTACTAAATATATCTTTTCAATTTTTGTAATCTATATTTGTTCAAATATAATTGAACGCATCTCTCATACTCATGAACGTAACTAATATACACATCATGTTAGTGAAACCCGAATCACATAAACCGTGCAACTGGTTATTCGATTATGTACGCAAGGCACTTTGAGACTCAAGTCTCCACTTTCCAACAAAAATAAAATGAATTGAATCCTAGCCAAATATTGTTTATATAGACCAAAAGAATGAATTAATGAAACCAATACACTGTCTGACTGACAGCGCAATGGGATATCCTGAAGCCGGATCTATAGCTTTGAGTGATATTGGGGATGGAGTAATTATATTCTCGATCGGTATTTTGCAACTTGTGCACCGTCCACCACAACCAGCCCACGTTCGTTAGGTGGGAATTAAAGATGATTATTAATAATTAACAATAATAGTTTCTGTCTACGTACGATTCACAAGGCTAAAAAATGAGGGTCCATCCTCCTTGCTGGCTCTATTTTCTATTTTCTAGATTTGTCTCTCGTTATTCTAATATAAATGGTCTAGGGTTAGTAACCATCATCTTCCCCACCCAACAAGATTATGCAAGTATAGATGATGCCAATTTGAACCGGTTTTGTCGGGTAACTTCAACCTGGCTCATGATGGGACGGGTATTATCTGACCAATAATAGCATAGAGTTCGTATGGATATCTTCTTCTGACACTCCACGTTCTTTATTTTTGGTTTTTTACAATATCTATTCATATTTCTTTTATTCTAACTTTTATGAAACTAGTTATACTTTGTATTATTTCAACTAGTTATACTCAATTATTCATTCTATAATCACTATTGTTAATATTTTTTCTTTGTTTTTTTCATAAAAAGTAATATTTTGAATGTATTTTTTCAAATAACATGTAAGAGTGGGTCGACTAGTCCCGTCCTGTACTCACGCGGGTAACTGCATGCCCCGGCCCGCGCTTGGTGCGAGACGAATATGGGTATTAAGTACGTGCCCTGTCCCGCCTTATTGTCATCCCTACGTGCATGTTAACTGTCGACCAAAGTGTGCTATTTACAAGCATCCCTTGAAAATGCAAATATGGTAGGACAGTTAAGTTCTATTGAGTTTGAGAGGTTGAGTGGTACTTCTGCTATACTCTACAGTAACGGTTCTTTGACTTTCGAGATACAAATTGAACTTGTATCCTAATGTTAAAGTATGCGTAGAGTTTGTACTGTAAAAGATATTGTATTTTTATGTTATAGTGCAATTTCAATTTGTGCTATAATATAAACGTACAAATTCAGTTTGTACCATAAATGTTTTTTTAAGTGAAACACCAATGCTATAAAAGCCTGGTAAAATTGCTCTTCCAGTCGTTGTTGTATGCACTGCAAATTGATAGATAACCTAATATAGCTATGAATATGGTTCAGTATTCACACATTCAATCATTTGACTGGAGAGTAACTACTCAATTCCTAAATTGGAAAATTCATGAAAAATTATATTTGCACTTTTTATGTACAATCACAAGGATAATGTGACTAAAAAAGTCTAACTACGTGAAAGATTGATACTCACGCATATTATTCCATACATTTTAGTTAAACTGGACAGTATTTGCCTTCCTATAAACAAGGACTAATTGGAAAGGCTCACCCCACAATATCCGACTTGGTTTGGTATTACCCACACCAAATAGATGTTGGCTTAAAAACGGCGACGCTTCTCTCAGTCAGAGGCTTCCACTACGACGACGTTTCTCCCCCACCCTCCATTCATCTCTTCGACACCGTTTTAAAGAAACATCATCCTTCGAAGTCAAAACTGGACTCCTCGATTGATGATCTCTCAGATCATCCCTCTCGTTCGTCTTCTTTCTAACGGACGCTCCAGCTTTTCTGCATCCGCTCCTCCTAGCACCTTCTCTACAAGAAAGCATGATGAAGGCTAGAGAAGGCTCTGCTCTAGGCAACGGCTATTCATCTCCAGTAGTATATATTGTAAGCTCTCTGTCATATTTGTGTGTCACTGGTAACAGTAGTAGTGAGAGCATATGGTTCCGATTCTCTTCTTCTTCGAGTTAAGGAGTGTGTTTGCTTCAGTAGAAAGAATCACAGTGTATGGGTATACTGGGTGATTCAATCTTTGGAAGTGAATGTTTTGAGTGTCTGTTTATCTAAAGAGCCAAGTTATTTGGCTTGGCTCGGTTTCTTTGTACTGAATTTGCACTTTGAATAAAAGCTTTCCTTCTTTTATTCCAAGAGAGAATTCTAACAGCTAAATAGTTTTCTACTCTGAATCACTCAATTCTCATATCTTGAGTTTACAATAGATTGCTACTAGTTGAGTCTTAATTAAAATCATATTGAAATTGTCGTTTGTTAAGATACCATTAAACTGAGAAAGATAGTAGCATCAGAGGAATAAAAATAAAAGATCTAATTCATTGGATTGGGGAATAGAAATAAATATTTTGTATATGATATACTATTTTGGGATCAAATAAATATCATGTATGTGCATAGTCCACTAAATTCATCTTTGATACACCCGAATAGAACAACCTCATGTCCATTATTTCTCGTAGATAATAAAGTACATGTTTAACTCCATTCAAAGGTTTTATATAGTGAAAGAATTATTAGCTATATTTTACTAAATATATTATTAACGATTTGATGGAGAGAAATAGCTAAATCTTGTATTGGCTTATAAAATAATAATCATTTTCCGTCACATAGTAAATAATGATATTAAAATTTTGTATTTTGTCCCTCGAAAGCATGAGTGACCATAAAAGAACAAGTGTTGTCATAAGTCATAACAAACAAAAAGAGGAGGGAACTTGCAAGTAGAATCAACTAGTAACAAAGGATCCATTACATGCAAGTTGCAACATCTAGGTTCGTCATAAAAGATCGATGTGTTCACTAAGGATGAGTCAAGCTCCATAAGAATAGAGTTAGACATATTCTTGTCAAGTCACTGATATATCATATGGTGCATGGCTAACAGTATACACTATTGCTCTAATCGCTTACTTCTTTTTTAAGACGTATCAAATGGATCTTTGTTCATTTCTTTCTAAGAGATGAAAATTTTAGATATTTAATAACAAATTAATGATATATGGAATGGTGTATGGTTAGAAAGATACATTGCTCTAGTGATTATAATTATACAACTTCATAAACAGTTTTCATTGAAACAAATTATTATTATTTTGTAAAATCAAAAGGTTAGAGTATTTTGTTTAACTCTTCATTTTTATCTCTGTTTTATCAGCATAGTTTCATATCATTCTCAACAAGTTTGTTCGTTGTGAAAGGTCCAAAAGGGTCTCACGTGAGACGACATTGACTTTTAGAAAATGAGGTCATATTTTTTCCATAGTCTAAAATAAAGTATTATCTTTATTTTTTCATTCAAGCATTTACTTCGATCCAAATAAGCAAAGGTACCCATCGAGTCGACTATGTCAAATGATAACAATTCTCAACCTCAAAAGTAAAATGGTCGGTGTCTTAGAAAGAAATCATCAAATGATGGATATTGTTGAACTTTTTTTAAGTTTTTTACCAGATATTGGGTTAATATATTTGTGTGACCCGAAGTTATCACAAATCAAATATGTTAGTCAATTTTTTTATCTATAACATCGTGACCTCAACTATGCACATTAATTTTTTTTTATCTATAACATCGTGGCCTCAACTATGCACAATAGCGTAGCTAGAACATTAGTACCGTGGGGTCCAACTATTAATCAAATAAAGCTCATGCCTTAATGGTAATGGTGTTGAGTTTCTTTCCTTAGCTGGAAGAGTGGCCCTTGCTCTGTCTGTGCTTAATGTCATCCCATCTTCTGCCATGCAAACCACCATGCTTCATGCTTCTGTGTGTGATTTGATTGAAAGAAAGATTAGATGGTTTGTTTAGGGCTCTAATGAGGATAAAAAGAAAGTTCACATGGTTAACTGGGAAAAAGTGTGTAAGCCTAAAAACCAAGGGGGACTAGGATTAAGAACTGCTAGGAGTTTGAATATGACTTTCATGATCAAGCTAGCATGGCAAATTCTTAATAATGGGTCTGACCTTTGGGTGCAGGTGATGCAAGGAAAGTACTTCAAACATGTTGATGGGCAGATTGTGGCAATGAAAAGAAGTAACCATTCCTCGCTGTGGAAAGCCATTGTGGAGGCACTGCCTCTCATGAAGAGTGCTACCTGTTGGATAATCATAAATGGAAGGACCACCTGTTTTTGGAACCACCGATGGCTGGACCATGATATCTTTCTCAGAGACCACATCCTGCAGACTGCTAACTTGCACCATGAGGACTCTTATGTGGCGGAGTGGATTGACGAGAATGAAGAGTGGAACTGGAAGAAGCTCCATGAATGTCTTCCCTCCAATATTATCTCACTGATCGCTGGTATGGAACCTCCTAAAAGCACCCTAGGAGAGGTCAAATGCATCTGGGGACTGGAAAGAGATGGAAGATTCAGGCTGAAGTCAGCCTACAACCTTGTAGCTGACCAAATGAACACAGAAGGAGTGATAATGTGGAAGAACCTCTGGAAGTGGAAAGGGCCATATCGTACAAAACACTTCCTCTGGCTTGTGATGCATGATAGGTTGCTCGCTAACAAGGAACGAGTTAAGAGGAAGATGACTACTAATGGCAATTGCAGCCACTGTAAGGATGTGGAAGAAACAACAGAACACACCATGCGGAACTGCAGCAAAACGACAGCTATATGGGAAAAGTTCAGGTCCAAAGTCACCAACAAAGAAAGGGACCTTCCCTTTAAGGAGTGGCTGTCAAGAAACCTGAGTGATGAAACTCATGGGGTTGATTTTGGTATGATCGTGTGGCACCTATGGAATAAAGGAATGAAGAGTGCATGGATGGGAAGGTGTATGTGGAAAAATCCCCCATCTGCAGAATTGAGGCATGGTTCAAGATCTATAAAATGGCATTGCAGAATGTGGAGAGAAGCTTTAGACCCCCTGCTGAGAATAGAGAGGAGCAGATTGGCTAGCGCCTGGCAGCCTCCACCTGAGGGATCGGTACAAGTTCATTCTGATGGCTCTGTCCTTTCTCCCTCGGGATCTGCAGCTGTTGGAGGTCTCATTCGTGACAGTCTAGGTAGATATTGTGCTACCTTCTCCTGTAATCTGGGCTAATGCTCGATTACTGCTGTCGAGCTCAAAGGTGCTATTGTTGGTTTGCAGTTGGCTTGGGATAAAGGTTATCGAAAAGTGCAGCTTAAGATGGACTCAACCACTGCTATTGCTATCATTAGGGACTGTTCTGATGATTATCATCGACATGGCATAATGGCTAAACATGTTAACCACCTTTTGGATCGTGATTGGGATGTCTCTGTCTCACACGTGTATAGGGAAGGAAATAGAACTGCTGACTTTCTAGCTAGTTTAGGCCATAGTCTCACTTTTTGTACACATCATGTTGATGTGTGTAGTTTCGACTCTGTAGATGGCTTGATTATAATGTAATGGGAATCTTCCAACCTCGACTTATTAATATATGATTTGAGGCGCCTTTGCGTCTGCCTTCTGACTCGACTCTACTGTCACTCCAGGAATTGGCCAAGTGTAACCACTTCCTAAAGCGTAGTATAGCGGGTTTAGGTTTAATTATCAACCCGGGTCCTAGATTTGCTGACTACTCAGTGAGTTCTTGTTATCTAGCAATAAAACTGGAGTGCAAGTCTAAACTACCAAACAAACAAAGCAAGTAAACTGGTTGTATTCAAGTTAAAGAGGTCACCCGGATATGGTTCCCCCTAGACTGCAGTTAAGCCGGATTGTAATTACCAAGTTCAGTTTCTATGACAGTTATACTGCGGAAGGTTCTTAAACAGCCTGAAGTCTCGACTAAAGGTCTTCAGACCCTCTCAATCTGACTCTCTAGCGGGCGACTAACCTCCACCGGAGTCGACAGATTGAGGCCCTAAGAACAAACCTCCACTACCGGAGTAAATCCGGTACAGAATAGTGAGTTGGCTCCTCGACTAAAGTCACCAACTCCCTACCTTCAATCAAGGATACTCTATTAACCTAGGCAGATATTCTCATTCTAGGTCAAAGCAGAAACAACAGGAATTTGATCAGGATTCAAGTCATTCAATCATTAAAACCTCAATCGAATATAATCAATCATAGAATCAGTACTTGGGTTCATACAATCAAAGCCTAACATACAAATCTAGGGTTCTCCATACCCAGATGAATGGGAGAACTACTCCATAGAGAAAGAAGCAAAAGCAGAATCAGACACGGAATTCATACTGCGAAGGATGGATTCCTGCTTCTGGACGTTGATTGGCACTTCTCCAAGCTCAAACTGGCCTCCAATGGTGTTGAAGATCAATCTACGGCACTTGGAGACTCTTGTTCGTCGCTTTCTCTCTCTAGGAATTGATCTCTCTCTCTAAAACTCGAATCCCCCTTGAATTGTGGCTGAAACTCTGCTTAAAAGCATCAGTGGCCAAAGCACGGTCGAGGGCACGGCCGTGCTTTGCCTGACTCCGCCCGTGCCTCGGCCAGGGCTTAATTACACGGCCAGCAAGTGGGTTAAACACGGCCGTGCTTCGCAATGTACACGGCCGTGCTTTGACTGAACACGGCCGTGCTTCGGTGCCCGTGTTTGCAGCTGAATTGGCCAAACTGAATTTGCTCTCGGCATAAAAAGCACGGCCAGCAGTACACGGCCGTGTAATGCCTTAGGCTGCCGGTGTTTTGGCTCCAGCTCACCGAAATGACTTCCGAATGCCCCGAAACTCGCGCTTAGCCTTCCCTTTGACACCTGGGACCTGAAACATGACAAAATAGCACAACCCGGCGTAAAATAGGCCACAACACACGACTATGCCCCTCAAACGGATAAGAACTAGGGGCGCAAACATGTGCAATTACATCGTTATCAAACTCCCCCACACTTAACCGTTTGCTTGTCCCCAAGCAAACCTAACTCAAACCAATGCAACTCTCCAGACCTCCATAGCAACAAACAACCCAGATCGTAAGTAGAGGACTTCCTAGGTCATTTAGCAGCTTACGAGGTCAACCGACGCACAAGTCATCTCAAAGCTTCTTATCGAGTCGGCATCATGGCAAAAAGTGAACAGAGGACAAATGAATCGTGGATGGAGAGATTCTCAAAAACAAAGGATCATGGACTCACATTTTTCAAGGTGCTCGATTTTCTTTGAAGATGGTTGGAACCCCTTTTTTTTCTGTTTTGCTTGTTTTCTGTTATTTTTCTTTTCTTTTTTTTCTTTTCAAGGGTCCCAACCTGCTCTTAACGGCCATGCCAGGAGCGGATGTCTCGAGCCTCGTGCGGGGGAAAGACATGTAAGGGGGCTGGAGGTAGTAGGTGGAAATTGGGACGAATTCCCGTCTCCCCTTACACACTTTCGCCCTATTCGCACGGGAGACGTTTATTTTCAAGCACATTTTCGAGCACCTGTTATTTTCAAAACATGATACAAGAGTCCATGACAGGCAGAGAATCCACAACACCACACAATTCAAGGGTCCTAAGATCACTAATTCACTCAATCAACCAACTCAATATGAAGAAGAAATGAGACTCCTTAAATGCATCAACATCCTCCATAGTGCTACATTACCTCCCTAGGTTGCATATTACTATAAAGACTGTCAATTCAAAGCATACTGAGCAGGCAATTGCAAGGAAACACGTACTTGGAGCCCTCAAATTTAAAAATTTGGACAGTGGACTAGGCTCCAAGCACACAAACAGATCTAATGCAGTCAAAAGATAAACACCCCCCACACTTAAGATCGACATTGCCCTCAATGGAGAAGAGGGAAGGATAAGGGAACGATGTTACCGGTATGCACGGACTGCAGGAGACTGGAAACGGGCCAGTCGGGGCACGCACAGCCAAAGGGAAACAGAAGAGCTCAAACACAATATGTTAGGTTCAATGGTCAGCCCAATAAAATATCATCCAAACCAAAAGAAAACAAACCAAACCCAAACCGGGTTACAATCCGACTCAAAACACAAGAAACAAAATCAAACCGTGGTGGGGTTGCCTCCCCACAAGCGCTTCTTTACCGTCGTATTAGCTGGACGCCCATGGCGGATACTCAGGGCGGTGCAGGAATAGGTGCCTCCAAGAGCGGATCCACGTCGCTCTTGAGGTACAGCTTCAGGTTGTGGCCATGCACCCGACGGATGCGACCACCCTCATCAGTCAGCTCGACCTGCCCATCTGGCAAGATTCAGGAGAGCGAGTACCCAGACGGCCAGGGTGGTCGTGGTGCAGGAGGTGGGACCAGCTCATAGTGGTCTCCACTCTTCTTCCGTGCAGGCTTAGCAACCTGCTGCTTCGGCCGCCACTCCTCCTTGAGCTTTTTGTTCGGAGGCGAGGCTGGATGGAGTGGCGGCGAAGGAATGATAGGAGGGTCCTGCAAAATAGGAGGTGCAGAAGGGTACACGACAGACTCGTGTACCTGATCAGACATAGCATGCACAGGCGTGACAGCAATCATAGCACAGTGATCAAACTCAGTCACAGAAAAAATAGCCTGTTCATTCCCAGCACGCAAGATCAATTTACCATCATGCACATCAATAAGTGCCTTGGCGGTGGCAAGAAATGGCCTACCTAGAATCAAAGGCACATCCACATCCTCATGCACATCAAGAATAACAAAATCAACAGGATATGTGAATGCACCGACACTGACAAGCAGATCCTCTATGATTCCCCTAGGATGCACAATGGAACGGTCAGCGAGCTGAATGCTCATCCTAGTAGGGCTAAGTTCACCTAAGTCTAGCTTCTTAAACAACTTATATGGCATGACATTTATGCTATCACCTAGGTCCGCCAAGGACTTGCCTACATGCATGTTGCCAATAGTGAGAGGGATAGTAAAACTCCCTGGATCCTTGCGCTTCTCGGGCAGCTTGTTCTGCAGGATAGCAGAACACTCCTCACTGAGCATCACTGTCGAAAGATCCCCAAGTTTCTTCTTGTCGGTGAGGACGTCTTTCATGAACTTGGCATACTTGGGCATCTTTGACAGTGCCTCCACGAACGGTATGCTGATGTTGAGCTGCTTCAACATTGCCATGAACTTGGCAAACTCAGTCTCCAGCTTGTCTTTTTGTAGGTGAGTGGGGAAGGGAAGCTGGGGCACATGCTCCTTAACCACTGGTTGTGGCTTGGGAGCAGGGGCTTCCTTCTCCACCCGCACTGATGCATCGTCTGCTGGAAGTGCTGAAGCAGGTAGTGGTTCCTCCTGTCTGGCCGGAACAGGATCAGCAGATATGGCCCTACCGCTCCTGGTAAAAATGGCATCAAGCTGCTGGAGCTGGTGAGGATCCCGAGGATTCGGGATAGTGGTGGAAGGCAAAGTCCCCGGTGCCCTGGTGGTGCTTTGGCGGGCCAAGATGCCCACCTGGGTCTGCAGATCCTGCAAAATGGCACCCTGGTTCCTCTGACCTGCCTCCAATGAGGCTACACTCTGGTCCAACCTCGTGATAGTCGCCTGAGTGCTCGTCATGAATGAAGCTAGAATGTTTTCCAGCTTCGTCATCCTGTCATCTAGGGCTGGAGCGGCTGCTGGCTCGGCAAACTGGCGCTGAGGTTGCTGGAATGGCTGCTGTGGAACTGGCCCCTGTCGAGCCTGGTAGGGCTGCCTCTGCTGAAAACCACCTGCTGGTGCTGGGAAACCAGGTGGTTTAGTGGTGTTGCTGCTCCAGGCAAAGTTGGGATGCTGGCGCCACCCCTCATTATATGTGCTACTGTATGGATCGAGGCGCCTCGCATTGGCGATGAAGGCCAACTGCTCCTGGGGTGTGGTAGACTCCCTCATAGCCTGGCAGTCCTCCACTAGGTGATTGGAGCTCTCACACCACTGACATTGAGCAACTGGAGGTGTAGCCAAACCTCTGCCCGGAATCAGACTGTTAGGCTGCTTCAATGTCTGCACTAGCTCAGCTACCTGCTGCTCGAGCCCGGATCTGGTCTCCATGGCGTGCACACCACGGTCCCGGGACTGTCTGCCTCGGCTACGCTGTCCCCAAGAATGATCTCTAGCAGCCAAAGTACTGATCATCTGGTTCAGCTCGGGTGGAGTCTTGGTAAGAATATCCCCTCCTGGGCATAAAGACTCAATCACCCTCTGGCTATCTGGGGAGAGAGCGCTGTAGAAGTTCCCCACAGTGAAAGCATCACTAAAGCCATGGTGGGGGCACTGCCAGAAGTAGCCCATGTACCGCTCCCAAGCATCACGGAGTGACTCATCTGGCTCCTGGCGGAAGTGAGTGATCTCCCGCTGAATCTCTGTAGTCTTCGATGCCGGATAATACCTGTGCACGAACTTGTCAGCCAGATCGTCCCAAGAGGTGATGGACAATGGGGGCTGGGTCTCCAACCACCTCTTAGCATTCCCCGCCAGAGAATGGGGAAAGAGATGAAGGCGGATTGCATCATCCGGGACACCATTCAGCTTGAACCCATTCGTCAGCTGCAGAAAACGGGAAAGATGCACCCTGGCCTCCTCATTCTTCAAGCCATGGAACTGGATAGATGATGTAATGAGCTGAATCCAGCATGGCTTGATCTCGAAATTGTTTGCTGGAATAGGCGGGTAAAGGATGACCGGGCGGATGTCAGCAATCCGCGGAGTGTAGTAGTACTCCAAGGTGGGGCCCGGCTGCGGGGGATGATGAACTCCATGGTCCTGGGGTATGGGGTTGTTCCCCAGGACCTGATTCACCGGGGGAGCCTGCTGAGGATTCCCCTGGTGTTGATTGTAGTCTCCGTCCATTCCGTGCTCTTCTTCAGAATCGCTGCTCAGGTGGCCGTCTATGCGCTCTTTCGTAGCCAGTCTAGCTCGCTGTTGTCTCCTGAGCTGGCGACAGGTGCGGTCAATCTCTAGATTCAACGGCAGTAAACCTCCCGACTGGCTACGGGTCATGCACTACCTGCACACACTCAAGCAGCAAACCCGTGAAGGCACAAGTGGGACAAAGCAAACAAAGCAAAAAGAAAAGCTAAATTAACAGAAATCACTTTTCTTCAACAACCTAGCCGTCCCCGGCAACGGCGCCAAAAACTTGACTCGACTCTACTGTCACTCCAGGAATTGGCCAAGTGTAACCACTTCCTAAAGCGTAGTATAGCGGGTTTAGGTTTAATTATCAACCCGGGTCCTAGATTTGCTGACTACTCAGTGAGTTCTTGTTATCTAGCAATAAAACTGGAGTGCAAGTCTAAACTACCAAACAAACAAAGCAAGTAAACTGGTTGTATTCAAGTTAAAGAGGTCACCCGGATATGGTTCCCCCTAGACTGCAGTTAAGCCGGATTGTAATTACCAAGTTCAGTTTCTATGACAGTTATACTGCGGAAGGTTCTTAAACAGCCTGAAGTCTCGACTAAAGGTCTTCAGACCCTCTCAATCTGACTCTCTAGCGGGCGACTAACCTCCACCGGAGTCGACAGATTGAGGCCCTAAGAACAAAACCTCCACTACCGGAGTAAATCCGGTACAGAATAGTGAGTTGGCTCCTCGACTAAAGTCACCAACTCCCTACCTTCAATCAAGGATACTCTATTAACCTAGGCAGATATTCTCATTCTAGGTCAAAGCAGAAACAACAGGAATTTGATCAGGATTCAAGTCATTCAATCATTAAAACCTCAATCGAATATAATCAATCATAGAATCAGTACTTGGGTTCATACAATCAAAGCCTAACATACAAATCTAGGGTTCTCCATACCCAGATGAATGGGAGAACTACTCCATAGAGAAAGAAGCAAAAGCAGAATCAGACACGGAATTCATACTGCGAAGGATGGATTCCTGCTTCTGGACGTTGATTGGCACTTCTCCAAGCTCAAACTGGCCTCCAATGGTGTTGAAGATCAATCTACGGCACTTGGAGACTCTTGTTCGTCGCTTTCTCTCTCTAGGAACTGATCTCTCTCTCTAAAACTTGAATCCCCCTTGAATTGTGGCTGAAACTCTGCTTAAAAGCATCAGTGGCCAAAGCAAGGTCGAGGGCACGGCCGTGCTTTGCCTGACTCCGCCCGTGCCTCGGCCAGGGCTTAATTACACGGCCAGCAAGTGGGTTAAACACGGCCGTGCTTCGCAATGTACACGGCCGTGCTTTGACTGAACACGGCCGTGCTTCGGTGCCCGTGTTTGCAACTGAATTGGCCAAACTGAATTTGCTCTCGGCATAAAAAGCACGGCCAGCAGTACACGGCCGTGTAATGCCTTAGGCTGCCTGTGTTTTGGCTCCAGCTCACCGAAATGACTTCCGAATGCCCCGAAACTCGCGCTTAGCCTTCCCTTTGACACCTGGGACCTGAAACATGACAAAATAGCACAACCCGGCGTAAAATAGGCCACAACACACGACTATGCCCCTCAAACGGATAAGAACTAGGGGCGCAAACATGTGCAATTACATCGTTATCACCTTCCTACAAAAAAAAGGTGTTGAGTTTGAATCACGGGGTCCAAAGTTCAATTCCCCTTCTCCAACCTTGAAAACTTTTCATTTTTTTGACGTGGCTTTACCTTCCAAGTGGGTTCCATTGACCCCACAACCAACAATTTGGCTGCGCCAATGACTATGCAAAAAATTTACGAAATTGGCCAAACCCAAGATTTGACTGTTATCTTGGATGGTCAAATGTGTTGACTAATGGCCAACGCACCACGTCACTACCAAATCAACACATTACCACTTGAAAATTTTGATTTTTTCCACATATTACCATTTATCTTTTTTATTTTGAACAAAAGAAGAAGAAAAAAGGAAAGATAAATGATAATAAGTGGAAAACCCCCCCAAAAAAATTAAGTGGTATGTGCTGACTTGGCAGTGACGTGGCGTGGGTTTGGTCAATTTCGTAACTTTAATGCATAGTTGAGGTCACAATGTTGTAGATCAAAAAGATTGACCACGATGTTTAATTTGTGAAATGTTCAGGCTATATAAATATATTAATCCTATAATATTCATGAAGCTTTGGCTTTGAACTATTATGTTTTCGTCCTTCCGGGACATCCAATAAAATTGGAACTATTGTGATTTAATCTCCGATCATTTTATGGTCGAGGATATAGTATGAATGCCATTAGATGATGTCTATGCTCTTCGTAGGTGTCTTTTTATTGATGGTTCGACAACTTGCCATTGTTTGATGGCTTCAAAATAAATAAATTAAATCATATTATTTCCATTGGTTTTATAAGCTTTTGACACTCATTTTTCTAACGTTTTATTTTCGAGCTTTATAAGTAGAACCTTTTATTCTTTCTCAACACTTAACATTTTTTTTCTCTTAAAAAACACTTAACTTTTTTCTTTAAAAACAAATGTCATCTATGTTTTAGGCACCCACTCGCAATCCAAAGTGGAAGAATTTTGAGGATAAAGGTGGGACGAGATACGGTGACAACCCACTTCATAGCCTTTGGATACGCTCTCTCTCCTGTCTCTTTTTTCTTTTTTTAAATTAACGGTTAAGATTAAATGAATGATATTTTTGGAAGGGTAAAAATTTACCACACCCAATCATTCACCATACCATATAAAAAGAACAAAAACCCTAACTCCTCCATCCTCCCTCTCTCTCTCCTCCCTTTCTCCCGTAGACATCACCATCTCTCCTCCCCCTCTCTCCGGCGCCATGGATGAGATCCCATCCCCATCACAGCAGCTTCCCATAAGCACCACCACGAAGACAATCAAGGAGAAGCAGCTGACTCTGATCCCTCTCATCTTCCTCATCTACTTCGAAGTCGCCGGCAAGGAACCGGCCGCGCCGCTGTCCTCCCCTGCCGCCATCATTTTTATGTCGCCGCCACCGCGAGGTCAAGACTCTTCCCTGCCTCCCTCTTTCCTCATCCCTATTTTTTTCCAGATCTGATAGTCTCTACCGGTACCAATACCACTGGTAGCGCTATTGGTACGCTACCACTACTCACTAGTACCAATACCAGTGGCTTCCCTATCATCTGGTACCACTATCATCTGTTTTTTTTTTTTTTTGGTGTTATACGCTACTGGTACCGCTACCAATGCTAGTGGTAGCGCTACCAGTGCTAGTAGCGTTGTGTTATTCTCTACTGGTAGCGTACCACTATTACTGGTACATTTTTTACTGGTACCGCTAGTACTGGTACATTTTTTAACGTACTGGTAGCGTACCACTAGCACTGGTATATTAATTACCAGTAGACTAATAGATTGGTACACTTTTTAACGCATTGGTACATTTTTTCAGGTTGCCGGAGGGAGTCTGCCGAAGAGAATTCGTCGGAGAAAAAGTTTGTCGGTCGATGCGGAGTGGCTGCTGGAGAAAGGAAGAGAGAGAGATAGATAGAGATATTAATGTATAGGATTTAAATTTCAGAAAAAAATTGTATTTAATATGGGGTTTTAATTCCCAATATAATTAATACAAAAAGGTAATTAATATATTCCTTTTTTTCATACCCAAAATACCCTTGATTGTGAATCTGACAAGGGTCACCTTATCCCGTCCCGATAAAGGTTTGTACGAGCTTTTGAGTAAAATTTTGGAAGATTCTGTTGTCAATAATTATCAAGTATGGTCGACATTTGAGGCAATTGGAGCTCAATACGCAAGATTGTCAATCATTAGGAAAGAACATGAGAGGGTTAGGGAGGCAAGAGAAAAGAATAAATACTATCAAGAAATAATGAGTAAGGATCTTTCTCAATTTAGCTCTCGTACAAAAAAGTGGGTATTAAACACAAAAAAAACATCATAGCTGCGAACCAAGTTTATCCAAGTCCATCTCTAGGAGGATCCAATTATAAGCTATAACACAAACTATGACTTTTATACACCCGACTTGTAATCTTTGAAGTTTGATGTATTATTTAGTTTGAGTGTGTTGCTCTTAAGTATTTTCAATTCTTTCTTATAGTGTGTTGCTAAGAGTATTTTAAATTTACTCTTGATGTCTGTTCTACTTTGATTTCTTTTCTTCAATTATTAGTAATTATAAATTGGACTAATATCTTAAAATGACTCGAACTTTATTCTAAATGGCTATCCTGATAGGGAAGGCAATGGGTCGGGTGGGGGCGGGTTTTGTCAAATCCAAACCCATGGGTTTATCCGCCAAAAATCTCTGGGGTAAAACCCGTTGGGTTTGAAAAACTCAAACCCAACCCAACCTGCTGGGTATCCGCGGGTTCATGGGTACCCGTGGGTTTTTCTAGTAAAAAATTTACAATAACAAGTTTCTTTCAAAATAAAAGTTTAACATCAATTTTCTCATACAAATTAATCATACAAAAAACGCCAATCTAGAGCATACAAGCAAACCGCAAATTATCAATACAAATTGTTCAAAATTAAAGATAAACATCTATAAACAATAAGATTAATTGAAAGCTTCTTCCTCGTCAACTAAGTTTCTTCATTCTTCACTTCATAATATCAACTTCATTTTAAATAATTAGAAAAAACAAATTATACATGTCTCCACAAACATAAAGAATATTAGTTGTTTAAGGAAGATATATTATTTAGAATATTAAATATACCGGGAAAGTAATTATATGTGTAGTGAGCGGGTACCCATGGGGCGGGTTTACCTAAACCCAAACCCAACCCGACCCGGTGAATAGTGTAGCGGGTTTAAACCCGAACCCGGCCCAAAACCTGTCAACGCGGTTTTACCCGCGTTGACCGGTTTGGGTCGGGTGGGTACCCGTGGTTTCGGGTTTTGTTGCCATCCCTATATCCTGACCAATCTCTTAGAAATGCCTATTCTAATCTGAACTATTTAGTCTAAACCAAGACTTGATCATTATACACTTATACTAGACAATCAACACCGTCGACTAACGATCAACAAGAACAAGTCATGTCACTGTCAAGTCATCACAAAGAAACAGAAAACATTCCTAAATTTTACATATAATTAAATTAAAATTAAAAATATATATAAAAAAATCCAAAATATGTGAAATAAAATAATTAACTTAGTGACCAAATTAGCCATTTACCCTAAATTCCAAGGATGTGAAGTATACCGTCTCTCTCCCATAGACATAGCCGTAGCCCACATTCCTTAACTGGGCTGGAGCTGGGCTTTTCGAGAAGGTATCTATACTCAAACCCACAGCGAATTGGGCCAAACTGAGTAGCCCAAATGTACATATAACTAACTGTGGTTTAACAATTGATTATGTCCTTTGGTTAAAGTGGTCCTCAAAAGTCAAATGAATCAGTCATATTTCTATAATAATCCTCCTGAAATTACTTGAACCACGAATAGCTCAAAATCAGTGCTGTCAAAGCCGAATCGAGCCGGCCGGCCGGACCGCCAAAGACGCCACCCGGCCGTAAAACCGGCTCGGATCAGCTATTTAACCGCCACGGTTTTATACAGCGGCCGGCGAGCGGCCGAAGTTGTTAACCGCTCGAGCCGATCGCGCGGTTCGGCCGTTTGATTTACCCTAAAAAAAAATAGAAAAGGCCAATCGTGGAATCGGCCGTCAACGCCTCTTGTCCCGGCATCGGCGCTTCCCGACGGCATCGCCATCCCCAGTCGCCATCGCATCGCCATCGCCAGTCCTTGTCGTAGCAAGCAGCTTCCCGCTCCCGGCGCTTCCATCTCGTCGCCACCGTCGCAAGCAGCTCCTCGCTAAGCTGCCCTGTCTCACCAGAGGCTTGGATTGAATCCGAGCCATTTCGCGGATTGGGACGAGGAAGAGCATTTACGGGTTAAGAAAGGATGAGGTGATGGATTTTTGAGGAATTGCAGAAGGCTATAGTGGCTGAAAAATGAAAATAGGTGCGGCGGTGGGAGAGGAGGAAGGAGAGAGGGAGGGGGGATGGGGAAGCGGAAGCAAGGAGAGTGATGGGTGGGGAAGCGGGGTTGTCGCTTAGGATTAGGTTAGGGTTTTTTTTTAGTTGTTGTATATATATGTTGTGTAGAATTATTAAATGGTACCTTTAATTATCATTTTTACTCATTAAATCATTGAATTATTACTTTAAACACACTATGATATTATATTGTTTATAATGTATCGGTTCTCAAATGGTTTTTAAACGGTCTAATGCCGGCTGAACCATTAATGACCGAACCGTTCACGTTACCGGATCATACTACGGCTCGGCTTTGACAGCATTGCTCAAAATCCCAGGCCCACCGGCCACCGCCACCGAACCAGAATATGAGACAAGGATATAGTTGCTGTCGAGAGAAATGAGAATTTCCATTAAGAGAACAACAGCAGGCAGCAGCATTAAATTAATGATCAAATAAAACCTCATTGTTTGTTAATTAATAAGGCAGTAGAACAGAAAGTAACGATCTTAACTCTTAAGTTCTTAACCACATAAATCGCTTTCAAATCCCGAACGGGAAACACTTATTTCACAAATCTCCTTGGCCTTCCTCAACCGGAAGGTGGAGGGAGAGGGACCAATCCGCCATCGCAACGTCGAGGGACCGCAAAAGTTTTGTGGGGTATCTAAATCGTCACTAAACTTCAGGGTGAGTAAAGGAAAGTGTTACTTATAAGGTCAATAACACTGTAGTCCCTATATTATTATTTTCTTTAACAAACAAATATTTATTGATTGAATGATTATATATAAAAGCGTTATTGTACTATTTTTTTTATTTTTTATTTTGAGTCAATTGAGTAAGAATTGTCTAAATCCATTACTATGGAGGTTGACTCATACTTAGTAAGCACATCCATTCTTTATGACCTAGATATCACATGTGTTGAAAGTTGAAACTCTGCGATTATTAGTTGATTCCACTTGCAAATTGCCTCCTCCTTTCTAGTTTTTATGATACACTTGTTCTTTTTATATTTACGAAGGATATTCGAGGGACAACCAGATGAACCTAATGGTTTTTGAGGGTTTGACATGAAACCAGATGAACCACTCCGGTTTAACTGATCCACTGATTTACTATTTTAACCACAAAAAATTAAGGAAAAAAGTATCTTAACGTGAACTGTTTATGTTTCATTTTTTTCATTTGTCAGCCTACTCATCGGATTTATCAGGTTCACTATGGATTGTCACTCTTATTATTGACTTGAATTTAATTAAAAAAATTATGATTACTTTTGTGAGATAGTTTGAATGCTTTGTGAGAACTTTTTGGTGATAGATGATATGAATTTGAAATCTTTTATGGGTAGAGATAAATTCACTCATAACTTAGAGTATTATATATGTATTTTATATTATAGCACATGAACGATTCTATTAACGATTAACTAACGGTTCTATAACAATAATCGTTAAAGTATAAAGCACTAACTTTTCCAATTCAGCATTCGGTCTGACTTTAACAATATTGGTTTTCTTGTACCCTGCATAATAATTAATCGTTAAAGTATAAAGCACTAACTTTTCCGATTCAGCATTCGGTCCGACTTTAACAATATTGGCACTTTGCAAGTATCTATTATACCCATTTGATAAAAGTTAGGATTTTGCTACGGTGACATGGACTTTTCGGTCGACCTAATTCTAAAGGTGGTCGACCGAATTGACTAATTTATGCAGCACGTGAAAGCATTGCGGTCGACCTAATCCAAAAGGCGGTCGACCTCAATTCATAACATAATTGATGAGTCCTTGTTATCATTATTTATGACTAGTTATGATGGTTTAAAGCGTAATTTATACGAGCAAAAGAACCACAAAAATCGACATACATAAGCAAAAAAGACACGGGGTATAGGTTGACTTTCTTGTATTCGATCAACCTCGTACCGGATTAGGTCGACCTCGACACCAACACTTGATCTTCATTTTACGTCAAATGATTGGATAAATTGATAGAACACTTATCGTCTATCTGGTCGACCTCTTTCTTTATCTGGTCGACCATGTTGTTAATGACTGCCATCAAGTGGTCGACCTATATACCTTTACGGTCGACCATGTTGTTTCTGACGCCAATGAAATGGTCGACCGAGGTTTATTCTGGTCAACCAAAAATAACAACTTAAGCTAAGAACGGTCGACCAGGTGGTCTTTGAGGTCGACCGCAATGCTTTCTCGTGTTGTCCAAATTAGTCAATTCGGTCGACCGCCTTTAGGATTAGGTCGACCGAAAAGTCCATGTCACGGTGACATGCATGTCATAGTAGGCATACCCTAAAAGTTATAGTGAACTTACCCATGCATAATTATTAGTCAGATTTCCATTGTTTAGTTAAATAAGCTTTTTTTTTACGGAATTAGTTAGTTAGTTAAAGAAGCTGGAAATAAGTAGGGGTGTTCAAATGGTTACCATGGTTATAACCAAACCAAATAATGCTAAATTCCATTAACCGTGGAATACAATATCATAACCAAACCGTCCAAACTAATACAACAACCAAATTAACCAAACTAAAGTTTAATCGGTTTGGCTAATTGGTTAACCAGATTAACCAATATAAAATCACATTATCATTGACGATGAAAATTTTCCGGTTAATGAAACAATTCGCAATTTATATAATGAATAAAACATAACAACCAACACGTAGTTATATTTGACCCTTAACAAAAATACATGCAACTAAGACAATTATCTTACGATTAGTATAGAAGTATTCACCTAACAAAAATTTATGACAATGGTATGGGTTAATGAATTGTTGTGTTTGTGTAAATTGACTTAGTCTCTTAGCAATTATCATAGGCTGGAAATGACCTTCCTTTCAAGTTTTCATCCATCATAATGTATGAAATTTATCTAAATTAGGCGTCCATTTATTGTGGTCTACATTTTACATATTCAAATATACACTATATGAGCAATATTGAGCTTTATATTTTATGAATCTAAAAGGGATGAACGTTAACTCTTGAGTGGTTATGCAAAGTATTAATTATGTGTATATAATATATGTTAGATATATGACTAATTACTTAACTGGTTAATTTGGTTTGACTGGTTAGAAGTGTCTGAAACCAAACCAAACCACCTAAACCAAACAAGCTAAAAACTTTAACCAAACCAAACCAATTATCCAAATTAACCAAACAAAATTATCCAAATAGTACCGGTTAAAACGGTTACCATGGTAACCAAACCGTTTGAACACCACTAGAAATAAGTACCCGGCCCATATAAATCAAACCATTTCTATGCTCTAAGGCCCACAAGAATTAAATAGGAAATTACTGAAGGCCCCCTCCGTGGTGTGCGCAGGAACGGGGAAAAGTGAAATTAAGGTAGTGTTGAGGAGAAACTCCATTATATATTGTTTGATTTGATAACAGCAGGCAGCAGCATTAAATTAATGATCAAATAAAACCTCATTGTTTGTTAATTAATAAGGCAGTAGAACAGAAAGTAACGATCTTAAGTTCTTAACCACATAAATCGCTATCAAATCCCGAACAGGAAACACTTATTTCACAAATCTCCTTGGCCTTCCTCAACCGGAAGGTGGAGGGAGAGGGACCAATCCGCCATCGCAACGTCGAGGGACCGCAAAAGTTTGTGGGTATCTAAATCGTCACTAAACTTCAGGGTGAGAAAAGGAAAGAGTTACTTATAGGGTCAATAACATTGTAGTCCCTATATTATTATTTTCTTTAACAAACAAATATTTATTGATTGAATGATTATATATAAAAGCGTTATTGTACTATTTTATTTTTATTTTGAGTTAATTGAGTAAGAATTGTCTAAACCCATTACTATGGAGGTTGACTCATACTTAGTAAGCACATCCTTTCTTTATGACCTAGATGTCACATGTGTTGAAACTCTGCGATTATTAGTTGATTTCACTTGCAAATTGCCTCCTCCTTTCTAGTTTTTATGATACACTTGTTCTTTTTATATTTACGAAGGATATTCGAGGAACAAAAAACAAAATTTTAATTACTATGTGTTGATCGGCCCAACTAGTAATAGAATTTGCATCTTCCGTGTCGTGAATAAGTTGTAGTGTACCCCTAGGTTCAATTCTGAGCATCTATATTGACCGACCTCTCATGAAGACACAAAGGTTTACAGTTCTCTCTTTGTCATGGGACAATCAATGTACCATATCGGTAATACAAAGTAAGAAACCCTTGTATATTAGTGTCCATCTAGCCCAATCAGTATGAGGCCTTTTGGGGAGGACACCCAAGAGTAAAACTGTGCGGGCTTGGCCCAAAGCGGACAATATCGTACTAATTGAGCTCCCCGGTTATGACAACTGGTATCAGAGCCTTTGGTTGCGATTTTGGGAATTTGGCGTTGAACTGAAGTTTTGCTTTATGGAGGTAGCTTTCAATTCTTTAGCTTGGTTCGGTGGAGGAATCGCTTTGGAGTTGACTTTGGGTAGTTGTGTTTTTGTCTCGCTTGTTTGGTGAGAAGTTTGGTTGGAGTTTGTTTGATAGTAAGAATGGTTGCTATCAGTATTAAGATTGAGAAGTTTATCGGAAGAGTGGATTACTTTGGAGGAGAAAGCTCACTCTACAATCTTGCTTTGTTTGGCCGATGACATCATTACTGAGGTTGCTGCTGAGAAGACTGGCGCGGGTTTGTGGTTGAAGCTTGAAAGTCTATACATAACAAAGTCTTTAACCAACAAGTTGCATATGAAGCAATGTTTGTTCAGTTTGCATATGGATGAAGGTACGCCTCTCAAGAATCATCCAGATCAACTCAATGCTATCTTGTTAGATCTGCGGAATATTGATGTTAAAGTAGATGATGATGATGTTGCCTTAATTCTGTTAGTATCTTTGTCACAGTCATATGAGAATTTTGTGGATTCTTTTATTGTTGGGAAAGATAGTTTGTCTTTGGAAGATGTCAGATCTGCTCTACATACTAGAGAGGTTCGACATAAGGTGTTTGGTTCAGGTTCGGAAAATCGGGCATATGGGTTGGCTGCTACGAGTAGTAGGAGACAACAATCTGGTAATATAGGAAGGCGAATACAAATTCGAATTATGCTGGTTTGAAGGATGATATTTGTCATTACTGCAAGGAGAAAGGACATTGAAAATTTGATTGTCCTAAGCTAAAGAAATATCAGGAGAAGAAGGAATCATCTGTTGCTGTGGCGGAAGAAACTAACTCTGATTCTAAAGATGGTTTAGCCTTACCAGTGAATGAACAGGTACATCATCAGGATGTGTGGTATTTAGATACTGCAGCTGATTATCATATGTGTCCAAGCAGGGAGTGTTTGTCAACTTATGAGCAGATAGATGGAGGGCATGTTTATATGGCCAATGGTGCTATCTGTAAGATTGTTGGAAGAGGCTCTGTCAGGATGAGGACATAAAATGATTCTGTTCGCACCTTGAACAATGTTAGACATATTTTAGAGATGACTAAGAATCTGATATCTTTGAGTCTACTCGAGAGCAAGGGTTTCAGTTTCAAAGGTGAAGGTGGAGTGTTGTCTATCTACAAAGGTTCTAAGGTGATTCTGAAAGGTGTCAAGGTTGGTGCCTTGTATGGTCTACAAGGTTCTGTTTTGACATGTTTTGTTGGTGATAAGTGCACCAAGTTGGTTCTGAATTGCAAGTCTCAACATGGGTTAGATTTGTCGAATGGTTTGAGTTGTTGACCGCCCTTAGGGGCATTTGGAGGCAGGGGAGATTCTGGTATAGCTGATTTGGAGGAGTTTGGTACATTGGCAACTTTGGTTGCGTCTGGTACATTTGGTATTAGAGAGAGAATTCAAGTCAAGGTGGACATTGTTAGAATATGACTTGAATTTGATTTGAGTTTGTTTTGTGTTTGGGTCTATTTTGTTTGGATTTGTGTTTGCGCTTTGTTTGACCTTTTCTTGGTATGTTTGGGAAAAGGTGTTTGGTTTTCTGTTTGGGATTAAGAGAAGAGTTCTATAAATACTCTTCGTCACCCTAGATTGTAGTAAGGTCAGTCGGGTTAGTTTGTTTGCTTTGTCCGTTCCAAAATTTGGTTTGTAACCTGTAATCTCCTCAAATTAGTGAAATTTGTTCTCCCCTGCCTGTGGATTAGCTAGCACACATTGTATTAGTGAACCACGTTAGTCAAATTAGATAAATACTCTTCATCACCCTAGTGTGTAGTAAGGTCACTCGGGTTAGTTTGTTTGGTTTGTCCGTTCCGGAATTTGGTTTGTAACCTGCAATCTCCTCAAATTAGTGAAATTTGTTCTCCCCTGCTCGTGGATTAGCTAGCACACATTGTGTTAGTGAACCACGTTAAATTTGTGTTCGTTCGTGTTAGTTTGGATTATCGATTGCACGCTTCTGTTCTGACACTCTTTCTGTACACCCTTGGCGAAGAAGAGTCTTTATGGTGATCCCGATGAAGATTAGGGTTCTTATTCTTTCTTTGCCATATCCACCTTACATTCTATTCTATGTACCAGCGTAATGCTTTCTTGCAATCTCTCCTTGTGAGTTTGAAGGGAATTTGCAATAATGGACTTGAGACTATAGTATGTGTACGTATTTGTAAAAATCAAAGTATAGGGACTTGCTTGCTTAGCCGTTTTTCTCTATCCACGGAAAGACATTGTCGCCGACACCGGATGACCTTTTTCTCGGTGACTCCGCGCGTCAGCTCAGGAAATCTCAACCGGTTCGTTGAATAATCCAGGAAATATAGTTTAATAATTTAATTCAATTTCTCATTTAATTTTAATTCCGGACAATTTGCGCCACGTTTCTCTGATTATTACACTTCCCATCTTTAAATTCCGGATAAAGAGGACAAAAACAAAAACAAAAAAACTGGGAGATAAAGGAAGGGAGAAATCGACGGCAAAAACTAGGTTCCTTTATACCTGGGCAGGCATTTGAAAGAATTACGGCGACTGTTCGCTTTTGCTTCAACCAGCGCCAAGTGTCTCTCTCTCCCGGCGGCCGGCGGCAGTTCTACCGTGATTCCTGCCCGGCAAAATGGGTATCATCAGCACAATAATGGGTTTCTTCGGATTCGGAGTTGGGACGTCGATCGGTTGCGTAATTGGCTACTACATGTTCATATACTTCCAGCCTTCCGATGTCAAGGTTAGCTCAGCTTCGCGTTGCTTTGCTTTGCTTTGCTATATCTATGCTTCTGTAAACTATAGCTTGAGCATTTGTTGAGTAGACTTCGAATTTGCCTGCTATAATGGGGGAGTAGATCGCGCTTCGAATTTTTTCAGTTTTTGCTCCAATGGGAGAAAGTTGGGAAGTCCCCGAGATCTTGACCTTTCTATGCGGCCTTCTTTTCAAATTCTGTAGGATCCAGTAGTTCGTCCTCTGGTTGAGCAAGACTCGGAGACTTTGCAGCGGATGTTTCCGGAAATACCCTTGTGGGTGAAGAATCCGGACTACGACAGAGTAAGTGTCTGGTTTCTGCTTCTTGATACTTGAATGTTTGTATGATGAATCGGAAAATAGGGTTTTCTTGAATTCCTTGAACAAGCTTTTCTGATGATTCATTTTCTGTTTTGGGGGGATGAAGGTTGACTGGCTGAACAAGTTCATTGCACACATGTGGCCTTACTTGGATAAGGTATGGGATTTCTAGCATGGATATTTGAATGCAATCCTTTGGACTTTTGCCTCTCTTTCTGTGCTTATGTATTAATGATTTATGGTTTATCTAGGCAATTTGTAAGACTGCTAAGACTATAGCAAAGCCGATTATTGCTGAGCAAATCCCCAAGTATAAAATAGATTCGGTTGAATTCGAAGCCCTTACGTTGGGCACGTTACCTCCAACCATTCAAGGTAATGTTCTTCTTTCCGTTTGTTGTCTATCTTCTTAACTTATAGAGTGTAGAAAGTCGCATAGTTATATAGTCAAAGAACTCTGAAATGTTTCTTGCAATTATGATTTAGTCCAGTGTGGATGATAGATGTACTAAGTTTGCCCTACTGTCCAAAAAAAAAAAAAAAAATCAAATCATATAGTGTAGGCAAGAGCCAGCCTTGGTGAATCCCTTATTTCATTTCTTAACTTGATAGTTGATAGACTTTTAGCTAAGATGGTGGCAGACATTGCTGCTGTTAACTCTAAACTTCTCCCTTCATGTTGTATGTGTTTGGGGAAAATCCATATGGAGGCACTTATTCTTTGATTTGTCATCATCCAGGAATGAAAGTTTATGTAACGGATGAGAAAGAGTTGATTATGGAGCCTGTTCTGAAGTGGGCTGGGAATCCTAACATCACAGTTGGAGTCAAAGCATTTGGGTTGAAAGCAACAGTCCAGGTATGTGATCTGGGTAGTTGGGACCTTGAATTTTGCAATTAACTGTTAGGGGATAGCTTATCCTCCCAGTTCCTATTAGGACTTAACCTTTGTGTCCGTCTGTGTGTTTCAGGTGATTGATTTGCAAGTTTTTGCTTCTCCAAGAGTCACACTTAAGCCCTTGGTCCCTACTTTCCCCTGCTTCGCCAATATTTTTGTGTCTCTCATGGAAAAGGTACTTTAAATTGGTTTACTGGGTACTAAGGGCGAGAATTCAATTTCGCTCCTGTACTCACTTTCCTTACCGGCTGGTATCCATTCTCCTTTGCTGCAGCCACATGTCGACTTCGGACTGAAATTGCTTGGAGCAGACGTAATGTCCATTCCTGGACTTTACAGATTTGTTCAGGTAATACATTCTGTTAAAATAGTTTTGAAAAAAGATGCTGTGATAAAAGTGCTTGTTCTTGTTAGCTGGCATCTGATCTTTCACCGTTTCCTCATCCAGGATCTTATCAAAGAGCAAGTTGCAATGATGTACTTATGGCCAAAAACCCTGGTTGTACCAATTTTGGATCCTTCAAAGTAAGTGATCTGATCTGTCGCATGATTTAATTATTTGTCGTTTGCTGTGTCACTAACTAATCCCCTGCTAATTCTACCTAAAATCTACAGGGCCATGAGGAAACCTGTTGGGATTCTTACCGTGAAGGTTGTACGTGCAATGAAACTTAAAAAGAAAGATTTGTTGGGAGCATCAGACCCTTATGTAAAGCTGAAGCTCACTGAAGATAAGCTGCCTTCAAAGAAAACTACAGTCAGACACAAGAACTTGAACCCCGAGTGGAATGAGGAATTTCATCTGGTTGTGAAAGACCCCGAATCACAAGCTTTGGAGCTTCTCGTGTATGACTGGGAACAGGTATGCTACTTCAAATCCCTTGTCGATACTAACCCAGAATTCGAACCCTTAGTCTAACTAATAACTTAACAACCAAGTAATGAATGACTTCACGAATTCCCCACCCCACCTTTAGACTCCTGTGGCAGCACCCGTTTCCCTAGCCCATTATAATGATACCCCCATAGAAGCAAGTTTGTAACAAATTGATTGGACCATTGAGTTATATCCCAATTGTTTATCAGTTTCCCCACTATTCCTGCAACTGATTATGATGTGACGATTTCTAGTTTACGCTTGGTTTCCAAACCTGATTTCTAAACCTGTACTCCTATTACTATCTACTCAGTTGGGTAAGCATGACAAAATGGGAATGAATGTTGTTCCATTGAAAGACCTTACACCCGAAGTATCAAAAGTCATGACACTCGAACTGCTGAAAAATATGGACCTAAACGATGTTCAGAACGAGAAATCGCGTGGTCAACTTGTCATTGAACTGCTGTACAAACCGTTCAAGGAAGATGAGATGCCAAACGCTGTTGAAGAGTCGGATGGTGTAGAGAAAGCTCCCGAGGGAACGCCCACTGGTGGAGGCTTGCTCGTGGTCATTATACATGAAGCACAAGACGTCGAAGGGAAGAACCACACAAATCCTTATGCTAAGATTACTTTCAGGGGAGAGGAGAGAAAAACTAAGGTACATACGTGTAAATGACTTATCAGCTACCTTACCTTGTATGCATTTTGGATCCCAATAACCGGACATGGTTCTGCTTGCAGTATGTGAAGAAAAACCGAGATCCGAGATGGGAAGAGGAGTTTCAGTTTACGCTGGAAGAACCGCCAACGAATGAGAAGCTCCATGTGGAAGTTGCTAGCGTCTCTTCCAGAATTGGTCTATTACACCCTAAGGTACTCTTCTGTTTGATTCCATATTGCTGGCTTCGAATCCAGCAGTTCGTTATAAATCAATTTCATGAAACTAGAATCAAGTTCTTCCTAATGAAATTTAGTCTCCATTGTTTCATACATTGATTCCAAACAAGTTTGCAAGTACTAAGCAGTGTTGGATTCCTTTGACTAGATGCTTACATTCGTATCATTTGCCGAAATTTGGAGCACAGGAAGTTCTGGGTTACGTGACCATAAATCTGGCGGATGTGGTATCGAACAAGAGAATCAACCAGAAGTACAATCTCATCGACTCGAGGCATGGCAAGATCCAAATCGAGCTGCAATGGCGAACATCTTCGTGATTTGGTGTGGGTTTTTCGAGAACTTTCTCATGCTGGAATTTGTTGGGTGGTGGTTTGGAGGGATTGTTAGTGAAGTTTTTGCTAATAATCGAGACCCTGTTAACTTAGCTGGAACACAAGAACCCCTTGTACATCTTTTGACTCACCATTTTTGGAAGTCTTTGAATAGAACGTCCAGCAGGCAGCAGTTTCCCTCTCATTACTCATTGGTCCAAATACACTTTCCATTCGATTCTAGACCGGATCCTGCACAGGACACTCCTGGATCCACCCATGTGGGTTGTGGCCCAACGCATTGGCTTCAGCATATGACTGAAAGAGGGAAAGCCCAAAGAAACAACCCTTTGAGGCCCAATGCAAACAGCCTAGCAACACATATCCTACACCCTAGTCTACCTAGCTTCCTAGCCAGTAGCCAGCCATCTTTTCTGCTGATATAGAACTCAAAAGTTTTGACATGAAATGGTAGCAGTAGCCAGTAGCAGACTAGCAGCAGCAGGCTATTCCTTCCTTCTCTTTTCTTTTTGGCCAACTTCCCATCATAATAATTCGATTCGATTGCAGAAGCAGGGGGAGGAAGAAAATGTAGCCAGAGTTGTAACATCGAGACTCGGCCTACTCATTGTCTACTCTTTCCAATCCCCTCCCTCCCAAATTCCCAAACAAGTTGAGAAAATCCAATTTTTTCGAAGAAAGCTGACCAAAAAGTTACTACCCTTCTTCATCATCATTGCCCTTCCTCGGGATGTTGATTCTCTATTGATACACTTTGTAGCCTTCCTTCTCCCTTGGGCAAAAGATACCCACATGACATCAACCCAATATTCCCAATTGTTGTATGGGGTAAGTAGGTGTCAATGTTGGTTTTCAAGATAGGGGTCTTGCAATCTCCAAGATCGGATTAAGAACGTTGTGCATTTATCAATTAAGATCGCAAGATTTCATAATTCAACGATGTTTGTTCGTATTAAGAGTTACTTTGTTTAGTTTAATAAATGGGTTGTTTTCCAACATGTTTAAAATGTCATTATCAATAAGTGGTTAAATTAGGTTTTAGTTTTGTTCTCTTTGCTACCACTGAACATAAGCCAATTTGTCTGAGAGAATTTGTCTTATCAATTATGGACGACATGGAGAATGTCATTTGTTGGTTCCCGGTGGAGAAATTGGGATTCTATTATCATGGTGTAATTAACTTGATCTTTGTTAATTTGAATTGAAGCTCTTGAATAGTACCACACAATCACATCAACTCGTGAAGTTATTCGAGTTATACGAATAAATTTTTCTTCTTTATGAAAAGTTATTTGTAGATAATCATTTGCACCTTGTATAATCTCTTTCGTTGCATTTACAAAATCTAAATAGTATTCTCAAATTTGACTTAAACTCCAATCAATCAACGAATCATTGCTTAATCCAACGCTCTCGTGCTCAATTATTATAATGTGTCAAATCCAAATGCATTAGGACAATGATCAAAGTGGAGTACCAATTATTATGCTAAGGTATATCTCACTTGTCAATAGCAAACTCCAATGAACTAAAAAGATGAAAGAAAGCGTTGCTACTTTATTCTCCTAAATCACACAATGCCCCTTATATTCCCCCGTTCTTCCCACCCATAATTAATCTGTAGCAACAGCATTAGAAATAGAAGAGAATAAGTCCGAGGCCAAGTGGGACTCAATGGCTGGAAAGGAAAGGAAAGAAAGGCCAATTTTTTTTTCCTTTGGGGCCAAAGAAAGAAGGGAACTAATACCAATCTTCTTCTTCACAATTCACGTACGACCCTCGAAAAGAAAGGGCAAATTTTTTTTAGCCCATTGATTTTGATTCACTTCAACTCTCTCCACTCTTTGGGAACTGATTTTCACATCCGATTCTCCAAACACCCAAGGCCGCCTTTTGAAGCTGTTGGATCTCGAAATAATATGAAACATTTGATTTTGTCGGAATGTCCACGATCGGACCCAAAAAGCGTCGGAAGTACAAAACTCAAGTAGATGGTTCATATGATAATAGGGGATAGAGGAATTCCATTACTCGAGGTCAATCTGGACGGAATGGATGCACGATCACTCTTGCGGAACTCCAAAAAATACTCAGGGGACTAGAGTCGGTATAAGAAGTGCGACATGTCCGAATTGCTATTCTGATTGACTCCGCTATTGTAGTTGCCCGTTATTTCGACGACAAGAAGAGGTCCACAATTAATCATCATGTCGACCTTACACTATCATAGTTTTCGTTTTATTGTCAGAGACTGGGAGGTAACTCTATCTCATGTATGCAGGGAGATTAACATCATTGTTGTCACAAGAACACACTATGTTAATCTTTCTGACCAGTATGTCACAAATTGGTTTTCGAACAATCTATATATCCTAAACAGATTGATCGAAACATGTCGAACTTTAATATTGGGTTTGTGATAAAGATTACCATTTTACCAAGTTATTACGATCGAGTTATAACTAGCCTTGAATTGATTAGATCGACTCTATCATATTATGAGTTACTACGAACCAAATATGAAATTCATATAGCAGGTAGGCAAATTGGGTAAAAAAGAGTTACCACATCTACCCAAGGTTGTTAAACCCCTATCGGACCCAGTTGGACTCGGTGCGACCTAAGTCGGACTTCAAAATAGCCTCCAGACAACCCCCAGTCTGACCCCTAAGGGAAAAGAAGAGAGAGGAAAGAGAGGAAGTGGAACGAAGCAAGGGAGATGGTTGGTGTGTCGTGGAGGTTAGATAAATTTACTTTGTGGAAAATGAGTTTTTAATAGATACATGTAAGATAGGTTTCATTTCAGTCATTAAATCTTTAATTGCTACATTATTTGTATATATATACTTATAAAAAAGTCTAAAACGACTCAAACCGATCGGACCCCAATCAAACCATTATATCTCAAACCCCTAACTTGACCGGTTCAATAATTTAAACCGGTTTGACAACCTTGCATCTACCGCTATCGACCTGAAGAATGGACGATGAGGACAAGGGAAAACTGGGAAATGGCAATTGCCACTGAACAAGGGAAGCCTCTGTATATATGTACAACAGATGCAGGCAAAGCAAGTTGACCCACCAGCCATAAAACCATAGCCGTAGAAGAGAACAAAAACTAGCAGAGAGAAAAACAAAAGAGTGGACTTTTCAGCTTACGGCCAAAGGAAGTCAGAAGGGAAAGGTTTGTGTGTCTGGTCTGGGAAAAGACACAGCCTGCCTTCGCCTCTCTGGGCCCATTTCCAATTAATATAGAAGGCCCATCTTCCTTTTTTTTTTTTTTTTTTTTAAACTACACTATGCCTCTTTTTCGCCTCTCCGCGAAAGGGACACCATCCACATTGATATCCGTTACAATTTTACATATATAGCTCCAAAAGCAAAGGGCTTGGCTTGGAAGAGGGTCAGGTCAGGGATACAAATTTGGGGGAAAGGGACGTGACGCTTCAAGTTAAACCTCCAAATTTAATGTAGTAAGTAGTAACTTTGTGAAAGTCATATGGGATGTTCAACTAATAAGTTGTGATCGGGTTATGGCGCTTACTGTTTCTTTTGCGAGAATGTGCAGATAGAGTTGGGAGTTTTTAAATTAGGTGTTGGATGTTTTTATCTGTCGAACGAACGTCGTGGTATTTTATTACAAATTTGTCATCGTGTTCATCCAACGGTCACAGAAGATCCAATGTTTGATCCAATGACTCCCAGCCTCTATGAGCACGTTCTCATAGTCATAAAGTGGGATATGAGCGTAATGGCCGAATTGGATGAGCCGACTAATTTTTAAGTTAATAATAAGTACAATGTGATAAAATTATGTTAGTTTTGCTTATAATATCTCATTTGGTCTATATTAACCCGATCATTGTGATCCCATTTGTTTTTTTTTAAGTGAGATTTGCTCATACCAAACTCCTAATCGAGTGGGCATGCTGGACCAACTTGGTGGTAGAGACACCCACTTAAATAACACCATATTAGTTAGTATATAAGATTTCGTGATCGGTTACCTAATAGTGTTGTGCCATTTACTTCTTTCAACCATTAATTTGGTAATGTAAGGTCAATATCTTTGTTACACTTCATCTTTCATTTTTCGCCTATACGATCAATAAAAAAATTGTTAGAGTTACTGAAAATAAGAAACTAGCACGGTACGGTTCGGTTGTTCTAATTGGACAAAGCTACTGTAATTTGTAAATACTGATTTCGATGATTACATTCCCCAAAAGATAACACAAAGACTAATCTTCATTCATCCTTTGTAAATGATATCAACAAGTACACCTATGTCGTTGTAAAAAGCCTGAGAGGCAGCATGACTAGGATTTCTTCTGTCCGGCCAATTTAAACGGGTTGATTCTTATTTTCCTACGGACGACCAAACACGTCATGGGTTCAACGTAGCTGGGGGAAAACCTGACACCGTGCCAGATTTAAACAGAGGCAAATTGGAAAAAGAAAAAGAAAAAAACAGAAAAAAAAAACTATTAGTGACCCCCAGTCTGTCTTTCAAACCCGTCAGAGTCTGGACGCCGTCCGAACCTTCCCAGTTTCCCTTCCCGATGGCTAGGGATGGCAATGGGTCGGGTCGGGGGCGGATAGTGCATATCCGTTACCCTACCCAAAATAGTTCGGGTTTTACCCATACCCACATAAGAAACGGGTAGAAAATCGAAACCATGCCCATACCCGTTCGGGTTACGGGTATCCACGGTTATCCATGGGTAATAGTTTCTCTTTATAACTTCAACCAATATGTTAATATTCATATGTATTCTCACATTACGTAAGACAAAAAGGATGACAATAATACACTTGGATGAAGAAAATGCATTAAACCAACACAATTTCATGAAAAAATTATATTTATATGCTAAATATAAAATATATTAGAGAAAAATAATGATTATTTCTAGACAAAATACATATGCATGTGTATATCGGGCGGGTTCGGGTTGGATAGTGAGAAAACCATGCCCACCCAGTACCCGCAATATTCGGGTTCGGGTTTTACCCGTACCCGCTAAAAGTCATTCGGGTTCGGGTTTTACCCACCCGACAAAGTCGGATTCGGGCGGATATCCACGGTTACGGATATTTTTGCCATCCCTACCGATGGCCTGGCTCGCCCCTAGTCGTGTTGCCGTTAACTTTGACGATCCTTCTACCCACCTCTCTCTCGCCGTTACTGTACGAAATCTGATTTACCGGAGGTGTGGGGTCCGACCCGCCCCGCAACCAAAACGACACAACAGAGACGCGAACCCGTGGGAATTTCCACCGTCCGGTTAATATAGTAACTGGATCCGTCGACTAAAAGAATTCACCATTGCCTTCTGGCTCGGTCCCTGAAATTTTGGGGGGTTGTCTATTGGATCCTTGATTAAATGCAAAGCTATCGTGTATATTGTATGGTGTTGTCAATTCTAGTTCAGTCCTATTGGGGGCCAGAGCATGCGGGATGGAAAATTGACATTTATTATCACCATCTATCTATTATACATCTATTTATGATATGAGTTGGTAAACCACTAAACTAGGTGAAGTTTTATGGATGAAATATACCAAATATGAGAAATGAATAGATTATATGGAGCTCGATAAAGAATATGGAAGAACATCTTATTTATACAAAGGAATTTACAGTTTTGGAAAATTTCAAGGTAAATTGACGCAGGAATCAAGTGAACAAGGAAAAAAAAATGAGAATGTGACAAGGTTGGCATAGTTGGAGTGTAATTAAACCTTAATGATTAACAATTTTCAAGGTAAGGGTATGGCTTGGGGATTGCAAGTGCTTATTCAAGATGTATAGGGCGATCTAATGTTCAAGATGTATATGGCGACAATGACAAGATGAAAAAATGGAATTAACTAGCTAGTTGATATTCAACATACTAGGAATAAGTAGGCTTCACGAGTTTCATAGTAGTCTTTTACAGAGATGTACAGTATTACACAAAAAAATCATCCGTTTAACCATAACTATTGTATACAATATACATTTAGAAGCTCATAAAAGTATTAACAACAACTCATACTAATTCACGCTTCGGGTCCAACGAATTAATATCATTCATCTCAATGTGTGTATATATTATGATCTATTTATCAACTCTTACACATTTGTAATTAAACATAAATTTCCATGTAAAATAAAATATAAGGACTGAAATGTTGCCAAACTATATCTCTAGTGACTAATTGTCGACATATCCAAGATTAAATAATTCAAAAAAGCTTATACTGCGAGTCATCGATTCTGTTTTTGTTTTTCCCCCCACTTTCTCCCTACTTATTATAGCCTCTGCAATTGCACGGACGCTATCTTTGCTCTGTAACAGCATCACCCACACCAGTACTACTACACAAACAAACTGTGAACGCCATACTCGAACAAACTTCAACAAGAACGGAAAAACAAACACACACAGAAAAACGCGAAAATGAGGAACTCACTGTTCTTCCTTCTCCTCCTCCTCCTCCTCCTGTTCACTGCTTGCTATGGCCAGAGCAACGACCTCGAAGTACTCTTGAAGCTCAAATCCGCCATGACCGGACCAAAAGGCACCGGCCTCGACGACTGGCAGCCTCCGCCGCCGCCGCCATCGATTCGCTCACCCTCCGCTCACTGCTCATTCTCCGGCGTCACATGCGACGGGGAATCCCGCGTCGTCTCTCTCAACGTCTCGTTTCACCGCCTGTTCGGCTCAATTCCGCCCGAGATCGGAGAGCTGGACCGGCTCGTGAATCTCACCATTGCTTCCGATAACCTAACCGGCAGACTTCCACCGGAGATGTCCAAGCTCGCCTCTCTCAGGACGCTCAACGTCTCGAACAACAATTTCTCCGGAGATTTCCCGGGGGAGATCGTTCTAGGGATGCCTCTGCTCCAGATCCTCGACGTCTACAACAACAATTTCTCCGGCCCGCTGCCGAAGGAGGTCGCGAGGTTGAAGAATCTGGTGCATCTCCATCTCGGCGGGAACTACTTCTCCGGCACGATTCCGGAGACCTACGGCGAGATTCGGAGCCTGGACTACTTGGGGCTGAACGGCAACGGCCTCTCCGGCGAAGTTCCAGCGAGCTTGGCGAAGTTGAAGAGGCTGAGGAGCCTCTACCTCGGGTATTTCAATGTGTACGAAGGCGGAATCCCGCCGGCGTTTGGTTTGCTGAGCAATCTCGAAGTTCTGGACATGGCGAACTGCAATCTCAGCGGCGAAATCCCGAGTAGCTTGAGCCGATTGAGCCGGCTCAACAGTCTGTTCCTCCAGTTCAACCATTTATCAGGTCACATTCCCCCGGAATTCTCCTCTCTTGTTAACTTGGAGTCGCTCGATCTCTCAATCAACGAGCTCACCGGAGAGATCCCGTTGGGTTTCGTCTCTTTGAAGAAGATCACTCTGATCAATGCGTTCAAGAACAATCTGTACGGTCCGATCCCAGAGTTCATCGGCGATTTCCCTAAACTCGAGGTGTTTCAGCTTTGGGGGAACAATTTCACTCTCGAGCTGCCGGCGAATCTCGGCCGGAACGGCAAGCTGAAACTGCTCGACGTTTCGTTCAATCACCTCACCGGTTCAATCCCTAGGGATTTATGCAAGGGAGGGAAATTGGAAACCCTAATTTTAATGAACAATTTCTTCATCGGTCCTCTTCCAGAGCAGCTCGGCGATTGCCATTCACTGAAGAAGATCCGCATCGTGAATAACCTCCTCAGCGGGCCGATTCCCGCCGGCATCTTCAGTTCCCCTGCCGTCACCGTCCTCGAATTCAGCAACAACTACTTCTCCGGCGAACTTCCATCTGAAATGTCCGCCCCGCTGCTCAGCCTTCTCACGGTTTCCAACAACCGGATTGAAGGCGGAATCCCTCCAGCAATCGGCAACTTGGCGAACTTGCAGATTCTGCAACTCGATACCAACAGATTGTCCGGCGAAATTCCGACTCAGGTTTTCAATCCCCGCCACCTCTCCAAGATCAATGTCAGCGCCAACAACCTCACAGGTGAAATCCCGGCCTCAATTTCTCGCTCCTCGTCACTAACCTCGGCCGATTTCAGCCGGAACCAGCTCTCCGGCGAGATTCCAAAGGGGATTATCGAGCTCAAGGACTTGAGCATTCTGAACATCTCCCGCAATCAACTCACCGGTCAAATTCTCGGCGATATAAGGTACATGACCAGCCTCACGACTCTTGATCTCTCCTACAACAAATTGTGGGGTAGGATCCCTACGGGAGGACAGTTCCTTGTGTTTAAGGACACTGCATTCATCGGCAACCCGAATCTCTGTTTCCCTCATCAAGTCTCCTGCCCATCGTTCCCCGATTCAGCTCAATCCTCCACCCGCCATACGCCGTCGTTTACCCCCACCAAGGCCATACTCACCGTCATCGCAGCTTCAACATTACTAATCCTAATCACGGTGACAATCTTCATCCTCCGTAAGCGCAAGCTCCGTCAATCACTGGCGTGGAAGCTCACCACGTTCCAACGCCTCGATTTCAAAGCCGAGGACGTCCTCGAGTGCTTGAAAGAAGAGAACATCATCGGCAAAGGCGGCGCAGGGATCGTCTACCGCGGCTCCATGCCGGACGGCGTCGACGTGGCGATCAAACGCCTCGTCGGCCGGGGAACCGGCCGGAGCGACCACGGATTCTCCGCCGAGATTCAGACCCTGGGTAGGATCCGGCACCGGTACATCGTTCGATTGCTCGGCTACGTGTCGAACAAGGACACGAACTTGCTCCTCTACGAGTACATGCCGAACGGGAGCTTGGGTGAGCTGCTCCATGGCTCCAAAGGTGGGCATTTGCAGTGGCAGACAAGGTACAGAATCGCCGTCGAGGCTGCCAAGGGGCTTTGCTACTTACACCACGATTGTTCTCCATTGATCATCCATCGAGACGTGAAGTCGAACAACATATTGCTGGATTCCGATTTCGAAGCCCACGTCGCCGATTTCGGACTCGCCAAGGTCTTGCAAGAAGCCGGCGCTTCCGAGTGTATGTCCTCCGTCGCCGGCTCCTACGGCTACATCGCACCAGGTAAATCCCTAATTGGGCCGCTTCTTGTAAAAGCCCATTGTTTTTATTGGGCCTTGTCTAACTCTTCTTTGTCGGAACAGAGTATGCATATACCTTGAAGGTGGACGAGAAGAGTGATGTGTATAGCTTCGGTGTTGTGCTATTGGAGCTGATAGCCGGGAGGAAGCCGGTGGGGGAATTCGGCGATGGTGTCGACATAGTGAGGTGGGTGAGGAAGACGACGTCGGAGCTTTCTCAGCCATCGGATGCAGCTTCCGTGTTGGCCGTGATCGATCCTAGGTTGACCGGGTATCCATTGTTGGGTGTGGTTCATCTGTTTAAGATAGCTATGATGTGCGTGGAGGATGAGAGCTCGGCCAGGCCGACGATGAGGGAAGTCGTTCACATGGTCACTAATCCGCCGCAATCCACCCCGGACTTGGTTACGCTATGAAGTTATATTATGGTTTGGAGACTATGGTGTTTGTAGAGTGGATGTAGTAATAAAGCCTTTTTTTTTGTGTTATGGATTTGTGGGTCAGGCTTAAAAAAAAGGGTGTTTGTGTGTTAGCTTTTGGTTAGTAGGATGTGTTTTGGTGTGCGCCCATGGTTGTAAATAAAGATTTCCTTCATTTCATCTTGGTGAAAAATCTTTATCTTGTTCCCAACCTGGAAGAAACAAAAACAGGAACCTAGAAGAGAGAAGGGTAAGAATCACTATAATGAATGGGCTTTGTTTTCTCTAGGGATGTAAAGCAGTAAAGGCCGCAATGCTGTCATAACCGAACCGGAGCATGACCCGGTAATGCGAATGGCTCGCACTTTAGTGGTCCAACCGGCATTAGACCGTTTAAAAACCGTTAGAGAACCGGTACCTAATAAACGTTATCAGTATAAATAGTGGACATTTATTAATCAGAGCTCATCTCTTTCCTTCGAAATTGTGAAATGGAAATAAGTATTCAGTTTGAGAGCCCTACGTTTTTTGTTTTTTTCAATTTTCAATTTTTTGCTTAATTAAATTGAGTGGCTGAATGGCAAAAACCGGACCAGCGGCTCAATCGGCTCGAACGGTTAACCGCCTCGGCCGCTCGCCAACCGCTACATAAAACCGGAGCGGCTTTTAGACTGTTTCGAGCCGGTTTTATGAACGGGTGGTGGTTTTACCGGTCGGGCCGAGCGGCTCGGCTCGGCTTTAATAACTGGTAAAGGGTAATACCCATCCCGCAAAACTACATGTGGTAATATTTATGTCGATTTAAGGATTTAAGGTGGGGTGGGGTGATCATTATCACATATTATTTGAGAAATATAAACGTAAATTTTTTTATAATTGAGAATAAGAACACATTTCAATTTTTTTTTTTTATAATTGAGAATAAGAACACATTTCATTTAATGACAAATAGTGATAATAGAATGAGTAATTGAATTTAAATAATTAAAAGATCAATTCTTATACTTATTTAGAGTTTTATTGGATGAAAGTATGATTGAAATAGAAATAATACAAACAAATATTAAAGAAAATTGAGATAGACGGTTCAAGAATGAGACGAAGATGGATTTTACCGTAGGGTAACCTTTTGGATTAGGTCACCAAATCGTCTCGTCTCTCGTGTTGCTTTGAAGATTTTTACAAATGGATTTTGGAAATGTAGCTATGGACTATGGTCTTCTTCTGAGAATAAGGTGAATCATGTCAATTAGCAAACTGACAAAGAAGACGAAGATGGTCAGTGAAGAGGTCAAAGAAGGTGATCTTGTTGTGGGAAACAAAAATATTTGGTGGAAAGGTTGAGGGAGGCAGTCATATTAGTCACAAATATATTGTTGTATACTCCCTTCTATTACAATTATATATATATTTTTTTTAACTAGGATAGAGAAAGAGAAAAATTGAAATAATCACATAATACTTGAGAAGAAAGTAGAGAAAAAAAATATTATCTCAATAAAATGATGTGGTTAACGACAAACAGAAAGTACTAAACGATTAAACGAGAAACGACTAAATGATTCCTATTATAACCGAACCGATCCGATTATCAACCCTAAGCATATGTCAAAACTACCACGACTTAGAAAATTCAAAGAAACCTACTAAATTATCCATATGAAGTTATGAACGTAGTGCATAAACAGCTACAGAACATTCTAGATAAAATAAATTGAAAACATACATTTTTTACAATAAAAATAGAAAACATACAATTAATATAAACTAGCGTTGAACCGTGCTTGTTGGCAAGAGTACGATTTTCTTTGTTATAATAATTTGATTTGCGTGAAACGTCAATACTTTTACATACATATGAAATAGTGTGTCTGTGTGTGTATGATGATCATACAAAATTAAACCATATTAATCTATAGAATAGCAACGTGACCCTTGAGTTATGGATGTGCAATGAAGCCGTCATGTATGGTGGTATAAAATTTAATGAGTAATTTAGTATTTCTGTCAAATTGGATCGTAACTCATGAAGATGTGGTCGTGATAATTTTTTTTTTAATTTCAACATATCAAAATGGATATTATTATGCAGATCACACAAATAACTAATTGGTGTTGAAATGAAACTCATACATATCAATTAAGAATAGTGGAGAATTGAAGGAAAAAAAGAGATAATACATTTTGATTGCATAACTGAAAAAATAAAAATTAAGCTACCTTTTAAATTTAGACTTTAGATCTAAGGTAAACAATAATGAAAGAACATAATAAGAAAAAGAAGTCAAGCAAATAATTTGACTACGTGCAAGAGATACTCACGTGGATGCGTAAAAATTCTAGAAATTAAAATCTTGAAGTGTAAATAGAAAAACTCATTATTATAGATACATATTCGAGCTCCCATCCCTTCCTTCCTTCCTAATGGGAGCAGATCCGGTGAGTAATTTTGTGGTGAGTAACCATGAGTAACCCGTCCACATCAGCATGATATCAGCATCCTCTCTCTCCTGTAAAGACTTTAATTTTCCCCTCTTTAATCTTTGACTAACGATTTCTCACTCATTTTAAGTAGAAATTTAATTTTTTTTTTTGCACAATTAGATCAGATTAATTATGCTCTTCAAAATGATATCCACTTTAATATATTTTTCGAACAAAAAAAATTGAGCCATTTTTTACCAGTCTATACCATATGGTATTGACTGGTATTGAAATAAAAGCATACCTATGATTTGAAAAAAGTACCATGGTGGTATGAACAAACCAAGACTGTAGGATGATTGAATACATGATAGTTGAAATATATTAATTGTCATTTACGACTTTTAACATTGTATACCACAAGATACCACCCCGTACCAGGGTGGTATTGTATGGTATTGTGTGGTATTTTTTGGTCCTGTAATTTGTTCACCCATAAATTTGTAGATCCAATAGATCATGATGAACTCGTCCCTTCTGTGCAAACGTTTTCAAAAACGAATTAAAAACGAAGAAGATACCATACAATACCACCCCGTACTAGGGTGGTATTGTATGGTATTGTGTGGTATTTTTTGGTCCTGTAATTTGTTTACCCAGAAATTTGTAGATCCAATAGATCATGATGAACTCATCCCTTCTGTGCAAACGTTTTCAAAAACGAATTAAAAATGAAGAAAATACCATATGGTATGCAGTTGGTACCGAGAGGCCAGAATTTTTTGTTCGAAAAAAATATTGAAAATTGATCTCATTTTGTAGAGCACGATGAACTCGTTCCACCTGTGCAAAAAAATTAAAATCCGAGTTAAAACGAAAAAGATATGAGCCGATTAAGAAAATAAAAAATGATCTTTAATTCTCCATCCTTAGATCTGGATTTTCTAAATGAAGGGTTCAGATTTGGTTATTGATGGATGCATAACCATAACCACCCTATCTTGAGCCCTTCCTCACTCACTCTTATCTTTATCCAAAAAAAGCACATTTTTTTACTGTATTTTCTTGAGAATTAATTCTAGACAGAGTCTGAGGTAATGGCACCTCAACCACCAACATATGTTGTAGATGATAAAAAGTGAAGAAAGGAAATCTACTCAAATAACTATCCCTATGTTTGGCCCGACTTTTAGCAGTGTTTTTCGGGTTCAAAAGCTGAAGCAGGGCCAAACACATGTAAAAGCTCAGCTTTTGAAAAGTCAAAAAGCGCTTTTGTATAATATAAAAGTAGAAGCTCCGATTTGGAGGTTCTGCGAAAAGCTGTTTTGAAAATACAAAATTATCCTTACCATATTTTAACTTTATTTCAGAAAATATAATTTTCCTTCATTTATATCATTTTAAAAATAAAATAAATTATAAAATCATATTATTTAATATAAAAGAAATCTAACATGATCCATTTTGACTACTTTTTATTGTTTTGAATTTTTTTCATATTTTTATATTATAAGTCCTTTATAGTCATTTTACACAACCTTTTATTTAAAAAACACTTCTAATAGTTTTACAGCCAAACACTCAACTGTTTTTCTTTTAAAAGTACTTATCTTAAAGCTCCGGCCAGAAGCTGTTTTTGCAAAAACTACAGTAGGGCCAAACTAAACTTACATGTGTCCATAGACTTTTTGTAATCTTATCGTAGTGGGTTGGATCCATGCTCGTGGGCTGGATTTGTATTTGGAGGCTCCGTTCTGTTGTGGTTCTGGTTTGTTGTTCTAGTTTAGGTGTATTGTTATTGTTAATTAATGTTTATGTTTGTCTTCAATGAAATCAATATGTATTGTGGTTTAGTTAGCCACCAATACTTGTTTCGGATTCACTAATCCTTTTTCTTCTCCGAAACCAACTCTGAAACCAACTCTGAAACCAACTCTCCTCCTATTCATATATACACACAAACACGCGTTGGTATGATGTGATGAGAACTACTTCTCCTTGCTCTTCCTCTAAGTTCTGATCGACATGGCTTCTTCTTCCTCCATTCGACAAACCGATAACACGGTTCCGCTTTCCCCTGCAAACAATAAACATGGTAAGTTTGAGTTTCATGTTTGCATTCCTCGCGTACCCAGCAGAGTTAGTTCTCTTTGTCTGTTGAATCGAACTTAGTTTTTATTTTCTTTTTCTTTTTGAAATATCTTGGTAATGTGGTTGAGCTAGCAACTCTTCGTTATATCAGCAATTACCATAAGAAACGAAGCTAGCGATCATAAAGTATTTTCTTGTTAACTTGAGTTCTCGTTGTGTGTTTCATCGAGGGCAGGCTAGGTTTTCATTATACCAGCAATTACTATCCTATTTATTGACCTATTGTTATACCACTATATATCATTTGTTCTACGAACCATGCACCATTCTTCAATTCTTATGGAATTTCGTCCTCCTTAATGAGCCAATTTTTTTTTTTTATACCAGGAAACTCACGATTTGCATATACGTTTGCGGGTAAGTACTGCAATCCAATGATCTCCCTATATTTTCCTCCACTTTATTTGCTTTCTACATGCCTCTACTTAATCCCTGTTCACTAATACATGACAAGTGTGTTCAGTGTTTGGTGGAGATGAAGATATACACCCAGAAATTGTTTCAGCTCTGTTTTTGGCACCTTGGCTGATTTTGGGGGTGATTGGGGATACTTGGTCTGTTATTGCATTCATGAGAACGATCAACCTTGAGTCGAAGCTGGGAACTGGTGCTTGTTATGCGATTGCTCTTGCAGTTGAACTCGTCAGTCTTTTTTCATTCATACCTTGGTGTTTCCCACATGAGCTGCCTCGCCTGGGATCTGCTCGGAAAATCATCCTGGAGATGGTTGTTCTACAAGCTGCAATGCTTGCTAAGCATTTCCCTCAGCCTCATCAAGACCATTCTTTGGTGTATCAGTTATTGGTAGCACTGACGATATTGGTCTGCGTTCGAACAAAACACGGATTCGTTTTCATGGATGTCTATTTCGGAGATGTCTTCTGGGCGATCGTGGCGGAGAGTTTGATTTATTGGACACCACTTTGGGGCTCGGTTCTCTTCTATCTATGTTTTGTCGGCTACATATTCTGGACTTCCGGCGAGAATAATACAACCGGCGGTGACGGTCAATCGTCTGCTGATCAAGTACCTATTCCTAAAGCAATTGAAGAAAATCTGGCAACACAAGAAGTCTCTTCAAAACAGAAGGAGGAGGATGTTCAACTAATGCAACAAAAGGAATCCGAACAAATTATCGTAGCGATAGTGACACCAAATAGTTAGGCTAGCGACAATTAGATTATATAGAAAGATGGTTGACATTATATTTATTTTTCATAAAATAATCTACTCTTTAGATATATATTGATTTTATTTATACTTATTACTTATATATGCAGTGGCGGAGCCACTTGGCGAGCCAAGGGAGGTCCTCTGCAACACTTTGGCTCCAAAATGTAGTAGTAACCCATAAATATAGTAATAAATTTTTTTACGTAATTGTGGATTGAACAAAAGTTCTTCCTATTATTGTAAATAATTTTACAAAAAATAATATTTTGTGATCTCTACTTAAGACTCAAAACTTAGTGGTGTCTATTGCTACGAGCTATTGTCATATCAAGTGTTGAAAAAGCCCTTAATGTAGTGAACAACATGACACTTCAGAATCATATGAGTGATGAAATTATTAATCATTTATCGGTGTACTTTGAAAATGACATTCCCTCATAATTTGTAAGATGAGCGTACTTTAGAATGTTTTTAGAATATGAAACCACCTCCTAAAACTTCATGTAGGACCTACCTTAAATGAACTTCTGGCTACGCCACTGTATACATGAATGAGCAAGAAAGATTATTATGATTCTTGCATGCACATTTTCTATTAATAATACATACATTTATTATTTATCTTTATGCGCGTAGTCAATTGATTACAGAGTTTTACAGCTTTTTTATCATTCAAAAAATGGAGCTCTCCACTTAATTTCCGTCAGGGGTAATTTGATCCATTAAGTCCCTCATTTTTTTTCACTTCCCACGTACAACTTCATCTCCAAAACTTGGCGGTTCCAGCCCTCAACATTAGGTTTTTTACTAGGCCCACAGATAAAGCCCTTTTGACTTTCATGGGAAAGGGGATTAGGCCCGATATTCTAATTTTAAGCGTGGAAAGCCCTTACAATAACAATGTAGCAATCGATTAGGGTGTCATTTTAATAGTGTCACTCAATAACAATACACCTACGGTAAGTATTATGACGAATTGTCTGATCCATTTTTAATAGAGTTGTTAGCGTTACGAGATGAAATGGATTGGTGCTTAACTCGGGGTGTCTCTTCTGTTTGTTTTTGTGGTGATTCTCAACTGATGATCCGCCGAGCTTTGGATAATGATGTTCAACATGATCGTGGTGGCGCGATTCATGAGGAAATTCGATTGATGAAGACCTTCTTTTCGTTTAGTCATTTTGTTTTCTCTCCTCGTAGAACTAACAAGGCTGCCCATTGAGTGGCGAAAATAACTCTTGCATCGGTAAATCAGCACTTGGCTGATTAACGCTTTTTATTTTTCAATATGTAATTCCCTATCCATTACGGAAAATTCTTAACTCCAACCTTGGTTGGACGCAGAAGCTCCAACCAGCCACGTGTCAGTTTTATATTGGTGATTTCATCATTTTTTAATATTTTAATTCTTGATTTATTGGTGGAAGGTGAATCCACCAATAACAAACTGACACCTTGGATGGTTGGAGCTTCTGCGTCCAACCAAGGTTGGAGCTAAGAATTTTCCATCTATAACTATCTACCTAAGCAAAAAAAAAAAAAAAAAAAAAAAAACAATGCAGCAATCGATTACGGTGTCATTTAAAACTTAATAGTGTCACTCTGTATATTTTGCAATTGTCCAATATACTCTACTTTTTTGGATACGTAAATAACGGTAACAATTAAGTTAAGATAATTAATTTGAATCACAGTTCCAAAGGTCGAACCCATTAGCGAATGCCGAATAGTGATCAATTGCTTTTCGGTACAAATTTGGAACCTGATATTTATTATAATTATTCGGGCCATTAATTAAATAAACAGAATCAACATTGGTTAAAGCAGTTTGTCATATGCCTTCTCCAAGTCAATTTTCAGCACCACTCCTCTTTTCCCTTCTTCGTGAGCGAGTGTAGAACTTCTTGAAGAACAATGATGTTGTCTGCAGTTTGTCTGCCCGGGATGAAACTGCTCTGCCTGATATTTTGATTAACCTGATATTTTTTTTTCTCCATTCGATTCCTCATAACTCGAGGGAAAGTCAGAATCAACGATATACAAGGATCCAAACTAGACCCTGTCTACTACGAAGGCATGAAACAAAGACGAACCCCTTCAACAAGCGGGACGACATAAACAGAGCACGACGTGCCACATAATGAGCTTCTCTGTTACAATTACGACCAATGAACGTCAAAGAATTATCTTGTAAAGAGTCCACTAATGTACCAATCTCTTGAAGAATACTGCCAATCTTCCCATCATCAAAGTGGCGTTGAACTTGTTCTGTGGCTAGCAAGAGGGCTCTATGGTCCAATTCTTGATCAGAAAGGTGGTGTAATGCCAAATTTGGCAACTGATCCAACCAACCACTTGAGACCAAGGCTCGATCCAGCCGCTCTTGGATTACCCGTTGTGGATTAGTGCTCCTATTCGACCAAGTGAAGGGAGGTCCAATAAAACCCAAGTCCTAGAGGCCTAAATCATCCACAAATTTGCGAAAGTTAAGTGTATGAGAGGGACGCCATGGGTTTCCTCCTTCCTTTTCATTTGAAGCCAAAAGCGAGTTGAAATCCCCCACTATCGCAAACTGCACTCTTAACCGAGAATAGTAGTTGTGAATGTATTGGAATTGCGCCGTTCGTTCCTGATAATCACAACTCAAATAAACAAACACTACACATAATCCAAATTGTCTTTATTGAATTGAAAAGCGACAAAGAAAGACCGACTACAAAGGACTGATACCGAAACCTCAGTAGACCAACCTATAGCTAGACCGCCGACAGTCTGGATGGTGTTAACAATGAAACATGTAGACAAGCATACGAACTAACACAATTAGGCTTAAATCACAATCTATAGGCACAATGAAACCCATTTCAATCTGAATCCAGAACAGCAAAATAGCTAGAAGGATCAGAACCGAACTTAACAATATATAAGCTCGAAAATGAGAGAGGGGAAGCATCGAAATTCGCCTAGAACCTTGGCACAAGAGAGCTAGAGATGAGATGAGATTATACCAAACCTACTCGCCCTTTATAGCCATCCAAGACTCCAATCGGTTGACGATACCCAACCGAAGACGGAGTGGCGTGTTTAGAGATTTCCCTCGCAAGCCCCTGTGGATAATCCCTCCGTGTAATCCGTTGTTGATGCGATTCGAGCTAAGATTATCTCCATGCACCGATTTATGGCAGATAATCTTCATAGTTTCAACCAAGAGGATAAATCCTCCTCTATCATGCCGCAAAGCATACCCGAAAGTGGGAAAATTGAAACACCCGAAGATGGGATTAGACACCACGACTCCAAAATTGGAGATAATAGACCCGAATATGGATAGATAATGATAAGAAATCTTGAAATTTTTGCTTGAAGATTGCTGAGGATGAGCGTGCTTCTGCTGCTCAACGTCGACGGCTAGGTTTTTCTTCTCCTCGCCGAGAGAGGTAGAGATATTTTTTGTTTTTTTTTTCATTATCGTTTTCGCTACATATAAATAAATAGTTAACTTTATTTAGCACAACATCTATACCACCAAACTAAAACTCTTCTTTTTTTTAAAATATTTAGCACAACATCTACACCACCAAACTACAACTCTTTTTTTTTTTTTTATAAACAAATGGGGTCACCAGGAATCGAACAGAGAACCTCACGGTCACAAAAGGCTCTGATACTATATAAAGAACCAGTTGAGCACAATAACGGGACAGGTTACGGTGATTACTATTTTATAGTAATCACCGTGGTTACTAAGGGCAAATTGGGTATAACAAAAAATTTATTAATAATTTTTTTAATAAATTACATTTTAGGAAATTACATAAATATATTAAATACAAATTTTCTCTCTCTCTTTCTCTCACTTCCACAATTTTTCAGCCATATCTTTCTTCCTTCTTTTTCTCAATCTTTCCTTGATTTCGTTCATCCAAACTAATACCGGTGCAACAACAAAACAATAAATCTATACCAATCCATTAAAAAAATACTACCATTGTACAAAACATCAATACCATTCAAGAAATAAAAACACTACCATTTCACAAAATATCAATACCATTGTAGATTTAATCACTACCAATGCGACAAAATCAATACCAATGTGACAAAATCAATACCAATGCGACGAAATCAATACCAATGCGACAAAAATAATACCAATGCGACAATAATACTACCACTACGGGGAAATGACTACCATTTAAAAAAATGACTACGGAAAAATAATACCGATCGGTTTGTGACGCTGTGCAGCGGGATTTGGTTGGGAGGGAAGTTGTATGCTCTGAGTCTGCAGGGTATAACCTGTCCCCGGCAGATGCTTTTCCACTTCGCAGAATCGCGGCTTCAGAGTCGGTTCCATGGGCGAGTTAGGGTAATTCATGGCGGCGGCGGCAGGGGAGGGCAATTTACGGAAGCTGCCGCTGCTGTAGAGGGAGATTGGAATCGTCTTGATCACGACTCGTCGAGACCGTAGGGAGAGGCGCCGGCGTAGATGTGGTGGAATCCGTCGGGAGAGTCGAAGAGCGGCGGGGGCGAGTCGAGGTAATCGCCGGCTCCGTTGGTAGACGGCGGGGAATTCGACAGAGGGCTTGCGGATACGGCGGGTTTGGTTGTAGAAGTAGGGTTAGGGTAGAATATATAGAATAATCAAGTGTGGTACTTTTTTTTCTTTAAAAATTATCCTGAGGCAATCTTAACCGTAAGATTAAAAAAAGAGGAAATAGAAGAAAATAAATGGTGGATACTGATGTAGCCACGGTAGCTACTAGAAATTCAGTTTTCACCCTAACGCATTCCCACAATAACTCGAGTTGATCCCTCATTCAGTTCAATTTCTCTAATTATTAAATTTATATTTTGTTAACTCCTCTCCTAAGGCAAAAAAAAGCTCGATTAGTACCAAAGTTCTCTCCGGCTGATAATAGTTGGGTAGTTTTATGAGTAATTATTGGGCTGACCGGATGGCCCAATTGCGGGCTGCAAAGATGGACCAAATAGAAAGTTTGAGCATGAGCCGAATCGACACCCTCACATTATTAGTCACATCTGCTCTAAAATTTCCCAATTTCCCAGTACCTTCTTTCTTCGTCTTCTTGGTTCTTCCGTCTCCATCTCCAGGCCCCAGAACTTAGTTCAAATCCAACTTTGTTGTCACTCCCCACTTCTCAGTTCTTTATACTTCTCTTCCCCTAATGGTTAAACTCCATTCCTTAAATGTCAATCACCGGAACTCAAAAGTAATTATGCATTTACCATGGTTGGCGCTTGAAAATAGAAGGAAGGACCCGATGGCTGTCTCGTCTCGTCTCCTCCTCCCCAGAAGCATGCAGGCAGGGATCAGGGGCTTGATTAATGAGGTGAGAATGAATTTTGATGTGATCTGTCTAAATTTTGTTTGAAAAGCCAATAACTTTCGGTCTAATTTCTTCCATGCACAAATGGGGTTCTCCTCTTAGTTTTCTGGTTTCTTGAATACCTTTGATAATCCGACGGATTAAGCAGGCACTTCTCTTGAAGTTCTCTCTTTTGTGTTCTGAATGGCTTTTTTTATCAATTTCTAGGAAACCAAGAGCTATATTAACTTCTTTGCACCCATCAGATCAGAGCTTAATGGGGGTTCTGTGTTTTGTATCCTGGTTTCTTCCCAGCGCCAAAGTCATAAACCAGATTTGAGTTTCTGCCTTTATGAAAATGGGTTTCTTCTTCTATAAATTGAACAATGGTTTTTGGCATGAAAATTTACCCCGCTCCACTTCTCTTCTCCTGCTCTGCTTCACCTCTCTTCGCAGTAGCATTCTCCCCGGAAACAAATTGAAAAAGAATCATGAATAATCAAGGTGCTGCTCACCCGCGTCTCGTAACTCCTCGGTCAATCAAGCTGTCCCCCCATTCTTCGTACCACAGGCTACCCGTTCCTCCATCTTTCTCTTTATTTTATTGGCTATTCAGCCGGGTCCCCGACACCTTAGTTCTGATGCTTATTACCATGGCCTTCTTTTCCATCCATCTCACTACTTTCTATTACACCAAGTTCTTCAAGAAAAATGGTTCTTATTGGTGGTTGTTTCTTGCCGCTGCTGTCTCTGGCTTTATCTTCATCTTTTTCTATTGTGCCTATTGGATTAGGAAGAAAAATTGGTGTAGGCGCAAATATGGGACATTTGGCAAACTAGTCGGTCTTGCGGCGGTTGTGGCTTGTAGTGCTTCCTATATTTGGTTAGGAGAGTCGGATCTGAGCTATTTGATCTTCATTCTTACACTTATTGGCATGTTCACAGCCTGCATTTTGGCCATTCGTCCATCCACCGACTTCAACTTGGTGAATGGACTTCTCATCTCCCTTCTCACGTACATCATTAGAGTCCTTCACCATGGCACAATTGCAGGTTATTGTGTCGGTTCGTCACCATCTGCCTCTGCCGCTGCCCCTTCACCTTCGATGGCTGTAGCACCATCATGCGTTGATCCCCGCCTCGGCCCATCTTCTCCATACCCTTGGCTTCTAATGGTTGGTTGCTTCAGCATTGGTGGTTTACGTTTCTATTTGGAGTCGAGGGGTTTAAACGCAGATGAAGAAGGATTGAGGGAAGCCGAGGAAGATGTTCCACTGCCACCATGGACACGAATTGGCAATGCTTGTGCGGGCTGGGTTGCTCATCTGATGGGCTAGGTGGCATGCCGTTTGGGTTTGGGTAGCTGTAGTATTATTTTAAGTCCATGGACTTTTGTAATCTTATTGTAGTGGGTTGGATCCATGCTCGTGGGCTGGATTTGTATTTGGACTTTGGAGGCTCCGTTCTGTTCTGCTGTGGTTCTGGTTTGTTGTTCTAGTTTAGGGGTATTGTTTTTTTGACAAAATTAGGTGTATTGTTATTGTTAATTAATGTTTATGTTTGTCTTCAATGAAATCAATATGTATTGTGGTTTAGTTAGCCACCAATACTTGTTTCGGATTCACTAATCCTTTTTCTTCTCCGAAACCAACTCTGAAACCAACTCTGAAACCAACTCTCCTCCTATTCATATATACACACAAACACGCGTTGGTATGATGTGATGAGAACTACTTCTCCTTGCTCTTCCTCTAAGTTCTGATCGACATGGCTTCTTCTTCCTCCATTCGACAAACCGATAACACGGTTCCGCTTTCCCCTGCAAACAATAAACATGGTAAGTTTGAGTTTCATGTTTGCATTCCTCGCGTACCCAGCAGAGTTAGTTCTCTTTTTCTGTTGAATCGAACTTAGTTTTTATTTTCTTTTTCTTTTTGAAATATCTTGGTAATGTGGTTGAGCTAGCAACTCTTCGTTATATCAGCAATTACCATACGAAACGAAGCTAGCGATCATAAAGTATTTTCTTGTTAACTTGAGTTCTCGTTGTGTGTTTCATCGAGGGCAGGCTAGGTTTTCATTATACCAGCAATTACTGTACTAGTATAATTGTGATGTTTGATGTTTACAACAATATTATACGTGTATCCTATTTATTGACCTATTGTTATACCACTAATATATCTTTTGTTCTACGAACCATGCACTATTCTTCAATTCTTATGGAATTTCGTCCTCCTCAATCAGCCAAATTAATATAATTTTATTCTTTTTGTGTTACCAGGAAACTCCCGATTTGCATATACATTTGCGGGCAAGTACTGCAATCCAATGATTTCCCTATATTTCCCTCCACTTTTCGTTGCTTTCTACATGCCTCTACTTAATTTCTGTTCACTAATATATAACAAGTGTGGTCAGTGTTTGGTGGAGATGAAGATATACACCCAGAAATTGTTTCAGCTCTGTTTTTGGCACCTTGGCTGATTTTGGGGGTGCTTGGGGATACTTGGTCTGTTATTGCATTCATGAGAACGATCAACCTTGAGTCGAAGCTGGGAACTGGTGCTTGTTATGCGATTGCTCTTGCAGTTGAACTCGTCAGTCTTTTTTCATTCATACCTTGGTGTTTCCCACATGAGCTGCCTCGCCTGGGATCTGCTCGGAAAATCATCCTGGAGATGGTTGTTCTACAAGCTGCAATGCTTGCTAAGCATTTCCCTCAGCCTCATCAAGACCATTCTTTGGTGTATCAGTTATTGGTAGCACTGACGATATTGGTCTGCGTTCGAACAAAACACGGATTCGTTTTCATGGATGTCTATTTCGGAGATGTCTTCTGGGCGATCGTGGCGGAGAGTTTGATTTATTGGACACCGCTTTGGGGCTCGGTTCTCTTCTATCTATGTTTTGTAGGCTACATATTCTGGACTTCCGGCGAGAATAATGCAACCGGCTGTGACGGTCAATCGTCTGCTGATCAAGTACCTATTCCTAAAGCAATTGAAGAAAATCTGGCAACACAAGAAGTCTCTTCAAAACAGGAGGAGGAGGATGTTCAACTAGTGCAACAAAAGGAATCCGAACAAATTACCGTAACGATAGTGACACCAAATAGTTAGGCTAGCGACAATTTAGATTATATAGAAAGATGATTGACATTATATTTATTTTTCATAAAATATTCTACTCTTTAGATATCTATTGATTTTATTTATACTTATTACTTATATAAGGGGTCTTTTCTTATTAACATGGGGTCTCTTCGTGTATTTCATTGATGCTATATTTTCTTCCCTTTTTGAGATATCTTAGTAACTGTGATGGCCTAACAAGCCACGGTATACCAGCTTGTGATGTTTGATGTTTACAACAATACTAGCTTGGAACCGTGCTTTGCCACGGGTTGGTCAACTGTTGCGTTATAGTAGTTTTACGTTCAGATTTGATTCTTTGTGGTGGTATAAATGTGATGACGGTTGCTTATTGTTGATTCTTTATTGATACGTGTATATACCCGGTAATTTCATGTATACTATCGAAAAGTTTTTATTAGTAAGTAGAAAAAACTTCTACTTTTGAATTTTGAATTGGAATGAACACTGAATCGGAAAAATTAGTGGTCATGGTTCAGTTATTAATTATTGTAGACCCATTTGTATATTGTTTATAGAACCATTCATATTTGTATATACTAATTAGGGTTGTATGTACATGTGTAATAGAAAGGTCTCGTATATAATACATATAAACTATGGGTTAATTGCATGGTTGGTCACTGAGATTACAAAAAACGTTCAAGTTTGGTCACTCGAAATATTTAAATCCATTCACTACAAGAAAAATGAGAATTAACGGCAAAGTCTATTTGCCACAATAAGTGATTTATGTGCCGCGACAGCTCTATAGTGGCACACAATTGTGTGCTGTCAATACTGCTGCCGCTAAATCTCTTTAGCGACAGATGTTAGCGGCAAATATTGTCTGTCTCTAATTCATAAATTCCCAACAGATAGTTTTGTTGCCAAATTGACTTTTTAATTACTTTTTTTTTGTGTCCTTTTCTCTATTTAGTAGCGAAAGTATTTGTCACTAATATTAACTTTAGCGGCAGATATATATGCTTCCATAATACGTTTTAGAGTCACTTATATTAGCCTTTAAATTCATCTATAAAAGCAAACTAAGTGCCGCTAAAGGATAAATTTTTGTCGCTAATTTCACATTTACATAGCATTTTTCTACTTTTTGAGGCATATTAATAGCCTCTAATTCGTATATTCTAGACAAATCTATTTGCTGATAATTCTACCTTTTAGAAGCAAAAATACTTGATGGTAATTCTAGTTGTTAGAGGCACAAATACTTGTTGGTAATTAGATTTTTTTTTCTCGCTAATACATTTGATTTTTTTTCCGTTGCATATATTAGAGGCTCGTAGATTAATATTAAATTGGGCTCCAATATCTTAATAATTATGATATTTAAAAGGAAAGAACAAATTAAATTGAAAATTAAAGGAACTAGTATATAAACGTACGTAGTCTTCTTACAAAACATTCAAGGAATAGCAATGCCAAATGTGCAGGGGAAAAATGCTAAAATTCCACGTTTTTACTAAGTATACCATAATCTAAATACTTCCCACAAATGCAATAACACCTATATACGAAGCTCAACTTCATCACAAACGTGGGTGCCGGACAAATCTTCAAACTGGTTCAACCTGTATTGAAAACAATATTTCGATGTAAGTTCCCAAATGTTTTGAACAAAACCGCAACAATGAATCAAGCCATAGTACACAAAATGACTTACAAAACTAGATGGCCATGCAATACTTTGTGCTACCACATCCCCAATGAACTGATAACTTCCATATGGTCGTATTAAAGGCTCGTCACGCTTGATTGGTACTATGATAAATACTTCAACAAATCCAACTCCTAGCTCTTCCCCGCCTACCAATTTCTTCGGATCTTTACTGCACACACTGACTCTAGCTACATCGACGTCGGGACTCCGTAAACTCTTCAATAACACATCTGTCAATCCCTATAAATGTACAAAAGTATCATTTAGTACTTGTAAGTAAAACGCTATAAAAGCAATATCAAATATGAAAAGAAGAAAAACTTAAAACTTATAAAGTTCATTGTGGAACTAATGACAGCGGAAGGGTAAAAAACAAGCTTAGGTGCTATGTACCAACGATATGAATATCAACTAATGAGGCAAGGTATAACTAAGAAAAATGGAACACTATATGGGGAAGAACGGGTTGATGCATGGTCCGCCCTAGCTAGTTGTGTCTTGTGCATTACAATATAAGCTAAAGACAATATATATTACCTGACTACAAGGATCAGAATCAACAAATCCACCAACATTATTTTCAAACTCATTCCCTTGAGATGAAATCAAATTCTGAAAAAAATGAGTAGTGCATGATTAATTTGGTTTGGTGCCCATGGGAAACATAAAAAGAAAGGACAAAAGACAATTACTGACTATTCTTACTTCAGAAATGCGCACTCCACCAACATCTGACATTTCCATTGATCTTCCTATGGAAAGTGCATTTGGAACAGATGGAGAGAGATGTAGTGGTGAATCAGTACGGCTAGCATTCCTATTTAAAAATAATAAAATTAATAAAATTAAAATTTTCAAAATTGACATATCATTTCCACCTCATTATCACTTTTATTTAAAATAAATAAAAAATCATAATTTCTTCTGTTCATCTTTCTCGTCGATAAAACTCAACATTTTGGACGATGCCCGACCACCATTGTTGACGATAGCGAACGCATCCCAGTATACGGGAAGCTCTTATTCCCAACCCAGATCTGGCGATGAACAAAACCCAGAGGCGAAGATTGATGCTGCCGGTTAGATTAACAATATCATGACATCCTTTCATTGCCGGCGAGAAGAAGAACGAGACGGTGCTAACCAACGACGACGGGCGACCATTTTAAAGGGCTTGCCGGTGTTGGATTTTGAAATCCCAATCTGTGAACCCTAACCTTTGTGTCTCGGAATCTCTAATTTGCCAATCGTAATCGCGATTTTTCATCCCGGTGTCTACGTTTGCGTTTGGGTAATGGGAAAAAGTTGACCTCGCCGCTTACGACCTCCGAACCCGCCAGAAGCATTTTCTCTCCCTCCTCCCCGATGGCGGTCCGATCTCCCGAGCCTATCAATTCACCACCTTTCCCATCCTCCGCAAAGAGTCGTGCATCGGCTCGAGCTTCACAGCAAGGGGTCCGGGGACCTATTTGTGGTCTTACACAACATTGGAAATTCAATGTCGACGAGGTGGAAAGGGTTGGGGAGGGTTCACGATGGCGGGACGATGGAAGGGTTCTCGGGAGAGTTGGGGAAGACGAAAAGGTGGGGGGAGATATTTATCTTTTTTAATTTAATTAAAATAAAGGTAAGTTAATGGTTAAAAAACTGATAATAAAGGGTTTTTATTTATTTTAAATAAAATTGATAATGAGGTGGAAATGAGATGGCAATTTAAAAAAAAAAATATTTTAAAACTTTTATTATTTTTAAATTGCCACGTCACATTTTTAACGGTAAACTTTTAGAGTTGACCGCCACGTAAGTAAAAGTTAACGGAGTTGGACGTAGAGTGACCAAACCTGAACGGTTTTAGTAAATTGAAGTACCACCAATGGATTTAAATATTTCGAGTGACCAAACTTAAACGTTTTTTTGTAATTTCAGTGACCAACCATGCAATTAACCTATAAACTATATACTAATTAGGGTTAGATGAGAAAGTGAAAACAAAGAATGAGCGATGAAGAGTGACTGAAAAATGAACGAAGTGGAAATAGGAAAAAATATTACATTAATGAATTAATATTCACGTTTTGTCTCACATAATATTGTCTTAATGTTGTTTAAATTTTTTTGGATGAAAACATTGAACTACGAAACCACTTAGATTGGAGCAATTTTTGACGTTTAGTACCCAACCACAAACAACCAACCTAACTTATCGACAAAGTCCAGAAGGGACGGGATTAGGTGCTAACCTTTATAGGGGTTAGCACCGTGATAACTAGCAAAAAACGCTACTAAAAATAACGAAATCACTACGGATTATTATAAAATCTTTACAACATCTAAGCTAAATCACTACTAATTCAAACTAATAGTAGTTTTTCCCTTGGTTAGGACGGTGCTAACTATTGTACAATTAGCACCGTAGCCGTTCCCAATCCAGAACCGATCAGATATTATAAATGGTTATCTATTTTATGGAACAGGTTACAATATAAAACCCTTAATGTTTGTAGTACTACAAACCCTGTTTATAATTGTTGTAATTTGTGAAGGGAAAATCTAATAGTTCATATTATAAAGGGGTAAGGAGGAAAATAAAGAATTTAGATGCAACTAACCAGATTTTTAGGTGATGACACGAATATTTAAGTGTGTTGTTAAATAACTTTTTAGATCTCTTATGAAAATTCAACCGATCATAACTCATTCGCTTTAATTGTATTATTTTTTTTTGTTGTGAACTAATTTGAGCCATTAGGTGTGATTATAATGGATGGCTATATATATGTGGTTTGTATGTCTGATTTCCCGTATTTTAATGATATATTCCACCAATGCAATTCTGATCAAATTAAAAATCACACCACCCTTTTTATTTTTGTGTAATGGCATTCCCCGCCTCCTCCCTGCTTCCATTTTCACTTACTGTCTTAGTCGTTTTGGATTTAAGGGGCAGCGTGAGGGAAATTAGTCCAATACTTAGCGAACAGTAAACTGTCTTTAACTTTATATATATTAATTATACGTGTAAACTATTTATTGAGCTATTGTTATACCACTATATATCTTTTGTTCTACGAACCATGCACTCTTCTTTCAATTCTTATGCAATTTCGTCCTCCTCAATCAACCAAATTAATTCCTCTTTTTTTTTTTATCAGGAAACTCACGATTTGCATATACATTTGCGGGTAAGTACTGCAATCCAATGATTTCCCTATATTTTCCTCCACTTTATTTGCTTTCTACATGTATGCCTCACTTAATTTCTGTCCACTAATATATAACAAGCTAAGTGTGTTCAGTGTTTGGTGGAGATGAAGATATACACCCAGAAATTGTTTCGGCTCTGTTTTTGGCACCTTGGCTGATTCTGGGGGCGATTGGGGATACATGGTCCGTTATTGCACTTATGAGAACGATCAATCTCGAGTCGAACCTGGGAACTGGTGTTTGTTATGCGATTGCTCTTGCAGTTAGCCTCGTCGGTGTTTTTTCATTCATACCTTGGTGTTTCCCACATGAGCTGCCTCGCCTGGGATCTGCTCGGAAAATCATCTTGGAGATGGTTGTTCTACAACCTGCAATGCTTGCTAAGCATTTCCCTCAGCCTCATCAAGACCATTCTTTGGGGTATCATCTATTGGTAGCACTGACGATATTAATCTACGTTCGAACAAAACACAGATTCGTTTTCATGGATGTCTATTTGAGAGATGTCTTCTGGGCGATCGTTGCAGAGAGTTTGATTTACTGGACACCGCTTTGGGGCTCGGTTCTCTTCTATCTGTGTTTTCTCGGCTACATATGTTAAAGTTTAAGTATCAATATGTAAATATACAAGCCTTAGTCATTAGGTCATCCGTGTAACCCTATATATTGCTTTGTGTATTTCGGCTACTGCAACCCTAATACGATTGACTTTGGAGGGTTTAGCCTCTCCCGTGGACTAGTCCTGACATTCAGGAAAACCACGTTAAACCTTGTGTCTCGTTTCTTGATTTAGTTTGACATGGTATCAGAGCTCATCTGATCCGAAGCTTGAAGGTTTGCCGTTTGCAATCGTTGGCGCAACAGGTTTGTTTGCTTAGATCGATTTTGTTGCTCGTGCGGCGCTGCTGGTAGCTGTTGTACGCAGGTTTGGTTGGTTCTGCGCTAGGATTGGTTGTCGTTCTGGTTTGGCGCTTGCGAGTATGGAGCAAGCTAAGGCTGACACGATCGCGACCAAGTTTGATGGGAATAACTTCTCTCTGTGGGAGTTCCAGTTTCAGAACTTCATAGCTGGCAAGAAATTGACCTCCGTTTTGACGGGGGAATTGAAGTCACCGGGTGCTGAAGCTACTAAACAGCAGTGTGTGGAATGGGAGGCGCTCAATGCTCAGGTTGTGATGGCGCTCCTGGCTTGCGTTGATGTACCGACGGCGTTGAGTCTTCATCGCTTCACCGCCGCCTCTGACATGTGGCGTCATATCTGCGGTACGTACTCTCAAGCTAATGCTTCGCGTCTGTATGAATTGGAATTGGAGATGGCATGTCTCGCTCAAAGAGATCGGGAAGTTAGGGGTTATTATAAGCACTGTCTACATATATGGACTGAATATGATCTGGTTACGAAAAATCTTTTATCTGGGGATGCCTCGACTAAGGTTCAGAAGGAGAGGTCGCGGACTCGCGTTATGCAGTTCCTGATGAAGCTGCGATCTGATTTTGAGCCCATTTGGGCGTCCTTGATCTATCGCGTCATTACTGATCTGGATGCGGTGGTTGCGGAATTAATCCGGGAAGAGACCCGCCTTAAGAGTCAAGCTTAGATTGATGGGGGTCTTCAGAATCTGTCTTTGCCGTCAGCCGATCGGGCAAGCCTGCTCGCCCACAGTTCAGTCAGCCGAACTCCGGCGAGGTCATTTGTCACTTTTAAAGGAATCGGGCCATGTCCAAATACATTGCAAGAAAAGAAACTACTGCAATTATTGTTAGAAAGCTGGACATATAGTGTTGGAATGTCCTCCGTTGACAAGACGGGGCAAGGTCCGGTTTCCGAATTATGGTTCGGCGTCGGCTGGAAGCTCTGCTGCCCAACGTGATCAGTCTCGCGAGCATAGCTCAGCCTATGCCGTGTCGTCATCTCCGGCAGCTCCAAGTGGGTCTTCTTCTACTGGTACTGGGGGGTCCTCGTTTTGTCCTGAGCTGGTTCAGCGTATGGTACAGGAGGCGCTTCAGGCTGCCTTGTCTTCGACCTTTGCTACGGGTGCTATGACAGGTAAGTCTCCTCGCTGGTTACTTGATTCGGCAGCGTTTAATCACATGACACCTATGCGTTCACTTTTTGCAAAGTTGGATCCAACTCCTCCCATAACTTTCAAAGTAGCAAATGGTGATATTGTTCCCGTTAGTGGTCGGGGTGTTGCCTCTTCCTCTGCTGTTAATCTCCCGGACACTCTTTACGTCCCTCGTTTACTTCCAAATTTGGTTTTGGTTTGGCAGCTGACCGAGCATGGCTGCAATGTTACGTTTAATTCCTCCGGTTGTGTGATACAAGACAAGATGACGGGGAAGGTGATCGGGAAGGGAAGTAAGCATGGGCGCTTGTTCGTTCTGGATGAGTTGGGGAAGCAAGCTGTTGCGCATGTTGCGGCTGCTGTGGCGAGCAATGACAGGAGCTCCCATGGTGGTGTACGTGTGCATGGGCAGCATGGGGGTGTGGACGCAGCAGCTGCTGACTTGGTGCAGTCCAGCATGATCAAGGAACCTTTGGATAATGTAGTTATGGATTCTTGTGTTCATTCAGTTGATTTGCATTTGAACAAGAAATATTCAGTTTGGGATTTGTGGCGTTGCCGATTAGGTCATCCTAATTCGGCTCGTTTATTGACAATGTTTCGTCAGAATTTGTTGCCTGGAAAATTTGAGCACTCTCTCGGTTCATAGGCTGAGTGTTTGAGTTGTATTGAAGCGAAAGCTTCTCAGAACTCGTTTGCTTCTAGTGAGACAGTTTATGAAACACCATTTGATTTAATTCATACAGACCTATGGGGTCCTTCTCCGGTGACATCCCGGATGGGGTACATGTATTTTGCATTGTTTATAGATCACAAGACTCGTTATGATTGGGTCTATTTTCTGTGCCGGAAAACAGAACTATGTTCCTTGGCCAAGGAGTTTGTCCAGATGATTAAGACTCAGTTTGGAAGACGATTAAGATCATTCGATCGGATACAGGTGGTGAGTTTATTAAGAATGAACTTCTTGATTTCTACAAGTCAGAAGGAATTTTGTCGCAACTCTCCTGCCCAGGTGTGTCTCAGCAAAATGGGCTTGTAGAACGGAAGCACAGACATGTACTTGAGCTGACTAGAGCACTTCTATTTCACTCTCATCTCCCTAGTGGCTATTGGGTTGAAGCTGTTCATATTGTACTTCATTTGATCAACCGTCAGATTACTCCGGTCTTGGGTCAGATTTCTCCATATCATGCATTATTCTCGAAGTCCCCCGACTATTCTCGGTTAAGGGTGTTCGGATGTACGTGCTTTGTTCTGCTTCCTCGTGCTGAACGTCACAAGTTGGCGCCTAAGACTGTGAAATGTGTATTTGTGGGTTATAGTGACAAGCACAAAGGGTACTACTGTTATGATCCAATTGGCAAGAGAATGCGTATTGCATATCATGTTTTCTTCTTGGAGAATGTTATGTACTATCCTATTTCAGAACAGGACAAGCAATCTCACTCGGCGTCGTTAGATTTCCTAAACTTTGTACCCGATTTTGGTGATGTTTTGACGGCTGATGGTCCAGGAAATCAGGGAGGGAACTCGACGGTGGATGGTACTTCTTCCTCTTCATCGTCATCTGAAACGTCGGCTGCGGGCTCTCCCTTGCATTCGTCGTTGGCTGCGAGCTCTCCCTCGCATTCGATAGGTCCACATAGTAGTTCGAGCTCGAGATCGTCGTCTTCAAGCTTGGGTTCGCCGCTGCTGTCAGGTGAGGGCTCTTCGTCGTCCAGCTCTAGGTCGAATGGTGATGATATAATACCGCAGGACACAGGCGGTGTTGTGCTAAGGAGATCGAATCGCAGCAACATAGGTAAACCTCCTGTGCGGCTGAACGACTATGTGGGTTTTGCTACAACTCTGTTGTTCATACCCGCCACCTATGCTCAAGCAGTTGGACACCCGGAAAGGGAGAAGGCTATGCAAGAAGAAACCAATGCTTTGGAAGCAAACAACGCATGGGAGATGGTACCTAGAACGCCCCATATGTCAATGATCGACAGCAAATGGGTATATAACATTAAGATGAATCCGGATGATACTATAGAGAGATTCAAGGCTAGAGTTGTTGCAAGAGGTTTTCTTCAAGAATATGGGATTGACTACAACGAAACCTTTGCACCAATAGTTAAGATGCAAACAGTTCGGTGCGTGTTTGCGGTGGCAGCAATGAAGAATTGGCCGCTAATGCCTTCTTACATGGGGAACTGAAGGAGGTAATTTACATGGATAGACCTCCTGGATATACAAAGGGTTCAGCGGATATGGTTTGAAAATTGACTCGCTCGCTATATGGTCTCAAACAAGCACCTCGTGCTTGGTTCGAAAAATCATCTTGCAGTTGGCTTAGTCAGTGTTTTTTCATTCATACCTTGGTGTTTCCCACATGATCTGCCTCGCCTGGGATCTGCTCGGAAAATCATCTTGGAGATGGTTGTTCTACAAGCTGCAATGCTTGCTAAGCATTTCCCTCAGCCTCATCAAGACCATTCTTTGGGGTATCAGCTATTGGTAGCACTGACGATATTAATCTACGTTCGAACAAAACACAGATTCGTTTTCATGGATGTCTATTTCGGAGATGTCTTCTGGGCGATCGTGGCGGAGAGTTTGATTTATTGGACACTGCTTTGGGGCTCGGTTCTCTTCTATCTATGTTTTGTCGGCTACAGATTCTGGACATCCGGCGAGAATAATACAACCGGCGGTGACGGTCAATCGTCTGCTGATCAAGTACCTATTCCTAAAGCAATTGAAGAAAATCTAGCAACAGAAGAAGTCTCTTCAAAACAGAAGGAGGAGGATAATATTCAATTGCAACAAAAGGAATCCGAACAAATTACCGTAACGATAGTGACACCAGATAGTTAGGCTAGTGACAATTTAGATTATACAGAAAGATGATTGACATAATATTTATTTTTCATAAAATAATCTACTCGTTAGATATCTATTGATTTTATTTATACTTATTACTTATATATGCAGTGGCGGAGCCACTTGGCGAGCCAAGGGAGATCCTCTACAACACTTTAGCTTCAAAATGTAGTAGTAACCCATAAATATAGTAATAAATTTTTTTACGTAATTGTGGATTGAACACAAGTTCTTCCTATTATTGTAAATAATTTTACAAAAAATAATATTTTGTGATCTCTGCTTAAAACTCAAAACTTAGTGGTGTCTATTGCTACGAGCTATTGTCATATCAAGTGTTGAAAAAGCCCTTAATGCAGTGAACAACATGACACTTCAGAATCATATGAGTGATGAAATTATTAAGCATTTATCGGTGTACTTTGAAAATGACATTCCCTCATAATTTGTAAGATGAGCGTACTTTAGAATGTTTGTAGAATATGAAACCACCTCCTAAAACTTCACGTAGGATCTACCTTAAATGAATTTCTGGCTACGCCACTGTATACATGAATGAGCAAGAAAGATTATTATGATTCTTGCATGCACATTTTCTATTTATAATACATACATTTATTATTTATCTTTATGCGCGTAGTCAATTGATTACAGAGTTTTACAGCTTTTACATCATTCAAAAAATGAAGCTCTCCACTTAATTTTCGTCAGGGGGAATTTGGTCCATTAAGTCCCACATTTTTTTTCCACTTCCCACGTACAACTTCAGCTCCAAAACTTGGCGGTTCCAGCCCTCAACTTTAGGCTTTTTACTAGGCCCACAGATAAAGCCCTATTGACTTTCATGGGAAAGGGGATTAGGCCCGATATTCTAATTTTAAGCGTGGAAAGCCCTTACAATAACAATGTAGCAATCGATTAGGGTGTCATTTTAATAGTGTCACTCAATAACAATGCGTCTACGGTAAGTATTATGACGAATTGTCTGATCCATTTTTAATAGAGTTGTTAGCGTTAAGAGATGAAATGGATTGGTGCTTAACTCGGGGTGTCTCTTCTGTTTGTTTTTGTGGTGATTCTCAACTGGTGATCTGTCGAGCTTCGGACAATGATGTTAAACATGATCGTGGTGGCGCAATTCTTGAGGAAATTCGATTGATGAAGACCTCCTTCTCGTTTAGTCGTTTTGTTTTCTCTCCTCGTAGAACTAACAAGGCTGCCCATTGCGTGGCGAAAATAACTCTTGCATCGGTAAATCAGCACTTGGCTGATTAACGCTTTTTATTTTTCAATATGTAATTCCCAATCTATTACTATCTACCTAAGCAAAAAAAAAAAAAAAAGACAATGCATCAATCGATTAGGGTGTCATGTTAATACTTAATAGTGTAACTCTGTATATTTTGCAACTGTCCACTCTACTCTACTTTTTTGGATACGTAAATAAAGATAACAATTAAGCTAAGATAATTAATTTGAATCACAGTCCCAGAGCTCAAACCCATTAGCGAATGCCGAATAGTGATCAATTACTTTTCGGTACAAATTTGGAACCTGATAAACAGAATCAACAGTAGTTAAAGCAGTTTGTCATATGCCTTCTCCAAGTCAATTGTCAACACCACTCCTCTTTTTCCTTTTTTCTTCCTGAGCGAGTGTAGGACTTCTTGAAAACAATGATATTGTCTGCAGTTTGTCTGCCTGGGATGAAACTGCTCTGCCTGATATTTTGATTAACTTGCTATTTTTTTCTCCATTCGATTCTTCATAACTCGAAGGAAAGTCAGAATCAACGATATACAAGGATCCAAACTAGACCCTATCTACTATGAAGCCATGAAACAAAGTCGAACTCCTTCAACAAGCGGGGCGGCATAAACAGAGCGCGACGAGCCACAAAATGAGCTTCTCTGTTACAATTTCGACCAATGAACGTCAAAGAACTATCTTGTAAAGAGTCCACTAATGTACCAATCTCTTGAAGAATACTGCCAATCTTCCCATCATCAAAATGGCGCTGAACACATTTGTCTATAATGAGCTTGGCATCCCCACCGAAAGAAATCTAGGAGAGGTGCCTCCGGCCACAATCCAAGATACAATCCCGCAGGGCCAAAGATTCCAAGATATAAGGATCTTGTATGCCAACATAGCTAGTAGCAGAAGCTGCCAATACTAAACCATCAGCATCCATAATAATAAAAGCGATAGTACCTGCATGGCCCGATCGGGTAGCACCATCAAATGTGGCCCTAAATTGATGATGGGAGGTGTGAAAATGTGGAGCTAATCGTGGATGGGTATCAAGAGTTTGGGTAGTGGAAGAAGGAAGCAGTAAAACATTTTCAGCCTCGGCCACTTGATGCCTCCATTGCGCAGCCAGAGTCGTAACCAGAATCTGTTTCCGATCAAAGAAAACCGTGCAGCGATTCTTCCATATTCTCCATAGAGAACACGTAATTTGCAGAATGAGATAATCATTATCTTTCACCGTTGCAGAAAATAAAGTGAAACGAAAGAAACCTGCAAAAGACTGAAGATGCCAATTGCTAAGTAGCCCTTGAAATCCAGTAATGCGCCATAATTTTTTTGCCAGAGGGAATTTGAAGAAAATATGCTCTAAGGGGTCCTCATGGCGACCACAGACCGGGAAAATTGGAATTAAATCCATTCCCCTCATGACCAAGGCTTCTCGAGTTGGGAGAATTCGAAGAAGAGATTGCCAAATGAAGAACAATAACTTTGGCTGAACTTTCCTAGTCCACCACCATGTTTACGAGGAGGACATCGAACCTGTTGAAGCACAATATGATAAGTTGACTTAACAAAAATATACCCACGCTTCAAAATGCCAGATTAGCTTATCCCAAACTGACTGTTTTGTCAAAGGAATCGGGAAATCTTTTCGACCAGACTCCGAAAAGAAAAGCTGAAGTGCGGCGTGATTCCAGGAACGATCCCCTAGATCAATCAATGCAGCAACATAAGGATTAAAAGCTGCTGCCGCTGGCCGAACATGAGGAATTCGCGGAGTAGAATCCAGGATCCATGGATCATGAAAAGCTCGAATTGATTGTCCATCCCCCACCTTCCAACGAACTCCCTACACCAACAAATCCCTACCAAACAGAACACTACGCCATCCCCAAGAGGGATTAGATCCTGCGGAGGTGAAGAGAATAGAGGAATCATCCTCAAAATATCGCCCCTTCCATATTCTTGCTAATAAGGAAGTTGGTTCCAATAGCACCCACCAAGCAACTTTAGCCAATAAAGCTTGGTTGAAATATCCAAACTCCAGAAAGCCGATACCTCCCTCAAACTTGCTCAAGCATAAAGATTTCCAAGCCCGCAAATGAATCCTACGATGTTCAGACGGTGCCTCCCCCACCCCACCACCATAGCCTGACCTTATGGGCATTCAACCTCCGAATTAACTCAGAAGGAAGATGAAAACAAGACATGATGTAGACAAGGAGGGCCGCTGCAACCGATTTCAAGAGGACTTCCTTAGCGGCAGGGGACAAACAACGCTATTTCCAACCCTGCTAAACCATGAGAAGCTTTTCTTCAACAAACCGGAAAGTGCCCGTCTTAGAATGACCAATCCACGACGGTAGACCAAAGTAACGATCTTGAAGCCCAATGGATCCGGCACCTAAACGAGTACCCAAATCCTCTTGTTCCACTTGAGTCAAATTCGAGCTGAAATAAGCTGTTGATTTCTGAAGATTAACTTTTTGACCACTCATGCTTTCGTAATCATGAAGTAAACGCAACAAATTATTTCCATTTCGGACCGAAGCCCTCAAGAACAAGTAGGAGTCGTATACAAATATGAGATGAGAAACTAAAGGGCACCTATGATTCAAGCAAACCCCATGAAGCTCCCTTGATAAGATGGCTTTCCGAATAAGAGCTGTGAATCCTTCAGAACACAATGCGAACAAATGAGGAGGCAAATGGCCGCCTTGCTGAAGCCCACGAGAAGATGCAAAATACCAAGAAGGTTGGCCATTAACCATGATTAAGAATGTTGGGTAGTAACACATTGTTGCACTCAGTGAATCCAAGTGGCGGAGAAACCTAGCTTTCGAAGAAGCGCAAATAAAAAAGGCCATTCAATTCGAACGTACGCTTTCTCCTTGTCCAGCTTCAAAACCATGAATTTCTCTCGACCAAGGCGCTTATTCTTAACAAAATGAAACACCTCGTGTTCCACCAGAACATTGGCCACAATTTTTCAATCTCTAACAAACCATTATTTTATGGAGAAATAAGATTAGGTAGAATTGCACCTAACCGAGTGGCAAAAATTTTGTAATCACTTTGTACAAAAATTGACACAGACTAAATGGTCATAGTTGGGAAACACGTTCAACCACATCAACTTTGGGGATTAGAGTGAGCCACGTATGATTCATGTTTCGAAGAAGCTTACCAGATGTAAAGAATGATGTAATAGCCTTGATGACGCTATTCCCAACGATTGGCCAAAAAGTTATGAAGAAGCTGCTCGTAAACCCATCTGACCCAGGCGTCTTTAATTTCCCCATCTGAAAAACAATGTCCTTAATTTCAGTAGGAGAAATAGGAGCCATAAGAAGTTGATTCATATAATGAGAGACCAAATGATTAATAGGAAGTGAGGAAAGAAAGGTATCAACACGAGCAACATAGTTTGGATCTGGATTTCCAGTACAGAACATGTCTTTATAGAAATCAATTACCACTTCTAGCTTCTCATCTTCTTCCGTAACCCAACGACCAGAAGAGATAAACAACCCTTTCAATCGATTACGTCGGCGTCGAGCCCGTGTGACGACATGAAAATATTTTGCGTTTTTATCACCAACTTGTAACCATCGGACTTTGGACTTTTGTTTCCAGTACCTTTCTTCCGCAGCCCAAGCACGAGATAATTCCGCTTCCACCCTTGCTAGCTCCGACCAGTCGACAGGATAAGAATTACGAACACGAGATGCTAAATGCCTGAGGTCTTTAATCTGGCGTGCGAAATTAGTAGTGCCAAGTAGGGGTGAGCAGTGGGTGGCTTTATGCAGATTTGGATGGTTTTGGAACCACCCACTATGTGGTGGGTGAAGGAAAAAATGACCCACACCCACCCAAGCATTACATGTGGGTGGGTTGGGTGATTACGGATGATGGGTGGTTGGGTGGATTCGGTAAGTTCACAAAATATATTCCATATGATCACATAATTTCAGTATTTTTAAAATTAAAATGAAAGAAATTTTAAACTAAATAAGTCATAATCCATAAATCGGGCGGATAACTTATTTTACAATATTAGAATTGGTAATTGTCCACAAATTACAAAATATGCAACTGATAAACATGGTCTAAGTATGATAATAACCAAGGTTCGAGAAGGCAATAGGCATAAAACAAATGTTTTGGCCTTGCCTAGTGCCTCATTTGCCTAGGCTTTGTGAGCTAAATACTTTTCAACCTATAGTCGCAAATTACAATTCCAAATTGATGGAAGGAATGAAGGACAAATTAGTGGTAGTTTGAGATGATGTCATTTTGGGGAAGACAACTATCTTCCCAAAAATGTTTTTGTATTGGCAATTGTCCACAAATTACAAAATATTCAACTGATAAACATAATCTAAGCCTGATAATAACCAAGGTTTGAGTAGGCACTAGGCATAAGGCAAATGTTTTGGTCTTGCCTAGTGCCTCATTTGCCTAGGCTTTGTGAGCTAAATACTTTTCAACCTATAGTCGCAAATTACAATGCCAAATTGATGGAAGGAATGAAGGACAAATCAGTGGTAGTTTGAAATGGTGTCATTTTGGGAAGACAACTGTCTTTTTTTTCCATTTGTCTATTTGCTATGCTTAAGCGTACCTCCAATTGCCTTAGCACACCTCACAACACAATCATTAGATCGAAGTTGAGAGAAATTTTGTGATTTGTAGGGTTTCACTTTCGATAAAACTATATGTTAGAGCTTTGATGGTTTGGGGGTAAGAAGTTGGGTGGCTCGTGAGTCAACCACAGTTCACCTGCACCCACCCAATCTTTTGTGGGTCCTCCATTTTACAACCCACACCCACCCATAAAAACCACTCACATGATAATGAGTGGGTCAATTGCGGGTGGATTTGGTTGGATTTGTGGGTTCAACCACCCAATGCTCCCTCCTAGTTTTGCCCAAAAGAAAGCTTTTCTCTTTTTACCCTCCCAGCCATTAACATCATTGTTGGGCCTAATGACAAAGCCCAACAAAATTGCTTATTGACCATGGTTAAAGAAAATATATGTCGAATTTTTTGAGAGAGATAACAATAAGGGTGCGCCTACGCTGCCTTGCAAGTCAGCATAACTTGCACTTTTCGGTCGATCTCAGATAGGATTAGGTCGACCTAATATGTTGTTTCAGTGTAAAACCAGTTTCATGGTGCCTACTTTGAAGATTCATATCTTACAATTGGCTCAATGGAAATTGGAGATTAATGGCTTGTTTTGAAGCTGGAGTGTCCCACTACACATTGAAGTGCTTGGAAGCTCAATAGGAAGTCCAGAAGACTATATTTGAACCTGATCAAAAGGCTATGCAAAAACTGGGAAACTGTTTGAAAATGGCAAGGGTCTGGGAACGTGTTTGTGAAGCCTACTTTCGAGCTCAATTTGAGAAGCATGGATGAGAGTCGAGTCCAGGGGCCTCTACCACATGAAAGTAGGTATGTTTGTCTACAAAGGCAAGGCATTGGATGAAAGATTGGATATCTGGAAGGCTTCAAACAAAAGGCTCGAAGTTGCTACGAAGTAAGCTACCTTCTAGCACAAGCAACCTGCCAGAAAAACAACCTTCGTATCAACTTCGAGCTTTTTGTTTGAAGCCTTCCAGATATCCAATCTTTCATCCAATGCCTTTCCTTTGTAGGAAAACATACCTAATGTCATGTGGTAGAGGCCCATGGACTTGACTCTCTTCCATTCTTCTCGAATTGACCTCCAAATTATGTTTCACAAACACGTTCCCAAACTTGGCCATTTTCAGGCAGTTTCCCAGTTTTGGAATAGTCTTTTGATCAGGTTCAAAAATGGTCTTCTAGACTTTCTAGCGAGCTTCCAAGTACTTCAATGTGTAGAGAGGCACTCCATATTCAAAACAAGCCATTAATCTCCAATTTCCGTCGAGCCAATCGTAAGATATAAATCTCCAAAGTAGGAACCATGAAACTATTTTTACACTGAAACAACAGATTAGGCTAATCCTAACTGAGGCCGACCGAAAAGTGCAAGTTACGGTGACTTGCAATGCACCGTAGCAAAGTTCTAAAAATAATAGGAGAGAAAATTAAAAATATACAAAATATAAGCTCCCTTTTTTATGCGAAGACATCCCCCATGTGGTCTTATATTGTTTATGACTGAAATTACATTTGGTTGTTCGAGATTTTAAAAAATTTAGTAACAATTTTTTTCTATGGGCACCTATTAAAAATTAAGTTTCAATAGGATAAACATATTGTTTGACTGTTCGTAAAATTGTAGTTAGATTCGAAAGACAACTCTAAATGGTTAAATTATGATGATCGAATCATTCATGAATATGTTATGTGATGAATGATCAGTATATATAAATTCTTATTGAAGTTATGAGTTTTCGAAAATTTTAGTTGAGACTAAGGGTGGATAATAATTTTCAACAGCTCAAAAATTTAAACATTTATGGACCCATTTCAATGTCCTCTAAAGTAAACTATTTCTACCATGTATGGTCAACCTTTATCTCCTTACAACCGCATAAGCAAAACTGATGGATCTTCCAAATTCCAAGTATCGATACAATGCATCTTATTTTGATAGGAAAGGTTTTAAGGTTTAACCCTTACAAATTTTCCGACCAACAGGCCGGGAGTAAGCTAGTAGTAGTAGAAGGGAAGAGTAAGATGGAGAAGGATAGACTTGACCCTATAGCGAAAAGAAAAACTCAACCATTTTCTTTTTGAATTTTTTTTTTCTTTAATGGAGTGGGAATTTATGAATGATAAAGACAAAGTTATAAAATTATTATAAGCAAAATACAACTGTCTAGCCATAACTATTAGTTTTGTGACAATAATAGCCACTTTTAGGAAAATACACAAATTACCCAAATTTTGGATGATAGGTTGACAGATCTAGCCATTTCCATTTAAGACATTGACGGTATTAGAATCGACGCATACGTCAACGACAACTCAACACAGCTTGCCACGTGGACGCCATATCCTATTTTTTCAATACATTCGTATAGCCAATACTTTGATACTAATAACTAATATAGCCATTTTTTCAAAACTATAAATCCCACCACCTGAAATCCCTCCATTACTTACCAAATCCCATCGCCCTCTTGACCCAATTCAAAAACCCTGGACAGCGAATGTTAAGGTTCGTGCGAGGGCTACAGATCCCCCTTCAGTTTCATATGGGTATGCCAGCCTCGAATGTTAATGTTAATGGGAAGCTTGACATGCTCTGTGTAACTCCTCTGCTGGGTATGCCAGTTTCGATTGCTTATTTTTTTGTATTTGATTAAGTTTGTTCATGCGTTACTTCTTTCTTATATTTATTTGTGAATGATTTAGCTTAAGAGGCATTGAGATTTGGAGTAGGAAGGAGGAATTTCCAGTGGTGAGGCTTTTATTTTTGAAAAATGACTATATTAGTCATTAGTATCAAAGTTTTGTCTATACTAATATATCGACAAAATATGACGTGGCGTCCACGTGGCAAGACATGTCGAGCTGTCGCTGACTTATGTGTCGATTCTAATGTCGTTAAAGTTTTTAACGAAAATGGCTAGATTTTTCAAACTACCACCGAAAATCTGGCTATTTTGTGTATTTCTCCAAAAGTGGCTATTATTGCCACAAAGTCGATAGTTATAGCTACGCATGTGAATTTTGCCAAAATTCTATGAGCGTGAATAATTTATCAAGTCAAAGTCAACATGGCTTATTGACTTTTTTCTTCACTATACGCTATCATGAATCAAGTTGAAATCGCATTGCACGAAAAAACCTAAAATTTTTGTTATCATATTGTATTTAATTTTTTTATAATAATATTTTAAAAGAATTTACTACTCTTTTGTTAAAGAGAAAAATTCTCACTAACAAATTTATTTTAATCCTAAGTTTTTTAATTTAACTATTATAAAATATTTGAATACTCTTTTGTTAAAGAGAAAAATTCTCACTAACAAATTTATTTTAATCCTAATTTTTTTAATTTAACCATAAACAAGATTTATAAATATTTTATTATTTTAATAGAATCAATCTCGAATTGGAACGTCAAATTTGAAAGGCAAAATACACTTGCATAGCCATAACTTTCCACTTTGTGACAAATATAACCAAATTTTGAAAAATACACAGATATAGCCATATTTTGAAAACTAGTTTGACAAATATAGTCATTTTCGTTAAAAAATTTAAAGTCGTTAATAATTCCATCAGTTTCGTAAATTGCCACTTGAACGACACTTCATCTCCAACTAGACACGTCATATCCACATAAACGCCACATCATATTTTAATTAAAAAATTCATATAAATTTATTAGTAACTTTTATTAATAACCAAACACAGAAATGCGCCGATGGCGGTGAGGGTTTGTCTCCTCCGGCCACCGCTACACAAGCCACGACAATCTCTTCGACTTTCCCCAAATCAACTTCTTCCTTTCAGTACCTCTACTGGAAAATTGAAGTTTCCAGTCTATCTCTAGCCCAACTGATGCCGCCGGCTCTTTCTATCTTCCCCCAAATCTGGAAGATAAAAAAAATTCTAGGGATTGGAATTGAACTTTGGCCATCATCCTCCGCACTCTCTCTGTTCATCGTCTAGATCCGCACTTGGGATTTTTTTGTCTCACCGGTCGATTACTGGAGCTTCGATGGGTTGTCTGAATCGAGAAGAGAAGCCGGAGTGGAGAATCCGACGATTTTTTTCCAGGCAACAACGCCGGGTTTATTCGCAGCCCGAGTAGTAACATGGGATTTGGAGGCAACGAAATCTTGATCTGGTGGTGGAAAGGGGTCTCCAAGAGGGACGACGACAACGATTGATTTTGGAGGATAGATTGGTTTTGAGGCGGGGAGCTACCAATGGAGCAGCGGCGTGTTCGCGTCGGAGGAGAGATATATGGATCCATGATGCTTTTGGCTTTGACCTGAAGGATGCAGTTGCGGTGCGGAAGGGAGGTGATGGATGAGGGAAGGTATAGCGGCGGTGGGGAGATGAGATCGAGAGAGGCGGCAGAGGATAACGGTGGTCGGTCGACGAGGTGGGGATGGGGTTTGGGGAGGGTAAATTGAGAGTTCTGGTAAATAAAGTGCTTTTTTTTAATTAATGAAATCGTTAGCATATTCCACGTAGATGAAAAATTGCCATGTCATAAATCATCATTTGTCCAGTCAGCAATTTTAACAGAACCGTTAATTGTATAGATAAAATGACTATATTTGTGTGAAAAATTATGGCTACGGAAGTGTATTTTGCCAATTTGAAATACAGAACGTCGCGCGATAAATGCCCCTCCTGCTTGGCTTCAGTCGCTTCTCCTCCATCTCCCTTTCATCCATTTCCTTAGCTTGGCTTTCAATTGCGCGCTCAAATTTTCGAAACTGAGCGAGAGGTCAGGGCCTAGCGGTTCAGGCAAAACTCATACTGTCTTCGGGACTCCAAGAGAGCCTGGAATGGTTCCACTTGCACTTCAGTACATTTTCAAGCAATCTAAGGGCAAGGATCACAAGTTTTCAAGGTAATTTAAGCTTGGTGAGCTTACAATTCAGGCTTTCTAAGTAACCCCAATGAAGGGATTAGTGGATTTCTGTACTTTCTTTCCTCCAATAGTTCTTTCAACTTGGTTGTGTTATCTTTGTAGGTCATTTCATCTATCAATCTTTGAAATATACTCTGAAAGAGGTAAAGGCGAAAAAATATGTGACTTGATTCCAGAAAGAGTTGAATCTGGGTTGCACTCAACTGTCAAAGGGGTTCAAGAGGCATGAATTACTGTCCATGCTGTATGATAACTATTGAATGATTTGGTTCCTTCTATTCGTGCAGCATGCTAAGGGCTTATTTTGATCTGTTCATGAACAGGTCGTAGTTTCTAATGCGTCTGAGGCTGAATCATTGATTGCTTGTGCAATGTTGAAGCGTGCAACAGTCATGACCAACACAAACAGTCAATTAGGTGCAAGTTTTGTTTGTGAAGTAAGTTGAACTTTAGTTGGTGTGGATGGTGTTTTCAGCAGTAAGTTCTTTGGTGTTTTGATTGATGATCAACATTTTTGCTGCCGATCTCAATGCATCATTAACGTACACATGAAACGAGGTGAAGTGAGAAATCAAACAGATGATGCTGTGCTAAGTGCTAACTATTGTTGACCTTGCTGGAACTGAGAGAGAGAGAAGAGAACAGGGAATCAGGTTTCATAAGTGTTACCTTTTGATTTGTCTAGTTGATTCGAGTCCATTAGATATTGGGTCGTAAAGAAGTCTGATAGTCGGTGGCATTTAAAGTCCATGTATAGTAAGTTACAGTATGAATGTTCTTCAGCAAAGATTCACTATTGATGAGTCAACATAACCAACTTTTCTGCTTAATGCTAAGAAAGGGAGCTATCTTTTGTGATGATGTGCACTTACTTGGTAAACTCAGCTTCACAAATGATATTGGGAGAATTTATCGATTCTTGTTGTTACTTTATGTTTCCTTTTAGGGTCATATTGTAGTCTTGAGTTGTGTGCTGCACTGCAAAGATTAAGTCACTTTAATCTGTCATTGTGGTGCTTGGATTTGTATGACTCGGATTCAGTGTTACTGCTTGCTATGATGATCATATTTAAATCCTTTGGCCTTAGACCTCAGATTTTGGTGGTGATCTTGCAGGGGGCGAAATTGCTGGAAAGCAGTTTCATCAACAACACGTCTATGGTCTTCGGATTATGCCTCAGAGTATGTAATCTTTATTGAGTTTTTTGGATTACCTGGAACTAAAGGAATATTCGGTACCGTCATCTGTTCTGAATTGCTCAGTTATATACTCTTTTGCTGTAGGCATTACTGGAGCACCAGAAGAATCCCAAGAAACCGTTACAGAAGCATTTTCAGAACTCTTTGGTAATACTGCAAAATGAGGCTTCCTTAATTTTGCCTTGCTCTTTATAGTGCTTCTGCTATTATGTAAGAGATTATCTGGAAGGCAAGAAGCGGATGAGTTTGGTACTAAGCTTAGTTACTAGATCCCATTAAATCTGCTCAATTCATATATCCATTTACTTACTGCAGATATTAATAGTGAAGCCAGGGGAAGAGGACTATCTAGACATAGCCTGCCTACTCAGACAGGCTTCTCCTTACATGAAAATAAAGCAAGTCCCTAACCTTTACTGATTCCATTGAGTTTTTATCAATTTAATTGAATTGGTATCTTGTATTAACCTCTAGCCCTTTGAACTTTCAGATTCAACAATACTGAGGATCCAAGTGGTTTTGTTTCCAACAAAAGACCCACCCAAAGTTTGTCCAGGATTGGATAACAGAAAAGAATGAAGCCCAGTGCTGTTGATGGTAAGGTATCCCTGAACAGTTACTGCTTGTGGTTAGATATATATGTTCTTAGTGTCCCTAATCTGACAGAAGGTGACCCTTCTCATTTCTAATAGACTGAATAGCCGAAAACCAATGGAGATGAGAATCTACGTTTGCAGGAAGCTCACACCAAAGGTAAGGAAGTTGAAACACCCTTGCAATGTCTTAGTTTATCTTCACGTCTGAGGACATCATATTTGTCTCCTCTTCATTTCATCCCAGTCCCAGAGGCATCGATTATGGACAAATCAGATTTTGAGTCATTCACAAGGGAGAGAAACGACATCATAGTGCCGAACTTTGCTAAAGAGTTGAAGCAATACAAAGAAAAGCTTCTGGTAAACTCATTTAGATACTCTGAAATCAACTGCTCCCTTTAGCCAAGTTTTTCGTCTGGGATCGAGTATTGTTTATCAAACACCTATTTGATAATTAGGTAGCTGAAATGGAAGTTGAAAGTGTTGGTGAAAGCCTCAGAAATGAAAGGTCTAGACGCTTTGAGCTAGAAAAGGAACTTGAGGATTTGAAGCTACGATGTACTTGCTCCAAGGAACAGACAGTGGAAGCCACCTTAAGAAAAGTTGACGGGGTAAGCGGTAAGCCTATCCTCGTTCTATCTATTGATAGTAAAATTTTAGACCATTATAATTAACTTTTACCAGCTATTCCAGACAGAACGTGTCTCGGAATCCAGGCCTTGTGATTCTCCAAAGATTGCTAGATCTTTTTCAGAACAGATATGTTCTGTTTTGGAACCAAAGCCTTGTGATTCTCCCAAGATTACTGAGTCTATTTCAAAACAGATCTGTTCTGTCCCGGAACCCATGCCTCGTGATTCTTCAAAGAGTACTGAATCTATTTCAGAACAGATTCAACAAGATACTGAACAACTGGCTCCAGTAAGTTTTCGATTCATGTCTCTTTCCTGTCATATAATCTAACTTGTCTGAGTAACTTGGTGTGAGAAGTTAGTTGAGCTTTCTTCTCTTTTTCCAGATGAATGCAGCCAATTGTTCTCAAAGCAGTAGCATCCATCAAGAATCAGGCATCAATGAAGTACATGACCAGGAAGTATGTTCTCCTATAAACTTTCATTCTAAATAAAAACAAAGCCCAATTCCTATCCTAGAAGAATACCATGCATTTACATACCCAGATTCAGAATCAACCAGTCTAGGAAGCCTTTTTCATTTAGTTTATAACCCTCGATCATTACATGCTTACCCGAGTCATGCTTCGTTTCATCAACCAGCCTAGTCCTAGGGACGTGCCATTCTTGTGTAATAATGAACTCGGGATAAGGAAGTACGTGATATGCCGTACTGACATATGATATACTTCATTTGAGCTGTTAGGCAACAGAAGACCAAATGGCGAGTACTTCTGGGGACCTTCGAGACGAAAAGGCCGAATGTCTTGATCTTGAGCTGGACCTCGTTAAGGCTCAGCCAGCAGTTGTTCAGAGGAAACTTCGAACCTATCAACTTCTGTTGCAGTAGATGCTGAAGTCGAAGACACAGTGCGTTTGGAAATGCATAAACCTGGCAGCTCTAAGCCGGTAGTTAACCAATCCTCTTCTTTCCCTCATCTAATTTCCATTTTCTACGTTCAACCCTCTTTTCCTGCAAACCTCATTAATAATGTGACCAAGAAAGTGAGTTTAACATTCCAACCTGCCTTGACAATGAGTCTACAGACTCTACACACTTCATTATATGACTGGTTGCCATTGAATGCAATGAATGAAGCATTGAAAAGCCTTGATGCGTCTTACTTTTGACACTTGAGGTTCTCATGATGACAAAGTCCTGAAAATGATCGAGTTGCTTCAGTACTAAGCATGCAAAAGCTTGGACCTCAAGTTTTGAATTAATTTTGCCTACCCACCACCACAACTTCACGTCCAATCCAGGCAAGCTTCCAGCTCCGAAGATGAAGCGGGATTGGTCAGACGTGGCAAGCCAACCAAGCCAGAAAAACCGAAGAGGTCATTTTCCAACCTCCCCTCATTTTTTCCAATCCTTATCTGATGCGGAGTTCTCAAGTTTTTTTTTGGCCCCGTATATCAGGAGACTATTGCCTGCCTCGTCTTCGTTACTAAGGGATATGAATGCCTTGGCCATAGACGACGAACCAGAAAAACCAAAAGTAAGTTTGGCTCTAGTTGAAATATCTAACTTAGGTATTATTACCTAAAATGCAGGGAATCAGAGGTGGGAAGAAATTGACTGTAGATGAAACAAAAAGAAGAACTCAGGGCAGTATTTCTCTCCTACGTTTGCTACAGAATAACCTTCGAGTCTAAATTATAGTCACCTGCTTGCTAATCATCCCAACGATTTCTTAAACAGTGCCTAACCCTTAACTGTCCAGAATTACTCTACCAATACCTATTCGAGAGGTCTACCTTTTTTTGCACAAACGCCTCTTTACTTTGGTCCTAAGCCTCACCACATGTAATACTTACGATATTTTTCGCTCGTATCATATGTAATGTCTGAGAATGCTTAACAGGATCATGTGATGTTGGGGCAATTCGGCTTTGTTATGAAATGAGTGGACATGTTCAAAATTGTGGGTTGGGAAGTAGGGCATTTTTGTTGGGTCAAAATTGACTTTAAAGTGAAGAAAGAATAGAATGGACATATTTTGAATGGTTTTGCTAGAAGCTTAGAGTGGTGACCAAGCTATCCTCATAGTGGAATATTAAAAAAAAAAAAAAGGGCAAAACACCTAAAATGGCATGGCCCGCTTTGCCTCTCATCATTACCATTATTATGTCATTTATGTTTGGGTGTTGCCTACAAACGCCAAAAAGATCCAATTGCTTAATGCTTATCTTCTATTCTTAGGATGAACAAGGGCGAGAAGATAAACCTAACCTTGTTTTACACGTCCTCTTTTGTCAATTATTTTTTTCATACCTTTGTTTACATCTTTCTCTATTGCTTGATTATTGTAATTTAGTTCAAGTCAGGATATGATTTAGTTATATTCAATTTGATTTAATACGATTTGGTACAAAATCAGAGAAGTATATATGAGAATTGCATTTAAAGTTAATGTCATATGCAATTCAATTCACCAAAAGCTATAAGTTCAAGATCAACCTTTTTAAGGATCCTGGTAGAATTCCCTCACAGATTAAGTTGCAAATATGGCGGGATTATGTTTATTAACTGTGGTTTTGTACAGTAACAGCGATTATTTACAGGATTATCATTATTCGATTGCTTACACTCTTTCACTCACTCAGCTCAGTTTCCCCTTTTTATCTCTCGGGCAAAACAACAAACACCTCGTGGGCTTCAACGAAATCTATCCATCCCCAATTCTCCCTCACCACGCGCCGAGCGCCGCCGGCGGCGGCGGAGGAGGTGCTACCTGCGGATGATTCTGTTGGTGGTGGTGGTGAGGTAGCCTGAACCGAACCTGAGACGCCGGCGACCGGACCGCCACTCCGTGCCAGCAAATGCCGCCCTTGCAAATTTCGCCTTCCCCCGCCGCCGCTGCCCTGTCGTGGTTCTCGGAGCAGATTGCGTACGTGGCCTTCCGCGATACGTCCCACGTCAGCGTGGCGACGAGGATTAATGCCACCACCGTGGTGGACGCGATGAGGACGAACCCAGCGCCGAAATACCGGCCGCGCACTATCCCGTACGCCTTAATCCCGGCGATTACCGCCACGTAGATCGTCGTCAGGTTCCCCGTCACCTTATCCGATAGCGCCATCTCCTCCACCACCAAAAAAAAAAAAATCTCCTTGGAATTCGCGATTCGGCGGGGTTTCTCTTTCCCCGCAATTCACCGGAATTGAATCGATCGGCGGGAAGAGAACGAAGGGGTTTAGTGCGGCGGATTTGTGGAGGACGTGGTCGGAGGGAGGGTTTTCTTATAGCTCGCGAATTGGGGAGGAGAGGCGAAAGAAAACAAAGAAGGAAAACGGAGAAAAGGAATTTGGGGATCAAAGTTTTTGGGAAGGCCACAGTCCATATGTAGAGTTAGTACAAACAAAGCGCTTGTAGCATCAACATAACATATCACACATCCCGCGAGCCAATTATCCAAGCGGATAGGCACACGTGGCAATTTTCTTGAAGTTTTCTTTTAAATTATTGAATTTGCTTTTGCTGTTGCTTGCAGCGCGATTCGGAAGTTCTACCGGCTATTTACTTAATTTTTTGGTGTTAATTCTTAATTGATGATTAAGCTAAGCAAAAAGGCAATGATAGTACCTAATGCACTAAAGGACTATGGAATACAAATGACATACATATTTTTTTATAATGAGATCATGCTTGTATGATGATCCTTTCCTTTATTTATTATATATAGTTTATGGTGATTTTTTCGGTGCACTTATAAAAATTGTCCATACAATGCACTTAATTGTAAAAGTAACATTAAGAGATCAATTTTTGGAATTGGTCGCATTAGTGTGATATGATGATGAAGCACAGGATCACAATTAATCAGTCTATTACCCTAACCCCCTAAACTTTCAATTATGTACACTAACCCTAAACTCCTTTAAATCCTAATCCTAAATTTCTATACTTTAAGACCTTCGAATCAAAGTAAATCTTAAATGGTTTTTGTACAAATTCATGTGTTTTCTTCTCGGAAGTGAATGTTGACATCGTTTCGACATGATTCACCTGCCCAAAATAACGACTATCAGGTGATCGAGTACATATATAGCATGCACCCAGAAAAGTGAATGCATTGAAAACAAAACCATAGTTTCATAGAATCTAAAATAGAAGTGTTACTTATATTTCTAATGTATTTTTATAATATACAAGTTCTTAATATACACTACTTTAATCAATGCATTCATGTAATACACCACTGTAAGAATCAAGTATCCAAACCACCCGTAAAGAATGAAGTGTAAACCTCCAAATTAAAGGTAGAACATTCAATTAATACGTATCTGAAGTACACCATGGAACTTTACTGAGAAGTTCCGATAGAAACAAGATTTCTATTGGGTTTGCTAATTTGGGGATTTGAGATTGAGATTAGGAGAGGAAGAACAGAATAAAGAATCGGACGAAACCTTGGACTTGGGACGAAGATAAATTAGGAGATAGGAAGAGCTTAGGGTTTAGAAGAATAATTCTTTTACTGATTTATGCTTAATCGAACAAAAGCCCCAAAGTACATATTTATAGCTAAAGACAGGGAAAATCTAATAAACTATCCTAATATGACTCAAATACTACTAACCATATCTAGTAATACCCTAATAATATTAATATCGATAATTATGATTAAACCTAAAAAGTAGGTTTCTATCATCCCATCCCCCTTGAGACCAACCTTGCCCTCAAGGTTGACCAACTCGACCCACTTTTTCATGTCGTTCGTGCAAGCCACGCCTTTGCTCCTCCACCTCTTGCGCTTCCTTTTCTTCCAATCCTGCTCCACCACTTCCCAAGCCATGAAGCTCAATTCATTCAATAGAGACCCAACCAGATGGCCCAATTGGAGCCCAGGTCTTGCTTGAGGACTCAGCCCATTTGTGTTCTGAAGCCCGGTTACATGTTTCTTACTCGGCCCACAACCCAACCCAGGCCCTACTCGCTTTTCCCCACGTCTTGGGCCACTCAGCTGGCCCACCACGCTTATATCAAGTCGAGCATCCCCCCTTACTCGAGCTAGCCTGCAGCAGCCTTCTTTAGTAATTGGGCCTGTTGACCTGAGCCCAACACCGTACAAGAGATTCCACATTAAGCCTCTCTTGCGTGGCCCATACCTTGCTCGAGCCCATTCACTCTCCTCCTTCCCCAACTTTAGTCTCATATCACCTCGGCCCAACGAGCTGGTCTGCTTCTGTGCCATGTGGCCTAGGGTTGTGGGGGAAGGATTGTTGCAGCCGCCTCCCTTCATCACCATCGGCAGGACCTCCACCTGCACAGCTCGCCGTCGTGCCGCCTCCGCACCTCCGTCCGCCGAAGCTGCTTCTAGTCTGCCGCCTTCCCTCTCGCGCGATGCCTCACCGCCGGCCGTCGCGGTCCCCGCGCGCCCTCCCCCCTGTTCGCCTGCCGCCACGCCGCGGGGCCCGACTCCCGCTGTCGCCCACAGCGCCTCCACGCCTCCCTCCCGGCACGAAGGCCGACCACCAGCCTCGGCCGCCCCTGTGCGCTGCGCTCGCCCGCCGTCAAGCGCGCCACCACGCCCTCTCGCCGCGACAGAGTCGGCGTTGCGTCGGTCTTCGCGGTTGGGTCGTCCTCCACAGCCACCTCAGCAACAGTCCACCCTCGGTCACGAGCCTCCTGCTTGAGCTCAGCTATTCTGAACTCGATCTTCTGTCGTAGGCGAGCCCATTTCGGATCGAAGAGCCTTGATGAGCTCATGTTGGCTCTGATACCAAATGATAGAAACAAGATTTCTATCGGGTTTGCTAATTTGGGGATTAGGGTTATTCGAACAGAATTAGGGATTTGAGATTGAGATTAGGAGAGGAAGAACAGAATAAAGAATCGGCCGAAACCTTGGACTTGGGACGAAGAGAAATTAGGAGATAGGAAGAGCTTAGGGTTTAGAAGAATAATTCTTTTACTGATTTCTGCTTAATCTAACAAAAACCCCAAAATACATATTTATAGCTAAAGACTGGAAAAACCTAATAAACTATCCTAATATGACTCAAATACTACTAACCATATCTAGTAATATCCTAATAATATTAATATCGATAATTATGATTAAACCTAAAAAGTAGGTTTCTATCAAGTTCTAAGGTCCTGTTTAGCATAATGTTCTCTCATATGGATTAGTGGCCCGGTGAGGAGACTTGTTTTAAGATTGATGTTGCTATATTGGTATGGATTGTGGGCGTGAACTCAAGCAAAGAGGAAAGATTTGGGTATGTAAGGAAGTACAACAAGAGAAAGTAGTAGAGAATGTTTATGTCGTTCTTAAAGGTAAGGAGATTATGCTTTTTGATTCTCCAAAGTAGTATGGTGATATAAGTGGTCCGGCTATGTTTGTTGTATCAACTTAGAAAAGTATTTTCAAGCTGCAGCATAATTTAGCCCACCAGTATTGCTAGTTGAGGATGAATTTCGAAAAGTGGTTAATGGCGCTCGGCCTAGGTCACCACAATCTAGTCCTTCTAGTGTCCTTCAAGTCTCACAACATTTTAAAGTTTTGAGCAATATGAAAGATGGGGATATGGTTAAGTTGTTGGATGCTCCTAAGAAAGGTGGAAATAGGGTAGAGAGCTCTCCCCCTGCCTCTAAATGATAATCTTATCCTGGAATATGAGAGGGTTCGATGAGGGAAACCCTTCAAACGTAAGGACTTTCTTGACTATTGAGGAGTAGATGTGGTGGCTGGTTTGGAAACTTGGTTGCACAAGGCTAAATTTGTTGGGATGGTAGCGAGTTTCTTCGCTAAGTTGGGAGAAACATCTGAACTATGTGGGCAATGATCTAGGAAGGGTGTAGCTTTTCTGGATCCTATGTGGAACTAAATTTTTTGGTTCCAAGCAAGAATTTTGTGCATTGTCTAGCTAAAGCTCGAGATGGGGAGATTTGTTCTAAAAATGAACATGTCGCATAAAAAAATAAAGAGTGAAAAATGAGGCAAATGCATGATATTTGAGCTAGTACTACAAATTTCGAATCGCTTGGTCATTGTGAAATTAGTAATGATCGTTGATAAAGATTTGTTATCTGAGTCGGATTTTATGAGTTAATTGTATATATCATTGAAAACTTTAGTCACTATGACAACATCACTGCCACATAAGCAATCCAATACACAAGAAACTACTAGTCTTTTGTATGCAAAGACAAACAAGTTACATGGACTCAAAGCAAGAGCAAAAGATGAACACTAAGTACAATAACCTTCTCCACTAGCCAGTCAACCCCTTTTAGACCATCTTTAGTGGAGGGCCAAAAGTCCAAAAATTTGGAACCAATGGTCTTTAGAGGGCCAAAAATCCAATTGGTCCAGATTTTGGGTCCAAATTTGGACCACAAAAGGACAAGAAGTTTCAAATCCGGCGAGACCCCACACAATTCACAAGTTAGACGCGGCGGAGCAGAGTAGTTGGAGCAACGCGCGGGGGAATTGTGTTGCTTCCTTGACTTGTGCTGCACGCGCGAGATGCGCACATGCTGATGGATCTCAATATTTAATAATTGAATTATATATTAAATCTTTGATTGGATTAATTGCCCACATATATGTTAAAGCTTTACTAATCCGTCTTAATGCCTACCGCTTTAATACTTGCACAAATATATATTAGGACGTTGGTTATTAACTATTAAGAAGTAGAGTACGTTAATTCATGACATCAAATTTAATAATTATATTTTTTATTCTAACACAAAAAAGTTATATCAAAATGTTCATCTTAATTAATTATTAGTGTCTATATAAAAATAATGATCAAATTTTATAATAGCATGATGAAATCTACACTAAACTGTATTACGTGTTAAAATGAAATTTTGGAATTTTGAACTTTGGAAACTTGACACTAATGCCAAAACACTTTTTGAGGTGAATTCTAGCCCCAAATTTTGTAATTTTGGAACTCACCACTAAAGTTGGTCTTACAAATTAGATGATAAGGCAGCCCTATTAGATCATCAACATCCATGAAATACAATTCCTATTTCATAAGTGGCCCCTACTGCCACATCATCAACTTTTACAATTTCACCACATACCACTTCCATTTTCTCTACATCAATGACATCCATTTTTTATTTCATATGGTGGGTCCGAAGTGACTTTTTAATACAACTATAATAAAAATATAATATGTTACAACCAACAAAAGACAAAACAAAATGAGAATGAAAAAAAGAAGAGAAATAGCATATAAAACATGGGCGGGCCCACTTGCAATTCCATTTGGTATTTCATAAAATAGAAGCTCCCACTATAAATAGGAAGATCCAAGTGTCACATCACAATGAAAGAGCTATATAACAGACGTTGCGGAAGCTCTTAGAAGCATCATCTAAATCCCAAACTTGACATAGGAGTGGTGAAGCACATCATAACCCAGTCAACAAAACGGGCAGGAAACCTCGTAACATTCGATACTTTTAGAGATAAAATCACAATCCACATAATCAAAAAGTTTCACCGAGCCATTTTTCAATGCACATCTTGATTATATGTTATTGCCAACTATCTGCTAGCTATCTGCTTACCTTTAACAAAGTCCATTTGATTTTTACTAATCATCAAACGCAACAGTTCACCAAGTCTGACAACTAGGATCCTCACTCTACATTTATACTTAGCATTTTGCCCGGCCAGTTGGCCGGATTGTAGTTAATTCCATTTATAGGCTATATCCCGTTTTAGCGCCATTTCGCCCATTTTTGTTTTTTGAAAATGTCCGGCCAATGATAAGTTGTGGTTACTGGTTATTCCATCTATGGGTTATATCCCGCTTTTGTGTCCTTTATTTTAGCATGTTTTATTTTTGATAAAAAAATTTGCGAATTCATTTTATTAAACAAATTGTATTTTCAGTGGTGTTAAGAGTGTATATGGTTCACCTACTGGAATGCAATCGTTCCATCTCATTGCCTGCCCAATTGCCCATGTTATTTTTGTCACAATGCTGATAGGTGCAATGTAAGCAAGGTCGTCATATTGATCTAAATTGTAAAGCAAATTAAATAAGCAATTTAAGTTGCGATTGTCGAATTGAGATCCAACCTATTTGACGTGCATTAGAAATATTCTAAAAAGATATATCTATAAGGTACAAAATTAAAATTCTAATAATAAATAATATATAGCCATATATATATGACTGGTATACTCCAGGAGTATAGCATGCTCTAAGTAATCTGACCGTTAGATGCAGTTTGATGAGCTCCGACCAATCTTAATAATCAATTATTTATTTTTATTAAATTAAATATCTAACAAACTTAAAAACTCACCCAACCACTTCATATCCTCTCTTTGTCCCTCCTCGTTCATGTATCTCTCTCTCTCTCTGTGTCTCCCTCTCTCCCCGACCCTTAATCTCTCAGTCAATGTGGCTGACATGGCCGGTTTTATATGTCTGATTATGTACTTACGTAATAAAGTAAAATACACGTATGCATTTTATATGTAACTATCCATATCGTATTTTACTAACTATGATTAAAATCCTTTTTGGTTTTCCTGTAATTCATAACTCTTATATTTTAAAGCCAAATTCAGTAGCGTTGGGCCTGTGAGCCCATGATATATACTTCAAGTACTCCGACCAATATGTAAAATACACATATGCATTTTATATTTAACTACTCATACCGTATTCTACTAATTATGATTGAAAGCCTCTTTGTTTTTCATGTAATCTATATATTTTTATGCTTTCATGTAATTCATATTGCAGGTCTCGGTTTGTGAAATTAGCATATATAGATATACTTTTTATGCTTTCATGTTTTTCAAGTGCAAGCATGATAGGATTTACCTATCTTGGCAGTGACTTTGTCTTGGCTCTTCCCAAGCATTTAAAAGGCAGTGGACTAAATATATTAGGTTAAGGGGATGGAGGGGAGTGATGAATGTTTAGTGGTGTGAGCGGTCGCAATATGGTGATGATGGGGAGCGTAAAGCAAAAGGTGATGCAAATGGAAATTTGGTAAGTATTGGAAGGCAAAAAGGGGCACAAGTCATAAATTTATGGTCTAGATTGGGTGGCAAGGTAGACACAGATAAAAATAGAGGCTCGGAAAACCCGATCCATGAGTTGAAGGTCTGGTTGAAAATGGGCGCCCTCCTTGCCAAACTCGCCCCCATTTTGGGTGGCTAGGTTGGTTCTGATTTGGGTCATGATTTTTTGTTGCCAAATTGTTGCATGTCCGCCTTGGAAAATTCTTGTAATTTCTTCATGTCATTAGTAAGCATCCGGGAACTGTGTACCGAGTAGGAAATGATGGTTGTGACTAGCGATGGAAATCGGTACGGTATCGATATTCCAGTATCAAATATCAAAATCCCGAATTCAAATAGTTTCTTAAACTCAATCCCAATTCCCAAAAAAGTTCGTTATCCCAATCCCTAAAATATTGTTCAGTATAATATACCAAATATCACATTAATTTCCTTCAAAATTACAAATCAAATATACAAACAAAAAAACTATAAATTAGAAACACTAAAAGTTATTGAATTATTTTCGCAAAAAACCCTTATCCGCCACAAAGCCAACCAAGATCCTCTCATTCTCGTTCTCCCTTCCCCCAAATCCAGAGCTCTCTGCTCTCGTATCCTCCACTGCAAAAAAAGCAAGTTAAGGCTAAGTCCATTGCTAGTCTTCAAATTTGGAGACTTTCATCATCCCCATTTTCTCCTCTTTTCTTCCAACTAGCTTATAACCCGGCCCTTTGGCCGGAATGCTCATATTTGATTATTTGTATTTTTTGTTACTTTTAAGTCTATTAGCCCGTTTAATCTTATTGATAATCATTCGATCGAGATGATACATAAAAAAATAATATATAGGTCGAACATTCGGAGAAATATCATAATTATTTAAGAATATAAAATATAAAAAATGTATCATTGACCCCATTTTCATAATGCTAATTAAGTCTCTGTTAAAATGCTATTGGTTAGTTTTTTTTACAATCCAGAAATATAGAGTATAAAAGCTCACTGAAATTCTCACACACCCCATAGATAGTTTGAAACTAAATCTTAAACCTCAAAATCCTATATAAAGGGTTCAATGCTCTCCTTTTAGAAACAATATGTCACTAATCAAAAAGAAATGGAGAGTTGTTGATTCAAGTCATCTACATACTAAAAACTCAGCTAAGAGAGGACCATCACAACTTGAGAGCAAACGAAAAAAATCAGGGTTATCTCCAATATGCGAATAGACTCGATCAAAGTAATAAGGCGCAAAATTAGACACTCCTTATCTATTAGTTCCAGTAGGTTGAATAAAGAAGCGACCTATTTCAAACAATCAATCAATGATTCCTCGTTTTAAGATAAAAATAGGTTGTGACAGTTGCAAAAACCATAAACCTAAAGATCCAATAGCCACCACTCTCCGTTGTACAACCAAATTTCTATCTCAAGAGGCATATATTCAACCAAAAATTTAATTTCTAATCCTCCTTCTACAACTTCAGTTATTGATGAACTCCATTCTATTCGCCATGAATTGATATTGGAGTTGAAATCTTCTACTCGCCCAGCTTAAAATCCCAACAATAAAACCGTAGTGCCAAGAGATATCTGAAGATTGATTTTCAATGACAGTCTTGTACTGGGAAGTGAAAGGCGCAAACTATTGCACGATGGATGAAATTTCGGAGGAAGTTAGAAAGAGAAAAGAACAAAGATAAAAAAAATAAAAAAAATTTAAATTGAAAAATGCAAGGATACAACACGTAGTTACATAATTAGTTTCTTCCATGTTAGCCAATTACCCATTTACCTTTAGCAAAAATTAAGGAGAGAGCGGGAATTTAAAATTGAGAAAATTACATGAAATTCTACTATAAAAATAGAAGTATCAAGCTCGATAAAAATACATACGGTAGACTTAGTGAGCTTGCTAATTATGATGAAAAAGTCTTCTGATTTTCAGAGATTAACTTTGTCTATGTTTTGTATCAAAAAGGATACAATAAATTTGTTTAGTGTAATTGGTTGTAATTGTTAACTTTGTTTGAAGAGACCCGGGTTCAAATCTTGATATTGTTATTTTTATATGAAATAAATAATAAATGTGTAAAGACAAAAATGACCTTCCTACTTTCACTCTCATTGCAAGAAATTTGAAATTGAGAAAAGTACACAAAACTCTTCCATTAACTCTACCATATATTAATGGAGGATGTTAAATTCTTCGAATTTGTGGATCTTACTTTTTGGGTGGCTAGGTTGGTTCTGATTTGGGTCATGATTTTTTGTTGCCAAATTGTTGCATGTCCTCCTTTGAAAATTATAGTAATTTCTTCATGTCATCACTAAGCATCCGGAACTGAGTACCGAGTAGGATATGATGGTTGTGGCTAGCGGTGAAAATCGGTACGGTGTCGATATCCCAATATCAAATATTAAAATTTCGAATATCAAATAGTTTTTTAAACTCAATCCCAATTCCCAAAAAAGTTCGTTATCCCAATCCCTAAAATATTGTTCAGTATAATATACCAAATATCACATTAATTTCCTTCAAAATTACAAATCAAATATACAAACAAAAATACTAGCTCCAAAAACCATTTTCAAAATTGATAAAAACAAACAATGGTGCCAACACTCATGAAAAAATGGAGAAAACCGTAATAACAACAAACTAAAAGCATGTAGTGCCTAAGAAGCGTATTAAGAAATTAAAGCAACAAACTAAAACAGGTAAACACTAAACAACCCATAAACATACTACAATTAACAAATTGAGTTTGATATGAGTAGTCAAATAGTGAGAGAATGAGCTATGCATAATTAAGTGATCATCATGGCGGTTGAGAGTCTGGTAGTAGTGAGTGAGAGAGTCTAGTTGAGAGGGATAAAATATACACTAGCTTATATTTATGTATTGATAGGTATTTAGTGTATTAGTGATACCAATCCCTTGATACCTAATACAAAATAACACTCATTCTCAATCCCATAAAAAATGAATGTATTCGACAATACCAAATATCGATAAATTTAATATGGTATTCGGTACTAGTACCAAACTTCCAACCCTAATTGTGGTTGGCACGTTGTGAATTGGCCAAGAATTTGAGCAGCATGATGTGGTTGAATTGCTTGAAGAATTATTGATACTGCTGTTGGAAAATGTTTTAGTCGGCTTGAGTGATCATCATAGGAGTATGACCCCAAGGACCACAACCTTAAGAGAGAGAAATATATTTATATTATTATATACATCATTTGTCAAGCTCAATCCATCAATGTGATATTTTGAAACTTTCATTAGCTTTCAAAAAATGATTGATCTAATTTGAGTTTACACACAACTCTTGAAAATTATTGATCTAATTTAACCTCTAACTAATTTCCTAATTAAACCCCAATTAACTTCTAAAATCTTAAAAAGAAAAAAAAAAGCTACGTGGCGGACTTTGGGGAGTCTCTATATTTGGGAGAATCCCCATTTCCACCCCAAATTTGAGAATCCTTTTGCAGATCTCCCCCAAATATAGAGACTCCTCCATTTGTAGAGAACATTTTAAAAGGCAGATAGGTGAGTCTCAATCCAGGTAAGATCGAGACATGCATGTGTATTTTCTGTGTTTTTCTTGGTTTTAATTTACTTTTTTTTTTCTTTTGCGTTCTTGATTACTTGGAGGAATGAAAATAACAGAGGCGACCGCTATATCCACTTCGATGGCTGACGGTGAGCTATGTTGTGATTGTTTTCAATGGTATTCTAATTGTATTTTTCTATTTTGCAAATTTTATCAAGTTTCTAGTTTATGGGGAAGGTTTCTAGTTTATGGAGGAAGAAGAAAGAAAAGAGAAGAAAGGAAGGAGATGTTTTGAATTAAAAAACAAAAAAAAATTAGCCACACCTCGTTGTCCTTCCCCTGCCCACTGTTTAACTCTTCGAGAACGGGGAGAGGGTATACAGTTTTCTCAGCTGTGCCATCCCTTTGTATTGTATTTGTATGGATGGTGATATCCTTTCCCAAAGTCACATCTATCTTTTCCCTTTTAGCTACTCTTCCACTTCATCCGTGAGACCGTGAGTCTGTGACAAGACAACAAATTCCTTTCTTTGTGACTCCATAGCACACGTATATATATACGTTTAAGAGAGAGAATATCGAAGCAAACAATGAAGTAGAATAAAGCCTTGGTTTTATGGTTTAGACCGTTGTGGTTGTGTGAGAGCCTTTGGATATTTGTGTTCGATGCAAAAAATGAACCCCTGGTTGATGGTCGATCAATCGTATGCATGGTGGTCATGCAGGTGGCATGTCACCCCGTTGAACCTGGTTCAACTTGTGCCGGTCATGAAATCGGTATGACACCATCGATATGACCTGTATGATCGGTATGATCGACTTACGCATTCTAAGTAAAATGACATCATTTTAGTGAATTCACGGAATAAAAAAATTAAGTTATTTTTCATTTTATGAATGTAATAGTTAAAAGTTGATGATATTTGTTGGATTGTATCTAAATTGTCCACAAATATATTTTATATATGATTAAATACATTGGATATTAATTGTTTTCACATTTTTTTAAACCGGCATGAACCGGCACAAACTGATTATACCACTGGTCGTACCATTCCACTTCCCAAACTGGCACAACTATATAAACCGGTTTGACAACCTTGATAGTATGTATTTCATTCATTCATATTTTCACTTTCCGGCATGGGATGTCCCTCCAGTCGTTCACAAAAATCAATCCAAGTGCACACATATAAGTATATTTATTCGAATGCTTTGGATAAACATAACATATTCTTAAAACATATGGATCAGATGAACTTGTTTAGTGGTAGATCATTTTTTGACTCGACCCAGCGATTTAATTATCATGTTAATTTCATGAGCAAGACGCAAAGGCAAACAAAAGAATAGTTTATGAATAATATTAAAATGATCCCGAAGAGCATAAGACAAATTAAACTTTCTTGCCAATCCTATCCTTTTGGTATGAGTCATGACTATTGACAAAAGACTAAAAAACAAAGAGATCCTCCAGAACTAGGGCAGAAGGCAAAATAAATCAAAAACCGAAATTAAAATGAAAAGCCTCACAACTAAAGCATATATAGTCCAAAAGGACAACATCTGCTGCAAGCCAAATCATCAGATATCCCTGCTGCAATAAAACAAATTAAGAATACATAAACAAAATGAAAAAAAAAAACATAAAACAAAGGAAAGGTACTGAGGACAAAAAGTTACATAGGGGTAGGAATTAGAACGAACAACAGAGCCTCGCTTGCACAAATTTTGGTGGAAGTTATTTGAATTATTTGACCATGTATTAGTTCCCATATTATTGAACGACATCATAAATATCAACATCAGTGTAAGGTACTTTATATATATTTTTTTCTAGACCATCATGAAAATCAAAATTATCAGATTAAGTAGTTCAAGGTTTGATGGTCGGATTGGCGTCAACAAGTTCAAGTCAGTTTTAATGATATATGTGACAAAATCCTTAATATTGAGTAGATTATGCATATATTTGATATATTTTTAAAAAAATCTGACTAATGTACATTCATATATTATTATGGTTTTGACTTTTCCCCCGAGTCGTCCAAATGGAATGTATTCCAACTGTTTAGATGAGCAGTTCTGGTGGGATTTGGCTGAACCGGCTGACCAGATACAAGTTTGACAACCGTGATAAAAATTGAGTTGAGACTATTGATTAGCAGAGCGTTCATTATGCATATAATTAGAATTTCGTTATATCAGCTTGATTATAAGGTTCAAATCTTGCATGTATGATTATTGTAGTGAAGATTTTTTTTTTGGTAGCGAAGATTTGAATTGCTTATAATTGATGAATAATCAATCTCCATACACAAAAACACACAACGGTTTCCCCTTTACCTTTTGATCCTCCCCTGCTTGCTGCTTTAGTGCTTTTTTGTTATCTTATTTTCTCTCTCTCACTCTCTCTCTCCTTCCTCCGTTCAATTTACACAACAATTCCATCTCTTCTCTTCCATGGAATAAGATCTTAATCACCACTATTATTAATCCACGTTCAAAACTTTCTTCCTGCTCGAATTATGGCTTCTTCTTCATCATTTTCTATACTTAACATCATATATATGTTCTAAACCATGATTTCTTATCTAGGAATTTCTGGTTTTTTGTAATAGTAGATAAGTATTATGGAATGGTGCCATTTATGATAATATTGGCACATTTTTCTATCCAAGTGACATAATTTTCGTATTTGCTAAAATCGTGCACAAAATTAAGAGACTCGTAAAAATGGATAAATCCGCTCAAAAATCCATACGCTTAACCCCACAACCAAACATGATTTGCTGAAAACAACCACAACATTTCGCGACATGATTAATGGTCGACCTACCCGAAGGTCCCTCGACACTCTGTATGATGTTTTTGGTTATATCAGGGCAGCACATACTTAGCATTGTCCACTACTGAATCTTCACAGTTTTTTACACAACCATTTTTGTTTGTCCCTCGTCCTGGCTTGGAATCATGGTGGCCATTTGGAATACAATTTACGATTCATAATGTAAAAAAAAAAAGTCATAGGTAACTATAGCGGGTTTTTAGCTTTATTCATTAATCAATGTTTTAGTTGCTTTGTTGTTTGGTGGATTGACATAGGAGGAATGGCAATGAATGGTGAATTTGAAGTATGTGGGGGAAAAGAAGAAGTAAATATAATTGGGAAATGATACAAGAATTAGATTTAAGAGCCGAGTTTTATGGGGTTTGGTGTTTGGTGTTTGGAGATGAGATGAAGGAAAGGTAATAGAAGAAATTAGGGATATGGTTTTCTAATCACACGTTAAGAATAATTTCCAGAAATTGAATAAGTTGAATGACAGACGGGGACCGAGCCCGCCATAACGGCTGCTTTTTGGTGAAAAAGATACTTTGTATAGAGAGTTTTGACTTTTCCTTTTCCCAAGTGTGCTCTGGTTTTGTATTTGTATTGAGTGGTGACTGATGATCTCTTTTTCAGAAAGTCACATCCAATCTTTTCCCTTTTAGCTTCTATTCTTCTCCTCTTCCTTTTCCTATGTGACCACTGACGAGACAACAAACACTATTTGAATTTGGAAACAAATCAACAATAAAGTGGAAATTTCTTGGTTTGTGCTTCTTCCATTGTTGTGGTTGCCTGAGAGCTTTTTGATATTTGTGTTTTGAGGCAAGAAATGAACCCTTTTGGTTGGGAGTCGATCATATATATTTTGTTGGTTCAGGTTTTGTCTTTCCAGCGTAGAACACAATACTACCTCCAAGACCCAAGTGCACTAAAAATCAGCAAAGATGCAAAATAATATCTCATGATTCCATGCAAATGGATCTATTTATTCGTGTGAAACTAAATGCAACATCTTTAACATAAACGTTTTAGGAAAAGTTGTCAACCCGGTTTAGTCCGTTAGTCCGCTGGAATAAGTGTATTGAGAGTTAACGGTCCGATCGCTTTATCTCGATTTAGCTACGGTACCCCGGGTGAAATCCGGGGTACTGCATACCTTGAGTATGAAAACACTATCTAAACATCGAATTAGCAGGATTTTTGGGCATGATACTATACCCTAACCCTTAGTGAGTGAACCCTAGGTCCTAATTATCTAAATCATAAACTATAAACCCTAAAATGGTGCATTGATTTTTTTACCTATATTTGGACGAATCATAACCGTCGATTATTGTTTCTAATTAAATTGATCTTCGGGTATAAGATTTAGAGAATTAAGACATAGATGTTGATCTTTAAGGGTTAGAGTATAATATCATGTTCGAAAGAATAGTCAATTCAAGTTCTGGATAGCGTTTTCTTACTCAAGGTATTCGGTACCCCAGATTTCACCCTGGGTACCGTAGAACTCCCCTTATAAATTATATACAATCTCATATAACATATGAGTAATAACATATAATATTACACCAAAGTAATAGGTCGTACTTGAATTCAACATATAGTGAAAATTCACACACACTTATATAACATCAATGATCAAATGTTCAACTTAGAATTTCAAATATACGGTTAGGCAAAGAGGAAAATCGAAAAAGAGGCACATTTCACAAACCAAATGAAAAACGACGCCGTATGACATGTAACCCGATAACCTTGCAGAGGGTCAGCCCGCGGATGTGTGGCTCGTTTTTCTCACCGGATCAGGGTTAAAATCGATCGACTCGTAGGTTGATAACCTTACTTCATATTAACATAATATATTGTTAGAAAAAATATCGAACAAACTTATTTAGTGGTAGATTATTTTATGGTCTAGGTTATATTTTAAACTCTAGCCTGTAAAACCACACAAAACCAAATCGTATCATCATATCAAGAAGTTTTGTATCCTAGCCGCTTTCTTTTTATTAGCCGATCAATCAGTTTAATTAATATAATGTACTTTATCATGTTTAATTGCATGTTTAATTGCATGATCATGACGCAAGCATAAATTTAGTTGTTTAATTAATACAAAGACAAACATAATTCAAACAAAATACGATCAAATCCCAAGCAAATAAAAGAATATTATATGAATATAAAACTTTCTTGCTCGTTTGTTATGGCAATTGAGAAATGTTAAAATAAAGGTAACAAACAAAGTGATCACCGCCAAAAGTAGGACAGAAGGCAAAATCACAAAAGAAAACTGAAAACTAAAATGAAAATTCTGACCCAACAGAACGAAATCTGCTACAAATACAGCCAAATTGACAGATATCACTGCTGCAACAAATTTTTTTTTTTTTTTTGACCAAAGATGAACTTTATTCCACTCTGGTGAAACCAAAAACGGCGGTTACAAGGCTAAAGGAAATCGGAAATTAGATCAAGAATACTAATCCAGTCATCTGGGAGTGAATTTCTTGCCAAAGACCTGGCCACCCAATCAGCTCTAGCATTAAACTTTCTATGAACAAACCTGACCTCAATGCGATTTGAGGCCTGAAGGATCGATTTCATGGATCCCATCCATGCCGCTCCCCTCCATGGCCATCCCGCTTTGTCCTGTCTGAGAGCTTGAACAAGATTAAGACAGTCTGATTGGACAATACATTCTCCTCCATATTCTTGGGCTAATTTGAGACCTTCCAAAAGCGCCTTCGCTTCAGCTTCAAACGGGGTGGAACAAAGTAAAATATCAGCTCGCCCATCGCATACTTGTCCATGGTGGTTAATAACAACAACACCATAAGCCGCCGGCTGGGAGTCGCTTATGAACGACCCATCACAGTGAATCACCATGTGGTGATTGCTTGGCGGTGGAGAAGGATGAGGTAGGTTATCCCTGAGCTGAACAGAAGATGTTTGGACATGAGGTTGGGATAGTCTCGGGCACGATGTCCATTCGGTGAATTCCCTGACGGTCTGCCTACAGGTATTTGGGGGCCACGGGATACGATTCTTGAAGGCACGCTCATTCCTTGCTTTCCAGATATTCCAGCAGAGGTAGACAATCAAGATGAGACTATTGGGCTGCACACTGTCTTTCAATGAGCAGAACCAATCAAAGAAGGTGGTGGATTGAGGTGGAAGTGGAAGAGATGGGAAAATGTTGTTCCACGAAGATAACGCATGCTGGCACTCAAACATGCAGTGGACGATGGATTCAAGTTGATTCTGGCAAACCGGGCATGTCGCATCCGGAGAGCATTTACGATGCCACAACCTCTCTTTCGTGGCAATCCCATTCTTTGCACATCTCCAAATGAAGAAAATGAGTTTCGGGGGCAGCTGTAGAGACCAAATCCATTTCCACTTCTCAGAGTTCCCTGGCGGCGCAGTGATGGTGTTGGTCTCATGGATCGCGTGATACGCTGATTTGACAGTGAAATTGCCCTCATTATTAAATTTCCAAGCCCAAAAGTCCTCCGAATCCTCTTCCCCAATAGGGATTCTCAAAATAGCTTCCAATTCATCCTCCGTCACGTTTCCCTGAATGAGGTTTGAGTTCCAGATCCTTTCTCCCGGTTCAATCCACTCCTTGACTCTGATGTGGTTCTGAGGGCCGCTTCCAATAGTCCCCTTCTGAAGGGTAGGGACCCACGGATCCTTATCCACCCATGTTTCCTCACCTGATCCAATGACTTTTACCGTTCCCATCTCAATAACTTTTTTGGCCTCCCATAGGCTCGCCCATATCCAGGATGCTCTACTGCCCTTCTTTGTCGAAAGGAAGTTTCCCCTTGGGAAGTACAGTCCTCTTAGCAGACGACTCCAGAGTGCATCCGGTGAGGAGAGGAGTCTCCATGCTTGTTTTGCCAGGAGTGCCAAGTTGAAGTCTTTGAAACTTCTGAAGCCAAGCCCTCCTTCCGTCTTCGGGGAGCACAAGATCTCTCTTTTGCACCAGTGCATACTGCAACAAATTAAGGATACAAAAACAAAACGAAATGAAAGAATAAAAAACTATAAAACAACAAATAAAGAGTAGGCGCTACGCTACTTCGTCACTCTTCCTACACACAAAAAAAAAAAAAAAAAAAAAAGGAGCAGAGGACACAAAGTGACAAAACAATTACAAATGGGCAGAACGTCCTAAATTTAATGCATATTTACCTTTTTGTCCATTTAAGATTTTTAAATCAAAATAAAAAACAAACCTACCCATCCAACTGCGCCGCTTCTTGCCGGAGAAGATGACTGGAAAAGGTAAGCTCTCGATCCATCCGTTCTTCTCATGACCTGAAAATCCCTCTGTTCAAAACCTGAAAACAGCTGATCTGTTCTCCACTGGTCGGAGGGTCGAGATAGAGAAGCTGTTCTTTATCCGTTGGTCGGAACGCAGCAACGTGGTTGTTGGCCCTCTGGTCAGAAAGCAGCCCCGCGCGGGTTTATCCATTGGTGGAACGCAGCGAAGCTTTCGTTTACCCTATGGTCAAAAATTGAATTTGGACTAATTGGTAAATTGCATATTAAAATTAGGACGTGAAATAATAAATTTAGGACGTCAAATGAAATAGGCATTTCAGTAAAAAAAGGTCAGGTTGCCTAGCTAGCTGTATTCCTCTTCTCATCTCCCCTATAAAGGCTGGAAACCCTTCGCCGCCTTCAACCACCAAAAAGAGAACCCTTCGCCGGCAATGTCGAAAACCCCATCCTCCTCCGCCCCTCCTTCCCCTCTCCATCTCACCGCCGCAGCCAACTCTTCCTCCCCGCAGCCGACGCCGGGGGCCGTCTCCTCCTCCGCTGTTCCTCCTCCCCATGTCGGTGCTCCCATCTCCTTGTCATCAGCCGCCATCGGCAGTTCTTCTACCCCACGCCGGAGTTCTTCCCAGGCAACGATGCTGATGAGGTCGCTGTCATCCCCCTTCCGGTCAAAAGCTATGTGGAGATCGGAAACACAACCTTCTGCCCCGTCATCCGCCGCAGCCAACTCTTCCTCCCCGCAGCCGACGCCGAGCCCAGTCTCCTCCTTCGCTGTTCCTCCTCCCCATGTCCGTGCTCCCATCTCCTCGTCGTCAGCCGTGGTCGGCAGTTCTTCCACCCCACGCCGGAGTTCTTCCCAGGCAACGATGCTGATGAGGTCGCTGTCATCCCCCTTCCGGCCAAAAGCTCTGTGGAGATCGGAAACACAACCTTCTGCCCCGTCATCCGCCGCAGCCAACTCTTCCTCCCCGCAGCCGACGCCGAGCCCAGTCTCCTCCTTCGCTGTTCCTCCTCCCCTTGTCCGTGCTCCCATCTCCTCGTCGTCAGCCGTCGTCGGCAGTTCTTCCACCCCACACCGGAGTTCTTACCAGGCAACGATGCTGATGAGGTCGATGTCATCCCCCCTCCGGCCGAAAGCTCCGTGGAGCTCGAATCCACAACAACCTCCACTCACTCCATGCCCACAGCAGGATGAACCTTCTGTCCCGATCCCTCGGTCTCAGCGGACAGAAACCGTCAAAATGGCATCCTGGAGGTTGTTTCCTACGACTCTCCCAAAGGAGTTAGGTAAACCCACCTCTCGGTCGCTTTTCATTGAGATTTTCAAAAGACTTCCAGACACATTTTTGTGGTTTCTGCTATCCATTGTGTGCTTCGCTTTACACCTATGGACGTTCCACTACACTAGCCTGTCCAGAAAATTCCATCCCAAAGGCTTCTGGATCCCTACTGCGGTTGTGCTAGGCAGTGTCATCTTTATATACTTCTGGACTGTTTCTAGGTTTAGGACGGCTGAAATATTTCGTAGGAGGTACGGTTACATAGTCAGAACAGTGGGGTTTTGTGGGGGAGTATTAATCAGCGCTTCTTACCTTCTGTTAGGGGAATCTGCATTTAACTATTGTATCTTCCTCCTGACGCTCATCGTCATTTTTGCCTTGGCCTTCTTGGCGCTTAGGCCATCCACCGACTTTAATGTCGTAAATGGGCTATTTGCGTCATTGATTACTTACACCCTTCGGCTTATAAAGAGTCAAATTGCTTGCCATCCTAATTGCGATCATGAGCTGAAGAGTTTCGATCTGGAAACTCCTTATCCGTACATAATCCTCTTTGCTACTATCTTCACTGTGCTCTCCCGCCACTACTTCGATAGTAGGGCTTTGGAGGCCGACGAGGAGGGGGCCGAGAGAGGCGGCGATGCTGTGAATGAGAGGGCGCCGGGTTTCGGAGCTATGTGTCATTCATATTTGGAATACTTATTTCTGAATTTCGTTTCTCATGTTGTCTTTTTTATGTAAGAAAGAGATGTTATTTGGAATACTTGGTTTGAATCAAATTGAATCTCTCTTGAATTAACAGTAGATTTCTCATTGATTTTGTTTCATTCTTAAATTCTATACATCTATAGATGTGCAAGGGTATGAGGTGTCTTGAAAATAAACTGTGAATGATGATCTGTTGAGTCACTTGTTTATGGTCCATACAAACAACCAGCTTACTCTTGTTTGATTCAAATGTGCACAAGTATATGTGATGCAGTAATGCTTTGAAGCCATAGAGCTGACTATTGAGTACTTGGTACGAAAGATATTGGAATTATAACTAAAACTAGGGTTGTATGAAGAATGGATTTTGAAAACCTTTATCGATAATAATAATTTCATTCATAGTATATAGAGGAATAGTAGAGATAAATAAGTGGTTTGGATGGATTAATTCTTAGTATAATATTTCTAGAGTTAAATAACTAATTAATTGTTCATGACTTAATCTCCACCCTAACAAACCACATAAGACTGATTAGCTGATGAACCCAGAATTACATCATCTACCATTGCATACACGTGCATGTGAAAGAAGAAAGCACAATTATATTACACTCCTAGTACACCCTAAGTACACATGGCATATGACGTGGGGTAATTATGGGTAGGTTTTGGTTCCTTGACCCTCAAAGCAGCAATCACCCTTTACCCATTACCTATTAACCCACACGTGGAAAGAAAGAAAAGTGTGTAAATGGGTAGGGGTGAACAAACACACCCGCAAACCGATCCACCCGTCCAATCCGACCCAACCCACCCGTATTTATCGCTAAAACAAAGGTTTTGGGTTTGGGGGAGGGTTTTCTTTTGTACAACCCGCCTCTTTTGGGTTGGGTTTGGATTTTGGATTACACAATCCGTAGAACCCGACCCAACCCCTGTTCCAACTATTAGTATGAGTTTGAATCTAAAAAATATTTATGTAGTATATAGTCATATACTTATGAGAAAATTAAGATATTTCGCCATGTTTTTCTCTCATGGTCTCCCTAATCTAATGCATTCTTCGACTTAAAGTTTATACATAAATCGAATATAGTTATGATTCACGTAATCCTTTTTCTTGTGTACAATTTTAATAGAATAACATATGATGGATGCGTTTGTTTATAACATTTTTAGTCTAATTCAACAAATATCGTGAAAAAACAAGACATATGTTGAAGTAAATTACATTATATTAAAATTTAAACAACATTTGTGAATTTTCATACCTTTCACCTTGGTTCATTCGTTTGAAATTTTAATTAGTTTTAAATTTTTTTTATGATGTAGAATAATTATATATTTTATGTTGGGTTGGGTTTTTACTTAAAAATATCGCCAACCCGACCCAACCTAATTAGAAACAAAACGTAGGGTTTAAAATTTTTTGAGTGGATTTGAGTTTGATATTTTCAAAACCGTAGTGCATAGGTCGGGTGATTAAAATGACTAAACTCGAACCACCCGACCCATGTACACCCCTATAAATGGGTGCTTGAATAAAGCTTCCCCTACCATTCCACGCAGTGGCGGAGCTAGTGCATATTAAGGTGGGTCCCGGGACCCACCTTGGCTCGTGAGGAAATATGTACGCGTAAATAATAAGGATTAAAAATCGTACCAAAAGTTATATCGGACAAGTCAATGGTAGGACATTTTATGTTGAAAACGTGGTTTAATCGTGGTTCAACCATTTCAGGTTTATTCATTATATATTGCCAAAACTTTCTTTTGTTGAAACTCGCTAGATTGTTTTTATCCTAATAATAAATTCAATATATCAGGTTTTAAACCTCAACTAGATTATTATGTGTATACTTTGACGTGAATATAGGCTAGATATTGTCTAAATCTATATAGAATTAGGAGTTATTTTTCGAATCATAGTAATTGAAAGAAGTAACTTATTGTTGTTGCTAACTAAGGCTCCAGTGCAAGTATTGAAATGACATTTTCAATGAGCCATGTGAAAACACTCTTTGGTATCTAATGGGTAACAAAATCGATTATTTTATAAGGTATATCGACATCAATATCATATGAATGCAAGTTCATCAATATATGAGAATATGGGCACTCCAAGGGCTCAAAATTTTATTGTTATATACTTCATCAAAAAAAAAAATTTATTGTTATATAAAAAAAAATCTGACCCACCTTACATAAAATCCTGGCTACGCCACTGATTCCACGTGGCTCAAAAGGAGAAGGTAAATATTTTTACTCACATTTTGTTCTCTAAGACATCATACACTTACACGTGGAAAGGGAGGTGTAAATACTAATTATTGGTTTCGAGGGAGAAAGACCAAAGGCTAGCATGGGTCATTTCTCCAACCAATCACCATTCGACTCTTCCTTTTTACCATAATCAACTAGGGTGGGAAATGTAGACCAAACGGTATAGAGAATTGAGGTCTAGATACTTAGTATGCACCGTGAGATTATAACTATGGTTTGGTTTGGTTTACGATCTTCTTCTTTAGTGTGGTCTAAAGTGGTCAAGACCGATGTGGGAACCCTGACCCTTGGTTAGAGAGAGAGGGCCAGCTCGGCAAAGAGGGGGGGGGGGGGGGGGGGGGGGGGGGGGGGGAGAAGAGTGGCAAACTTGTGATTTATGTAATTTTCGGTTTACTGCTACTGAAGGCTACAACTCATTAGTTTTGGGAATTAAGCAATAATAATCAGAAATTCTCAATCCCTAATTCCTCTTCTCTCTCTCTTGTTCTTCCCCAATTCTCCAAATCCCTAAATTCTTCTCTTCTCAATCCCTAAATTCCCAATTGGGATTTCTTGTGTCTTACATCTGGTATCAGAGCCTGCGATCGTCGATGAGTTCTTCCCAACTCTCGGATCTGTCGTGGGAAGAATTGCGGGACAGGGCCCGCCGCATTCGGCCGCCGTGGGCTGCCCGCGGAGCCGGCGATCGAGCCTTCCGTCGCCGCCCCAATCGCACGCCCCCCTTTGCCGGCCGAGGCCGCCCCGCACGCTGGAGGAGAGCGGGCCGAGTAGTGCCCCGCGGTGGTCGAGGCCGCGCCACGCGCTGGAGAGGAGCGGGCCGAGCGGCCCCCTGACCGCCGCGATCGAAGCCTGCTCGCCCCGCCCGACTGAGCCGAGCCTCTGGTTGCACTCGGTGGCGGGATGGTCTTCGCCGGGTACTCTTCATTTTAGGGCTCGAGTCGAGGAGCGCGTGTCCATCACCCTGGTCGACAGCGGAGCTTCCTTGAATTTTGTGGGAGAGGAGTTTGCCAAGCACCTGCAGCAGGTGCCGACGGCCGCCGATCCCATGGTAGTGAAGGTGGCGAATGGTGCCCCCTTTCAATGTGAATGGGATTTTCGAGGTATTTCTATGGAAATTCAAGGTCTGAGCATAACCACTGATCTGTATGTGCTGCCAATCAGGGGATTCGACATCATTCTGGGAGTTCCGTGGCTGTATAGTCTGGGACCCGTGACCAGTGATTGACAGTGGTTGACCATGCGTTTCAAATGGAGGGATAATGAGTGGATTTTGCAGGGCCTGACCACTGCTGTCGGCTCCATCTCGTTCAAGGACTGCGGCCCGGATGGCGAGGTCGAGTTGGCCATTCTGTGCTGGCCGATCGAGGGAGGGACGCGGCAGGTGCTCCACCCGGAGCTGCAGGAGTTGCTGGGGCACTATTCGGATTTGTTCGACACTCCCGCTGCCTTACCTCCCCATAGACTGGTTGATCACCAGATTCAGCTCAAGGAGGGAGTGGAGGCGGTGAATGTGAGACCGTACATGTATGGACATTCGCAGAAGGAGGAAATCGAGAGACAGGTCTCCGAGATGCTGACCACGGGCCTGATCCGACCGAGCACTAGCCCGTTCTCGTCGGGGATTTTGCTGGTGAGGAAGAAGGATGGGACGTGGCGATTCTGCACTGATTATCGGGCGCTTAATGAGGCCACAGTGAAGGTTCGCTTCCCCATTCCGACAATGGACGATATGCTCGGCGAGCTTCATGGGTCCTGCTATTTCTCTAAGTTGGATTTGAGAGCGGGGTATCATCAGATCCGGATGCAGGAGGCGGACGTCCATAAAATAGCATTTCGCACTCATAACGAGCACTATGAGTACCTAGTGATGCCCTTTGGGTTGTGTAATGCGCCCTCCACTATGAGTACCTAGTGATATCCTGATTTACAGCCCGTCATGGGCAGATCACTTGAGACATTTGCAGGAGGTGTTCTAGATATTGAGAAAGAACCAGTACTATATCAAGGCCTCTAAGTGCGAGTTCAGGGTACAGGAGGTGGAGTATCTGGGTCATATGGTGACTCTACAGGGTGTGAAGGTGAACCAGTCCAAGATTCAGGCGATGGTGGACTGGCCGGTTCTCGCGACGGTGACTGGGTTGCGGGGATTTTTGGGGATGACAGGTTATTATCGGAAGTTTGTGCAGAGTTATAGCATGATCGCCAGACCACTGATGGATCTACTGAAGAAAGGCGGGTTTGCCCGGTCACCAGCGGCGGAGGACGCATTCCAGCGGCTCAAACAGGCGATGACTACCACCTCGACACTAGCATTGCCGGATTTTTCCAAGCCATTTGTTATTGAAGCGGATGCTTCGGGCAGAGGAATCGGGGCGGTGTTATCTCAGGACCGCCATCCCATCGCCTTTATGAGTAAGACACTGGCACCGTCTAAGGAGGCGTGGTCGACATACAAGAAGGAAATGCAGGCGATCATTACTGCAGCACAGACATGGCGGCCGTATCTCCCGGGGCAGAAATTTCACATATACACCGACCACCAGAGTTTGAAACACCTTTTAGAGAAGAGGGTGTCTACACCAGATCAGCATAAGTGGGTGTCGAAGCTGCTAGACTACGACTATGAGATCCATTACCGACCAGGGCCTACTAATGTGGTGGCAGATGGCCTATCTAAGAAACCGGGCAGCGAGATCCTCACCGCAGTGACAGGGCCAGTTTCGCAGTTTTGGGATGAGTTGCGGGCGTCCATGAAGACCAGTCAGTATTTACAGGATTGCCAGGAAATCGCCTTGAGCGACAACCCGGGGCATTATATGTTTCGACAGGGACTGGTGACCTTCAAGGGTCGGGTGGTCCTTCCTCTAGGTTCAAATTTGGTCACTTCAGTACTGCAGGAGTTCCATGATTCTCCATTGGTCGTTCATTTAGGCGCCGAGAGGACACTCCGCCGAATTAGAGGCCATTTTTACTGGCCCCGGATGGCGCAGGTGGTGAAGGCCTATGTGGAGTCATGTAATACGTGCCAGAGGGTGAAGCTGTCTCACCTGCGGCCGGCCGGCCTCCTTCAGCCGATGCCGGTGCCGGAGCGGGTATGGGAGGACATTAGCATGGATTTCATCGTGGGATTACCTCCCTCGGGTGGAAAGACGGTGGTGTTCGTGGTAGTGGATCGGCTCACTAAGTATGCCCATTTTATGCCATTGTGGCATCCGTACACTGCTAAGTCTGTGGCCGAGCAGTTCGTATTGGGAGTGGTGAGGCATCATGGGTTTCCCAGGTCGATCGTCAGTGATCGTGACCCGGTTTTCTTGAGCAGGTTTTGGCAGGAGGTCTTTGCGATGGCACATACGGTTTTACGCATGAGCTCGGCCTATCATCCCCAGACCGATGGCCAGACGGAGATCGTTAACAAGCACCTCGAGCAGTATTTGAGGTGCTTCGCCCACCAGCAGCCGAAGCAATGGCTGGCCATGCTCCCTTGGGCAAAATTGTGGTATAACACCACGTATCATCGGGCCATCAAAATGACCCCGTTCGAGGCTCTATACGGGCGGCCACCCCCGACGTTGGTGCAGTACAGGGGCGGATCGAGTTCGGTTGACGCGGTGGACAGGTGCCTGGGCGCGAGAGACGAGGCTTTGGAGCAGTTACAAACCAATTTGGCGGCAGCAAACAACCGGATGAAGCAGGCTGAAGATGCAGGGCGGCGGGATGAGGAGTTTGAGGTGGGTGATTGGGTACTGTTGAGGTTGCATCCCTACCGGCAGTCTTCAGTCTTCCGTCGGGCATACCAGAAGCTTGCGGCTCGATTCTTTGGGCCGTATGAAATCACCCACAAGGTCAACCCTGTTGCTTATCGGCTGCAGCTACCTGCAGGTTCCCGCATACACCCGGTGTTCCACATTTCCTTGCTGAAAAGGTACCGGGGCCCGGCGGACAGAGTGACTTCGACGGCTCCTCCGGCGACAGCCGATGGTGACTTGGAGGTGGTTCCTCTCAAGGTGTTGGATACACGGTGGACGAAGAAAGGAGGGCGGCTGGTGGAAGAGATCTTGGTGCAGTGGAAGCACGTGGAGCCGGAAGATGCCAGCTGGAAGAGTCAGAGATGCTCCAACAGAGGTTTCCGGATTTCGACATCGAGGCCGATGTCAATTCTGAAGGAGGAGGGGATGTGGGAAACCTGACCCTTGGTTAGGGAGAGAGGGCCGGCTCGGCCAAGAGGGGAGGGGGGGAAGAGTGGCAAACTTATGATTTATGTTATTTTCAGTTTACTGCTACTAAAGGCTACGACTCATTAGTTGTGGGAATTAAGCAATAATAATCAGAAATTCTCAATCCCTAATCCCTCTTCTCTCTCTCTCTTGTTCTTCCCCAATTCTCCAAATCCCTAAATTCTTCTCTTCTCAATCCCTAAATTCCCAATTGGGATTTCTTGTGTCTTACAACCGTGGTCTACCTCAGTAAACCGCGACAGACAGTGACACACTACCTACTAACTTAGACCAAAATAACACTAAATTAAACCTCCCATTTATGTATTAGAGAATAAAATTAGTTGATTATTAATCTAGTTGAGATCAAAAAGATTGTCCAAATGATCTCTTATGCGTGATCTCCTTATCAAAGAACCACACAAACATAGGATAGATAGCTTGAGTTATCTCCTTGTAAAAAAATGACACAAACATAGGGTAGATTCATAAATAATATATCACTGACAATGTCTAGACTATGGACTCGATAAAGCAGAAAGACTAAAAAAAATTCATTCAACTTGATGAGATAAGAAAAATTATTGAGAGATAAGCGACCATCTTGGTGGTTCAAAACGACCTCGACGTCATCAAGACATTGCTCCATTGCAAGAACCTTTTGGATCACCCGAGAGAGGGAGAGAACAAAACACATGTTCTTTTCCTCCGGCTGCGTACTATGAGATTGTCCTCCGACAACGTACTTCTGGACTAGGCAAGTCCCCAACGATAGACAACACAGGTTCTTTTTGGCGACCGCTGTGGATTGGCTTCAGATGAATCTTGACGAGGCTAACAGGCGACAACTTGGGCATTGAGTGGGGACTCTCTTCAGCATTGACGCTTGGTTGATTTGGAAGAATAGAAATGACATATGCTTCAAGGGGGTTTCCTACACTCTCACTCTACCTTCCTTGGCTCATTCCATCATTTCCAAAGCTAGAATCTTGAGTGAAGCCTGGCGTGCTCTCTCTATGCTGCCGAACTTGAGGAAGGTACCGACAACTCGGATCGTGGCAGCCATCGCTTGGACTCCCCCTACTGGGGAATGGGTAAAGCTCAATATTGACAATGCCTCAAACAGGAATCCAGTTCTGGCCAGTGCGGGAGGTGTTCTAAGAGATGGGACAAGATTTTGGATTAGCGGCTTCATGGCATAGATTGGTTAAGCCTCTGCGGCGTGGTGGAGCTGTGAGCGTTCTATTATGGCTTGGATTTAGCTTGGAAATCCGGTCATCTAGTGGTAGAGTCTGACTCGCAGCTCACCATCTGGTTACTTAATGGCAGACATGATCCAGTTCATCCTTATGCCACTTTGTTGTCGTCTTCCATTCGCGGGAGAGTTAGTCGTGATTGGCTGGTGCACATTGTTCATGTATACCGAGAAGGGAATAGAGTTGCGGATTGGCTTTTGAAGCACAGTCTCGTTTATCCCTACTGTATGCATGAACTTGTGCACTCTACATTAGCGTCCTTTTTTCGGGACGATATGCAGGAAGTGTCTTTTGAGCGGCATGTTGTTTCCTGCCAGTATAACTCTCCTCCCCCATGTAATCATTTCTTTTTCTTGGCTTCTTGCCTCTAATAATGCAAAAATGTGGTGCAATTACTAAATAGACCTTGCTTGAATAGTTCTCGGACTACGAAATTTGGAATTGAAGTGTCGGTTTTACTTTTCAAGTATTATAATTAGTGTAGATGTAGATAGATAGATGTAGACAAGTCATGTTATGACTCTCTAATGTTTTTGAAGAAATAAGTAACACTACAAGAACAACTGGATTCGCAATAAGAAAAACTAGCCTTTGAAAGCAGGATACGGGTTACTAACAATTTCTTGTGACCAAAATATTTTGGTAGCAGAAATGATCGCTATAGACGCGTTACTAATTCCTAGCGCAACCAAAATGCAGATTGGTATTGAAAAAGAGTGCTATCGCAACCAATTTTGCTAATGATAAAGTCTTGATTTTTCGTGACAATTTGTATTTGGTTGTTACAATTCAAAATATTGGTTGAGAATTCTAGGCTATTGGTCGCCACTAATACTGATGACAACAAATTCAAGTGATTTTTAGTAACCAATTATTTTTGGATGCAAAATAAAATTTATTAAAGTGTTAAAAGTGGCCATCCAATTTGGTTGGGAAAATGACTGACAATTATATTGGTTATCATATTTTAACACAATTATGAAATTTGGTTGTGAATAATACATATTCCAACCAATTATATCATTTTAGACAACTATTTGTTTTTGTTATAAAAGTTTAACACAACAATGTAATTTGGTCGTGAAAAACACGTACCACGACCAATTAAATCAATTTTAGAAACTAATAATTTTAGTTACACAAGGTTAACACCACCATAAAGTTTGATCGTGATAAATAAATATGCCGACTGATAATCGGCTTTAATATATCGGATTCTTGAACTTTATGTGACTATACCATGATATATTAAAGCCAATTGGTGCTATTTTAGGGCTCGCTAACCCGGGAATGGTTGAAAAACCATTACTGCCTAGTGCCATGAGTTTGATATGTTACAGGTGGAGAAAGCACGAACAAAAAAAAAACGAGTCCACAAGCAATCAATGGGGCTCGAATCACTAGTGGAATACTCACTTGGGCTAGGAGGAGCAGTGAGCCTAAATGGGCCGGAAGTGGTATTGTGGGAGGATGCTGGAGGATTTGGGCGGAGGAATTGTTGGGCGGAAGGCCCAACTAAATTGGACACAAGGCTGGCGGCCTTGAGGAAAAAGAGAGGACGCAAGGATTTTTTGGGGCCAGAGATTATTAGAGGAGGGGGCTGGGAATTATAGGGGGACTATTATTTGGTGGCTCTTTTTTTTGGACGGGAAAAAAATTCTCTAGAGGCGAAATTCTGGGACGCAAGAGAATTTCTTTTGGGGAAGGAAAAGGCAGAGGGCGCAGCGGAAGTTTGGGGGCGCGCGGAGCAAGCAACAGTTGATTGAAGCGGGAAGGAATTGGTACCAGGATTACGATCGAGAATCTTAGTATTTTTCCTTTAGCTTTAATTGATACGATGATGATTATAAACATAATTGTGTGCTTTACTTTCGTCATGAACTAAACCCCAATTTCTGGGGGAAACACCATATGATGTAGCTATTTCTATATTTGATGGATTGATTCATATATCTGTTCTTCCAATCTCTATTGCATGAAATTACTTTGCTTTGTGTTGACTGGCCACCAATACATTGATTTGTTGTTAATTAGGTTATTAGCGACAGTAAAACCCTAATAACTGAACATAGTTCATGTGACATAGTAACTTATCGAAGCGACAGTGGATTAAATAAGGTGCTATGCAGGTTTAAATAGGATATCGATCTTCAGGCTAAATAATTAAGTCATTGAGTTACGACAGTAGGATTTCATTTAATTGTTTAGTACGTAGTAATTCCCGACAGGAGTAGCTAGCACAGTAGTGATATCCTAGCTGTAGAGAGTTGGATTAAATTGATTGGAATATGTGAATTAATCTGGATAGGATAGGTAGTGAGTCCCGGTGTTTCTCCCAGAGCTTTCTCCTTTGAATTTCGCCCGACAGTTTTCATTTAGTTAATTTGTTTATTTTATTTTGCTTTTAGAAATTAGTCTCATTAAACTATTTTCACTTATAGTTTGCTCATAAATTTGATTGAATATAAGGTTGTACCAGTCCCTGAGAGACGATACCCGGACTTTCCGGTTAACTACGAGATAGGAAATTGGCATATACGCTTTTGCCCTATCAAGTTTTTGGCGCCGTTGCCGGGGACTGCCATACCTTATTTTTATTGATTTTTGTGAGTGAACTATTTTGATCTGGGTGTTAGTGTGCAGGAGAATTTTCAGGTTTATCCTCCTTGTGCAAGCATAGGAGGACGACCGGCGATTTACTGCCACTAGATCCGGAGATCGGGAAGACCTGCCGACAGAATAGGAAGCAGGTCAAGTTAGGGAAGTAGCCAACCACAACTCCTAGGACTTCCCTAACCCATAATCGTCAACAGAGAGGGCAGGCTTCATCACCTGTCATCCCTACACCACCGACACCACCACCGCGCGACATCGATCTTGTCACCATGGCAGACCAGGATCGTTCGATCAGGGCTCGCTTGAATCGAAGGACTGGAGCCCGAGCTTCATGTGTTGTCATTCCGGCTGGGGATGCAACCATGGAGATTACCCCAACATTCATTAATATGATCACCAATTGGTATACTTTCTCAGGCGCTAGCACTGAGGATCCTCACGAGCATCTTCGCCGGTTTGCGAGCATATGTGATACGATGAAAAGCCCCACAGTATCTGATGATGCAATCCGCCTTCGTATGTTCTCATTCTCTTTGTTAGGGAATTCATCACACTGGTTTCAGAACATAACACCTCGATCGATCACGACATGGGCTCAGCTTGAGAAGGTCTTTCTAGATAAGTACTTCCCACCTACCTTGGCAATGAAGAGGCAAGAGAAAATTGTTACTATTAAGAAGGCTGATGATGAGAGTCTAACTGAGGCATGGGAGCGCTATAAGGGGCTATTGATGAGATGCCCAAGCCATGGTCTTGAAGATTGGAACGTGATCATTATTTTCTTCAATGGAATCAAAAGGGAGTTCCGAGATGCCTTGAATAATGCTTCTCGAAATGGTTTCACAAGCATCGAGGCACCAGCAGCATATGATATGGTAGAGAAGATCTGTTCAGAAGCCACTGAATGGGGGTAGTGAGACCAGTATTCGAAGAAGAGGAGGCTTGCATGAGATAAACAGAGTTGCGAGTCTAGAAGCCAAGATAGATGCCAAGCTGGATTCTAAGTTTGATGCACACGAACGAAGATTGGCCAAGATTGCTCTTGGTAGACAAGAGGAGGTTACTTTATGTGAACTTTGCGAGGGTCCTCATCATAGGGATATGTGTCCACTGAGAGCTGCTCAGTTGGAAGATGTCCAATATATCAATAATCCGCGAAGTCAAGGCTAGGGTGGTATGTATTCAAATACATACAACCCTCAATGGAGACATCACCCCAATATGTCATGGTCAAACAATAATCCAGCTGGTGTTCGAAACATCCCACCCCCCCGTTTCCAGCAACAGCAACCTCAACCAGAGAAGAAGCCCCAGTTAGAGGAGTTGATTTGGCCTCATATGCAGAAAACAGACAATAATTTCAAGGGTCTAGATCAATTTGTCACTCAACAGCTAGCCATCAACAACAATATGCAATCATCTATGCTAGCTATGGAGAGGCAAATAGGCCAGATGGCTCAGACTTTGGCAGATATTCAAGGTAGGATTCCTGGGACTTTACCGCCAAATACCGAGAGGAATCCGAAGGACGCCATGGTTGTAGCTGTCACATTGAGGAGTGGGAAGGAGTTAGAGGATCCAAAGAGCAAGAAAAATCCAGTAGAAAAGGAGGGCAAAGGAGCTGCAGAGGAAGAAAGTGCAAAAGCTGAAAAATCTAACTTGCACAGGCAAACTGCATGCAATCTGCCTGGGTATGAGCATTCTGCCTGTACACCTCCAAAGGTGGAAAAATTGAAGAATGAAGAGGTAAAGCCTTGCGAACCTCCCGCACCATTCCCTCAAAGGTTAATGAAGCCCATGGAAGACCCAAACTTCAAGAAATTTGTGAATATCTTCAAGCAACTTCATATCAACATACCGTTGGCGGAGGCACTTGAACAGATGCCTACATATGCTAAATTCTTAAGGGAGTTGCTGACAAAGAAGCGCCAATGAGCTGATCTGGAGAAGGTAACCCTTACTTCTAAATGTAGTGTTGTGATTCAGAATAAATTACCAGTAAAGAGGGATGATCCGGGCAGTTTTACCATTCCATGTGTCATTGAAGGTACAGAGTTCGATAAATCACTTTGTGATCTTGGAGCAGGAATTAATTTGATGCCATACTCAGTCTACAAGAAATTGGGATTGGGAGATGTTCTTAAGCCTACTCGGATCACTCTCCAATTGGCCGATCGATCAGTAAAAATTCCAAGGGGAGTGGTGGAGAATGTATTGGTGAAGGTGGGGAAGTTTATTCTCCCAACAGATTTTGTGATTCTGGAGATGGAAGAAGATCGGGGAGTGCCTCTCATTCTTGGTAGACCTTTTCTAGCAACTGGAGATGCACTCATCGATGTTGGGAGAGGCAAACTGACATTCCGAGTAGGTAAGGAGGAGGAAATTTTTAATGTCATTCAAGTTGATCATAATCACGATGCATTTGATGACTTTGAAAGTGGAGCTCGAGAAAGGAAAAATCCCTTCTCCTGTGATAGTGGACAACCTGAACAACTATCACATGTCCTATCTGCTCAGATTCTGAAATCAAAGCAAGGATTTATCTGCTCAGATTCTGAAATCAAAGCAAGGACAGAAATCCTTGCCAGATCACCTCAAGTATAGATATTTGGGTAAGGATTTCAATCTTCCTGTTATTATTCCTTCTTCACTGACATTGAAACAAGAAGAGTACTTGCTTGAGGCGCTTCAGTACCACCTACGCCTCACTAAAGGATCCAATATGCCAACTAAGAAGGTCCCACCAAATTTTCGCACACCTGGCCCTGCAGAGGTGACTCATATGTTGGATGGAGGGTATGCGTTCTATCATTGCTCGGGAGGGTATTCTGGATACCTTTACATACCCATTGGTTGAAAGCTCCATGAACGTTAGGCTGATGACGTTAAAAAAGCGCTTCTTGGGAGGCAACCCAAGGTAAGTTTTACCCAAACCTTTTCAAAATTCTTTTATTTTACCCAAACCTATCAAAATTCTATTTATTATCCAAACTTATTGTAACTGATCAAAGTCTGGGCATTCATTCTGTTACCGTTACTTATTTCGTAACGGAACTCCACGTCAGCATCCATGTCAACATACACGTCTGAAATTAATAAAATAAAAAATCATAAAAAAATTTGAAATTACAAATAAAATAATAAAAAATATCAATTCTTTATTTTTTGTTCCTTTACTCTCTCCGCCTCTCGGCTCTCTTTTTCCCGATCCACTTCCTCTCTCTGCCTTCCCTTTTCCTTCCTCTTCTTCCAGAAAACGAAAAAGCTCTATCTGGATACTGGCCAAGCCAAATCAAGCACAAAAGCGTCTATCTAGATCTCGCCGGAGAACCAGACGGCGGCGGCGGGGGGTGGTGACGGCAACGGCGGCGGGATTGTGGATACGAGCGCCGCGGTTAATTATGACGATCTGAATAATAACCAGCAGAAGAATGTGTTGTCGCTGTATCTCAATTTGCCGGCGCCGGAAGATCTCGACGCCCACCAGCATCATCGTGCAGAGCAGTCTTCGTCGAAGTTCCAGTTCGCGTCGAAGCAATCGACGAAGGCGATGATGTTCTCGGCTCCGGCGTTGGTTGGGTGCCACTACTGATCGGAAACAGAAGAGAGAAGCCAGAAGGAAGAATAAGAGGAGATAAGCTCACAACTCCATACTCAAGCTTCAGAGCAGTTCAAGGCTCCCGATTTGAGTCACGTGATTCAGAAAACCTGAGACTTCCGCCATGGCTCAGAACGATGAGGAGGTGGATGAAACTGGAGTCGAGCCGAAGGACATTGAGTTGGTGATGACACATAATAAAAAATTTAATTTATTGCCACATCAGCATTTTTTTTGCCCACGCAGTTTTAACTAACGGAACTGCTAACGGAAACTTAACGTTTGGATAATAAATAGAATTTTGATAGGTTTGGGTAAAATAAAAGAATTTTGAAAAGATTTGGGTAAAAAATAGACATTGCCCTTTTTCTTTTTAGTTGTGTCAAACCCGTGCATGTTTAGATTAGGAGTTGAACATTAGGAACATTGTTCCATCCTGAGTGTGGGGTGGTGAGTCTTAGTGTTTGTTTGTTCCTATTGCATGTGGTAAAAAATCCAAAAAAAAACTGTTATTTGGGCTATGCACAGTCAAACTGCATGCAGTCTACCTGTGCTAGTGCAGTCTGCATGTGCTAACCTAATGGCTAAAAAAAAACACCTAAAAATGAGAAAAATTAAAAACAAAACCTTGTACTCTTGTGATAACATGATGTAAATGACCGTGATGCGTGTGAAATGAGTTTGTGCTTGAAGGAAATCATCAAAATCGCCCAACTAGTGTTGAATTGCAAAGTTCTTCACAATGAGCTTAATGTTTTGACTGACTTGATGTGCTTTGAATGAGCAAACTCTTTTATCAACATTCTCTTTTGGGAGGATAGTGTAATGACTTATGGTGAAGTGGTTAGGTGGAGAACATTGACCATTCGACATGTTTGGATACCGTGCTTATTTGCATCAATTGTGAGCTTTTGATTTTGCAATGAGTCTCTCTGTTTTGATTATTTTATGATGGGGTGAACTGTATCTTTATAAAAAAAAATCCTACCTGACAAGTATAATATAAGAAAGTTGCCATAACAATTAAAGTGTGGGTAAAATGCCAAAATCGTGTGAGGCAATCACTCATTGCACAGGGGGATTAGGAAAGGTTCAACTGAGCATCGGTTCGCGACCGTACGATGTTGCTTATCAAGTACGATCCCCCGTTGAGTGAAGTGCCATTTGAGGATGTGCAGTGACCCTCCACACGGACCGAGGAAAAGGAGTTGAAAGAAGCCCTTATGCGAGTGCTAAGAAGCAGAAATTGCTCTTGCTCGGTCACCGGTAGTAAGAAACAAATCCCACTTGTATTAAGTACAACTACTCGGCAAGCAAAATCAGAAAGAGAGAAAGCATCTCCTTGTCATAAAAGGTAGTGATGTGCTTAAAGTTAAAATCATGTTTGCGAAAGGCTTCCCCCATTAGTTTTTTGAGACTCATGCTTTGTTAATTGCTTATGATTGGTGTGAGTAAGCCAGATTGTCCTCACGAGATATGCACCTCACTGATGTGGTTAGATTCTCCTAATAACTGTTGCACCATAAGTTGTTAATCCCCCACTACCGACGATCGAAATTGAGTGTGGCTATTTGAGTTTTTTGTGGATTTGAGTCAGTCAATGGTTAAGGGTTGCAAGACCTTGAGTGTGGGGTGAAAGGTATGATCATTAAAGCACAACTTGTCCGTTGAGAAAGAAACTACTGATTACAAAAAGAGTACAAGGAAAATTTTGTTTTGTTTTGAGTGTTTGATTGTTGAGTCTGTGGTGTGTCATTGTTATGGATGGTTATATGTTTGTGTCTTTTGAGTCGTTGCTTAGGGACAAGCAACAATTGAGTGTGAGGTTGTGATAATCGACTTTAATATATCGGATTCTTGAACTTTATGTGACAATCCCATGATATATTAAAGCCAATTGGTGCTATTTTAGGGCTCGCTAACCCGGGAATGGTTGAAAAACCATTACTGCCTAGTGCCATGAGTTTGATATGTCACAGGTGGAGAAAGCACGAAAAAAAAGCGAGTGCACAAGCAATCAATCGGGCTCGAATCACTAGTGGAATACTCACTTGGACTAGGAGGAGCAGTGGGCCTAAATGGGCCGGAAATGGTATTGTGGGAGGATGATGGAGGATTTGGGCGGAGGAATTGTTGGGCGGAAGGCCCAACTGAATTGGACACAAGGCTGGCGGCCTTGAGGAAAAAGAGAGGACGCAAGGATTTTTGGGTGCCAGAGATTATTAGTGGAGGCGGCTGGGAATTATAGGGGGACTATTATTTGGTGGCTCTTTTTTGGACGGGAAAAAATTCTCTGGAGGCGAAATTCTGGGAGGCAAGAGAATTTCTTTTGGGGAAGAAAAAGGCAGAGGGCGCAGCGGAAGTTTGGGGAC